CACGCGCCCGCCTTCACTCCATCATGACCATGCAGAGACAACATGGGGCAGGCATTGCTACCCAATAGAGACAGACGCATCGACAACAAGGATGGTTGAAGGGGATGGACGGAGCATTAAGATGTACTTGTATTACTCCTCGAGGACACCCGCGCCCCAAAAGGGCCCTGAGCAGCCACACTCGACAAGGAGGAGAAGTGAGTTTCTTGCCAAGGCTTACTTGTAGGACCTATTACGGACAGGGTCAAGTTCAAGAGAGAGAGAGAGATATGGAGAGGGGAGCGCAGTTGTGCCAACCCCCTTCTTCCCTTTCCTCCTTGGCCTGTCAGGGGCTTTGGAATTTGAATTTTGGCCGAACGAAGCGCCAGACAGTTCCAAGGCGCAACAAAACTTGTATCACTGCGCTGTTGCAAGGGCCTGCCTGACTGACTTACCGGGGTTCCATGTAAATCAGCATCGATTTTCCAGGCTCGTCGAGGGTGATGAACGACGAGGATCGCTCTTACCAGTCGTTACGGCCGTTCCCATCTCAACACGATAAAAAAAAAAAAAAAAAAAAAACTTTTACGTTGATATAGGCCTTCGTGAGGGTCTAGATCCGGGGTCTTTTCCTTTCCTTCCCCCTTTTCCTTTTTCTTCTTCTAATCTTTGTCAAGGGAGGTGTCTTCCGGCATTCATCTTGTCCTTCGTATCCCTTGGGCCAGGGTACGATGTCTGAGAGATGGGAGGAGAGAAAGGATGAGAGTTTAGAGATCTGGACACATCATTGATCACTGTTCGGCCCTCCGCTACGGTTGCTCCGTGGCACTCACTGCGCTACGTTCCCCTCCTTGCCCTTGTCGGCTCTCCGACTCGACTCGTTTGCCTGCCTCAACCCCCGGTTCTCCATTGACCTCTTGTTCCTCATCCTTTCCCGCTTTTGGCATCTTGAGCAAGGTTCAAGGATTGAGCTTTTCTCATCTCACCTTTGTGTGCGCTCTCGGCCGCCGGCCCTCCCCATGTTCATGCGCTCGAGGGTCTTGATCCGCAAGACGATGTGAGCTCGGCGCACATGAGAGGTCCAAGGGAACCAAATCCAGCAACTTGGCGCCACATGAGTGATGTGAAAGTCCCCATACTGGCGCTGCTCTCTCTGAAAACACCCCTACAAGTATTTCTGTCTCCGTTGTCATATCAAATCAACATGGGAAGCACTGTTCCCTTCAATTCCTTGTTCTTGGCCCTCCTTTGAGATATTGTGGCCCCTGTCTCACAGACAAGACTGTCCTGCCCTACTGCTACCGTTGGCTGTGGAGGCGGGGAGTGCTGTCGGGAACATGGATGCGCATTTTTGCATTATGGATTTGGGCCAATGGCTCGGACGATTTGGAACAAGGAAAAAAAAAAAAAAAAGAAAAAAGCTCCCTCCACTCTTCCGGGCAGGCAGGCTTGACAGCGAGTGTGTTTTGGTGGATGAACCCCATGACAGCCGAATTCTGAGACCTGATACCGTTTCCCCCTCCTCTTCCCCTCGTCTGCCCCTGCTGGCTTGCCCGTCGATCCCACTTTGGACGGCCCGTCTGGGTGATGGCGGGGTGAGGGTATTGAAGAGTTGCTCCTCCCAGCCAGCGCCCCCTTTGCTGTGGGATGAGCATCGCTTGTTAGCCTTCACTGGGAGGGTTCCAGGGAGTGTTTTCCTTCACTTTTTTTTTTTGGCCCGGCCGGACCCTGCGACGTTTCCGAGATGCATCCAGATCCAGGAGGAAGCGGGGAAACCAAACCTTGACCTTGTTCACTGGCGCCCCAAAGCTCCGCATGAAAAAGAGAGAGAGAGTGTGTGTGTGTGTATGTGTGGTGAGAGAGAGACAGAAAGAGAGATAACGCATCGGGTGTCTACCGAGACTCCGAGTCTGCACGGCACGGCCTTCTCCTGGATGCAATGGAAATCAACAAAGAGAAACACCCCAGAGAAGAGCGTGTGCGTGCGCACATCATGATGGCGCATGATATGCTCGACCCTTTTCTCCTCCGCGATGGCCCCGCTCCACCCCTCGGATCCCGCCGAGTGCAGTGCCGCGCCTCGGGATCCGGACACGCGCACGCCGCACTCGGGGCGATCCAGAACCAAGCGCAAATGTGGTGTCTTTGGGGCTTGCTTTTCTATTTCTTTTCATTACCATTACCCTTTTTTGTTCTTTTTGGGGGCATGACCCCTTGCCGTGGCGATGGCTTTTTGACCGCTGCCCCTCGATCGTGCGTCAGACAAAGTCGGCGGGGATGGGGGAAAAAGGAAAGAGTGACGAGAGGAGATATGGGGGAGTTGGGGAGGTGGGAGAGGAGGGCCAAGCCTTGCTTCTTGAAAATACTCTCACCCTGGCGTGTGAAGTGGGTGTTTCTCCTTTGTAGGCTCCGTTGTTTCTTTTTCCCGGGTCTTGTTGCTTTTTCCCCCGGGTCCCTCGCAGCAGGACCGAGCCGAGTCACCATCCACAAACGAAGTCGCCGAGATGGGATGTTGATCCCTTTTGACATCTAGATCTTACATGGCGGAAGAAGCAAAACTAGAGGGCCAAGGAAACACACACACACACACACACACACAACAAAAAGAAGAAGGAGGTGGAGGAGGAGGGTGATGCAGGCCTCTCTGTCTGTGTCTTTGCGCGAGGATAATTAGAGCGCCGGGGCGGGCGGAGGTCTAGGGTCTGGTCATCCCGCGTTCTCCAAAATGGGCTTCCCGCGAGATGGACGGATGAAGGGTGAAGGGGGCGCGCGTCATTCGTGCGGCCTGAGCCGAGGACTGCCAAAAACCCGCCGTCAACACGCGATGCCTTCCTTTCTTCTTCTTCTTCTTCTTCTTCTTCTTCCTCTTCATTCCTTTTTCCCCCTCTCGCCCTGTCTCTTTGTCTCGGAGACTCACATCTCTCGGCTGAACGGGTGGCCACGTTTCCACTAGGGCGGCCAAACACGCGCCGATGCCGATGTCGATGGCCCCCGCCTCACCCCCTCCCCTAGGGCTTGGCCTTGCCTTCCGATTCTTGATTTTCCAGGCTGCTTTTGCTTTTGCGCGCACCAGCTTTGTTCATGTGGCAGCCCAGTTTGGTCAAATTGCTTGTGGCATGGCCGCGCCACTTCCGGAGAGGCGCCCTGCTCCTCCAAGCCCTGTCACTGTGTTCCCGTCATGAGCTGGCATCTTGTTCCAAATTCTATAATTCCATTTCTGTCTTTTTTTTTTGTATCCTTTTCCGTACGTATCTTGCCTCTTCTTTTCTTTTTTTTTCTTTCCCTTTCTCGGCATGATACCGCGGGATACCGTCATCCGGGCCTTTTTTCCCCTTTTCTTTTGTATTTCCCGCCTACCTGCAGATATGGAACGACCTCGATGAAGTTGGAGGGATCGGCTAGGACCGGCGTGGGCGGGGTGGAGGATTGCCCGTTTACATGATGAACGAAACAAGAACAAAGCCCACGGCCAGATTGATCTCATACAAGGGTCTTTTTTGTTTTGATATTTTTGGGTTCTTCTTCTTCTTCCTGCACTCCCCAGGAATCCAACGACTTCATCTCCTCAGTCTGAATAGTGGGGAATAGAGAAAAATGCGCAAATAGAGGTTGAGACGATGCCCCCAGCTGGTGTAGCCTCGCAGCACGCCACCCATCATCTCGTGTAAGAGAAGATGAAGGGTGTGGGTGAGAGTTGAGACAGCAAACGCCTCGCCCGGAAGACGAGACGGGCCGTGATTGTGTGGAAAGCGACCAGGCCGCGACAAGACTTGAGAAAAGAAAAAGAAGAATTTGATTATTAGCTCACAACTAACTCCCCGTGATGGGCGGGCGCCCGACCATGTCCGACCTGGGAAAAAGAGAGAAAAAAAGAAATGGGTGCGAGCCTCTCGGCGTCTCAACCGTACGGCACCCCCTTTTTTCCTTGGCCCCTTAGCCCCCCTCTCGGATCCAACCGAGTCCCGGCCCTAAACCTCTCGGTGTCTACGGGGGTGCGTGAACGAGACAGTCAAAGAATAAATCAACAAAAAAGAAACTCCATTGTTACATTGCTTCAATATCCATTCCTCATATTCACTCCCATTTTTCCCAATTCAATTTTTGTAGAAAAAAAGGAAAAAGAAAAAGAAAACCCTCGTTCCACCGCTCCCGTAAAATCGGCACCAGCGAGTATCAGGTCGTTCTTGTGCTCGGATCGTTGACAGCTACCTTCTTCCTACACCCTGTGCGGAGATCATCAACCCCCCAACGATCCACGATCCACGATCCACGACGATCTGAGGGGAAGGGGAAAAGGAAACACACACACGCACAAAAAAAAAAAACACACACAAGGACCCAGGCGGAGGCCGACGCAAATCACCCTCTGCACGATCCGTAACGTGCTCTTCAAACAAAACGGATTTGCCAGAGGGTAAGCTTCTTTTTTCGAGGCTTTGGGGGATTTACTCCCCTCAAAGGTAGTATTTGTTCGGATCTTTGTTTCTCCTGTAGCGTCGTACTGTTGGAGCTTCTTTTCTTGGTTGGGCTAGACGGTCAACGTGGACGGGGAGGGGAGAAGGGGTCGGTGAAGTCTGGAGGTGTTGGGTCTTGCTCCAACAGACCCTTGGCGATATCGGCCGTCCTCGCCTTTGCCATATGTGCTGGAGACCTGGATGCGCGCGTGTTGCCGAAAGACGTAGCAGACGTAGCAGACGTATCAGACGTAGCAGACGTAGTAGGGTGGGAAAGGTGACGGCTTTCAAGAGGAGAGGGGATTTTGATAGCATCTCTGGGACTTTGAACTCTGCGCACTCTTACGAGGGAGCCTACACATTTGTGAGGAGAATCTATAGTGAATAGCAAAGGCAAATGGATGTGGTCAACTATATAGTGTTATATGCGTCTACATGAACAAGAATTGTTGGATAAACATAATCATGGGCCAAGAAAGAAACATGGAAAGAGACAAGCACGAGAGACAGTCGTAACCTCTCGTTCTCCTTCACTCTCTCCACTGGACATATCTATCCACGCCCGCTTCAAGAATCGTCCTCGAGTCCGCCTGCCAAACCGCTCGTAAGCCCCTTCATTCTTCGACCCAAGAGGTCTTCCTCGCTATTCAGCTTGACCAGGCTTCCAGACTTGGAGCCTCGCCCACCCCGTCGTCCCGTTTTCTTGGTGCGCCCACGCCCATTCGCCCTAGGCAAAGAGCCCAGTTCGCCATCGTCCTCCTCCTCCTCCTCCTCTTCCTCTGTGCCATTGTGAGCCCCGTTGGTTCCTGTGCTGGCAGCAGCTGCTTGCGCGGCTACCGACTTGGGTGGCGACCTGACCCGCATCCTCGTCATGGCCATCTCGAGCGGCCTGTCTTCGTCACCCGACGACTCGTGACGTACGTGGTGTCGCTCGCGCGGCTGTTCGCTGTGGGCGGCGGCGGCGGCGGCTGCGGCGGCCGCCACCTTTGGCGCTGGAGGGTTTCGCGCCGACGGACACGCTCGGCGTAGACAAAGAGATCCTGGATCCACCCTGCCGAGCGCTCCAGGTGCTTCCACGCCGGTGGGTAAACGGTTGGGAACTGCAGGAAGCCGTGGGAGATGCCCGGAATCAATATCACCTCGGCTGCATCTTTCACGTCGAACTTGGGGATCGAGACCCCAAGCTCTCGCGCCTTTTGCTCCGAAACTGCCTCCTTCACCTTGGTGAGCCGACCAGCAAAGACGACGGTGTCGTCCACGAGAGGGTCACGCTCGCCAGTGAGGAACCACGTCTTGGGGAAGTGCGCGAGAAGAGCATCGGGGGCAAGTACTGGTGACAACAGGTAGTCTGATGAAAAGTCGGGGCTATTGTGGGGTCCAATGTACAGAAGAATCATCGCCCGCATCATCTCAGGCGTAATCACGCGGTCGTTGAAGTACGAGATCATGGATGATACTGCGAGTCGCGTATGCATGAGCTGCGGCCGGTGAGACGCGCCGTTCTCTTGTCCTCCAGGGGTGGGTGGCTTTGGTGCCCCATTGGTGAACGAGCGGCCCGCCGTGGGAATACTCTGGATGAGGGCTCCGGAGCGCCTCAGGAGACTGAGGTCCCGCTGGGATTTGGATGGATAGGGACCCGCTATCCTCAGAGTTGCGCTTGGGTATATCCTCGTCCTCGTTGTCCGAGTGATGGGGCGTCAAGGCAATATCCGTGTATTGTCTCGCCTTGCGCCGCATGATGCTTCGGTTGCGCTTCCGGAACTGGCGGTCCCGGATGAGAGCCATCTGTTCCGCCGACATCCAGTTGCCGATATTCATGTCGAGCGCTGGATAGAAAGCACCAGCCCATCGGGGACGGGCAAATCTATGACGGGGATGTTACGGTTCAACGGGTTTTGGACCGCTCGATAATCATCAACGTCGTGGCCGCCGCCAGGTTTCCTCCCGCACTGTCTCCGGTGATGACAACTTTGGGCACATCTCGACCAGATAGGCCGATACATCTACCCTTGGTCTTGATCAAGGCACAGTAAACGTCAAAGCATTCGTTTATAGCATACGGGTACGGGAACTCGGGCGCCTTCTTGTAGTCAAGCGCGAGTACGGGAAGCCCCGTCTTTGCAGCCCAGCAAAATAGCTTATCGTCATTGCATCTCGGATCCATCGCAACGAAGCCTCCTCCGGGTATGTCTAACACGATCTTGGTGTGGTGCTCAAGGTCAGAGAGTGGCCCGTCGTAATAGAGCCAGGCGGAAATCGGCTCCTTGTAGTCGCTCTCGGAAGGGCGGGGATTCGGATAGCACGGGCAGGCCAGCGCGTAAATCGGGGGCGCGTGAGACCTTGAAGGAAGCTGAGGTATGGAGATTTGCCCTTGTTCCAAGACACCCTCAGATGGTCTACCGTGATCATACTTCGAACCTTGCGCACCTTTTCGTCGGCCTTCTCCGCCGCGATCAGATAAAAGACTGAGAATACGATACTCGCCAGATCCCGGAGACGCCGCGAGCGGATCCTCATCGCAGTCCAGAAGCCGGCATCCAGGGCCGTCAAGACCCAGGTGGCTCGGAAAAAGGTGGCATCGTACATATTGGACATGGGGTCCGGGCTTGACAAGCCCACTAGAGTGGAAAAGTTTCGGGCGGCGTAGATATAAAGGAAGGTGGCTACAAGAGTCTGCCAAGCGGTGAGCGACTTGGAGAAGATCTTGGAGAGTATGCGCGCGCCGGGAGGCCCATGTTTATTCCCTCTGAGGGGTTGGTTAGCATCTATCCGATGAGCAGTGCCTCTAGAGTGAGTGAGTAGCTTACTTGAAGAGATAAAATGTCCAAAATGATAGAACTGCTAGGACTTGCAGCCGGCGAGACTTCGCCGACGGACGGCCAAGTACATGGTCAATCATGGTGACAATTCAAAACCGGCCTGGAAAGGAAAGCACCATTGGTAGATGGAAGTAGCCGATCTATGGTATGGGTCTCTTCGATGGACGATGGAGGCTGGCTTGAAAGGCCGAAGTAGTAGGAAGCGCCGGCAATGAAGAGCTCAGCGGCTCCTGGCTCCTCAACGGAGGCTAGGTTGCCCTTGGGTCCGCAGTCGTAAGCTCGTTGGCGCAGTTTCGTAGGATTACGTTGGTGAAGGGAGCTCGAGGCTTATGCCCCTCGGTTGCGCCAAGAGGCCCGACACGAACTTGGGCAGGAATTTCTATCCAAGTGTCGACCGTCTATGAGTCCCCGCGAGAACCAAGGATTAGATATCATGCAGAAAGGTAAAGCAAGCTAGAAACTGTCGAGAGACTGGGGCCGTGAAGGGCACAAATGTAACATATATATTCAACACGCAAACTGACAAGGGAAGGGAGGGGGCGGGAAAAGATCAGACTAAAAAGATGCGGTCAAAGAAAAAAGACGAAAAGTTATCAATGGAACGTGACAAGAATCGGAGATGGACGAGAGCGCATTGATGGAGAAAAGAAATAGCGCCTCGAGGACCAAAACATACGACCAGACGAAACCAGGCTAGATGCGGCAAATACCCACATGCAAATCGAAGCTATGTGCCCCCTGAGGTGTAGCAAAGGCGGGATGAAACTACGTGGCACAGGTCGAATGGGAAATGACGGATGAATGGGGAAGACGGGGAAGATGGTGGACCGCGAACAAAAAGGTTGCGCGTGGTGTGGATGTGCGTGCGGTGTGTGTGCGTCTGGGTCGTGTCTGGGTGGAGGAAACTAGGTAATATGAACGTGTGAACATGTGTGGCAGGAGGTGCACCTGCCCAACTGCTCCCAGGTCAGATCCCCGGATCATGGATTTTTGGGGGCGGGGAATGAGGCTCCCTTCGTTAGCCGTACCGGTGCTGCCGTTTCTGACATGTGAAAGCCCGGCGAGGGAGCGGGCGTCACTTTTTTGTTTGGTCGGGTTCGTGGGGTTGTGGGGTCCGGAATTGGCGTTGGGCTTCCCTACCCGTTTATTTTTGATGAGAATAAATGATTATTATATCTTCTTATTCTTTGAAAAGTTGTGTTTAACAAAGGACAAGTTTGGTTTCTATCTAGATTCTATACAAGATCCCGTTTGTCATCTCTCTCCCTCCGAGATATCCTCGAGGGAGACAGCAGGAAGGAGCGTGTCACCCGAAGGAGAGAATGTCTCAGAATTTGGAAAATTTAATGGCACGTGGTCAGCGGATGAAGAAGGGACCGACCGAACAGGTTTGTTCCTGCCCCACGGAATCAGTGACGATACCCCACTATTACGTAGCATGGATTGTTTCTCCATGTTTAGCCTCTGAAAGTCATCGAACAGCACGACTCATTGTGGCAAGTTACCTGTTATCAAATGCGAATGCTTGCCTTTGAGCCTTCTTCGTGTCAATCCAGAATCCAGCAGCTGACTAATCGCAGACCGATCCCTTGCTTGGATCTCAATAACAGAAGCCTTATTAACGGGGTTGGGACAAGGGAGTGGATGGTATTCATCAATGGCACACACACACACACACACACGCACACCTTAAAAAAGGCGCTGTCGTTCCATTAGATGATTATCCACCTTCTGTCATAAATCTTGCACCACTTTCTCGCAGCCACATTACTTTTAGAAGCAACAGGTTGGATGGCAAGAGAAATGCCTAAATGAATCTTATCAAGCTGTCACATTGCTATCAGCACGCTCGCTTCACGCTTAAAAGTCGAACAAAATCAAACCCTGACGGAGATAGCGAAGATGGATCCGCGGGACAGCTCCTGTAAAAGCATAAACGGTCCTCTTCCTTCCCCCGGCCCGGAGGCGGCACCGCCGCCGCAGGGCCTGGTGTAAGTGCGCCGACCTCGGCGGGGCACAAATTGTTCCTCGACCCGGCCGGCAGCAACCTGGGGCGTTACCAGCCGCACCTGCAGACGAGCGACTTGCGCCGGCAACGAGCCCCACTTGGGAGTCCGCAATTGTTCCGGGCTTTGTGCCACCTCTCTGTGGGAAATGACTCCTGTAAACGGGCTCCGCTGTTTGAAGACCTAGCAGGTTCCTGTTTTGAGGTTTCTCGCGATCTTGTCTCTTTTCTTTCGGGTGGGAAAGATCGCGGAGCAGCATTGGCAAAGGGCCACTAGCAAAGGATTGAATAGAATAAACTCTGCGTGATGAACGGGGATACACCAAGTACAAGAAAAATTGATAGGAAAAGGAAGATGAGACGAAGGAGAGAATGGGTGACGTGAAACGACTAATATGCCTTCCCTTCCTTCTTTCAATCCTTCCACCTGAGGCCAGCTCAATCACTCGTTAGGCTGCCAAGGGGGTTCGTGCTGTCGTGCAATAGGACACAGTGTTGTCGGCACGGATTCGACCAACAGATCAATGATCCATCTCCCCAGGTTGACGTTGCGCCCTCTTCCACTTGCTCGCATTTTTTCTTCTACTCTCGAAGCATGATAAAAAGAATCTACACGGTCCCTCCTATCTTGCATTTGATATATAACTACGCCTTTTCTGTACTGGACGAATGTCGCGCCAGTTTCACCGTCACGGCATCTCGGCCATCGCACTCGCCGGCGCACTCTCGGCCTTCCTCATCGCATGGTACTTTTACCCTTGGAAAGCAAGATGGGGGCGCACCACATTTCCCGGGGTCGCGTTTAGTTTTACTCCGGATTACGCGTAAGATTTCCTGGTACACACCAAGCTGCTACGGTTCTCAAGATGCTGATAGCCATGGTTGGTAGGACGGCCGCGGTTCGATATGCCAATGGAACCGAGATAAGGCTACCGCCAGCATACGGCAGCCTGGCATATCGAAATTTTATGCGCCGAGAAGAGTCTTCTTTACCAACCGGTGGACTTCTATGCGAGTACATTCCACCTGCTCTCCGCTCGCTGGCCCTTGGAAGGTGTAATAGCGAGGCTGATGGCGATTTGGCGGGCGCCGAGGCGCTGATGCGCGAGCTCAGGGCATCCGTGGCATCTGTCATGGGTACAAACTTCTGTTACGCTAGCATGACCTCTCGAAATATATTTGAAGCGCAGGGGGTACCAAAGAGTATCCTAGAGAAGGCACTCCAGAACATTGGCCTCGTCCAGGGTAACATGATAGACGCGGGCCGTGGCGCTCTCGCTTTCAACGGCTTAGACACTTACCCTGAGACTGGACTTCCGCCGGCTCTCGTCCTCGTTGTCGACCACAGCGACTACGGGACTAGCTCGCAAGTCTTTTGGCGCGACGAGGAGGGTATTTTGGATCTTCTGAGAGAAGATCGCAGCTTAGCCTTGGTCCGTCGCTCCGGAGGAATACAGGAAACAGGACCGAGTCCTTGATGTCGGTTCTCCAAGCCATTACCCGGCCTCCCTTTGGAGAGGTACGGGCAGACTCTCCCCAACACAACTGAGCCACGTAGTACTCCACGGCGACGCCATTGGGGATGGTGCATTTCGGGATGTCCTACGAGCCGTCGTCGGACCGAAGCTTCTTGAGAATGCCGCGACGGCAGACCCGCTTTATGCAAGCGCGGTTTTTGCTGCGCGGAGTGCCTACGACACGATCAACAGGTTGGATTTCGGAGAGGAGCCGGCGTTTGGGTGCTGCTGGAAGTCGCAATTTCATAATTGCTGGGAATACCGACAAGTCGTGCACGTCTGTCAATAACCGAGTATTTCTCTCCGTTCATGTGCGGAATTCGAGGTGGGAGTCAAGTTCATGCATGCCGTGGTGCTAGCAAGGGAGCATCACCAAACTAAGAATCAGGGAACAGCGGCTGCCATAATGAGCTAGCAACACTAGTCGCAAGTCGTGTCGCTCACCAGGATCGATCAATGACACATCTTGACATGAGTCAAGGGAAGAGAGGAAAGTCATCCAAGGAAAAGAGACGGGGACTGAAAGGAAAGGCAAAATAAAATGAAGGGACCAAGAAATAAGAGTCAACAAATAAGCTCGGCATGCATACTTTTTGACTTGAAGGGCGTGCACTAGCATCATTGAGATGACTCTTCTGTTTTTTCTTCTTCTTTTATGGAATCGTGGGTTCGCTGATCACTGAATGGCTTCTGCCGCGGCTGCTTGAGACTTGGTGGCGGTATTCTGCCAGCCAAACCCGAGCGGAAAAGAGACGTTGGGAGCTTCAGGGGTCTGGACCGAACTTCGGCGACAATCAGGGACAAGCTCCATCTCTCTGCCCCTCCATCGCACCTGCCACCTGTGTAGCTGGTGGTACAAGGGTACGATCAAGGTACTTGATACCGCCTGTTCTATCTCCGCAAAATCCGCTGGGGCAGGGGCGAGTGGACGCGGTACCATTTTCCCCGCCGATGGCCGGCAGTGACTCTTATCTCAATGGGCAATTTTTTTCCTTTCACTTTTGCTGTCACTATCTCGAGCTTTTTAAAACACCTCGCTCACCCTCCCCTTCACCCTTTCCCCCTTGCCCGGAAATCAATTGTGTCTGTAATATTCTCCCAATCTGCGCGTGACCGGGCCCGGAATTTTCCTTTTGCTTTCCTTGTCTCACTTCTTGCTCCTTTGTATGGTTCAGCACGTACTCTTTTCTTTTCTCTCGCAAAAAAAAAACACCACACAATGGCCCTCCGCGCTTCCTTCCGGTCCTCGCTCCGACCCCAGGCGCTGGCCCGCCAATGCCTCGCCCCGACCGCCGTAGCGAGCCCGGGATTCCTTTTCCAGGCTCGGTGCCAGTCCTCCGCCGTGCCCAACCCCGACCCTGCGCCCGGCTCTCCTTCCGCCAAGGCCATTGCCGAGAATGAGTCGTACATGGTGGCCACCTACGCCCGACCCACGCCCGTCTTCGCCCGCGGCGAAGGCGCGTGGCTGTACGATGTGGAGGACAGGAAATACTTAGACTTCACGGCCGGTATCGCCGTCAACTCGCTCGGCCACTGCGATCCCGAGTTTGCTAGCATCATTGCTGAGCAGGTGTGTTTCTCCCCCTCCCCTCACCCACGCCACTCCTCGGGCTTGTCTAGCTCTCCCCTAAACCAGGGCGCCGCCTGCTAACCGCCTGCTAACCGCGTGCCCTTTTCCCCCGACTATAGTCCAAGACCCTCGTTCACGCCTCCAACCTCTACCACAACCCCTGGACCGGCGCCCTCTCCAAGCTCCTCGTCGAAAAGACCCGCGAGGCCCAGTGCATGCCCGGCCTCTCCTCCGTCTTCGTGTGCAACTCGGGCTCCGAGGCCAACGAGGCCGCCCTCAAGTTCGCCCGCAAGGCCGGCAAGGTCACCGACCCTTCCGGTGCCAAGGTCGAGATCGTCGCCTTCCGAGGCGGCTTCCACGGCCGTACCATGGGCTCGCTGTCCGCCACCTGCAATCCCAAGTACCAGGAGCCCTTCGCCCCCATGGTTCCCGGCTTCCGGTACGGCGATATCAACGACGTTGCTGCCGTCGACGCGCTCGTCACCCCCACCACTTGCGGCGTCATCGTCGAGCCCATCCAGGGCGAGGGCGGCATCAACGCTGCCAGCGAGGAGTTCTTGGTCAAGCTCGCCCGCCGATGCAAGGAGGTGGGCGCCGTGCTCATCTACGACGAGATCCAATGCGGCCTGTCCCGAACCGGTACCCTGTGGGCCCACGCCGACCTCCCCAAGGAGGCCCACCCGGATATCTTGACCACGGCCAAGGCTCTCGGCAACGGCTTCCCCATCGGCGCTGTCCTCGTCACCCAGGACGTTGCCGATAAGATGAAGGTTGGCGACCACGGCACCACCTTTGGCGGAAACCCCTGGCCTGCCGCCTCGCCCACAACATTGTCGGCCGCCTCGCCGACCCCGCCCTCCAAAGCGGCGTCCTCGCCAAGTCGGCCATCTTCAGGGACGGCTTCGAGGCCCTGCGCGCTCGCTTCCCCGACCTCATCTCCGAAGTCCGCGGCCGCGGTCTCATCCTCGGCCTCCAGCTCAGCCAGGACCCCAACCCCATCATCAAGGCCGCTCGCGAGAGGGGTCTCCTTGTCATCTCCGCGGGGAGCAACACCCTCCGCTTCGTCCCAAGCCTTCTCATCACCGAGGCTGAGATCAAGGAGGGTCTCCGAATCCTCGGAGACGCCATTGCGGCCACCCGCTCTTGAGGCGTAGAAGAAGTAGGGAGGAAATTATGCAGACAATGACGGACGATACCAAGCTCACCTTTTTGCTCCCATTTCTTCTTTTAAAGTAAGGTTGGCGATACGCACTAGAAAGGGGAAACCTTGTGATGCGTTGCAATCATCTAGCCATACCATTGGGGAATGTGTCTTTTGTCATGAGGGAGTCTCTAGACGTGTGCTTTATTTGTTTTCAACGCTCGGGGTTCGTCGAGACGCTTCTGCCGCGAGCTTCATTTTGTTTCCCATCTTGTCGTCATGTTGCTCTTGGTATACTGTCATTTCTTTTTCGTGTTCGGGGCGTAGCGGCTTCTTTCCTTCTTTTTTATATATAGACCGGGGCATTCCCTTAACTGGGCCTTTTGAATGAAGAAAAGCAAAAGCAAAGTAGAAATAACGAGTTAGAAAACCTTGTGCATCCATCCCCCTCTGTTCTCGTCGAGAATGTCCGATCACCATCCTGAATATGTGCCACTTTGTGCCGTAGCCTCTCTCTCCCTCCCCTCTCCCTTGTGATGATGAGAGATAAGAAGAAAAGAAAGGGACAAGAGGGAATATAAATAAAACTGAAATAGTCAACTTGTCTTTCTTTTTTGATAACCCTGCTCCAGGCGTTGATGCTAAGCCAAGCTACGCCCTATGCGTCCGTCCGATATAAAAATGGCATGACATGAGCACACGCCACACGAGAAAAGAAAAAGAAAAAAACAGAACACCCGAGACAAGCTTTCGTTATTTACTTCAACCCTTCCACTTCCTCGTTGTATTCTACCCACCTCTCTAGCCTCCCGCACCCCGAGGTCTAGTTAGGCGTGCTTTAGCCCTCCGACGTGTCCATCTTTTCCCCCTCCACCCCGCTCCCTGACTCTAGCGCACTCTCTGCCGCTTCTGCCTCTGCCGTGGCCGCGGCCTCCATCTTCTCCTTGGCCTGGGCCTTGGCAACGGCGAGCCGCTCCTCCCTCCAAGCGTCAATCTTGGCCCTCAGCTCATCGTCGGGCACCACCTGCTCAATAGTGAGGGCCTGCCGCGTAAAGGGATCGGTGGGATCGGACAGCAGATGCTGGATAATTGTGGACCGGTCCACCACCTGCTTGGATGGCAGGATGACGGGATCCTTCATGAGATCGCCTAGCAGGGGGTCCTCAAACTCGGCGGGGATGTCACCAAGGTCGAGCTCGGCCTGTTCGAGTTCCAGTTTGGCCTCCACAAACCTCTCTCGAAGTTGATCCCAGGCTCGGATATCAGCCGGGTTCTTGGTTGTCTTAGCTTGAAGGATGATGGACGTTCGCTCAAACGTGGCTGGCCGATAAGACCGCCCGTCAGACGCCACGGCCTTGACAAACTCCTCCGAGGGTCCAAGGTTGATGTAAATGTCGACAAAGTCCGAGAGCAGCGCTCCAGGCCTGAAGTGGTATTTTTCAGCATTCTCAACCTTGAGCTCTCGCGCCTTGGGTCCCGCGAGAGTCTCGAGGTTATAGTTCAACATGCTTGCTAGACGCTGGACAATCTCGGGCATTGTGAAGGCGTCTCGGAGCGCCTTGGTAAAGAGTTTCATCATTTCAAGGGTCTCGTTGGCGAGTTGCATGTAGGAAGTCGCCGACCCCGCCAGCTGCTGAATCTCCTCCTCCTTCTTCTGCTGGTCCTCTCTCGAGAGCCCGCCAGCTCTGAGCTCAGCCTCGAGAGCGTGAATCTTGGGGAATTTGCCCATGGCTTCATCTAGCACGTATGTGGCATCGTTTAGGATCAAATTGACGAAGCGGATAAAGAATGGCCGGTTCATTTTGCTCTCGTGCGTGAGCTGTCGGCTGTAGACGGAGTTACCGCGCCACACACACTTGATGACCTGGAAAATCTCGTATCTTATGTTGAACTTGTCATAAAACTGCGTGTGTGCTCCGGTCGACTCGCATTCAATGTAAAATTTGATGAGGGCGTGTAGTAGGTGGTCGTTGGCAAACTTGGAGTTAGTGAGCTGGTCACCCAGCACGCCGTTACGGTGGCTGGGTGCCGGCCAAGTGCCGGAAAACAGGAGGGAAACGAGAGATGACTTGAGGTAGGGGTTTTTGACGTATTCTGAGCTCTGCAGAAATGCGATAGAGAGCGCAATTATTTCGTCACCAACCGCTAGTGGGAGGATGGAAGGTAGATATCTGTGTGCATTTGTCAGAGACATAGATTCTTTTGTAAAAACGGAGAAAGCGCCGTCCAGCGCTTGACATACCTATACGCGAACTTGAAGTTCTCGACGACATTTTGTAGGGCGTACTCGGGAAGGCAGGAAAACGCCTCAGGCTCCTTCTCTGGCAACGGTAGGCTAAACGGTGGAGATTGAGAAAGTGAGCATGGGAGCTGAGCAGGACAGCTAAGAGGTCATAACGAACTGTAATGTCTTATCAGGGGTGTAGTCGGATTGACTCGCAACTCGAAGGAGCCAGACTGCGACATATCGCATGAAGCGGAGAGACACTTCTTGCATCTTGGTATCTCGAAGGACACCCTCGAGGGCATATTTGACCCTCATGGCAAGCTCTAGCGCATCCGTGTGCTTCTTTAGAGCAGTCTCGAAGAGCTGAAGTTGTGAAGGGTTCTAGGGACGGTTAGCGGGAGTGCTGCAACGGAGTCGAAGCCATTTCCGCCTTTCTCTCCCCCGGCTTGTTGTATTCTAGGGGAAAGGGTATACTTACATTCATCACCTTGATTCTCTCCGCCTCCATTGCGGCAACATGATGTTCGTATGCCTTGATCTCACGCTCAAGGCTCTTGACCTTGGTCACGCACCCTTCTAGACCGTAATGGTGCGCGGCAAGGGTAAGGAAGAAGACCTCGGAGATGAAGTGAGGCGAGCCAGGTAGCGTTGTGGCGTAGAATGCGTCCGACGCCGCTTGGTCCGCGTTGATCTTGGTTTCCTCCTTGATATCGAGGCGAGGGTTCTGGCGGAAATAGTCTACGCTGATGCGATCCATTTTGGAAAAAGAGGTATCCATAAAGGGTTCGCAGAGGCGGTCGAGGACGCGGGTGACATTAAGCATAAAGCCATCCGAGGACACCAACTTGGCATCCACGCGCATGGCCCTTCGCTTGTGGTTCACGTTGAGAATGTACGCAAACCAATCGAGAATGCGACCTCGGGTTGCAGCACTCGCGCGCACAAAGGAATTTGTGATGCCAAAAAGATCGCCTTGGTGGATGGCAAGAACCTGACGCATTGAATCCTGCGAGAGCCCGACAGAACCCCGGTCCATGCTCCTTGGCGCGGCAAAGAAAGTCTGGATGGACTCCTTGTTTACCGGAGAAAGTCTGAAAAAGGGTCCGAGAATGGTGTTGGTCTCGATGCCACGAGCCGACTGCGCCATCTGGAAGCTAGGGTGCTGAGCAAGGAGATCCAGCAACGCAGGAACGCGGCAGTACAGTTGGAGGGCCTAGATTGGAGAGAAGTTAGCCGTTTGAAGTTGGATCAGGCGAGAAGCGTCAGTGGGGGCTAAGTCTCGACTACATACCCGGATATACGGCTGGTAATTGGCTTCCATACTCATCGTGGCAAGTTTGGAGCTGGCGTTGAGCATGGCTTGGGTGAAGACAGCAGGGAGGGCATCGTTCTCAGGGAAACGACTGACAGTCTCCACCAAGAATTCCTCATCGATGCCTTCAGGGTGGGTGGGCTCTTTGAGGAGGTGTGGCAATAGGCCGTGACTCTCGGGGACGACCTCTCGGCTAGAGATGGGTATCTGGTGGTTAGTCTTGGTAATGCCGAATCCCGCTATCCTCCCTCCAACCGACATGTATGCCTAGGCATAATGAGAGAAAACGCTACTGGAGGAAGGCGAGAGGAGAAGAACAAGAGAAAAGAGCAAGAAAAGAGCAAGAAAAGAAAGAAGAGACTCACCCAAACAAATCTGGAACGGTGAGGGCAAAGAGGCAGTTGCTGATACACAACCTCTTGGCCTCGTTGAGCACCTCGAGCTTTTCCTCGTTGGCATCCCTCGGCGGCGACGCCCTATGTGATTGCGCCCTGGACCAGCACGGCAAGAGGTAGCTAAGCAGCGACTTATCCTGGGGCCAAGAGCTCGCCGCCTCCATAATAGCAGAGTCCAGGTTGCCAGCCGACAACTTGAGCGGCTCCCCGCATCCCGGAGTTCCTCGCTGAGGTTGGGCAGAAAAACGAGATGATTGCCCTTGTGGTCCGCCGCCTTGGAAGGGTCGACCGTCGCCCGCAGGATGTCGGTCAGCGCGCGGTCGGAAAAGTCCTCGAGGGACACGGGGGTCGGCGTGTGGGGTTTCCTCGCCTGGGGCTTGCGCGCCTCCCCGCCGTCCACGTCGGACGGGACGCGCCGCTTCTGAGAGGCGCCCGTGAACGTGGACGGGGAGGGCTTCACGCCCGAGGCGATAAGGGGTTCGGGGACGCCTGCGAGGCGCTCGGGGTCGTGCTCGCCGGGCGGGATGTGGGCTGTGAGGGCTTCTCGGACTGGGGCGTGGAGCTGCCCGAGGATTCGGCGGGCCTGGAGGACGAGCCGAGCTTCGCTAGTCGTCGGAGACGGATCTACAGGGTTGGACAAAAGGCCCCAGGGTCAGCGCGCTGTACCAAAGGCCGTCTTGCGAGAAGTTTTTTTTTTTTTTTGGGGAGAAAGGACGCGGGAATTAGACTCACTTTTTCCATGGCCTCTCGGTCGGGGGCGTCGGGAAGGTTGTTCTCCGGTGCCCCAGCTGGTGGCGGGGGCGGAGGGGTGTTGCTATCTGCGGGATCCATGACTGTGTCTGTGATGTGGCCCACAATCCTGTTTGTCGGGAAGAGAGAAATATATCTCGCAGGAGGAAAGGAAGCGGAGAGGGAGCACAAAGGGTTGAGGGAGGTTTGGTTTGTCGTGGAGAGAAGTTGATGGAAACCATCTGGACATATACAAGGCTGAGATAATCGAAAAGGTATCACTGAGCTCTTGCCCCTAATGGCTACTTTCAGCTTTGGTGTTCCAGCACTTTGGTGGGGTACCTCCTGTGCTATAGGCAGGTTGCACAAATAGTGGAGGCAATGGCAATTCCACTCTAAACCACCAGCCAACACCAGCAAGCTTCCCCAACCACATCTCTGCTCTCTAGGCAGGAGTGGGGCCCACCTTCCCACCGGCTTCACATGATTATTCAGCATACCGGAGAATTAGCTGTGAGCACTGCCTGGTTCTCTCTTCCAGGTACTAATAATAACGGCGACCATGGAAGGTTTCAGAATCAATCGCTCCTTAGAATCACCCCCAACTCTCAAGTTCATGGGATTGGTAACTCAAGGAAGTTGAGGCATCATTTCGAGGGTTTGTTTGCTTTTGGTAGATTATTTTCCCTCTATCGGTATTTTGTTTCCGACTTTTGTTTACTTTTATCTTAAAATTCTTAGGGCCAAAATATATATACATAGAATGTTGAAGCCCACAGCTTGCCCAAAGCATCATCTGCCGCAGTGTATAAACGAGGGATCATTGCATCACCACCAACTCCTATGGGATTCAAAATCTCTATCTGGACTCATTGAACTCGCCAGCTCTGCCCCTAATAGTCTCTCATCAGCCCAATTCATGGCAGGGCTTTTTTGGGGGGTGAAAACATGCCAGGCAGAAGAAATCGATTCCAATACTGATTAAAAACCGATATATCGGTAGAACCAGATAGAACATAGAACTCTCACTCACTCCGGTACGCCTCATTAGCAAGGCCAACACGACCCCGTAGCAACTTTTGCAACAACGGCGAGGCAGCGATCTACCTTCACTTGCCCTCCAAAGTCCTTCAAAGTCCTTCAAGAAGAAAGGGGCAAAAGAGTTAATGGGTGATTTGGCGGAACTCCGCCTCGTTCGGAGAACGAACTTCGGCCATCTTGTCCCCTTCCAGGCCGCCGGAAGCCCCCACCGCTTGTTCGGATTCCAGCGCTCGGCTGGGCTGCGTGGAAAATCACTCACGCTAGGAGATTGTTGCGCAATCCCATCATGGTGCTGGTCCCTCCCACACCCTCTCCAGGAAGAACGAGTGCATTGCCGAAACCCAGACGCTCCGGGCACAGCGACCGGTCGGCTCCGGTGGTCCTCCGGCCTCCATGCCGCTCGTCGCCCCAGGTCTCCGTCACTTAGTTCTACCTGGCCGATACTGAATCTAAGCCCTTGGTTATATACCTTTGCTTCTAAACTTTTGCCTGCCCGCCATTATGATTGACATAAATTTGAATGTGCTGGTTTCAATACCACCTTTGGCGTACTTGAACCTAGGAAGAATAGATGAATGAGAAGAAAAGCCAAGGACAAAAGAGGGTGGAAAGTAGCCAACTTTGACGTTTTGAACCGCCTAGTGTACCATCACGACCCGCTACACGCCTCCCACTTCAAGGCACCGAGCCGGGTCTGCAAAAGCTTCTCCAGCCTCTTATCGTCCCCGCAGTAGTGCGCCAAGTTAATCGCCTTGACCGCCCACTTCTTGCACTCCTCGTCCTTGCCCACCGAGTAAAGGTCCATCGCATGGTTCCACGACACGGCTGCCAACCACTCCAGCTCCTCGTCAGGGAATCGCCGGTCCGTCTAAGTTCGGTGTAAGCAGGCCCGTCCGGCCAAGCGTGAATTAGTAATAAAATCAAAGAGATAAAAAGAAATGGAGATATCTGGGGCATCCCAGGTCCTTACCGATGCAACGGCCTCCTGAGCAAGACGCAAAGCCTCCTCGGCTAGCTGGAAAGCCATGGATCCCTCCAACGGAAGCACTCTCTGGAAGAGGCAACGAATATACTTAGCCAGCTTGCCCAGGCTGAGACCCTCGAGGGCCCAGAGCTGGTTGATGACCACTCTCATGGTCGAAAACACCGCTTCCCATAAAAGATGTGTTAGCGTCATCAAACTTTGCACACGCGAAATTGATTAGAGAGGGATCATTGATTCCTGCTTCCTCACCCTGTGCTGGCGCACCCGCTGCTTCGAGCAGGCAATCGGCCATGGCCTTGTACGCGATTGCGTCTCTGCACAAGTCTGCCCTTCTCACCACCCCGGCCAAGTCATCCCACTCTTCTAGAGCCACCGCGCTCTCAAAGTCGAACACGAGCAGCGTCGCCAACTTGGACCTCAGATCTGAGAGCACGAGCTGTATCGTGGCGCTGCCAGACTTCTCGAGCTCCGACTCAAAGCTAGCGACATGTCTTCGAGCCCGCGAGTACATGCGCTGCCTATCGTCAATCACATCCTCGCTCCGCGCAGATGAGACAAGCGCGGCTACTATGATGAAGTGGCAGCACATGGCTTTGAGAGATAAGTCCTTTGTGTCTTCTTGAGGTATATCAGGGGGATAGTGCTTCATTATCGAAAGGCAGGCTTGGAAGATCCGCATGGTGTACCCAAGATTCCACGCTTCACACCTCTTGACCCCGATATTGTAGGCGTTCTGGTGGAACCAATCGAGCTCTTTGATCGTGAACAGCTTCTTGTCATTCTCGTCACGGGGCGCATCCTGGATCGCGGAGGCGGCTATAACCACAATTCGATGCTTGTTCAGTAGGAATTCTCAAACTTGGTTGCTGAGAGTAAGTAGTAGTGCCGCGCACCACAGTACACCACGTACCTTTCTCAAACATATGGCAAATGTCGTCCGCTACCTTCTCGGGGCTCGCACCTTCGAGCTCACCGCCCCCATCGGAAATATCCGAACTGTTAACCAACAGGCGAATTGTGCAGCGAATCATTGCTGGGAGGTGCAGCTGATATCGTGGTGACGATTCAGTCGGGTACCTCTCCACCAGACCCTTCATCGCCGCCGCCGCGAAGCGCCGGCTACTTACGCTATGCGCGTCAAGCACACAGGCGTACAAGAAGTCGCAGCTCTGCTCGGATGGCCCACTCAACGCGTCAATGCACGCGACCGCGAGCTCGCGGTCGTCGGTTCGCAATGCGATTTTGAACGCGAGATATCGAGTCATTAGCTCGCTACGTCCAGGCTCCGGCATGGAGAGGTAGAGCTGCTTGGCGCCTTCGAACCGGTTCTGCATCAGCGCACATAGAATCCGCTTCCTAATGCATCAAAGGCCCCGTTAGGACAACCTGACGATCACGCTTCCTTTTGAGAAGAAACAAGACTGACGCACCTTGAAATCTTAACAAGGTTCTGCGGACCTGCTGGGTGGAAGATTTCATGCTCGGCGAGCCGACACCACCTGTCCGTCATCTCCCACTGCTTTCCCTCAAAGGTCGTTTGCACTTGCTTCCAGATCAGCTAGGAAACGAAAGGTCAGCATTCGCCACATCCCGTCCCATTTTCCACGCGACTCCTCGCCATCACGTACGGATTGGGCCGTGGCCGCCGTAGTCGGCAAGATGGGCGCCTCCAGCCCGTCTCGAACGCGAGCCAGCAAGTCGCCGAGCTCTACGGTGTCATCCGAGGGGCTAGGACGGCTCATAGCCATCCAGACCCTCACTGCCAGCGCCTTCTCGACCCACTCCGCCTTGCCGGACCCTAGCAACTTGCCTACAAGGAGCTCGTCCATCACGCCGCAGCCCAGTACCGCGTTCTTCTCGTACAGTCGCCGAGCGTTGGATACCATGAACTTGAAATGTGGCTCGGTAAAGTTGAAGCCCCTGGCCATCCTCCTCAAGAGGTCCGCGTACGCGAGAGCGTCAAACACCTCGTCAGGGGCGCTCAGTAGTAGCTCGAGCCTCATGAGTAGGACTACGGGCTTGTCCCCGATCTCTGATTCCGCGTATGTTACCAGCCCACGGGCCCGACCCAGGTCCTCAGGCGTGCCGGTGCCGACCAGACCCTGGATCAGGGCCTGCAGGATCGCCAGCCGAAGCTCGACGCCGTCTCGAGATAGATCTTCAAGCGACTGGCCTCCAATGACTTCATAGGCTCTCCCTAGCCATTTGGTTGCCAGCACAAAGTCCTTTTGCTTCAACGAAGCCCGCCCAATCTCAAAAAGAACTGCGCACAGGTTCTCCGTGAGCCGAACATCAAGAGATTTCAGCACATCCCCCGCCTTTCGATACATGTGTTCCGCCACATCTAATCTACCCTCCTTCCAAGACTAAACGCCAACTCCTCGTTAGAAAATCTCTCTTTTTCTTTGTTTCCCTCTTCACCTCACCAGGAGGGCACCGCAACATACCTGCCAAGTCCGCACAATAAAATACTCCGTCTCCAACCCCCTCGCCTCTCTCCGAAACTCCTCCGGGCACCCCCACCCTTCACCTCCCGCACATAATCCGCCCCCTTTTGCAAGCACGCCAGCGCTAGCTCCGCCTCCCCGGCCTCCACGCAGCTCCTCGCCGCCTTGAGCGCCAGCCGCAGCAGGTAGAGAAGGTCGGCCACCCCGTATGACGGACAACCACAAGCCGCGCCATTACCGTTACCGTCCCCGCCGTCTCCTCCCGTTGGAAGGAACGACGCGTGCCGCCGCGCCACGTCGATGACGAAGAACGCCAACGCCCGGCACCGCAGCAGCAGCACACGTTTTGAAGCTTTCACGTCTGCCGAGAGAGGCCCGGCTATCTGATCGTCATCCCCTTCGACGTCCGCGTCCATCTCCCGCCGCAGCCGCGTGCACAAGTTCCATAGGTGAATGGCCTCCGGCTCGAGCTCTCGCGAGCAGGCCCGCGCCTCTCCGGCCCTGCAAAGGCAAGGCCTTTGACTGTGCCGAGATGAATTCTCAAGTCATCCAAGAGCGTTTCGACGGCTTCTGTGTCGTTTGAATGGGGGAGACGTCTCCGAAGGTCGGAAAGGGCCTTGAGAAGGGAAGAAACTTGGGCCATTGTAACAAAGCGCGTGTTGGAGAAATTCCCGCTCGATCGCAGTTGAACTTTCTACTCTCTCGATCCCACCATTGTCCCTACTTGGAAGCTCAGCAAATAGATATCGATGGAGAGTCTACCATTAAGAGAGAAAGGAGAGGATAAGTCCAAGCCTCAGAGAAAAGAAAACCAAAACCACTCTTTTGTATCATGTCAGCATCGAGGCGTAGAAAGCAGGCACGATGGTCGCCGTACCTGCTGCAGCTTCCGAGACTCACAGCCATGGACGTTCCATGTTCGTAAGCCAGTCATCCGGCTTGTACAGGCTGAACCTTTCGAAGGCTTCATATTTCTCGTAAATCAGAACCAGTCATTTATTTTTCGAGTCCCGTACCGTAAGAATATGAGTAGAATATATACCCTCAAGTGATCCAATCCCCTCTATATACCCGCCCTACCATCAGGCCTGTTCACCTCGCCCGACGCTCGCCTAACCCATGGCGGATCTGTGCGTTTATAGTTGCATTACTCAAAGATGACATTGCCGTCCCTTGCAAAAAAATTGATAACCTTAAAAGTCCATCAAAAGAAAATGAGTAGAGAAAAAGAGAAACCCTAACTAATGAAAGCAAGCGGAGATGGTGTGTGCGCGTGTGTGTGGAGGGAGGGGGTGGTGTAGGTGTGCGAAACACAACGTGAGTAAGTTGAGATAGAAATCAAAAGCCAACAATCAGACAACCGACACTCCTGAGTCCTGCAAGACTCCTCATCTAAAAAAAAGTAATCTGGCTCTCTCTCTGTGTCCAGCTTCCATTGCTCCATCGCGTCGCATGGGGAGAAAACATAAGCTAGAAGAACCCAAGAACCCCGGCCTGTATCGTTATAATATATCTAGGCAATTCGTTTTTTTCCCCTTCCTTCGACTTTCTAGTCTTAAAGTAGAGGGCTATATATAAGTCTTATATGTTTGTTGGATGAGATGGGATTTCGAGCATGAGCCAAGTCAAGGCATAATCGAGTCAAATCCAAAACCGGGAAGCGATTCGACGTCGCATTTTGCATGCAGTGAGTTTCGGTAAGGCTTGCGAAGGAAGGCCGCAAATGCCGTAAATAATGGAGAGGAAAGTGAGAGAGAGAGAGAGAGAAAAGAAAAGAGAAAAGGGAACATCAGAGAAACTGTTATGGCTGCTGAGGATCGTGGCGCAAAAAGTTACCAACAATTATAGTCGGACTGGTGTCGAGTCGAGGCTTGGTTAGAGAGGACCTCCCGCGAGCAGAATCCATTGGGGTAGGTGGGTAATACTTACAGCTTGTGCTCGTCACGTTTTATCACAAAGGAGAACGAGCATTCTATGACCATTGACTCGTCAGACTTGGCGTCTTGAATCTTGAGCGTACATGCCGTGAGGAGGCTGTCGTGCTCCGGATCGAAGGCGATAGCCTGGAACTCCTCCCAGTACCGAACACAAGACTCTTCCGTCAGGATCTCGTGAAGCGCTAGTTGGCCCTATTATCAATTGATTGTCAGGATCGAGTTGCAAAACGAGGAAATAGATGCATTAAATGATGTTGACCAAGTCTTCGGGTGGCGGGAGGACTCACATCGCGGAGACGTTCTACCGGTACGCCAATAAGCTCGGCCATCTCTTTATTCCCCGGAAAATTTCGCCAGTCCTCCGCCAGAGACACGAGGGTATCGCCATGCTAGCGAAGACGCGGTCGTATTCCATGAGTTGCTTTTCAAACCACATCTCCACAATGACGAGCTCCATATCCGTCAGGGCAGAGGCCCTCTCGCGGAATTTGGGGCGGAACTGGCCCAGCGTGCGCAGGATCTTTTGCTTCGAGGCGGCGCTAATGTTACGGTCGAGGTATTTGCCCAGCCTCGAGTACCCTTTGATGTAGTTAAAGGGCTTGAGCAAGCCGGCGTCATACTTGGCCTTTAGCAGACGCTGCATACGTTCCTCGGGCGTGGCATTGCCAGATGGGTCAGCCGCTTGAAGGTAATACTCTCGGCGAGCCTTGTCGTCACCAGCTGGGGTCGTCATGGACGGGCGAGGGGCAGGTGCCGAGGCTGCGGCAAGGTCTGCCGACTGGGGGGCATTAGGGACTGGCTGCCGTGGCGTTGAGCAGCGAGACCGGCAGCGCCGCCTCCGAGACTGGAGGCACTGTTGCTGCGAAAGCCGGGATGCCTGTCAGCGCCAGCCTGGCTCTGTCTATGAGCACCTGCTGATGGGTTCGCTAACGCCTCAGATAGCTGGCCACCGTCATCGAGCAAGCTAGTATGCAAAAAGTTGTCTAGAAGGTTAAATTCGTCCGTAACTTCGGGCGCAATCATGTAATTGCCGTAGGGGATGCCGCTGAGATGGCTCTGCGCTGCCAACCACGTGTCATGGAAACCGCCGGCGACTGAAATCCTTCGTCAGCAGAGGCTCAGAGACGCGAACCATGAGATTATAGTATCGGTGAGGAAGAGATGGACAACGTCTAAGAGTGGTGGGGGAATATTGAATATTGCTTCTCCAGGGACCCTCGGCAGTGTTGTCAAGTCAGGGCATGCCCATGTCATCGAGGATTTCCAAACGCACAAGGCCAAGGCCGGAACAGAAACCGGGAACGTCACAAGTACGGGCACTAGTGAAATATCAAGAATGGAAAGACTGAAAAAGTAAAGGGGGCCCATAAAGGGAAGGGAAGGGCACAGGCTGGCAAGTGGATCGGAAGGTGGTAGAAGAGCAATAGGTCGAAAAGTGAGACGATCCTTGAAAAAAAAGAAAAAGAAGCAGGAACTTACATTGCCCCAGGTTCCCTCCGTTCAACGGGTTCCCTTGCAGCCTCGCATGCGGCGACTGTTGCACGAGGTGATGAAGCGACGCGCCGCCAAGCACATCCTCTCCAAATGAATCAGATCCTTGCCTTGGCCGGCGGTCTAAAGAGGTGGGATGGGGAGCAGACGTCGCCGGAGCGTCAAAGGCAGGCGGTACCGGTACCGAACTTCTCCGTCGTTGCTCCTGCTGTGGTTGCGACTGTTGCTGTTGCTGTTGCTGCTGCGACGCACTAGGACCGGAAGGTCGGCGTGGTTGTTGTTCCGCATCATCCATGACTGAAGACCCGGCGACGCTCTTCGACTTCCGCGAATCGGCATCGCGAGGTTCGTCGCGACAGAGGTGGCTGATATTCCGCTTGATACACCTCGTACACGGGCGTTCCTACAAGTCACCAAAGAAGCGAGGGGTAAGTTGAACCGCTGGATCCCGAGGACGGTAGAGGGCATGAGGCGGGAAAGGCGAAAAAAAAAAAAAAGAAACAAGGGGAAAAGGGAAACTGCGTTTGAGACACGGGAGACGACGGAAAGGCGAAGAGCTAGAAGTCGAATGGGGAGGCGAGGCAAGAAGAGAAAGAGAGGGGGGAGGGGGCAAAGAGTAGGGAATAAGAACTGGGAATGATAGTTTTACGTACCAGATCGCAAGTCATGTGCTAGGAAGGGCGGTAAGCGGCGCGAATGCCCAACGTTAGCCAGCTTGTTCAAACTCCATTCACACCTACGCACAAAGTCGTGCTGCCTGGCCTCGGCCATCCCTCCGCCTTGGCCGCCTAAGCTTAACACGGCTGCAGGGCGAGGGACGGCAACGAGAGCCGATCACCTGCACCCTCCAAGGGGCTGGAAAAGCGTCCCATGCTGGGAGGGGGTGTAAACTTACAGAACGGCGGCAGTAGATACATGCTGCAAGAGCGAGCGAGTTAGTCTCGTATCCATACATGATATATCTTCTCAAATGGCATCCAAGAGGGGACATGTTTCACAAAAGGCACAGTTCAAACTCGAATCGCAAATCCTTCTCGGGTGGCCTTTCCCAGCTGTCTTTTAAGCTTGCTTCTCCCAAGGCCGTCCTGTGCTGCCCCTCCCTTCCTTGCCCAGAAGGGTCAGGGCGTCGGCAACCCACATCAAGGAAACCTTGGGCTTGAAAGGTTCCCTTGTTGGGCTGCTATAGCCAAGGGGGGATTGGGAGTTGAGGCAAAGGATGAGGCACATCGTGCATAGTGTAACAAGGAGCAACGGGTGGGTGTGTGGCGACGACATTACTGGCAGAAGTGGACTTGGGAAAGCCGCAATTACAGACGCATCACTCGAGGGTAACGGTGCGGTACGTGATTTTCAAGGGAGGGGAGGGGTGGGAGGTAGGATAGGATGTAGGATGTGAGAAGGGCCCAAAGAAGAAGAAAAAAAAAACGGCAACGCAAGATGCGGAACGAAGAAGAAACCAGGGATTCAAACAATGGGCCGCAATGAGTATGGGGCGGGTCGTACCATGATTAACCTTCCTCCGCTTCTTGGGGTCCGCTCCGGCCGGACAACCCCCGTCTTGGAGCCAACATCGGCGGACCTAGGCCCGTTGGAGCTATCCTTATGATCGAGTTCGCGGTGGCGCAGATTCTCGTCGGATCCTTGATCCTGCTGGAGGCGGGAGACCGCCGTGTCGTTCCCCATGGTTCAAGGACTTGTTTTGCGGCGGCGCGCTCAGGCAAAGGGGGATTGGGCCGGGAGAGAGTAAGAGGTGGGAGAGATGAGAGGAGGGGTGACTTAGTGGGCGCTCCAGGAACTAGTTTCCATTGGACTGCCGAGATGTGAAGCCGGGGGTGTGGTGGTGGGTGGTGGTTACGCAGCCAGGGCTCGTGGATCAGTTGAGGCTTGACGCCCTGCGTATCTGAGATCGTACAACAATGTCCGGCGGGAGCAGCGCAACAGAAAGAAGGGGAGCGGGGAGAGCGCAAAGGGCGTGTCTGATCTCCTTGTTCTCTATTTCCGAGAAACCTCGAGGGGAGGGAGAATGAAGGGCGGGCGGGAGTCGTTTCAAAAGCCCTGGGCGAAAGAAAAAGGGTAGGCGGCAAGGCGACCGTTCGGGTGCCGACAGGAAGCGATGCCGGAAGACGAACAGGGCAGGAGCGGCGGGGTTGTCGTTCGCAGACGGTAGCTCAGGTCAAGCCAAGTGTCGAGGGTATATCGAGGGGAACCGGAAAGGGTTTGCGTCTCGTTCACGAGGGATTCGTTGTTTGCACGCGCGAGAGAGCAAGGGGGAAGTGAGGGCTTTGGCGCGTGATTTTGTCTGTTTCCTATGCTTTCAACGAATCTGTTTCCACGTCCACAAGGCTACTCGCCGCAACATGCTACACGGCGTCTCTTTCTCAAGAACTCTTTTTTTTTTCTTTCCCCAACCGAAGCGCCTTATCCGTTTGCCCCAGTAGTGGCTTATGTGGGGGGGGGGGTTTTTTCCCTCTTGGTTCGGTCCCTGTGACACTCGGTCAGGAGTGCGTCGTGATTTCTTTCGTCTGGGTTCCGTTTCGCGGGTTGCGGCGCGCGCGCTGAGCAGCCAATGGATCCGAGGCAATAAACGATGAAAAGGCGGCGATCACAAGGTCTTTGTCCGTTATCGATAAAGGGAAAAAAACACAGGGGGTGAGGGGCTGTGGAGAGAGAGAGAGGGGCTGGCGGAAAGGGTGCTCGAAAGGTGCTGACTCAAGTCATAAAACCTGTGACCCAGTTGGGCAGAGCGGGCGTTGGTTCTTTAATGGCCTTGGGGAAAAAAAAGTTATGTTTGATTCGAAAACCGTCCGTCCAGGATTGTCGCAAGCTGTTTTGGCGGGTTTGGATTCGCTTTTCTTTCCTCCCTCTTATTTCTCCTTGTCCTTCTTTTCTCTCTCGATTGATCTGTCACTAGTCCTGGCGGAAAAGAAACTTGAGCCCAACGTTTCTCTGTGAGCTTGTTTGTTCGTTCGAACAAAGTGCAACCCGCAAGGTTGATTTTGTCTAGCAATCTCTGTGCTTATTACCTCTCTGCTTGGTGTCAGAGTCGCAAACTGAGCGGCTTTTTATCGTAGACTCTCACGGCGCAAAGGGGACAAAAACCAAAGAGAGGCAAACAGGAAGGGGGAAGAGAGGGCATGAATTCAGCTTTCACTCCTCACGAAAAGAAGAAGAAAGCAAAAAGAGCAAGCCAGCGCTCTCGGCGCGCGCACGAGTTCATTCCCCATTGGGATTTATTCGTCAAATTTACTCTCTTCTGTTTCGACTTGTTGAAGTGACGCATCGGATGTACAAGCAGGTCAGACCACGGAGGGGTACCGAGTACCCTGGACACTCAGCGCTCCGTCTTCCTCCGCCGAAATGCATGGGCCCACTACGCTGATGCTCCTTCACCGTGTAAGTAGACGGTACTGAGGCTTTTGTGTTGGCCGACCCTCCGGAAGGTACGATTGTTATTCCAGCGATTCCTCGTAAACAAGGAGAATAATAATTCCCCTCCCCGAAACCTCCAACCTTGGATCAGATCAAGTGCTCAACGTTCGTTAGAATGGTCCAATTCCCCATTTCCCACAGTCAATGACGAATCTGGCACCCCCGTCAGTTGCGACCTTGACGTACTGCTTGGCTGCTCATCCACCCTTTTGCTGACATCAGTTGATCCTTGCTTAACCCATTTGGTCAACGACGGCACGAACGCAGACGCAGTGACAGGAAGCCGTTGGTGCCGTCCATCAATCAATCAATCAATTGGATCAATCAGAGCAACGTCAAGCAGAGACAGGATCCCAGGCCAAGACTGGTTTTGGGACCGAGTCCCGGTAAGCCCACCCACCACCAACTGCTGTGAGGCGCAAGGGGAACTGCTCAGCTCGTTTTCCTACTAATTAGCAACCAACAGTTCGTGACCTCTGCATCAGAGACAGTCCAAGCATTGAAGCGTGTTCACCTTTCCCTCCGCCCTCACTCCAACTTCCGTTCGCGCGAAGACCAACTTCTTCAATTTTTTTCTTCCTTGCTCAGTATTTATTGTGCCCTCCATTCTCTCGATCCAAACCCTGCAATAAAATCCACATAGTCCCTGCAGGCACCCTCAAACACGACCACACGACCTGCATTCATGCAGGCCGAGAGCACTTTACCCCCCTTCCCCCAGCTCACAGCCCACAGCCAGCCCTGAATGAGCCAAGCTCTCTCTTTTACGCCGCCAATGCCGAGGATAAGTGCCAAACCCTTGTCCATGATTGGGCTCTACCTCCGTCTGTCGATCACTTTTTCTCCCCCAAGGGAACATTGAACCCACCATCCCGAATTGAACCTTTTTATTCTCGTCCGGCTCCACACTTGATCGATCGGGGTTGCATTCTTTCTTGTGAAGTTGTGCCTGTTCTTGTCTAGCGTTTTTCTGTTTCCCTCTTTTTGGGGAAGCTCTTGGGCTTGTCCCTGTTTCCCCCTCTCAATCAAACGACCACGGCAACAGTTGTAAACCGTCTTGCCTCGGTGTGAGCTCCTGGCACATTTGATAGAGTCATGGTTCTTCACATAATATCAACCCCGAGCCGAGGCTTCTTGCAAATCGCCTTCCTCCTTCAACGTTAAAACGTACTGTGTAGGCTAGAGTGTACAAGTAAGTGTACAAGTGCACAAGTGCATTGGAGACAGAATCAAGACAATGCGAGGAGACAAGCGGATTCTTTGCCAAGCGAGAAGCTAGTGTAGTGCAGTTGCCGAGTCTATCCCCAGAAATCGATGGATGTACACCGAGAATTAGAGAAGAAGATGCTCTCGACCCATCCCCACTTTTTTGGCAAAGAGAGAGCGAAAGGAGGGATTAACGGCCAGAGGGACAAAGACACTTCTCGCTCACATGTAGACTCGGCAGCACTTATGGTTTGAAACTCTCAATATCTCGGGGGCCTCAAACGTCTCGGGCCAAAGGAAAAAAGGAATGTAAATGACGATAATTATTCGTATTCAAGTGTCCCGAAGCAGGGCTATGGGCTACCTCGTAGTTGACTTTCCATTTCCTTGGAAGAAGAAGGCGGAGAAAACAAGAAGAAAATCAAATAAAAAGAAAAGACAGACATGCAACCTAGTACCTCGTGCCTAATCCTCAGCTCGGAAGCAATGCAAGATAGAAAGATGGGAGGGAAGGGGAAAAACCCCGGGCTCTCCAGCTTAACCTTAAATCTCCACGAAAAACGCCTGTTCCCCATCCTTGGGCGTCACCCTCGTCCTCCTCATAATCGGATCCTCGCACGCGAGCCGGATCCTTTCGGGCGTCGCCGGGCTCCTAAGCTTTAGGAGCCCGTCGCCTTCTTCGATGCGGATGACACCGCGGCCCTCGCCGTCGGTTTGGTTCGCCCAACCGGCATCCCGGACCGTCGCGGGCACGACGCCGTACTGTGCCCGTGCCGCCTTGAGCGCGTCGCGGATCGCGAAGAAGACGGCGCTGCCCATAAAGAGCGGAGGCTCGCCCACGCCCCTGGATCGTTGGATCGTCCTCAGCTCCTCCCATTCCACGCCCTTGAGGAGGCTGACGTTGAACTCTTGCGGTATGTCTCGGAATCCGGGGATCTTGTACGTGCCGGGCCCGCGAGTGAAGAGGTTGCCGGCCATCGGCCCCCGCGCAGCCAGAGCGACTCCTCCATCGTGAAGAGGCCGACGCCCTGCACGAACGCGCCCTGGATCTGGCCATAGTCAATCGACGGGTTGATAGACCGCCCGACATCCATTTTGATATCAGCTCGTAAGCACGTCCATGTACCCGTCAGCGTGTCGATTTCCACCTCGGCCGCCGTCACGCCCTGTGTGAAGTAGAAAAACATTTTGCCCTTGTTCTCACCCCAGACGTACCCGATCTCGGGTGTCTTGTAAAACCCTTGCGCCGAAAGGTTGACCCGGTCAAAGTAGGCAGCATGGGCCAACTCCTTCATCGTTGCCCCCGGGCCCAGCTTCTTCCGGTAAGGCGCAAGCCTCTCGTTCAGCTGCTCGCAGGCGTTAAATATGGCGTAGCCGTTCAGATCTGATGATGCAGACGCTGCCGTGGACGAGGCGTTAGCCACCGTATTTGTGGCCGTCTCCGAGATGAAGACGGTATCCAACGGAACCTCGAGCGCTTGAGCGGCAATCTGTGTCATCTTTGTGTGCAGACCCTGGCCCATCTCGATACCACCGTGAGCAACCAGGATGGATCCGTCGTGATAGATATGTACTAGAGCACCCGCCTGGTTCAGGAAGAGAGCCGTAAACGAGATACCGAACTTGGTAGGGATAAGTGCTAGTCCACGCTTCCGCCACTTGGCCTTCTTGTTGAAGTCAGTCACGGCCAGTCGTCTCTTCTCGTACTGCGACTCGTCCAAAACCTGCTGATACATCAAGGGAACATGCCAGTCCTTGATGGTTTGGTTGAAGTGCGTGACGTCGTCCCTTTGATAAAAGTTGATAGCGCGGAACTTCTCCACAGGTATACCCAAGCGGTCTGCAATCTCTTCCATGTACGTCTCGGCGATGAACATGCCCTGCGGCCCGCCAAACCCACGGAAGGCCGTGTTAGACATGGTATTTGTCCGGCACAGGTGCCCGCGGACGTGGACGTTCGGGATAAGGTAGCATCCGTCCGAGTGCGTCATGGCTCGCTCGCAGACTGCCATGCTTAGATCGGATGACCACCCGGCATTGTTGTAAATATCTGTCACGAGTGCCTGAATCTTGTAGTCCTTGTTCACACCCACTGTCCAGCGAGCGTAAAACGGGTGCCTCTGGCCCGACGTAACCATGTCCTCCTCTCGACTAAGCATGCACCGGACGGGCCGCTTCGTCTTCTTGGCCGCCAGGGCTACCGTCGCGCTGAGGGGAACTGACCGAGTCTCCTTGCCCCCAAAGCCACCCCCGAGTCTCTTGATCCGGACAACGACCTTGTTGCACTGGACCCCACAAACTTGAGAAACAAAGACTTGCCTGCAGCGAAGAAAAAAATGATTATTAGCAAAGTTCGTATGCGGGGGTTCATGGACCAAAGGGAAAAACGACGGGAAAAGAAAATGAAAAAGAAAAGGGGAACCGGGCGACGTACGTCTCGTTGGCGTTTTGGGTACTAGAAAAGACCTCGAGTTCGCCATCCTCTGGTTTCGGGATCACCAAGCACGCCTGGGTCTCTAAATAAAAGTGCTCCTGGCCACCCATCCTCGCCGTGCCGCTAAAAGTGTAGTCGCACTTCTTGAGTGCCTCTTCCGCATTCCCCTTCTTGATGTACCTCTCGTAGTCGTACAAGCTATTCTTCTCAATCGCCTCTTCAATCGACAGAATGGCGGGCAGCTCTTCGTACTCCACCTTGACCGCCCTTGCGGCTTCCTGGGCCTTTTGCGGAGTCGTCGCGAGCACCATCGCGATGGGCTGGCCGGCAGTATAGACGTATTCCTCCGCGAAAAAGACCTCGTCAAAGTTGGGCGCTCCCCATCGGTTCGCCCTGGCATTCGGAAGATCATCCTTGTCAACGTAATCGATAACACCCGGGATATCCAAGGCTGGGGAATAGTCGACGGAAAGGATGCGGGCGTGGGGTTTTGTCGACAAGACGTAGCAACCATACAGCTCGTTTCTGAGGGTGGGATATCATCCGTGTACTGCGCCTCGCCCGTCGTCTGCTTCAGCGCCGCGAGATGAGGGTTCTTTTTGCCAACAACCTCTTGCTCGTAGTCTGCAGCAGTGAGCTCGTCCACTGCGCCAAAGGAGATCTCTCTTTCGAGTTCCTCGACAACTTCCGTGTCGACACCGCCCTTGACCTTGGCTTCAAGTTCGCCTAGGATATCGTGGTAAAATCGATAGAAGAAGCCCATCGCTAGCGCCTTTCGGTATGACGCCATGCCTCCGGGTACACCAAATGGGAGATTGAAGTCAGACTCCAAAGCACTCATGGTTCCCTCCAAGGTTTCGAGCTCGGCAAGTTTCCTCCCCACCAGGTACTCTTGGGCCGACTTCGCCGCCACGGTCATGGCCGCCATACCTCCATAGATTAGGTCGCAGTCCTCGACGATGCCGTCCTCGTCAAGCCGTACTCGAAGAGCAGCCGTGACGATAGCGATGTCGTCATCCTTCCTCTTGGCCTGCTTGTACGCACGGAAGAATTCCCCTTGCTCCTGGTTGAGCGGAATCCGAATGGAGGCGATGATGGCGTCGGGGGAAGAGAGGTCCGTCTATAGCCGGTAAAGAAGGTGTTCATTGGGAGCTCAATCTCCTTGCCCAACGACCTAGCAATCAACACCGCGTTGGCCGCCCGCAAGACGGGATTGAGATCGGAGATGGGGGATGCGGTGACTAGGTTTCCAGCCGGGGTGCCGACGTTGCGGATTTGCCTTCCAGCAAAGAACTTGAGTTGCTTATTGATAGCTTCAAAGACCTGGGCTTTTGCTTTTCCGTAATGCTTCACAGCCTCAAGGGAAATCTCCTCGAGATCGGTAAGGGCGATGTTGCCACCAATTTCGAGGTGGTCGTCATTAAACCGATATTGGCGTAGCTCGGGAATATCGCCCACGTATATGGACACGGGGTATTGAAGTGCCTTGAACTTGATCTCAATTTGCGTTTCGGTGCTTCCGCCAATAATCTTGGCTGCCGGGTACGCGCTCTTGATCTGAAGCAGCTCGTCGATGGTAACGGGCCTGCACCAGCGCTTCCTTTTGTTGCCAAACGCCAAGGGCTTCATCTGGTACTTTTTCAAGTGAGGAGGGAAGATGAGCTCGGTGTCGCGGTCGTACTTTATAAAATCGGGCCGCGTAAACGTTTTCAGAGGGCCCTGGTCCGGCAGGTCCTTGCCCTTGCAGCAGCCGCCGCCGCCCGGCTGTTCCATACAGCATCCGCTACCTCCATTCGCTGTGGCCTTGCCGCACGGGCTGCTCGTCGCGGTGAAGCTTTGGGCTGCGTCAAGGATGGGTCTATATCCGGTGCATCGGCACAGGTTCCCGTCGAAGGCCTCCTCAATATCATGTTGGGAGGGGTCGGGATGGTTCCGGAGCAGAGCATACAAGCTCATGACGATACCGGGCGTGCAGAAACCACACTGACTACCGTTCCCGACGGCCATCCGCTGTTGGATGGGGTGAGGCTTCTTTGAGCTTCCAAGGCCCTCGACGGTGATGACATGCTTGCCGTCCACACTCACCAGGGGGCGAGGCAGGCGTTGACGCTTGCATGATAAATCTTTCTTGTGGTGTGGTTAAACTGGCTTACAACGACGGTACACGCACCGCAGCCTCCTTCGCTGCACCCACTATGGTTGTTGATGGTGGTTAGTAAAAGAAGAAGAGCGGTGGACAAGGCAAGAATTGGGTAGCGATGGGAAAGAGCCATTGCAATTCAGGCATGCCCTACAGTTTTGTGCCGGTTAAGCCGATTCCCCGCAAATAGTCGAGGAGCGTGATCTCAGGGTCAACATCCTCAAGAACAACTCGAGTTCCGTTAAGATAGAAAGTGAGGTTGTCGTCGAAGTCGGCGGTTAGGGCCGCCAGGCGACTCACGTCGGACAGCTCCGAAGTGGCGATGGGCGCCATGCTAGCAGGAGGTGGATGCCCAAAACAAACCAGTCTCAATTCCAAGCCATGCAGGGAGAGGCGGGAGAGCTGAAAGAGAGAGACAACCAGAAATAGGAACAGACAGACGATAATATATTATGGCAAGGGGGCGATTTTAGGATATGGTAATGGGGAAAGAAAAAGACTAGAAAGCAACGAAGAGGCGAATGATAAGCAGGCTTGTTCGGAACCGCTGGGCGTCATATTTCTTATCTCAGGTTGTCTGCGATGGAGGGGCGGTGGAGGCCGGCGATTGCCGCCGCCACGGGGTTGTTCTTGCTGTCTTTGGTCGAGGCGGACGACGGAGCTAGCAGAAACACGCACGGAGCTGTGGGGAAGGGCCCCCAGGTCAATCCATTGATTGCAGCTGGAGAGAGCTGGAGATTAGGGTCCAACGGCTTGACTGGCAGCAGCATTGTGGAGATCCGGGGCTGGCGGGCCCTAAACAGGTTTAGCTGTTCCCCTGAACCACCATTCACGCGAGCTCTGGCCAGGTTCAGCTCCACCTATGAGCACGTCTGGAATGTCATCCACCAATCGAACTGAGCGGCCGAATCAGTATTCCCACCTGGCATTTGTGCCTGAGCAACCCAGAGGGCGAAACGATGTGGAGTAAGGCAGAAAATCAGAATTGAGATCCGTTGAGATGGAGATATATCGAGATTGGGAGGTGATATAACATGCTGGCGATTTGGATAACGAGGACTTGAGACTGGCCCAAGGTCCTACACGCAGACTTGAAAAGTCTTTCCCAGCCCCTAGAGCACCGCGGCAAAAATCCAATTTGATAACCCCGGATTTGAACAATGCACATGGCCAATTTGTGGTATCTCCCCGCCGTGCACCGGGGAGCCATGGCCGAGGGAGGGCCACGGTCCTTGCCCGGTTCGGAGCACTGCTATCGGCTCAACCTAACGTGGAACTCATGGGGCCGGTCCGGTTCGCGAAACGCTACGGGAACCGCTATCATGGCCTATTTTCGGCTCATTTTGGGGTTATCATCGTTTCAATTTCAATCAATTTCCATCTTCTCTCCACTACCCGGTATCGGGTTATGCATTGTCTCAAATTCGAGCATCATCCACTCGAGGATTACAGAAAGAACACTTGATAGGCACCGACTCGCGCAACTCCCTTGACTACGATCGCAGATGAAGAGCCAGTGTGGTCCGATGTCCACGCTCGAGGATAGGCTTCGTCAAAGTTGGACATTGACCTAAGATCGACAACCTCAGGCATGATCTAACTCCCATGCACTCACCGTTGCCAAACACTCTTTTTCACCCAAGAAAGTCAAGTCGTAAAAGTACGTTGGCTGAAATCTTGGAGAAGAATTGAAGTCTTACAAAACCGTCGTGGCCGCGCCCTCGTAATCAATCCCCTTGAGCCTCACACATGTCAGCTCAAATTGGGGGTGACACAACCCCCCTTTCATCGGGCCCATTGACCCCGTAAAGTCGAGCTCTTTATCAATCCCCAGCCTCTCTCCACTTGGACAGGCACGATAATTCCGTAAAGGTGGTGTGCATCTGGCGGAACCAATGCCGACTGATCCTCGGAAACATCCATGCGCCTGAGAGTGCCAGATGTATGGGGACGAGACGCGTCGCACAAGCAGCGTCCAGGAATGCCGGGTCGTGCTAACCCCACAGTTGCATTGAATCTCGAGCAGCGCGGGGTAAAATTCGAAGCTAGATTCAATAGAAGCAGGCGGCACACCATCTCGCAGCCTCCAGCTCTTTTTGTAACGCCCCTCTCTCCGAGGTTGATTTACTTCAGCCCTTTGAGAGAGTGAACAGCCGACTGAAAATCATCAATAATTTCCATGCTTTTTGACAATGTCGAGCCACAAGCTGTTTCGGTGCAAGGTGGCGAAAAACCAGAGAACGGAGCCTATGGTACATTTGAGGATATTTGAAGCACATGGATCTTAGAAAGGTCCGACCCGATCGATCATAGCAGGCATGCTAAAGCATAAGAGATTCCCAATCATCTTCATCTTCCCTTGGCTACCCCCTCTTCCATGATCTAGTTCTGCGCTGCGACTCCGCTCCCGTCTTCGCACCAACATGTCGTCGTACCAGCTGGCCCCTGAAACAGTTCTCAAGCGCCCAGCTCTGGCAGAGTAGTGTGGGACGGCGTCGCAGCCGCCGAAGCGAGCCCTCATCATAGGGGAGGGACTGGGCCGAATCGCGAGTAGTGAGGGCCGCTCCTCAACGATACGGCCAGGACCCCAGTTTTTAGAATATGGTCTCCTCGCGGATAAATAGTCTGCGGATCCGTAGGGCACTTGAGAATTGACCTAGGTTTCTTTTCTTCTCTGCTTTTCCCCTCTAATCTTCTCTAATCTCCTCCTTTTCTCTCTCTCTCTCTCTATAAATTACTCTTACCATTGATCCATAATCTCTTGACAATCGCTCACCTTTGGTGTGCTTACGTGCTAACTCTCTAACTGCATTAACAACATCTCCTCTCGTCCCGTTTGAGCCTCAGCGATCATGACTTACACATTCTACAACATCATCAACGGCGAGAAGCGCTCCAGCGCCAAAGTCGAGCGGGGCATCGACCCCCGCACCGAGGAAGAGCTATGGGATTGCCCCGTCGCCAGCGTCGAGGAGCTCGACGAGGCCGTCGCCGCGGCGCAAAAGGCGTTTGTGACCTGGAGCCGTACCACGGTTCAGGAGCGCCGCGAGGTCCTCCTGAAGATGGCGGAAAAATGAAGGAGCATTCCGCCGAGTTGGAAGAGATTATTCGGCTGGAGACGGGCAAGTCGGTAAGTTTTTCCTTTTACTTTGCGCCCTCCCGTTCTTTCCTGGCATTGGGACAATTCTTTTTCCAAGCCAGTGAATATAGGCACATCTTGTTGTTGAGTACTGGCTAACGTGGGTTATTGCTGGCGTGTATAGGCGCTCATGAGCAACATCGAGGTGACCAACACCTGCGGGCAATGTACTTTCTATGGTGAGAATCCCCTCACCCACCACCTAGAACCAACCCACCTTTTTTTTTTCTTTTTTTTTTTTTTTGTGCAACGGCTAACTCATAGGGTACGCGCTTTTGCTTCCTCCCCCTCCCTCTCCGCAGCCGACAACTATCTAGAAGACGAAACCGTTCTCGACGATGACACCGTCAAAATCGTCCACACACACGTGCCCCTCGGCGTCGTAGGCGCCATCGCCCCGTGGAATTTCCCGCTGATCCTCAGCAACCTCAAGGCCGTGTCGTCGCTCATCACCGGCAACTGCGTCATCGTGAAGCCGTCGCCCTTCACGCCCTACGCCACCCTCAAGGCCACCGAGCTCTGCCAGTCGGTGCTGCCGCCGGGCGTCCTGCAGTGCCTCAACGGCGGCGACGACCTCGGCCCCGCCATGACGGCGCACCCGGGCATCGCCAAAATCACCTTTACCGGCACCATCGCCACGGGCAAGCGGGTGATGGCGAGCTGCGCCAAGTCGCTCAAGCGGCTGACGCTGGAGCTGGCGGGCAACGACGCGGCCATCGTGTGCGATGACGTGGACGTGGCCGCGGTGGCGGGGCAGACGGCGGGCGGCGCCTTCTTCAACGGCGGGCAGGTGTGCGTGGCGACGAAGCGCATCTACGTGCATGAATCCATCTACGACGCGTTCCTCGAGGCGTACGTGGCCGCGGTCAAGAGCAACTTTAAAATCACCGAGGACGCGTCCCAGATGACGGTCTTTGTCCCGCTGTCCAACAAGCCGCAGTTCGAGACGGTCAAGGGCATTGTTGAGGATTGCAAGAAGAACAACTACAATATCGTGGCGGGCGGCAACGCTAGCGAAAAGGGCTATTGGATCGAGCCTACCGTGGTATCCAAGCCCCCGGAGGACTCCCTGCTCGTACAGGAGGAGCAGTTTGGTAAGACCAGCACCATTTCGCTCCCATTTCACTCATCTTCTATTTCTCGGTCTACCAGTCTAAATCGGTATGTATGTACTCCGCGTCTTCTAACTGTTTGCATAGGCCCCATCATTCCCATCCTCTCGTATTCCGATATTGACGACGCCCTCCGCCGGGCCAATCTCTCCAACGCCGGTCTCGGAGCTACCGTGTACTCCAAGGACCTCAAGCGGGCCGAGGATATTGCCCGGAGGCTGGAGGCTGGGTCGGTGTGGATCAATGGCCCGGAGAAGTTGAACCCGGCCGGTTACTTCTCCGGACTCAAGGACAGCGGCTTCGGCGGCGAGATGGGCAAGCAGGGTTTGCTTTCGTACTCGTACACCAAGACTCTTCACTTTAACAAGGTTTAAAGAGGGAGAGTCGGGAGGTAGGAGAAGGAGAGATACGGAGGCAGAAAAAGAAAAAAAAAAAAGAAAACAAAAACCCCATAGCTAAGAGGACAAGAGTCCGGAATAAGCAAGCTCTCATCAAATCTCTTATCATGTCTCGCTTGGTGACGGTGTTGTAAAAGTGACAGCGGATGCAGGTGAGCGGCAATCGAGAACCAAACGATTGTTGCCGAGACGGCTGCTGTCAGCTGCGGCTTGGGAAGACCGAAACCGGGGGCCAGGCGCAAGACCCGACGTTGCTTGAACAATTGCGCCATCCCGCTAAACATCGGTATTCGGGAATGACTCCCTCTTCGCACCTCTTGCTTCCAGTCCGTCCCCCATTCCAAAAGCGCTCTTCCCTAATAAAGACTGGCAGTAGGAAAGCAATTGAAGCGTAGAGAGTCGTCGAGTTAGTAGGACCGCCCTCCTTGCCCATTAAAATTCGAGTGGACTATCCTTTTAGAAATCCCGCTCCTGGGTGGCGTCAAGTCCCCGCCGTAGCGTACTCCCTCTTCCCTCCTACTATTCGCTCAAGCTCTCTCATTATTCTTTTTTTTTTCTGGGGCCCTTTTTGGTCCCCCATTCCCCGGCTTCTTAACCTGCCCTGCCCTTTTCGCCTTCCGTCCGTTCTTTCGTGCGACGAGTTTTAGAAACTCGCCCCGTCCCATGTTTTCACGCTTGCGGCCAGCCTCGGCACTCCGCTTCCCATTAACATCCACAACAACCCTATCCCCTAGCCATCCCCTAATCCAACGAGCGGGAGCTGCATTGGTTGCAGGAACAGTGACTAGCATAGCGACGGGTAGACCGTTTTCGACGACAATGGTAACCACCGAGAAGTTGAAGCCCGCCAAGAGGGTGACTGGCCAGAGACAGGATGTCTGGTAAGTTTTATGTATCTTTTTGTTCTAGGCGTGAGAGATGAAGCGGCCATACGGACAATTAAGTTGCCAAGTGCAAAGATGAAGTCAAAAGCGGATATGTGTTTCCTCGTTTATATATATCATTCTACGCATGTTCATCCCTTCACAAGGCTACCTACCACCCATGGCCAACATCTTATACCTCAGCACCTGGTCTATCCAGTCATCTCAATATCGTATACTGCTTCTTCTCAAGCCCTCCCCTTCGCCCATTTCGGCTTAACACTCTCATTCACCTCCCTCTCATCGCTACCTGCTCACCCACCACTCAAGCATCACTTTTTCTCCCTCTTATTCCTATGGCTTACGCTTACCACTCCCCCGACCACCAGGTCCTTCGTTAACGAGGCCGCTGCCGCCTCGCCCAAGCAGCCAATCATCAACATGGGCCAAGGCTTCTTCGGGTACAACCCGCCCGACTTCATCCTCGACGCTGCCCGGGATGCCCTCTCCGCGTCGAGTGCAACCAGTACAGCCCCACCAAGGGCCGTCCTAGGTTGAAGAAGGCCATCGCCGATGCCTACTCTCCCTTTTGGGGCCGGACCATCGATCCGGAGACCGAGGTTACCATTACCACGGGTGCTAATGAGGGAATGCTGAGCGCCTTTATGGCGTTTATCGAGGAAGGCGACGAGGTGATTGTCTTTGAGCCCTTCTTTGATCAGTACGTATCTCTTGGCTTGTCCATCTTGTCTGGTTAGGTCACTATACGGGCTGAGAGAATAGAATACCCTCCTGTTACTACTGGTTACTAACGGGGATTCAAATCCGTAGATATATCAGCAACATCGAGATGGCCGGCGGCAAGATCGTCTATGTGCCTATGAGCCCGCCCAAGGACGGAGCGTCCGTGACCTCGTCGGCGGCCAACTGGACCATTGACTTTGACGACTTGGAGCGCGCCTTCACGCCGAGGACTAAAATGATTGTCCTCAACACGCCGCGTAAGACCTTTCCCTTCTTCTTATCGGCTTCTTTCATCCCTTCATCTTCATACTGTTTCGTTCATAAGGACCCAATAACTAACGCGAGCACTAAACGCAAAAGACAACCCCGTCGGCAAGATCTACTCCAAGGAGGAGCTCGAGCGTATCGGCGACCTCTGCGTCAAGAACCAAGTCATCATTCTCTCCGACGAGGTGTACGACCGCCTCTTCTACGTGCCCTTTACCCGAATCGCCACTCTCTCACCCGAGATTGAGAAGCTCACTCTCACTGTGGGTTCTGCGGGCAAGAACTTTTACGCCACTGGCTGGCGCGTAGGTATGTGGTCTTCCGCCCTCTCCTTGCCCCCATCCTTACCTCTCGCCATCCTTTTTTTCTTTTTTTTTTTATCTCCCGCCATACGGATCCTTTACAGGCCACTAACACCAACGTCTTCTCACCCCTTGCTATAGGTTGGCTCATCGGCCCCGCCGAACTGATCCAGTACGTCTCCGCCGCGCACACGCGCATCTGCTACTCGTCCGTCTCTCCGCTCCAGGAGGCGTGCGCCGTCGGGTTCGAGCAAGCGGGCGAGCACGGCTTCTGGGAGGAGTCCATCCGCGATATGAAGGGCAAGATGGACCGGTTCAACGAGGTCTTTGACGAGCTGGGCCTGCCCTACTCCGACCCGGAGGGCGGCTACTTTGTCCTCGTCAACATGAGCAAGGTCCGCCTGCCCGCCGACTACCCGTTCCCTCCGCACGTGGCCGCCCGCCCCCGCGATTTCCAGCTGGCGTGGTTCCTCATCCAGGAGCTCGGCGTCGCCGCGATCCCCCACCGAGTTTTACACCGACGCCAACGCGTGGATCGCCGAGGACTATGTCCGCTTTGCGGTTTGTAAGCCGGATGAGGTGTTGGAGCAGGCCAAGGAGAGGTTACGAGGGTTGAAGAAGTTTATGGAGTAGAGCGAGCGTGGTTTTAGTAGTAAGGCGAGAAGAATCCACTTTTTTTCTCTTTTTATTTTCTCTCCCCAAGAGTACGCGTAAAAGGTAGAAGCGGTACTGTGAACAAGGCGAGGAAGAGGAGGGAAGAAAGAAAGAGATAGAGGCAGTGCTAGACTAACTTGGAAGTAAGTTTGGAAACGAAATAGACAAGCGGTTCATTCAAGAGAGATTCTCCCGTTTTCGGGTCCATTCAACCCACTCTAACTCTTTCACTTGTAAAGTACACTTCACCGCAGCCCTAGGTCGTCGGTGAAGTTGAGGGAAGCTGGTGGGGTTTGTCTTACTGCAAATATTTCTCTATCGCCGTATCACTCTTGATCCCTCATTGTCGACTCCCCTTTCCCCTTGTGCCAGAATTTCCTTCTGATCACAAAACCCGACGTGGCTCTCTTCGAGACCCGCTTGCGGGTGGAATCGGTACGCGAATTAAAATCTTAATCGAGTGCGTTGGGCTACGCGTCGATTATTACAGCTTGGGAAATGCGAAGCGACAGCATCGCGCCTTAAGCATCGCGCCTTCAAACTGTTAAGCGACAGCATCACGCCTTGAAGATGTCGCGCGATGGCATAACGTCTATAGAAATATCAGGCAAGCGACAATTATTTGGTCACTTTTAAGAGCTATGTAAAGAGAAATCGATGCTGGAAAGGGTGGGTATTTATCTTTGCAATGATGTGGAATGATGGTGTGGTGGTGGCAGACTGGATAATCTTCGGCTGAATTGGGGTACGAATCCACACAGGTCAAGGAACACAGTCCTGCTAGCTGAACCCTTCTTTTTGTCCGGGTCTTAGTCTCGCTCCGGAGACTATTTATAGACAGGCTTGACAGGGTAGCGAATAGTGGGTCTATTCCTACTCAGAGACTTGAACTTAGAGAGTTCCTTCCTTTATTATTCTAGACTCTCCTCCTATCCTTAACGATGAAAACGATGATCCAAAGGGAAAACCTTTCAGAAGGGGCTGCGGGTTAACGGGTGCCCCTTTTATCCCCGATTTCCCTGAACCGGTCGCGAATACGGAGGGGACGTAATCTACGGTTTCCCAGGGCCCCTTGATAGTGGTGAGGTCGTCAAGCTCAGTGTGATACGATGCGGGTCAACGGTAGCAGCGAGGGGAGCTTGTGATCCGGAGGTGGAGGCGCGCCTGCGGTTCTATCTCGGGTCCGTTTAATCGTGTTAAATCCATTGATGCGAACGCATCGGGCTAGATAGGTATTGCGCAGCTTCGCAGAGTATACATGTACCCCGAGAAACGCATCAATATAACATCGCCGTCCAGTTTTCTCGTGACCGCCATCTTGGGCCAATAGACGCTGTGTGTAACGGTCGATGCCAACCGTTCGAGGCGATTCGCTGATGGTACTAACCCCGCCTCGACCCTTGATTTAGCCACAGCCTTGCGAAAGAAAAGTAGACACTATCGGGTGCTGGCTGGTCGGGCATCCCCATCTCACTGCCTGGCATTGCATCATCCTCCCACTCCAACTCCTAACACTTCGACTAGATGCTCTCTTATCCACAATTGTAACTTTGAAAAGCCATTCCATCAGGTTGCTTCCATTTTTCCTTACTTTGACAGGATATACTATAACGTTATTGGCTCCGACGACGGGGCAAAACGCTCGATGGCGAGTCGACTGAAGGGGAAATTGAAGAGCTTGATACCTAAGTCTCAAAATCTCTCCCAACCACCACCAGGTAAGTATCGGTTATCATTCCCTCGAATTCCAGACGTACTAACAATGTACAGTAGCGGGAACTTCAAGCACGCAGGAGTTGGTCACAACTCCCATTCAGGGTAATCAGAACCCCACAATTCGTCTTATCCCCTCTAAGACCCGTACTCTAATACCATTGATCCCCAGAACGAAAAGACTACCATGCTTCGCTTGACCTCGTCAGCCCTCCCGAGAATGAGGATGGAGCAGACGTTGATATTATCGCTATTCCTGGCCTAGATACGAAATCACCTGATACCTGGATCTGGAAGCCACAACCTCCAGGCCGATCTGCTGATGCATCCAGATCTGAAGTTAACTGGCTGAAGGACCCAAGAATGCTGCCTGCCCTGGTGGGATCGGCCCGGATCTTCACCTGCGATTGGCCGTCCAGTATGTTCATACCCCAGGACACAATCGAAAGGACAGTCCAAGAGCTTGCTAGGGTATTGCTCTTAAGCATCCAAGCCAAGCGTTCCAAGGATCTAGATCGGCCCATCTTGTTTATTGCCTCATGCTTAGGTGGTATCATACTTGCCCAGGCTCTCGTCCTCGCTGCCAAGAAAAATAGCGAGTATGAATCGCTGTGGAGAGCGACAAGGGGTGTTGTTTTTCTTGCTACCCCATTTAGGGGAACATCATTCCATAATCTCGCTACAGTTGCTATTCCATTCATGAATTGCTATGCTGCCCTTAAAGGCCAAGCAACAACTCAGCTACTTAATAGCATAGGAGAGTCGACATACGCCCTCGAGCAACTCATTCGAGACTTCACAAGCGAATACCAGCATATCAGTAGAAACTGCCAGTTAGCTATATTCTATGAAATGCAAAAACTAATCTTTTACGGAATGGTTTGCCTCGTCGCGTTGCAGATTTCCTCAAGGACGCAGAACTGGTAAGTCAATTACCTTAGCTATATATTTAGGGCCTCTTAACTCTAATTCCACACTAGCTAGTTGATAGTAGCTCTGCTTGTCTTGATGTTGTTGAAGATCCGATAAGCCTTAACCGGGCCCATATTCTTATGAACAAATTCTCTGGCACTGAAGATCAGGACTATCAACAAGTCTCTAACAAGATTCTATTGATGCTTCAAGCTATTCGCAAGCCTTCAGGCGATGATTGGATACATAACAATCACTACACTAAAGCGAGACTAAGGATAGAGCGGATCTCAGGCGATTTTTGCACATTGACCAGTGCTATATCAACCTTGCCCTAGTCGAGCACACTAGTGACGACGCGACGAACAGCTCAGGTAGTGAAAATGATATACCCCAATCATCTCCATTTTCACTTACATCTCGGCTCAAGATTGAGAAGCTAGATGCAACACAGACCATAGCATTACCGGCCCTCTTTGACCAACGGAAGGTACGCGGTGTAATGGTTGATCCTAGACGAGTCTTGATCCGAGGTCGTGCTGGAGTTGGCAAAACAACCCTATGCAAAAAGATTATCCTTGACTTTCTCGAAAAGAGGATATGGTCTGATTTATATGACCGTGTGCTCTGGGTGCCCCTACGGAATCTGCAGGGGAGGAAGGCACCTGGATATAACTTTGAGGACTTGTTTTATGATGAATATTTCTCTCAGCACCCAAACGGCAGAAGGTATGCCAAGGAATTATTTGAATGGATATCGAATTCCAAGGGTAACAGAACGCTCTTTCTACTCGATGGTTTAGATGAGGTAGCTGGCTTGGATAACATGGAGACCTTTCTTGAAAATCTACTAAAGCAGCCAAACTACATCATTACTACTCGGCCGCACGCGAAACATTCCAAGCTCCTTCGCTCCGACGAGCCTGATCTTGAACTAGAAACAATTGGATTTCAATCAGAGCAAGTCAGTGAGTATCTCAAGGCGACAATCTCCGATAAGCAGAAGTTAGACAACATGCAATTATTCCTTCGAAAAATCCATTACTTCAAGGCCTTGTTCGGATTCCGATCCAGCTAGATGCGTTGTGCTTTACCTGGGACGAAGGCTTCGATTCGAAAGAGGGCCCTAAGACCATGACCACTGTATACTGTGCTATCCAGAACAAGCTATGGAAAAAGGATATCCTTCGCCTTCAACCGAAGGGAGAAGCCGGGCAGCGTATGAGTAAGGTCAGCATTCAACAGGCTACTACCCATGAAATTTCGGATATAATTGCTCTTGAGATTGAACTGCTGGAGGCTTTCGGCTTTGCTGGCCTCAATAATAATATTATTGAATTTCGCTCAACTCACCAAGAGGTGGTAGGCAAGGAAGCAAATTACTCAAACAGATCAGGGCGGTTCCTCAATGACACCCTTCAATCTCTTTCTTTTCTACGGAGTTCAGATCCGTCAGATCCCTCTCGCAATTCTAACCAGCGAAGCTACCACTTTCTACATCTTACATTCCAGGAATATTTCGCGGCCCGATGCTTTGTGGGGCATTGGAAAACTGGGAAGCAGCTTCAATGTTTAGATCTTGACCAGAGAAACCATAAGCAGATTGTGCCAGCTGCATTTCTCCAGAAGCACAAATACGACCCGCGATACGATATTTTCTGGCGCTTTGTATCTGGGCTGTTATGCCTAGAACCAGAGGAACATCTCATACGTTTCTTTGAGGCAATTGAGCGGGGGCCCCTTGACCTTTTAGGGCCGTCACACCAGCGGTTGGTTATGCACTGCCTGAATGAAGCTGTCCCGAGCATAGCCAAGCTAAGTACGTTCGACCAGCTTCAAGCGAAACTAGAGGGGAGGCTATTAGAATGGATGTACTTTGAATGTAACTATAGTGGCAGGACATACCTTGCTAGAGAAACCGAATTTCCTGAAAGAATGTTAGAACAGGCTCTTGAAGAATGTTCTCATAGTCAAAGGTTAAGCATTCTACACGCCCTAAGATATCGATCATACTTATCAAAGACGGCAGAGAACGCGCTCATGGCGCTGCTTAAGGATCTGGACTGGCGCGTTCGAGAGGCAGCTGCCTCGGCGCTCGGAGAGCAATCGAGCCTCTCCGAGGCAGCAGCAAACGCCCTCACGGCGCTGCGCAAGGATCCAGACTGGCGTGTTCGACGGGAAGCTGCCTCAGCGCTCGGAAAGCAATCGAGCGTCTCCGAGGCGGTAGCGAACGCCCTCACAGCGCTGCTCAAGGATCCAAACTCGCGCGTTCAACACGCAGCTGCCCTAGCGCTTAGAAGGCAATCGAGCCCCTCCGAGGCGGCAGCGAACGCCCTCATAGCGCTGCTTAAGGATCTGGACTTAGACATTCGAAAGGAAGCTGCCTTAGTGCTTGGAAAACAATCGAGCCTCTCTGAGGCGGCAGCGAACATCCTCATAGCGCTACTTAAGGATTTAGACTCAGGTGTTCGATGGGAAGCTGCCTTAGCACTTAGAAAGCAATCGAGCCTCTCTGAGGCAGTAGCGAATGCCCTCATGGCGCTGCTCAAGGATCCAGACTCACGCGTTCGACAGGCAGCTGCCTCGGCGCTTGGAAGGCAATCGAGCCCCTCTGAGGCGGCAGCGAACGCCCTCACAGCGCTACTCAAGGATCTGGACTCGGACGTTCGACAGGCAGCTGCCTTGGCGCTCGTAGAGCAATCGAGCGTCTCCAAGGCAGCAGAGAACACCCTCACAGCACTACTCAAGGATCTGGACTGGCGCGTTCGACGGGCAGCTGCCTCGGCGCTCGGAAAGCAATCGAGCCTCTCCGAGGCGGTAGCGAACACCCTCACAGCGCTGCTCAAGGATCCAGACTCGCGTGTTCGACGGGCAGCTGCCTCAGCGCTTGGAAGGCAATCGAGCCCCTCCGAGGCGGCAGCGAACGCCCTCATAGCGCTGCTCAAGGATCCGGACTCGCGTGTTCGACGGGCAGCTGCCTCAGCGCTTGAGAGCAATCGAGCCTCTCCGAGGCAGCAGCGAACGCCCTCATAGCGCTGCTTAAGGATCTGGACTGGCGCGTTCGACGGGCAGCTGCCTCAGCGCTCGGAAGGCAATCAAGCCCCTCTGAAGCGGCAGCGAACGCCCTCACGGCGCTGGTCAAGGATCTGGACTGGCGCGTTCGACGGGCAGCTGCCTCAGCGCTCGGAAGGCAATCAAGCCCCTCTGAAGCGGCAGCGAACGCCCTCATGGCGCTGGTCAAGGATCTGGACTGGCGCGTTCGACGGGCAGCTGCCTCAGCGCTCGGAAGGCAATCAAGCCCCTCTGAAGCGGCAGCGAACGCCCTCACGGCGCTGGTCAAGGATCTAGACTCGGATGTTCGACAGGCAGCTGCCTCAGCGCTTGGAAAGCAATCAAGCCTCTCTGAGGCGGCAGAGAACGCCCTCATAGCGCTGATTAAGGATCCAAACTCAGATATTCGACAGGAAGCTGCCTTAGCGCTTGGAAGGCAAGCGAGCCTCTCCGAGGCGGTAGCGAACGCCCTTATAGCGCTGCTTAAAGATTCAAAGCTGCTCGTTCGACGGGAAGCTGCCTTAGCGCTCGGAAAGAAATCTAGCCTCTCTGAGGCGGCAGCGAACGCCCTCATAGTGCTGCTTAAGGATCCAGACTCGGACGTTCGATGGGCAGCTGCCTCGGCGCTTGGAAGGCAATCGAGCCTCTCCGAGGTGGTAGCGAACGCCCTCATAGCGCTGCTCAAGGATTCAAAGCTGCTCATTCGACGGGAAGCTGCCTCAGCACTCGGAAAACAATCGAGCCTCTCCGAGGCAGGAGCGAACGCCTTCGCGGCCCTGCTCAAGGATCAGCACTGGCTTGTTCAATCAGCAGCTACTGACGTGCTCGGAAACCAATGGGATAGAATGGTTCAACGAAAGTCAACAAAACCAACTACACTCTCATCTTATAGTGATAGGATGATTGGTCTTCTATATCAGGGCTTGCTATTCTGTAGCTTTCGAACAGGTCAAAGCTTGTGTATTGATCCTAGTGTAGATCATTGTGTTCTCTACCAACAAGAGGAGGTGAACACACTACAGTTTGGTGATCGAATCAGGCATGATCGTCTTTTACTTATTGTTAATACTGCCCGTGAAGGTCTTGCTGGAGAGAAGAGCCACAGGCTATGGAATAGAGCTTAGAGATATCGCTAATTCAACACGGATCCCTATTCTCTAATCCCTATGTAGGGTAAGGTGACTCACCTATATAGCCAAGTGGCTTTGCTATTAACTCTAAATTGATTTAGTAGACAACGCGTTCCAATTGCAGACTGGATTCAAAACTTACGGCTCTTATATGGTGTATAGTATATACGTCATTTATGAAGCATAGTAGGAGCCGACCAACTTTATGTCGGGGCAGTATGATAGTACAGGAAACGGCAAGCTTCTATCATCAGACTCAGCAAAAGGGGAGTACCTGACTCGAAGGGTTCCACCAGTCATAACAGGATTCCTAACAGCTCCACCAAGATCATGGTGGAAACGAGGGTTTCAATAAAAAGATTACATCCAGTCCTTTTTCTCGCTCGCACTGCGGTCTCTCGGTACACCTGCCGGTCTAACAACCTATAACCCTACTAGCATCCATCTCGGCTGTTCCCTCAAATGTCGAAGGCCAACTTTCTTCCCGACAATCTTTTATGATCAGCCAGGCTCCATCTTCACCGCAAGCCATCTCTTGAAGGATAGCCCCGGGAGGGTTTCAGCTACGATACTACCCTCGCCCAGACTCTAGTAGACGCCCGGAAGAACAGCCCACTTCTTGCCCACCTTGTCCTCGCCAAACTTTTCCACGTACCACCACTTTCCCTTGACGGCCCTCGGGAACATGGTGGCGATCTCGTTGATCAAAAACGCGCGGGCGGGCACGCAGCCCCAGCCAGCAGCGATCCAGAAGCCTAGCCACTCGACCCACTCGCACAGGTAGTGGGGGTACAGCATGTACTTGAACAGGCCGGCCTCGGGGACGCGGTAGTGCTTGGTCACGTCGGCCTTGGCCGGGCTCTTGCCGTCGGCGGCGGCCTGCTGGACGAGGCGATCCTGGCGGCGCTGCTCGGAGCGGCGGATCTCGCGCAGCTCCTCGTCGTGGAAGAAGTTGCCCGCGAGACCGAGGTAGAAGAGGCCGATGCCGAGGACGAAGCGGGCCGTCGCAAAGGAGCCGGTGGCGGCCCAGGCCTCTTCGGTGGTGGGGCCGTAGGCGGCGAGCCAGCAGCCGAGGGAGGTGGCGTTGCAGATTTGGAAGAAGAGGGCGAAACCCCAGACGAGGACGTGGATGGGGGCCATGGAGGGCTGGAGGTAGGGGAAGAGGACGGCGCGGTATGAGTAGTGGATGACCTGGCGCGCAGAGTTAGCCGGCGACCGCTTCGCGCTTCTCGCTTTCGAAACCAAGTCTAGGCGACGTCTCTTGCGCCGCTAGAACGCAAAGCTCCATGCAGGGAAGGGGAGGGACGTACAAATAACCCTGCGAGGACTCTATTCTGCCAAGGCAGGTCGGTCACGCCGTGCTGAAGCGGCAGCGTCTTCATGATGTACAGCAGGGTGAGGAAACCAGGCGACTCCATAGTGAACCATGCGATGCGCCCGGGAATGTTGAAGCGGCTATCCTTGGACGTTTTACCCATGCCGTACCAGTTGATGAGCCATTGGAGGTTGCCAAGCTATGTCACCTCGTCAGTTCACTCCCGACCTCTTTTAGAGTGTCACTGTAAGCTCGAATATTCACATCTCGTCTCCCTTTCTCGTACTTTTTTTCTTCTTCTTTTTTTCTAAAGAGAGAGAGCAAGCCATCTCGGGCATGAGAGAGGTGGTGAATGGGTATGATGGTGAGAGAGGACAAAAAGATGGCCTAACATACGAATGGATAAAAGAGCTGCCACGCGCTGACAAGGACCTCCCACCGCTCACGCGTCGGGGGCATCCATCCCGGAACAAGCGACATGGCGGGGGCCGAAAAAGAAAAATCCTAAAGACTCAGGGGCCGAGGACAATCAAGAAACACGGCTTATGCTCTCTGGGCCGGCTGTCGGGAAACCCGGAGGGAAAACGGGTGTCGCGGGAGAGACTGGGTGGAAGAAGTCTTACCAGGGGCCCAGCGTAGTCTAAAGATGGCGCCTGATGGTTTGAGTAGGGGCAGATACTACTAGAGCAGAAAGAAACACGAAGCAACGCAAAAAGGCCAAAGCTCGCGATCAGTGTAGATGAGAAAGACAACAAAACAAGGCAATGCAGAGGGAAACGGGAAGAAGAGGAAACAAAAGTAAGCAGTCTCCCGTGGGAACAAAAGAAGAGATGTCACGAGGGTGGGTGGGGGTGAGGTCGAGAGCCGGCAGATTCAATGCTGGGAGGCAAAAGAGTATTATCAACGGATGAGCTTGTTTGGATCCCAAGTCAATACCGGGCTGTTACTTTGCTCTGCGACCGGGGTAACGTCAAATCGTGACACTACCAGCTCCCACCAAAAGGGACACAATAAAAAATCAATGCCACTGATATTACGCACTCGAAGAGGATTCAGCTATCGAAAGACAGCAAAGGCGTTTTAATTGACGATGAAAAAAAAAAAAAGGAACAGTAAACAATTTGATTCGGAATAAATACCCCCCTCAATCTCCCACTCTCAGCGTATAGAGACGCTCCAACAATGGGCGTGACAGCCACACCTCCCCTGTGATGTCAGACATTCGCACAAGCAACGCCCCCAGATCTCGACGAACCTGCCCCATCGAATCGCGACGCCAGGACTGAATCTGCAGAAGGAAGGGGGCAGCGGAATGGTACCCTCAACCAACACTGATTGGACAAGGACGAGATGCTGTTCTAAATTAAAGCTCGTCGAATACCCATCCCCACACCTCCTTCCTTATCCGAACCCCAAGAAACATCACGCCGCACATTCTTTTGAGAGCCAGAGAGCTATTATACCAATGGATGTACAAGTAATAATGTTCCGTACGTCCTCCCCTCCTTATTGCTCCCTCATGCACTGCACCGCGAGGACGAATCGGGTGGCAGCCACCATCAGCCAGCGTCCCTTGACTGGACAGCATACTGCTGTGGTGAGAATATTCTGGAGGATTGAAGAATCTCCCCATGTCCTCGTAACATTAGGAAGAAAGATGATAAAGTGTAGGTCGTATAAGAGCTAGGGTACCGCTGTGTTCAAAGTTCAGGTTGGCACATTGAAGCCGCGATGCACACATCCACATTCCATCACCAACTTCAAGAACCAAAAATTAGAACAGAAAAGAATTAAGAAATAAATAATCCATTGTCATTGAAAAAGGAAAAAAGGGATGCATGCCACAACTCTGTCGTATCCGCATGCTAAAGACCCCTAAAAGAAAACGCCAAAGCCTGCGCCTGTGATCGCCACCCTGCCTGTGCATGTGGCATGCGGTCTTTGTATCAATGCCCATCCCCTTACCTCACTGCAAGCTTGACATCCGCAGGTCGCAGTCTATGGGGAGGCTGTCCCCCACGATAACCTTGCATATTCATGAGTGCAAAATGAAGGTAGCCAAAGAAACTATACCAAGAGGGGAAACCCCAAAGAAGAAAAAAAAAAAAAAAAAGAATGAAACCAAGAATAGCAGTGATGCAATCGTAAACTCATTCCCTCCCATCTTCCCTTCTCCCCCATCTCTTCTTCCCCATTAAACATTGTCCCTTCTGCCGCCGCCGCCCCGACATCCTCCCAGCAATTCGCCTCGCCAGCGCCCGAAGCCGCGCGCCCAGCGTCCGCGTCCACTCCTACATGACGACGCAGTCCCTATCGCGGCCGGACATCGAGCCCGCACCGCTACTTCCCGCCAGTGCCGACGGTGGCACAGGCCGTCTCGGCGGCGCCATGGGCCTCAGTCGGTTCGCCGCCGCCGCCGAGGGGCCAGGATAGGGCTCCTGCTGTGACGGGACGCTGACCCCGGCACGCTGCTAGGGTGACTCGGGTGGCCCATCGGCGGCCGGAACGGCGTGTCGTGCGCCGACTCATCGTAAGAGGGAGGCGCCTCCTCGCCTGACCCGTCCGTGGGCCGGTGCACCGGCGGCCGACCCACAGGCGCACCTTGAGGCGGGGGACCAATGGACGAACCACCTGCGAAGATGTCGATGTTGCCGACTGCGCGCTCGGCCGCCGTAGGCCCGTCGTCCGGCCTCCTCCTCTGGGCACGTTCATCCGGCTCACAAACGGCTCCGGCCTGTACCGGCCCTGCTGCTCCATGACCCCCTCTGAGAATCTTTGCTCCCGGCTCCTTCTCGCCTGCTGCTCCTGCCTGTGCCGCTCGTCCTCTTCTTCCTGGAGTTGTAGCGCCATGGCAAAGTCTTCATCCTCCTGCGCCGTATTCGGAGATCGCGTGGCCTCTCTTGCGCTTCCGGCATTGCTGCGGCCTCCCGCTGCCGTCCACCCTTCCTCGCTATCGGGGAACGCACCCGGTGCGCTATGCGAGTTGCTCCGGCCACTGTCTTCCACGCCGCTCACCACCCTGAAATCACCCGAGTAGAATTCCACGTCGCCGTTAACGTTGCCCAGGGACTCCCAGACCACCTCCGGATGTCCCGCGTACCCGGCATCCGTGATCAGCGTGAGCAGACCAAGCGTCTGTGGGTGTTTGTAGAGCGTAGAAAAGTGGTCGTTACGAAACAGGATCGCCACCATACCCGGGGCCATGGCTTTCCTCAACACCTCTAAGCCCCATGGCGTGAGTTGTGTTGCCGAGCTATTCAAGAAAGTCTTGATGATCAAGATATCCTCGTACAGCACTTGCTCCTCTTCCGTGAGGCCCGCCGAGTCTGGGTTCTCTAGCTTGTCGTTGAGGTCCTCTTCCATGAATAAGAGATGCTGCGCCTCCTCGTATGAGGTTGCCCGCCGCTTCAGCGAGTCGTACACCATCTCGCTAGAGCTGGGAAGCCAGCCGTGTACCAACGGCACCGCAAACGTCGCGTAGAGGTCCATCTCCGTAGTCGCCTCAAAGACACCCGGGATGCACTGGTCCCGCTCGTGGGCGGGCACGTGCGAAAGATACAAGCTCTTGATACGATCTGCCGTCTCACTGGACGGGACAAACCGGGGTTGACGTTCATCCCCGTGTCAAGGCCTTTGAGGAAGTTGTAGAGATCCGTCATGTCCGGGAGCTGAATTCCCTTTTGCCGAGGCGACGATATGAGCTCCTCCACAACCGCTTCAAGCAAGAGCGAAATGCTAATTTGCTCCCGCGATTTGAGCACTTGCGTGATGGGCGTATCGTTGGCGTCGGCGGGAGTCGTCAGGACCAGCGCGTTCACGAGCGCGACGAGCGGGCAAGGCCCGTTGGCGTTTTGCACCAGGATCGAGCATGTTCTGGGGTTCTGCCTCGCCTTGTGATCATGCCAGTTGATCGACTTGATGTGGTACATCTCCGTCGCTTCCCGGCCCGCCGTTCGGGGTGGAGGCGGAGGTGGGAAGGCCCCTGACTCCATTTGCGTCGATCGAGGAGCAGGTGCTACCGCTTTTCCCGCTACAGCCTCCCTCGATGGCGCCCCGCTCTCGTTTACTCTCGGAGATTGCGATGGGTTTCCTGCAACGCCCGTATCATTAAAGATCATGTCCCACTCTTCCGATGGTTCCTCTGTCCGGATCGTTGGCACCGCCGGTTCCTTGCCGGTATTTGTGGGTTTGGGCCGGAGGCCGTCCTCCCAAGCGTCGTGCTCTGAAGCCACCTGGTCGGGAATAGCCGCCGTTTTCACAATCGGCTCCTTTGGCGGTCGAGCAGGCTCGTCTGCCCATACGAGGAGGTCTTCGCTATTATCGAGAGCTGCCACGGGGGCTGGGGTGTGGGAGGGATATCCGCCGTCAGTTGGGGGAGCGGGACCAGTCGCCCAGGGATCGTCGCTGCTATCGAAGCCCTGGCCTATTCTCGCCCTGGCACTGGAGTCCGCGGGGAAATGGGGTCCCACGGATTGTTGCTGCCGCTGTTGTTGCTACTCGGCGCATTCAGAGACATCTTGCCAAACGCATCGGTCGGCGCCGTCGCACCTGTGGCCCCTCCAGTCCTCTGCTCCGCAATCTGTTTGAGAAATGGATTGGTCTCGCCCCCGGGGAGTTAGATGGCGCAAACGGATGCGAAGGGTTAAGGCGTTGGCCCCCAGTCGGCAGCTGCGCTTCCTCCGTATCCCATATGTTGCGTTCTTGCGTGATGCCGGGTGGGGTGGGCCCTCCTGGCCGAAGCGATGCGGGCACGTCATTGAGTGCGTTACCGGGAGCTTCATTCGATGGTTGGCGGTTCGAATCTCCCCAATCTGCCCACGGATCCGTCTCCGGATTCGCCGACACTGGTGCCCGTTGTTGGGGAAAGCATGGGGAGCCCCGCCGCCGTAATTGCTTTCTCCCCATGCTCAGTCAGTACAGGAGGAAGAATCAGGTTTGGTGCAATATCAATGATGTAGTAGTAGTAGTAATAGTAGTAGTGATTGTTGTATTGGCAAGGTATGAGCTATTCGAAAGCTGATTGTAAACGTTGCGGTCGAATGAAGTAATGTTTTCTTTTCGTCGCGGGGACGCTGCAGCAGGTTGGGGCGATCGTTTCCGGGAGGGTAGGTGGCGGATGAAGAAGGCTCTCGCTTGCCTTGTTCGGTGATTTGTGATGGACCACGCACACAAACTACTAGAGATATCGGTTCTAGGATACGCCTCCTGGTTTGATGTCAGCCCTCTTGCGGGAAGAAGAACAAGACGTTTAAAAATATGGCGTGGTGTGGGCAGCGCCACCGCCTCTGATCGCCGTACGTCGCTCGCGAAATCACAGGACGGACGCCCCCGCGGTGGGCTTGTGGCAGAGATGGGTGTACGTAACACACGCCCAGTCCCTAACGTCGTGCAGGCAGACGCCGGGAAGAATGGAGAACAAGGTAGAATTGACGAGAAAGTCAAGAGGGAAAAACGAGGCAATCATCTAAAGTCTACAAAAGATTGGGCGAGCATTGTTTTACCTCTCTGGTTTTTAGGGGCGGGGTGGTTTTTCAACTCAAAAGCCCGCTTGCGAGCATCGACCAAGCTACGGCTCAGCTCTCCCCGGGGACGACTTGCGAGGGAGCTCTCCCTTGTTAAGAAATGCAGACACGACGGAATGTGTTGCACGGATCTGGCGTGCCGAGACAAGGAGGTGAGCAGTATTAGCCCAGCCAGCAAGGATGGGCGGGCCTTCTAAGGGGACTTGGGGGCCACTATTTTTGGTGTGCGTGTGTGTGTGTGTGTGAGGTGTCCTCGAGGATCGATTTCCGGTGGATTGAGGTGGCTTGGCGATGTTGGTTCCAAAAACGCCGAGCTTATTTTGCGAAGGAGAGCTTATGCGGCCTGTAAAGAGAATCCGAGTGAGTGCTTTCTAAAATGGTAAATGATTTTAATTGATGCTGTATTCTGCTGCCTAATAAAATTGAGCGTCTCTCTCCTTGCCAGCCCAACTCTCGCATGGGCTCGGAAGCTGGCTGGATGTGTGGTCTTGTTGAAAAGAGGATGGTCCGCTGCTGCTGCTTCTGCTGCCACATACACGACGACATAGCTCTTCAGAAACCGCCACCAGAAAAACGGCGGCCTAGAGAAGCGATAGGGTCGTATTCCATTCCCCAGAGGTGTCGTCATCAACAATCCATCGCCCCAGAGTGGTTCGGCTTAGTCATCCGACCAAGTGTCGATCCTAGTTTCCTGGTCTGCCTGGCAAGTCTGGTTCCTCGTCACATGCGAGTGGGATGAACGAAAGAGGCAAGGAACAAAGGTTGGTCTAGAATTGGCACGAACTTTAGGTTGATCATTATTATTCGATTTGCTTGATGACGGCCGAGCCCGATGCAGAAAATGGACAATTAAGGCCGTATTGGCGTCCATTGTCCCCAAAAGGAAAGAAAAAAGAAACCAGGGGTCGCCCACGTTGATCGCATCTGGGAACGATCCATACATGTAGACAGAAAACGAAGGAGAAAGAAAAATTAATTCATACATACAAATTGCCATGCAATGCCTGTTTGTTTTTACTCAAACAACTTCCTCACTCGTTGGGGCAAGGTATCCGTATCGCCCTGGATGTCTAGACACCACATATACCAACGACGCGCGGAAGAAGATCTAGCTGGTACCACCTCTAGCCGCGGCCTTTCGGGAAGGCCCCCATCCTTCCAAGAGCTGCCCTCTACTACCTCCTCACGCCCAGCTTCTCCAGCCGTTTACACGCAGGCATTTCGAAAGCGTTCGCCCTCTCCATCTTCTTTTGATCCGGGAAGAGCCAGCCGTGGGCCTCGTCAATCATCCTCTGCTTGGTGCGGTACTCGCTATCACACTCGGTCCTCAGCACCCTCAGCAGCTGAGATTCGGCCGTCTTGTCGAGCTGCGCCAGCTTGTTCTTCGAGTACGACTCGATATCCGCGGGGTTGACAAAGTAGTTGACCTTGAAACTCGGCGTGTGACGCTTCTCCGTGTAGGGTGGCATGGGCTGGTCAAAGACCATGCGAGGACCAGAGGGCTGGGTTGTGCCGCCGGAAAAGAGAGAGGAGAGGAGCGGAATGATGAAGAAGAAGAGAATCGGCAACAGGCCAATGATGGTTTGGAAAAAGCTGCTGTTCTGTTCTTGTTCATCATTGGCCTCGCGGGGCCTACGCCGGGGACGCGCACCACCGAACTGATGGACGCGGATGCCGGGGCCGCCACCGAGGTTGAATACAAACTGAGGGCCGGTATCGAAGCCTATCGCGAAGGAGGATGCGTGTTAGAGAGACGGTACGCTCAGGTGCAAAGAGCCAGGTCCACAACAAGAGATGACTTACCGCCAAACGGCCCGCCAAAGCCACCACCGAACCCGCCACCAAAGAACCTCTGGAACATTTCTTCGGGCGTCATCTCCTCCTGGAACCCACCACCAAACCCGCCCCCGCCGAATCCGCCCCCGCCGGGACCCGCACCCGAAGGATGCCTCCTCGCGAAAGGATTTTGCTGTTGCGCGCTCGCGAACCGACTATCCGGGTCCGTCCCAAACCGATCATACTTTTCCCTCTTGTCCTTATCGCCGAGTACGCCAAACGCCCTGCTCACCATCTTGAACGCCTCGTCCGCATGCTCGTGGCAGTTTTTGTCCGGGTGCGTTAGTAGCGAGAGTTTCCTGTAGGCCTTCTTGACATCTGATTCCGTCGCCGAGGTTCGAACGCTTTCAAGCTCCAAGATATCGTAGAAAGCGGTAGGTTCACAGCGCCTAATCCGGAGCACGGCTGCCTTTTGCTCTGGCGTACATCTCCGTTGCGCATCGCCCTTATCGGCGCCGGATGCGGTGGCGCTCATTGTGATGTTGGGGTTGAAGAGAGTCCCGACCCGGGGTATGTAGATGTCGCGCTATTGAGGGGACCGGCAGTTGGTTCGAGTCCGTCAAAGAAATGAAATCTGGAACTAGATTATAGCGATGGCCGTTAATGGGCGTCGAGTTGACGGAAGCGATCACCGCGCTCGCACTACAAAGGCGTAGTTCGTAGATGAGGGAGATCCGAAAGTGCGTATATGGCGCGATCTTGAAAAGGAAAAAAATCCCCCAGAGTTCGAGAAAACCGCGAGCGACGAGACCAGGGTTGGTTTCAGGGGTGGGAGGTACAAAAAAAGAAGGGGCCCGCGCTAGACGTGTCGTGTCGTCTTGGAAATAAAAGAGGGGAGGATATCTCAAAGGAAAGGGGGCAAAAAAGTTGCTCACGTCTTCACGATCCTGGGCTTAAGCGTCCCTGGCATGTGCGGTGTTGGCCGTTGCAAGAGGGAGAGAGAGAAAAGATCCCCGATTATTACTAGCAGTGGCGCTGGCGTCAATGTGTTCAAATTCAATGTACTTGATGGAGCCGGGGGCGACAAAGTGATTGATCCAAGCTGATAAATTGAATGTCGTGCCAGTTCTGCTGGCTTCCAGTGCGACTCCCGCTGGAGGTACCTCCCGACACGCCAGATTTCCGCTTTGCTGACCCCCTTGATTGGCTGCGAGACTGCCCATGGACCCGCAAAAACGGATGGCTTAGTCATGTTTCCGTGCCCCTGGTCATGCAAGTAGACATCATATCACCAAAACAGGCAAAAGCTTCACTTGAGCTCAGATGAAGATTTGAAGAACCAAGTTTTTGAAGATTTCAAACAAGAGAAAAGTTATCACAGCTCTGCCGCCGTTCGAGCAGGCCCAAGACCAACAACACATTTCAAAATGGCGTCCGAGGAGCCTGAAAAGGCCATCTCCGCCGAAAGCAAGGTGAAATCCATCATGCACAGCTGGGGCAGTAAGTATCCCAAAAACCACACTCACGAGATCTCTCTTTCACGAGTAGCATTTGAACTCTCTGGTGACGGGGCCATGCACTCTGGAAAGATGTACAATTAGGAGGACGAAAGTGAGAAAAAAAAAAAAAAAAGAGAGAAGCAAATAGCTAACCAGCGGGACCTCAACCCCCACCCCCTCGTCTCAAGCATCATCCATGCCACCCACCGGACTGGCGACACTCATCGTCGCCCTTCACGGCCGGCCCTTCCAGCCCTTGCCCATGCTCTTCGCCCCCATGCTCCTCTTCTCCAGCTACGTCAACTTGGCCGGGTTCCCCACGGATAGCGCCGGAATCACCGCCGCGTGGAGCGGTCTCTACGTCCTCCTCGCCCTGCGCAGGCGCCAGTCTCTGCGTAACAAGTTCTCGGTCAGGGGCGCCGTGCGCGGAAGCGCAATCGGCTTGGGCCTCATGAACTTTGCTTCCGGTGCGTGGGTCTACGCGCACGGGGACAGAAAAGCGGACGAGAAGGCGAGGTTGGAAAGGAACCGGTGGAATTAACGTTGGGGCGGGTGGTGGCCCTGACTGGCCGTTGAGCAAAATTGGAGGACGCGAGGACTTGGGCATCGACAGTGAGACGACTATTTTTGTAACATTATAGGATTTTGTACAACACACCTCGGCATAAAATGGGAGATGTATCGTTAGAAGTTACCAGCGACTTGAAGTTGGACGGGCGAGTGCTGGGTATCGGACCATCGCCTGATCGACTTGGGTCACATACGGAGGGCTACAAGGGCAACAAATAGGTGGTAGATGTATTTTTGTTTCCATTCAATGTTGTATTTATGAGTTCTAAGGATGGAAAAAGACTTGGAAATAAACGATAACCCCTTTCAAACGCCTGCGGACATGCCCAATCCGCAAGGTAACAATGCCCTTTTGGGAGCCTCAACACTTGAGTACACCCTTCCACCAAGGTTTAGTGTTGTAGTTTTTCCCATTTATCTCGATCTTGATCTCGGTCCCGACGGAGAGAGAGAATGTACAAAGCAAATGCGAAAAAGAAAGAGGAGAACAAAAGAAATCAGACTCATCTCATGGGTATCTCATCATGATGTCTTATGGCTAAGCCATTCTCGCCGTAACCCTGGTATCAATCCACCCCAACGTGTAAAACTAGTAGTATTCCCTTTTACTGTTTTTCCAGTAGGCCATCACGGCTCTTCTTCTTGTGTTCTAATGCGCGACTAACGCCCAAGATGCACCAAACGAAAAAGTTGTTGTGAGAAAAAAGAAAAAAAGAAACAAAAAGGTAGAAGAAACTCTCAAGTCATCTTGAGGTTCATGGTTTGGTGTCCAGATCAACCCTTAGGTCCGGGTGGACCAGATCATCATTGGTGAGGCCGATTGTTGTCAAACTTGAAGCCGGTAGACAGCCAGATGAGAGCGCCAATGAAGGTAAAGAAAAGGGTACGTAGAAAGGCCTCGCGTCGGGGAAGGGTGCTAATCGTCGAGGGTTCCTGGAAGAATAGGGATGGCTCGATGGAAGTGACATAGCTAATGTCTGACTCCCGGGGTTTAGGATAGGCGAAAGATTGGTACTCGGAGACCACCGTGGTCGTGTCCCAGCCGTACACCTTGCGGATGGCTCCGACAGCACAACCGGTGCGATGCTGCGAACCAAAGTTAGATACAATTACTTGGGTACTATACGGCTCCCAGAGCTCAAGTAGGTTGGTACATACCCTTCCGTGGTTGCAATGAATAAGGACGGGGTGATTGCTCTTATCAAGGACTAGCCGGAGGATGGTCTGCATCATCTCCACGGGGATAGCCTGCTTTTCGTGCCCTTCATATCAACGACATGGTGTTTGATGCCATTGACCTGGAGGAGGGCAGCGTAGGCCTCATCTTCGACATCTCGTCGAACCAAGGTGCTACATAGAACAAGTTAGCTTCAAAGAGTCGAGTTTCAAAAGCCACGGGAGCTGACATACACGACCGTCTTTAGATTCAGACTCTTGACGAAATCATAGGTGTCGACGGTAGGCCAAGCGCTTCTGTAGATACCGGGAGTCACGACGCCGAAATTGGCAAGACGTCCATCCAGCACGGAGACGGGGGTGACTGATTCCGATTGGCTGGGGGCGGTGGAATTATCTACGCTTTTCTGGCCGTCGGATTCTTCAAGCGAGACGGCGACCTCGTTGTAAACGACTTGTCCATCTAGTTGGAGGATATGGGTTGATGGCTGGGTGGTTGCTGTCTGTTTGATTGTGTGAAAATCGACGAGTTGAGGCTCTGTCAGAGAATCCATGTCTTCTATCTTGGATCCTCTCCTTGACCGTAAAGTATTCCGGCCAGACATGGAACCTTGCATCTTTGAGCCTGGTGGGCTGCTTAGAGACGGCGAATATATGGTGGAAGTAGGTTGTAATAAGGGCAAAGTCCTTAAGAGGGCGATGGAGAGCAAAGTTGCTATGGTTTTGTTGATAGACCTGTTGCTAGAAAGTGAAGATTTGGGTCTGTTCAAGGTGAGGTTTGTTGATGGGCGGAACAGGGTCAAGGGTTTGATCAATGTTTGCTGGGGAAGGGGAGCTGAGCTGTGGTTATGAGGGTCGTGGGTATAAAACAACCCTCGTGGTTTTTGTGGTTTTTGTGTACTAGCACGGTTTTTCCCCAGCTTAAAGTTTTCTGGAGCAAGACCAACCCTGAGGAAGGTGCGATGGACAATGTAAACACAAAAGATTGACCCAGAGAGGATTCCAAAGAGTAGAAACAGAAACGTGATCAAAGGCAGGTGTGTCCGACCAAGCCGGGACAACCGAGTTCGTGGGGAATCAGATGTGAGCGTAGCGGTGCGTTTTTAGATGTTTGGCGGTCCAGGAGGTTGGCCCATGGAACGGGCCAGAATCCGGGACGAAACGGGCTATTTCGGAATCGCCATGTTTGAAGAGATCTCAGAATCGCGAAATCTTTTTGCGTGGTTTTGTCGGCAGGAAAGAATTGCCTGCTCGGTCAAGAAAGGGAAGTCGTTCGCGTGTAAGTGGCCGAGGGGACAGCAGACACGTCCTCTTTAAGGAAACCCTGCGCGGTGCGTGGGGGAAGAGGGGGATTAATGATTAATGTCGGGGTAGCAGAACAGGGTAGGTTTTGGAGGGGAAGGGGCTGGATTCTAATACAAGTCGAGCTCGGCGAGCCGGTGGCCCTGAACTACGATTGACAGGGTAGGCGTTTTGGGAGAAGGGGGCGGCGAGGGTCAGATCGGTAATAGAAGAGTACATGTAAGGATTGATGGTAAGGGATGGGTTTGGGGGAGGGGGTGTGTGAGTTCTATCCCGGTGTTTCTTTTTGCGCTTGTCCCGCTTGTCGCCTCATTCGGTAGCTCAAGCGGAGGGTCGACCTATGACTATTGCTGGCTCATAAGCCCTTTTCTGCCCGGGTGGCGTCAAAGATTTTTTTGGGGGGACCTAAAGGACTTTAGGATGCCGAATGGTATGTTCCTACTTGGCAGTCTAGGCTCGATTCGCCCGGCGCGCGCCGCAAGTTATGGCTTGTGGGCGAGCTGCGTGTCAAAGGACGAGAAAAGGGGACGGCGACAATGAAAGAGAATTGAGAGGAAAGGAACAGAGATGCTGGTCTGATTATAAAGACAGGTCGGTCTCAGATGTTTTCTTTATTTTTCCTTAACAAAGACCTCATTTACAAGTAACAAGCGTGTTATTAGTGTATTCATCAACGAGGCGCGCACAGTATTATCAATTCATCATTATTCGAGGCGGTTTGGCTAACCTTTGTGGGATAGTACGGGGAGTGAGGTCACCCTCTCATAGCGTGTGGAAACCGACACTAAAACGGAAAAAACTGAAAGCCCGCGAAACGAGTTGGTATCAATTGATTGCTCTTGTCAGGACCTGTGGGAAAACCCTCGCAACGCGGCGGAGCTTGGTTGAGGTGTTCGTCAGCAAGTAGAGGTACTAACGTTTGTCAATGACAAGGACGGGAAACGGAAGGTTCGTCACTCGGAGGCTCGCCAGTTCCAAGTATTTGGACTGACATGGACTTGTGGGGACGATTCGCCTCCCCCAATCTGCCAGCCAGGGAGAACGCAGTTGAGCTCCGCCATTCCCCACTAAGAAATCAATCCATCTCCAGGACAATGGATTGAACCCAGCTGGGAAAAAAAAAAAAAAGAACGAAGCGTCAGGGAGATGCCATGCCCGGTTCATGGATCGGCTCCTCTACGCAGCATGACAGCAGGACAGCATGACCAGCGGAAGTCGCCCAGAGAAACGCCGCCAGTCGCCCGGTCTCTTGTCCCGGATTCTCCACGCATTCAAGGCGTTTATTGATAGCTCATGACGGGGAGGGCGACGCAATTCCCAGCTGCGGTCGACCAATTGGCCAAGAGTTTGATTCTCTTTCATGTTCAATTCCAATGAGAACGCGGGGGCAGAGGCACTCGGCGCCACCGATACTGGCTGTCGGTGCAGGGTCAAATGGTCAATTGATCGTTGTGCAACCCTTCGCCGACAAAACTCACGGGGAGCAGCTCGTCTCTCCCCTCCCCCATTTCTTTTGCAGCAAAACGTGCAGGTTGTGAGCAGAAGGTTTGTGGATCGCCGTCATCAGGGCCGCCCCCTTCCAAGTAGATTTTGTTGTGGCGGCTTCCATGGGCGATGGGAACTAAGGATTGGACCACTGCTTGACCAGTTACACGGAGACACAACAGCAGTGATCGATCAGTTCAGTCTCACATCCACGGATCCATAGATCAACTGGGGGATATCGAGTATTACTCTCAACATTGAACACGCCCACGCAACTACGCCTTGAAACGCAATGCGCACGCCCCACATCCACACCCAACACCCACTGGACGACCGATATCCCACACCCATTCCATTCCCGCTCCATCTTGACTCCACACTGCCGTCTGCAGGAAGGGACCAGACAATGGGATGAGGCGGAGTCTTTCTCTTCTTCTTCCTTTCTTCTTTTCTTTTTTCTTCCCTCTTTCATTTTTCTTCCGGAGAGCGCGGGTCCAACCCAGCTCAAGGGAAGGCTTCCCGGAGCTAAGGGAAGGATTTGTCTTGGCGCTGGCAACAACTCAGGCAAGAACTCGCCTTGTCTCCGGGTTCAGGACTCTCCGAGCAAGAGATCACCGTAATACATCAATAGCCAGGCCAAGGTGTCAGGGTCACAAGATCAAGATCAAGCGGACACGAAAGCAGGGAGGGTGCCACGATGGGCCTTTGACATCTTTGGTTTGGTGGGACGGGGAATTCGAGAGCGAAGCTGACGGAGAGCCAGCCCAAAGACAGATAGATCGAGAATAGTCGGCGGCCAGCCAACGAGCCATATCCTCTGTCCTCTACCCGAGGGGGGCCAACTCCCGTAGTGATGCGTCCTAGCCTCGAGGTTCCGAGACTAAACCCACGGAGCCCCACATAGCCCTCTTCAAGCTTAGCCTCATCCGGGCACCACTGATCTACCACAATCGGATGAGGTGAGGCTTTCTTGAAGGCATGACAGTGACAGAATTCGGCCCTCGCTCCCCCATTCCACTTTTTAACTTTGGAAGGGGGACTGTACTTTGTTCGTCGATCCACGTCCGTCAACTATTGCCGGCATCGTGATCGACTACTCGAGCTAGGAAGGTGAGGGATACTATACTATAGGAATGAAATTCGAAGAAACCCTTCTCGGTAGTCCACAGCACTTTGATGTAAAACCCTCCGGATGACGGAACGTGGCCGGGCCCAAAGACCGAGCCTGCCCTTTTCGACTGATTTGTGACGGATTGTGTGGGATGTGCCCCCATGCAGAACCTTGCATGGAGCCGCAACCCCAACATTTTTGTCGATCCCACGCCCAAGGGCAGAGGGCAACGCCCAGATCTCCCTTCGCAACGATGTTCCTCTCCCCGTTGTTGTCGTGTGGACATCTGCTAGCGGCGCTCTCGCTTAATTTACACTCTTCTCCATTGCTTCCTCCCCTCCTCGCTCGCTCCTCGAGCTGAGTTTTCACTTGACAAGAGTATATTCTCTTGCGCGGGGAATACTCCGCGCCGTGTTACTTGCTGCATCGAGCCAAGTCGAGGGCGGCGCCTGGCGCATCCCTCTCGGACTTTGTCCAAGTGTTTGGACAACTCGTACATACACTAACAGATCAACTGATCTATCAGCATCCCGACAAGTTCGGCGGGGACACTCGAATTATTCAGCCGTCAGCTAAGAACGTACGGACATTCTGGCGAATTCCACTTGCGCTTAATACGACTGTTCTTTCTTTTCGGTTCTATAAAGCGTGTGTAAAATGCATGACGCGAGGTTTTCAAGCTAGGGCGCCCATGTTGATGTACATCACTGGACTCCAACACCCCACGGGAGGAGCTGTCGGTGCACGAAAGAGTAAAAAAGTACGTTCTTTTGTTTTAGGGCCATTACAGGTACTACGGAGTACGGTGCTCCCCTCTGACCAAGTCCGCCCCGGGTTCGGATTTAGGAATTCGCTAATTGGAGGGTGCGCGGAGACCTTTCGGGGTATTCGGGTCTATCGGAGGGTGGGTTTTTCTCTCCGTGCAGAGAAATGGTTGGAGCCTTTGGGACCTTGATCCTTCTCCTATGTACATGTAATAAATGATACGCGTAAAGAGGCGTGGCGAGCCCCAAGAAGTTCTAATGGCTCGGCTCGGATCCGACGAGCGAACAAGACACAGGCGACACGCATGAAACCACTCCATCTTTTGGCAGGCCAATCATGCCTAAAATGGGTGCCAAAAGAACATTACACGCATTCTAGAGAATACATCCATGGATCCATTGGATTGCTTGGAGACCACTCGTTTGCAGCCTTGTCAATGACGCTAGTATAATCATACAAAGTACGTGTGGCTCCTAATATTATTAATATGGCCAAGCTTGGTGCTGATCAAAGTCACTGGCGGAACGCTTTGTTCTCGTCCTTGTTTGAGTAATGAAGGCAAAGGAAAGAATGAAGAAAAGGAAACGAAAAATAGCTAATGCCTCCAATCGCGTGGCTTCTACCCTTCTCTTAGATGCGGAAAGAAATCCATCTGCTCCGGGCTGCTGACGAAATGCGGGAAGATCGGAAGGTGACGTCAAGCCCAAGAGGATCAACGCGCATTTTCACAACTCGCCTGCGTTATGTCAGGGACGAACATGCCATAAACCGTCTGCAATCTATTGACCTTTTTCCCCTTTCGCGTCGAAACAAGAATCTTCCGTCGGTTCTTTTCTTCTTCTTTTCGATGACGATCTCAAGCCACGCCGTATTGGATTTTGCACAATTTCGTTCCGGCCCCAACCACCTTTTCTCCCCTCTTGCGCTACCGACCAAAAGTTGAACGAACAACAAAGCAACGTTGGTTTTCGCGTCGCGACTCGACAAACTCCCAGGATGATCCTTTGATGCTGGCATGACCTCATTTAACATGAGTCATGGCACCCACCACCTTCATCCCCCTCTTTGTGTTGCTTCTTTCCCAAACAGTGGTGGCCAACCAATCTGGCCCAAACAACGCTCGCTTCTAGATGATGTAGTATGATGTCGCTCAAGAAACTGATGATGCCGAGGGCCCGGCGCCCCGGAACACAGATCTGTGGGAGGGGAGGCTCGAAGGAAGGACCCTGCAGCACTCCAGGCGGCCTCTTGACCTGCAGATCCGTCGTAGCTAGCCCTTCCCCAAGTCTAAACGGGTGCGACAACCCAACCATAGGGCACCCAACCATTGATGTTCTCCTTTTGACCCAAGATTTAAAAAGATCTAGGCCGGGGTCTTGGGACCTAGGCTTGATTTACCCGACCAGGTCGGCACTTGAGTAAATCGGGCACTGGCATCACTCGATCGATTTCCCTTTGGGAGCCTAGGGGATAGATACTTCGTACAATGCAGATACGCAAGGTTTGGGTCGCGGGGAACCGCGCCTACACGCAAGGGGACAAGTGGAAAACATCATGAACAAAGCGTATGTTTTTGTTTGGACGCGTGCTCAAAAAGCGCATCAATGAATCCACAAATGCTAAGCGCCTCCTTCGCCGCGTCGAGTCTAGCAAAGTGCCATGCTACATTGTGCTGTAATGCTTCCTTGGAGATGAAAACCCGACGCCCATGTACAAAGCAAGAAAAAACATAATAACAGTAAACAACAAGGGAACGCCCTGAATGCCACACCCCCTTCCTTCCTCCATGAACAAAAGTGTGTAAAGTAGGTAGACAAATGTATTAGTACAAGAAATGGGCGGAGACAAGGAATCGAGAAGAGAAGAAAACAAAATAAAGCAAAACCGCGCCTCAATGCAAAGTGTGTTTGGGGACTTGTTATGGTATGGCATTCCACAAGCGGTGCCCGAGCATCACGACAATGGTCCACAGTCCTTGGGTAAAACAGCCATCGCACAAGACTGGGCTGGTCCAAACCTTGAGAGAAAGATGCCCCACGGCCCCGACCTCGGCGATGCAGAGGACGAGCTCCAGGACATTGGCAGTCGAGGCGCCGCCGGCCTGCCCCAGCCGAGAGATGGCGTCCCGGGACAGGAGCAGGGTGAGGAGGGCGCTCATCCCCAAACTGGCCCTCATGATCTGGACGCTGTTCTCGTTCGGACTTTGCCCGGCATAGACCCAAAGTCAATCACCACCACGAGGAACGCCGCATCGATACTTCGGAACCCTCGGCGGTCACCTGGCCCGCCAGACGACCCGGAGGGCGTAGCAGGGACTACGCCGGAAAATAGGCCGCGCTTCGCGTTCCTCGACGACCGTGATTTCGCAGCATTCTCCTCCTCCTGGCTCAGCGAGAACCCGCTGCTCAACATGTCGGCGAGAGAGTTTCGCGGATCGGCGCCCGTATTGTCCTGCGAGAAGAAGGACGGCGGCGCAAAATTCACATGGCCTTCGTCCGCTAGCTTCTTCTTGTCGCCGCCGAGCATGGTGCTCCCGCCGAAACGAGCGGTGAATATCTCCCGATCTTGCTTTATAGCCTGCGTTGCCGGGGAGCCGGGTTCACGAGTCTCTGGGCCGGCGCCTTGGGTGCGGGAGGGACCTTGGCCCAAAATGTCCGCTGCGACTGATCCCCGCGAGGGACGGGTGCGCCAAAGGGCTGTGCTTTGGCGACCCCAAAGTCCCGCAGCGCGGGGCAGGCTCCTCCGTACGTTCCCAGTCCATCTCCTCGGCGTACGCCGCCTGGCTAGGCCGCGGCGGCGCCCGGCTCGGAGGGGGCTCAAGTGTGGCGAAGGGGGAGACCAGTCGAGCTATACGGGCTGTCGAGGCCACTCGTCCTCGCGCGACTCGGCGTGTTGAGTATGTCATTCAATACGTCGGAGAGGTTCTGGGTTGCACTCTCGCGTTTGGCACCAGATCGAGTGATCCTTGGCTGCCGCACGGTTGGCATCTCTGCGGGCGCAAACAAGGGACTAGTGTCCAGCTTCACGCTCTTCCGGGCAAGAATATAGACCTGTTACATCGCGGTATTAGACTGGTGCTCTTGGGAGTGCAGCAGAGTTTCTCCCATGGAATCGGGAACTTACATAGAATATGAGGCCAGCCACAAAGGTATGGATGGCAAACTGGGCGTTGGCTTGCTCCGTGTGCTCCACCTCGAGGCTGGCAATCTTGGGGAACAGGTACCTGGCCGTGGCTAGCATACCCTGGAATGCATACCACTTAGGCAGCCCTACGATGGGCCTGGAGAATCCTCTCACCACCTCTGGAAACTTGGGATTCCACCAAATACCCAAGAGCGTCATTTGGAGAGAGATCCGGATCAAGCTGCCCGTGGAGGGTAGAAACCGGCTGGTCAAGTCCCAGGCGCGGAGCAGCCAGTGTTGCCTCGCCTCCAGGGAAAGGTCGGTGGAGACAACGTCGACGACGGCGGAGACGTGCCACAAGACCTGAGCTACGAAAGCGCTGTACCATAGCCACCTTCCTAGACCGTCCGTCAGCGACATCATGGTGCGTCTGCGGGGCGAGGTTCGATTTGCGCGACTCTTCTCCATGGCGGTGCGCAGGAAATCGGTTTTCGCAATGTAGCCCGCCGCGTTGAGCTTGGACAGGACCTTGGGCTCGCAGTCGGCGCACATTTGAGGATACCGGTCCTCCAGGTCTTGCCGAAATTTGTAGTATTTCCGCTCCAGGGCGGGATAGTCTGGGTGGTCGGGGTCATCGGGGAAGTACTGTGCCAAAGACGCGGTGTAAAGGTGCTGGTTCTTCAGGCACTGGGCGCAGAATATGCTTTGTGATGACTCGGGAGACTGCGGTGTCGGGGATCGCTGGAAGGCGTAGGCTTGCGACTGCGAGGCGGTGGTCGTCGCGACTGGAGGGTCGGTGATGTCGCCATCCTATATATCAAATTACCATCGTTAGAGTCCTGCGCGCTCACTCTAGCGGGCGGCTGGTGCCGAGACATTTAGGAACGGAACAAGAAAGGGGGATCGTGACGTACTTCATCGAGGTAGTTCGTCGCATCGCAGCGAGGACAAAGGATCTCGCTCTGGCCTTCAAATCTGATGCCAGTTGGACAGTTGCAGTAGAAGCAGCGCAGGTTATGCGACCTCCGAAATGGAGCCATGATTTAAGGGCTCATTACCAGGAATGTCGCATCCGGGGATTTTTCTTTCTTCTTTCTCTCTTTCGTTTAGAGAAAAGGGGAGCTTACAGATATAATCCCCGTATTTGTTGGTGGTCGGTGGTGTGCAAACTATGTGGACGCTTCGCGATGGTTCCTGATGTGTGACGTTGATTTCGGGTGGATATGGAAAAGGAAAAAAGTTGGCCGTGGTTGCTGGGGTGTCTGCAAGTCAATAATGGAGCGATTCATGAGAGGTTCAAGATATTGTTTTTGGTCGAGCCCAATCGGGTGGGTGAAGAAAATGAGGTGGGAACATTGATCATTAGCAGGCCAATGGTTCTTCATGGCTCGGGTCAAGGTCAAGTAGTGTACAAGGCAGTGTCGAGTTAGTTCCACCTAAAATGTTCGTTGGCTGTCATCCTCTCACACGCGAATAGACCTTGACGGCTTAGAGCTTGCCAGCAGCGAGTAGACATATCGGTAGACAGCAAGCCACAATGGCAAATTGGATTGCTCGATCTCGAAAGGGTTCTTTTTCGTGACCCTGTACTGAGCCTAAGATTCCCTATTGATCCTTCTACACTGAGTTGATGGTTTACTCGTGGGTGCGTGGCACGAGTATGGCTAGTGGGCTTTCAGACTCGTCTGCCAGGCCAGCATAAATTTAGTGGATCGTTAGAGGGTATCAATTACTACAAGCGTGCTCGTTGTCGTGGAAAAGGTGACCCGACACGACATTGAATTTTCGTCCCGAACGCGACTTCACCACGACAGGTTCGAGGTTTCGCCCCCATCATTCAGACCACATTCAATGCCCGGTCTTTGAACGGCGGAACGGAATTTACTTGGTCCTCCCATGACCGCGACGGGCCTCTCAAGATGTCGTTGCCCATCTTTAGCGGAGCCCTGGTCTTAGCCAGCGGCCTCGCGGTTGTAGCCACAGCACTTGAAGCTTCGTGGAAAGCATCAGCAACCTTTGCTCTCGGGGTTTCGCTCCTGCTGCGGTTTCTTGGGATTCCTACCCCCGTGATAATCATGAGCATCGCGGGTGGCTATGCTGTGCCGTTGGCCCAGTCTGTGTTCCGAGAACAGCCTTTGGAGACAGTCCTTCTAGCAAGTGCGCTAGGCATCCTTACTGTGGTGTGCTTCATCGAAGTAAGTTTCCTTCTGTTTGCTCCAATGCCTATAGCAGCGATGCACCGCAGCACTTCCCTCACATCTTTTTAACACGTGGATTAGGTCCGCCACGTCCAGTTAAGGCACAGGAGGCCGCGATCCCCAATGTCTGCTGCGTTGGCGATCAGCCAGGTCAAGGGATCTGGTTCTGATTTGCAACGGCGCCCTTGTTACGTACTTGCGGTTCTCGGCTCTGGCGGCCACACAAAAGAGATGCTTCTCATGATGGAGCACGGCTTTCCTAATTGGACGGGCATGCACCGCCGGTATTTGACCACGAGCGGAGACCAGATCTCGCTAAAGCACCTTGAAGCTTTCGAAAGCAAGGTTAAGCAGGATTGCAAGGTCGCTGGCAGCTACGACACCTTTGTAGTTGCTAGAGCCCGGCGTGTACACCAACCGCTCTACTCTGTACCGTGGTCCGCCCTGCGCTCAATTCTTGACATCTTCCCGGTCCTACTCTCGACCCCCAAGACAGGCACAGGAGATAGGTTAGCGACGTATCCGGATGTCATTGTCACAAACGGACCCGCCACCGGCTTCTTCGTTGCTCTCCTAGCTCATCTACTCAAGATTTTCTATCTCGTACCCGAGGATAAAATGCAGGTGTTGTTTATTGAGTCTTGGGCTCGTATCAAAACCCTCAGTCTGACTGGCAAGCTCTTCCACTTTACGGGCATTCCAGATCTCATGTTAGTCCAGCATGATGATGTCGCAAGAAAGTACAATCTCCCAAATGCAGGATGGCTAGTACTACCCGCTTCGATGCGGAATAAGGTAGTCCAATAGATTTATATAGCTGTGTGGTGTACATTGGTAAATGTGAATGCGTTATTGTACATGAGGAGGCACGAGGTACCCCAAGCTGCTTAAAGCTCACCGGGTGCAGCTTCAGCAGCACCCGCATCAGCAGCGTTTGCGCTGGGTGCCGCCGCTACAGGTGTCTCAGGGCCAGACCTCAGGGCGCGGAGCCTCTCGGTTTCGGCCGCAGCCCATACCTTCCACCGCTCGAACTCCTTGCCTTCGATCTCGTGGCCAATCTCCAACCTGGTCTTGCCGAAGTATGCGCCAACAAACTGGGCCTCCTCCTTAGCTATCCTCCTCTCGACCTCTTCTTCGTGACGGAGTGCGTAGAATTCTTTGCGCGCCTTATCGTAAGCCTCATCCTTTGGTAATCCGTTCTCCATGAGCCAAAGCTGTCGTTGCACAACACTGTCGGTCTGTTAGCGATCACTGAGAACAAAAGAAGACAGAAAAAAAAGAGAAGGAAAAAAAGAAGATGGTGGAAAGAGGTTGGTCGACGTACCACTCGCCCGAGAGAGCCATTCCAGGCTGCCTTACGCCCTTGCTCCAATCCAGCAGACGCGAGTCCTTTCCGTCCAGCTCGAGAATCATGCGAGGGCGCGCAAGCTCCCAGGGGTGGTCCTTGTAGAAAGCTTGTCGCAGAGCGTCCTCGGGGAACACGATCCTCTGGGGTCGATAGACGTTTCTCGGCCGCTTTTGCTTCTTGTTCACCTCTCTGAGCTGCACGGCAGGAGTCCTCGTTATCGTCTCGGCGGGGGATGTTGTAGAGAACGGGATACCACGGGGAGGCTTGACTTCGTATTTGGGCATCACCCTCGACTGAAGCTCCGCGGTCACCATCTGGTAGACCTTGGCAGGTCTTATCTGGCGACCCATGCTGGGCAGAATACGCGTATAACCCAGATGCGATTGGGCGCGGGCACGATAAAGGGTTGGTTGGAAGGGATTTCGCGTCGGGTCGGCGTTTCTCGACCTCGCTCGCAGTTGCTCGTCTTGTCTCGAACGATTTCCCTTTTCCAGATTGTTCAATGTCAAAAATTGAGAGTACTGCTGTTTGGCTCTATCCGATATTTAGCCGGGGTAGCAACGGCATATTCCGTATTACATACACCCCCACCGTCCACCCAATGCTTGTCCAGCAAATGCAAATGCAGTCCCTTCGATTATTACTTGTACAGAAGAAAAAGATTCTGAGCAAGACGACTTCATCACTTTCCTTTGATGCAATCACCACCCAAACCCAACCACCCGCCATTCTTTACCACACAAGATTAGGGCTCTCCTTCCCATTTTCTAACAGTCCTACAGTGACTTTCAGCCATGTTTCCGAGCTCATGAGAGTCCCTAGTCGTCTTGATGGGTCGACATGCCTCGCCATCCTCTCCCCTCGACCTGCATTCGCCTCCGCGCCCACCAGAACCCTTCAACCATGTCGCGACAATTCCTCCCAAAATCATCAACAAACGCGCCGCTACGCAGCTCCTCCTAGACAAATACCCTTGTCCCAGAAGAGAACCTGCTCTAATACAACCGCGTGGCTTCGATCGACCTTTCTCCCTCCTCTCTCCGCTCCCCAACGACCATCGACCTCTCATCGAGGCCTATGTAGCACCGCTCGTCAGCAAGCTCCCGCGAGCGCGGCTGCGGCACGAGCACCCTCTCCACCGCCACCAGAGGAAATCTCTGCTCACCAACTCACGAGAGATGAGCTGCTGTCCCTCGTTGACCAGCAGGGGTTGGCCCCGTCGAGGAGTACATACAGTTTCATCAGGACCCCTACCTGCGTCGATATCCCCAACCCGACGGGCCGCACCTTGTAGTTTCCGATCGGGCAGAAGACGACCATTATCCCAACAGGGAGCAAGCCGTCCATGGAAATAAGGAGGTGGAGCAGGCCTCGAGTCAGCTTTTGTGGCTCATCCGGAGTCGACTTCGTCACCCTCATCGCGTGAGCCTGGATGCCGTGTTCCGGCAGTATCTCAAGATCCCCGAACCTAGGATGCTTCACATATCGGCGCCCATGCGGCATTCCTTGCTTCGTGCTCTCGGAACGCCGGATCGCAAAGACTCCAAGTCGATGTTGAGGTACTTTGCCGCGATTGCTGATGTAAAAATTGCGGCCTCACATTGAGGCTTCCTGAGTGGAACTATGCTATGACCTTTGCCAGCAGATATGTTCGGAGGAAGACTGAAGCTGAGGCAGAGACAACGCTGAGACTCTGGAGCGAGATGGAACGACACGGTGGTATCAAGGGCAACGAAGTCACATTCAACATCCTATTCGACGTGGCATCAAAATCGGGCAATTTTGCCCTCGCCGACATGATCTACAAAGAAATGGACTCTCGGCAAATCAAGTTCAACCGCTACCACCACGTTAGCTTGATTCACTATTTTGGCCTCAAGATGGATGGCGACGGCGTTCGGGCCGCTTACAGAGAGATGGTAAACGCAGGCGAGACTGTGGATACCGTGGTACTCAACTGCGTCATATCTGGGCTGTTAAAAGCCGGCGAGGAATCGGCAGCCGAAGAGGTGTACCGCCGAATGAAGGATGGCGAGAAGGACGGATTCCGGACATTCCACAACGGGATTATGCGCCAAACAAAACGGTAACCAAGGTCCTCCAACTCCTTGGCAAGGCTGGCCTGCGGCGCAAACCCCGAAAGCTCGTGCGGCTAGCTCCGGATCTGCAGACTTACCGCATCTTTGTGAACCACTTCGCCTTGAAGAGTGGAGATCTAGCCAAGGTGGCTCAGTACCTCGATGAGATGAAGTGGTTCCGCGTACCCCTACACAGCACCATCTTCCTCGCCTTGTTCAAGGGCTTTGTCACCCACGGTGGCTTTGCGGGTGCTACATGGAGCGACCAGCGCCTGCACAGCGTGTTTTCCGCTTTGCTCGACGCCTTGGACGATCGAGCTAATCACATCCACGTCGAGGTATGGCTTGCGATGTGGATACTCCGGGCGTTCAAGAAGTGCACCACTCTAGATGATACCAAGGATGCCTACCCTCTTCTGCTAGAACGCATGTCACTCACCAAAGCTCAGGAGGCATTTATGGAAGACTTTTGTGTGATTTATTGAGCGGGAAGGATTTATCGGTATATAAACGGTCGGTCCCGTAAGGGGGTCTCGGGGAGCGAGCGACGAGTTACGCGTCAGGCTAGCTAGCTATAGATATATTGTACATAACTGTAAATACCCGCGGTTCTTCAAGAGATGCGAGAATCGACATTCACCTACTTTCTCATGTTCGAAGCTCCATGATTCACCTGTCGTTCGATGTTTTGGTTTCCTAGCTTTTATTTCCCGTAGCGAGATGAGCAACATTGAAGCTTAGTTGTTTGTATGCGCGAGCAAGTCACAAAATGGCGAACCATGACAAAGGCAACAATTAAAACAAAAGGAAAACGGTGTCTATTCGGTTGTTTTTTATGTACACGTTTTCTCCATCGAATTCGCAAACACTCTATCCCACATCTAAATAGCGCTCATCACGACTTCCCGCCCTAAGTCACAGGAAAGCCGCGAAAAACCAGCCATTCGTACCCAAGCAAGCGACGCCAGAGAGATATAGACGCTTAAGCCTTGGGCTTGTAGGTTTGCCAGGCTAAATGAACAACGTTAGCACGCCGGGATCTACGCCGTGTTTCCCCCAATTGACCAGCCAGACTGCAGCGACCGTTGGGAGGGACCAAGTATAGTGCGATACGCAAGAGGGAAAAAAAGTGTCGCAACGTACCGGCAATGCCGAAAGGAAGACCGAATCCGACAGCGCAGAAGGTCCAGTAGCCGACACCGAAGAACTTGGACTTGGTGTTGAAGGGAAGTTGCTTCGGGGACCCTCGGGGTAGTGGTAGGGCGAGGAGAGCTGGCCGCGGGTGGTAGAGAGGCCCTGCGGGCGACGGTACGGGTAGCGTTGGCGTACATGGCGAATAGGATCGGGGAGGCGAAAAAGGGGGACTGGAGCCGAGTTTTCGCGTTAGGAACACTATTTCGAGAGGCGATTGAGACCCTTTCGCGATCGAGGAGGACAGGTCGCTTACCTTTTGGCTTGAAGGGGGTGGGAAAAGGAGTGGAGATGTGACGATGGTTTTGCTGATTTCGAAGTTGAATTGGAATCGAGTGGTCTGAGGTTTCAATTCGGAAAGGCTTGGCAGTTCGGTAAAGCCTCGGTTTAGTGTCGATTTTCACCGCCTGCCTGTTTTGGGAGCTTATTCTTATTTTGCCGCATTGAATTGAGCTATCAGCTGTCGAGGATTACGGATTACTCACATCCACCCTTTGATGAATACATGGAAGCATCAATTGCGCTCTCATACGTGTAGGATCATCTCAATCCAATGCATATAACTCGCGATTTTATTTCTCTTCTTTTCCTCTTCATATGGACCTTCTATCCCCTGCTTAGAAACCTAGGGGCACTTTACCCGCGGCAATAGCGCAGCTGTGATGACGCACAGCTGGAAAGGTGTGTTCACGGTTTCCGAGTAGACCCTCGATAGTTGAAACGTCAAGGCTAGATATCGACTCGGGCTGTGACCAATTGGCATAAACTTCCTTTGATTAAGTTCCTTGTTCAGAACTAGGAGTGAATTGGCCAACTCCAACTGATCAACTTCCTGAGTTGGGGGAACCTGCAAGCTTTAGAGAGGCTATAAGATGAAACCTTTGCCTTCCTGTTTCCCTCTCAGCAGACTGAGAGCCTATACTATCAGGGCTCAGACCTAGGTGAGAATGAATAGGAACCGCTTTTCATGTTGTTTATTCTTCATAAAGTAGATGTGAATGTGTTGCTAGGTACACCAAGTGCCACGGCCCTAAATGAATCACTTGAGCTTACAAGGAAGGCACGACACTGTTATTCGGCATGCCAGACCTAACCCTATTGCCCTATTACCTTTATTTAAGGCTTTATTCCTACTTTTCGCTATTTTGTAAATCTTTTCAGTTTCTCCTTCTCTCGCTCACCTCCCAGCTCTCAGCACTTTATCTCTTCATCGTATAAGCAGGAAGCAGCCCTATTCACCAAAGCATCGCTTATACTTTTGAAGTATCTTTTCTTGGCTCCCGAAAGAAAAGAGACAATAAGCCAATCTCCCAAACGCGTTCTAGTCCCACGCCATCTCAAAATGGCCTTGAACAAAGAGCAAGCCCGGTTCGCCCTTCTCCGAGGTGCACTGGGGCTTTTCCACCCTGGCGATGTTCAGCCCGCATCTATTGACCAGGCATGGTTTAAGCCCGGTATCAAAGACCTGCTACTGGTCAGCATCGATGTGGAATCGAGGAATGAACGCGGGAGCGGGCAGGGCAGCCCCGCGTATACGTTTAACTGCGGCGTGTCAATCCTTGACCTGCGCGATGTATGCAAATACATTGTCGATTCCGCTTCTCCATCGACCCAACTCACCGCTGCGCAACTGGAGCTCCCAAAGATCGAGGCTCTTCATTTCGCTGTAGGCACGCAAACCGACGATAATCGCCGGTTCTTGGGCCGCGGAGCCGCTTTCGTGAATGGGTATGAGCCACACTCGACAGAGTCCTTTGTTCAACGAGTCCAAGGCTTGATTGGAGTGCGAGATTTTATCCTCGTAACCCATGCAGGGTACGGGGATTATCGAGGGTGGAGGGCCTGCAACTTCCAAAAACGTCCTCTTTGGACAATAGACACCAGTCTACTTGCCCGGCACCTTTATCCTGAGAATGGCAACGATTCCCCATCTCTAGGTGCGCTACTGACGTCGTTTGGTGTCCCACACCAAGCATCCCAGCTGCATCTTGCGGGGTATGATGCCCTCTATACCCTCAAAGTACTCCTTGTCATGCTTGCCTTGAACGCTCCCATTCCTATAAATATGGATCAAAAAACCGCAACATTTCCTTGGGAAGCAGTTCGGCGTGTGGTATGCGAACTGGGCCGTTACGGAAATGGGATTGACTTTCCCAGGACTACTTCAGCTGCCCAACTCCTCCATCAGCCTGTGGGCGGAAAGGGGGCTGAGGGCCTGGGGGCATCTCATGAGGCCTAGTCGACACAACTCCAGATACAAGCAGGCCGACTGTCGTTCCAAAGTAGGCAAGAGGGTTAGAAAGGGTCCTGGGCCGGAGAGAGCTGAGTCAAGCTCAATAAGGCGGAGTGTTCGATTATTTTTGAAAAATACGGCACTGGGCTCTTTCAATGCTGCTAGATCAATAATTGATCAGCACTTTGCTGAGGCTAAAAATGGCGCCGGAAATGATTCTGCTACGAGGACCGATCCTGGCCTTGACGCAAGTTTTGCCCAGGATCTTGGTTCTTCGTTGAGAATCTCTTCGAGTGGTGAAGATGCTCTGAAGGAGGGTGGCCTTGGCCACGGTTCCAACGCTCCAGCTAGCAGTCTCGGAGGCGGCCTCTAGGAACGGACGTCTCGAGCATTAATGGTGACACCACGAGCGCAGACCTCACTTGCCCAGGCAGGGAAATCCAAGGGAGAGAAGAGAAGAGAAGACTCCCGGCACGAGGTCGCAGCTGCACCACATGACTTGGCTTGTGGCCGAGGAACCCCATGGTCAACCTTCAGGGCCACTACAGCACCGTGGCAAATTCTACCCGACTCTGTTGGTCTCCAGGAAAGCCCCAGTAAGGCCTGGGTTGTACCAGCAGGGGCGGCAGTCCCCCACTTGAATGATGTGCTTGATGAAGTCGATCCGAATCGGGGCGGGGCAACTAGTGAAAGCCCCTCACTCCCTCAGTCTCTTCGGAGAGTGAATAAACTCAAGAAGCGAAGGGCAGAACCCGTCGCCCAGGCTCAACAAGAAGAGCAGGACCATTTCTCTATGTTTAAGGAACAAATGGCAGAACCTGTCGTCCGGGCTCGCCCAGGGGAACGGCGCCGTGCCTTAAAGTCTAAGAGACGCAGGGTAGAAGCCGCCGTCCGGGCTCGCCAAGAAGAACAGCGCCGTTTCCCTTTGTCTGGCAATATTCCTGCTGAGATTATGACAACCGATAGGCGGGAAATCCTTTACGAGGTGATCCCGCTCAACGCCAGTATCTCTAACTAGGAAAAATAGAGAAGGGGAGGATTAACCTGGCCGGCTAGGAAGGGGGTAGTCTATTGGCTTGGGAGCAAAGTCGGTTGGTCACAAGATCACTGGCTCTTCTAGCATGACGGAGATTGTAAGTTTGCAGGCTGATCTGTTTCTATCACGACATATTTCAAGGGCCTCTTCAGGCTGAGAGTTTTAGCTGACCTTTCTTTAGGGAGACCTCGCAGGATTGCCTCGGATATAGGGAACTGTGATTGATGAGCTTACCTTTTAGGAAACGGATACCTTGATGTTTTGAAACACCTTGCCACTCCCGATATTCGAGATTGAGTAAAATTGTGATCATGTAAGTCACCGCCCCTCCACGCGTCTAGGCTGGGTTGTAGCTGGGTACCGGCATTACCTCGTCAAGGCAGCTTCTCGTCTAGCAAAGCTGACCAGAGCCGGTAGGCAAATTTTTGTTGCGAATTTGTACCCAAAAGGAGGATTTACGTTGGAAGCGCACGCCCTTGGCTCACCATGCTGGTCTCTTCAACGGCCGCCCTCGCAAACTCGGCCCACCACTAGAGCCTTCAAGGCTATGCTTGTCGCTTTCTTTTTCTTTTGAGATTGGATCGAGCACTCCGACCTATAGAGCAGAGCATTTAAAGCAACAAGGGTAGAGGAACGGTAGATGACTGTGGCTACGACGATTGCAAGCTTCAAGTTTTGTTGACCATGTTGCAAGTGAATCGTGCGATAAAAAAGGAAGACAAACACGCCCTATTCTAGATCGCATACGGATTGAGAGTTTGGTGAAATTGATTTCGTCTAAATTATTTCTGTCCTTGGTCGTAATCATACACGGCATTTGGTGCCGTTTACATGTCGTCTATCGCTGAGTCTACTAGTACACGTTTTGTTCACTCTATGGACGGACACAGAGAAGAAGATAGGTCGAGAAGATCATTCCCCAAGGTCAAGCTTTGTCTCTGTAAGAAGGAGCTCGCGTAGTGAGGTGCTCTCTCTCATATATACCCAGTCTTTGACCTTGGTCCCCGACTCAGGATCCGTGTATTCGACATAGTCGTAACGTTTAGGGCCAGAGATGGGCGAGGAGAGCCAAATCTGCTTGTTCGGTGGCTGCTTGTTGATGACATAGGTCCCGATGTTGGGGACAGAAACCGTCATTACGCCAGCCTAGCAAGGTTGTTAGCGACTACCGGCTCTCTTTAGTAAAGGGGGAGGCAGGACACATACAGCCAGCTCAACGTCCAGGTCGCCGATTTCCTCCACCATGTCCTCGTATCTAGTGAGTATCAAGTCAAGATACTCGTCCGCGATATCGTGGTACTCGCGGTCGGCGAGCTTGACAACCTTGTAGCGTGGGCGCCGAGGGTTAGATTCGGAGGTGGACTCGGACGGCGCAGCCGGGGCGTTGTCGGAGAAGAGCCGGCGCGAAGACGGCGACCACATCTGGCTGGGAGATGCACAGACGCGGCGTGACGAGGTGAGGGCGGCGGGTACGGGGGTGTGGCGGAGGGTAAAGAGAGGGCGGGGCGCGGTCCGGAGGAGGAGGATGTTGCGGCGGGCCGGGACCCGGAGACCTGTCGTTGGTCGCATGGCTTGGGTCGCGCGGATGTGGAAGAGAGGGGAGGAACTTTGCGCTGCGCGGGCGAGTACGGGCCTCAGGTGGTATTTAAGTCGGGTGAAGTCCCAACGGTAAGTCGATATGAGCGCCCGTATGGAATGGTGGCGGAGACTAGGATTGGTATTGGGGGTGGGAAATAAAAAAGATACTGCGCGAGTGAAGGGGAAGCTCTGAGCACGTCAATTCTTAAGCCGAGAAAGTAGGTACCTGAATGATGACTTGCCTTTTTTCTCCCTTTGCTCATTCGGTTGCTTCCGGGTGGTCCGAGCGTCCTTCTGGCGAGAAATCTCCAGCGCAACGAACCAACTTCTTTCTAAAGAAATCATACTCCTCCACCATCGAGGAATCGCAAACGATTGCTAATAGCCTCTATACTATTCTTGGCCCGAGAGATACGACCTCCTCGAAACTCGTTAGTCGGAATTCCAACCTCTGCGTCCCGAGTAAAAAGAAAAAGAAATGCTACGAACTCTGGTGCGGCGGAGCGCTGCCGCCGCCACCGAAAGGCCGCCCTTGACCATCTACACGAACCCGTACCAAACGAAGAAGATTTGGCCACCCGACTACAAGCAGCTTTCGTGGCAGGATCAATTGAAATTTGAAAAGAAGTACAAGAGGAGGGTGATTTTGGCGTCTAGGCGGCCAAAGTGGGACAAGGGAGTGAAGCTGGCGCAGCTTGCGACAACAGTCGGTACGTTGGCCTTCATTTTATTTTTGGGTGCTTAGGGAAGCGGCGGTTGTTCAACGAGGAAATTAATTCCTCTGAGGGTAATCGGGGAGCGGGCTGCGCAAGAGGCTAACAAGATATTTCCGTCTACAGGTGTGCTTTCGTGGCTCTTCTTCTTCGCCGAGCTGGAGTTCCATGGAAAGAGATACGTGCCCAACGAAGAGGTGAGTTTCCCACTCTAGAAGCCTATCTCCGTGTTTCTATTCCTTTCTCTCTCCTCTTTTCTCACAGTGGCTAACCATCCTTGGGGTAACAGATCAAGAAAGGTGTCGGTACGCTCTGGGGCATCTTTGACGAATCCAATCGATATGGCGACCCGAACGCCGCGAACATCCCCCAGCTAGTTAATGACCGCTCCGATCGACCGAGGTAGAGTTAGGAGCCTGGGGATAGGTGGCGGGGCCGCATTTGTTACGATATGGAGACAACCAAAGAAAAAAACATTTTTGCATCATAAGGCTGGAGTTACAATGCTTGTAAAGTAGGGATAAACGTCTATCGGGAGAGCCAAAAGGCAGAGTACGATAGTTTTCGGGGACTCTCTATTTGTGTTTAGGGAGGCCAGGTTAAACCAAGAAACCCAACGACTCTCTTCTCATATCCCAATTAATCTATCGTTATCGTATCTGGTATCTTTTGTTCATTTCTTGTTTTTGATTTCAGAATGCCTGCAAGGCCGGCCAACTATCTCCCTGACCAGCCAAAGTTGGTGCCCATGCCCAGGCCCGCACCAAGTCCCGCGCCCCTGCTCTCGTTAACGGGCCGCTTGGCCACGGTGCCCTGTGCCCTGACGCCCGAGACGATGCGGTCCAGGTTGGTCTCGACCACGACCCCGCCGACAATCATTTCGCTGAGGGCAGCGTGCAAGCTCTCAAAGTTGAAGATGAGATCAAGCTCGCAGACGTTCTCGAATAGGCGATCGAGGGCCTCGACGTAGACCTGGATGAGATCGATGAGGGCCAGAGGCGACTCGGTAGAAGTAGATATTATGATGAAGAAGAGGGTGGCATAGTTGCGGTAGGTGACGAGAGAGGGACGTCGTTCTGCTCGTCGGACGAGGTCGTCGAGGTGCCGGAGGCGGCGAGGAGGGGTGGGAGGGGCAGGAAATTGCAAGAGCCGACGGGTCGGTTGGAGACGAGGGTGAAGATTTCGGAGATGAGGCGCTGCTGTATGCTTGTGTCCTATCTTGGGGGTTAGCTTGCGTGAGGACCGATGTTGGTGGGGGAAGGGAAGGCGCCGGGTCGTCACGGGGGCGGGGGTTCGACTTGCGAGCTGGGTGTAGAACTTGGTGAGGCGGGGTTGGCCCGAGCCGTTGAAGACGAGGAAGGCGTTGATCATGGTCGGTTTGGTATGGTTCAGGCACAGAGGCCTATGGTTTGAAGAAGAGAAGGGGCTTCAGGCCATCTACAGTATGTCGTAAATCACGGAGACACCCAATCTTCACGAGCTGCGCTGGTCCAGGAGCTAGCACTGCGTCCAAAGCAGGGTCGGTCGCAAGAAGATAGGCTGGTCGCTCTGGTGTGCTCGCGACGTAAATTGAGCACTCGCTTAAGCCACACCAAACTGTGGCAAAGCACCTAGAATTACGCTGTCAAATGTAGTTGCGAGTGTTCTTAGCGCTAATTGACCCATGAGCCGTCGCTATGCTCCATTCCGCTTTCCAAGGTTCTGGTATGCTCCAGGCGCAGCTTCGAGCGTTTTCATTGAAGTGCGATGGCGGGGTACTAGTACTCATGCTTCCAGGAAACATCGCTTCGGCTGCTAGGTAAAGGAACATCAATAGGACTGACAGAGGCTGAAACCTCTGCGGGCTTCTGACTCATCTAGGTACCCCTCCAAAACCCGCTGTCCAGGACCCCGCAAAGTGTGGCGTAGGCTGCTTGTTGCAAAATCTCCCACAGTCAAAGAAGGCGGCTTCGGGCAACAAGTTTCACCCGGTCTACTAACACAAAATCCACCCCTTCCAACTGCCATTATCCTCAGCAACGCTCGAGATTTAGACAATGGAAGGCCAGAGTTCAAAGGTCAAGGAGCTCAAGGGCGTAAGTGTTTTCCGGCGCCTATCGAACAAGTTCCAGCTTCCTTCGTGTGCTCACGAGCCCAAAGTGAAAAGTACCCCGCTGACCTCTTTTTTTTTGGGTTGCCCCGCCATAGACCGAGAAGCGCGACGCCCTCACTGCATGGGAGCGCGAGTGCCAGGCCGTAAGTCTTTTCTTTCTTAGACCTCGCGCATCCCTTGACTTTGGATATGAAATATGAACTAACGCCCGGTAGAAATGGGACGCCGACCGTGTGTTTGAGGCGAACCCGCCGTCAATTGACGATATCCCCCTCGACTCCATCTCTGCCGCCGATCTCCGCGAAAAGTTCCCACGATGGCACGGAAACATTGCCTACCCTTACATGGTATGAAGTGATTACCCGAAGGCCCTCCTCGAATCCCGATTGAACCCCGGTTAGCGCTGAGATACTAACATGGACCATAGAACGGCGCCCTTCACGCCGGCCACTCTTTCTCCATTTCCAAGGTTGAGTTCCAGGCTGGTGTCGCCCGCCTGAACGGCAAGAATGCGCTCTTCCCCATGGGTTTCCACTGCACCGGTATGCCCATCAAGGCATGCGCCGATAAGCTCACAAAGGAGATTGAAATGTTTGGACGGGACTTCGAGGGCTACAACGAGGCGGCCGAGCAGGCCGAGGCCCCCAAGGCAGCCCCCGCCCCGGCCGCGGCAAAGGAGGATCCCACCAAGTTCAAGGCCCAGAAGAGCAAGGTTGCCGCAAAGAGCGTCAAGGCCAAGTACCAATTCCAGATTATGAAGTCCATCGGCATCCCCACCGAGGAAATCCACCACTTCGCCGATGCCAGCCATTGGATCACCTTCTTCAGCCCTCTGGCGGAGCGCGATCTCAGGAGCTTCGGTTCCCGCATCGATTGGAGGCGCAGCTTCGTCACGACCGACCTAAATCCCTATTACGACCAGTTTGTGCGCTGGCACATGAAGCGCCTGAGGAGGCGGGAAAGATGAAGTTCGGCAAGCGTTACACCATTTACTCCATCAAGGACGGCCAGCCCTGCATGGACCACGACAGGTCCCAGGGTGAGGCTCTTAACCCCCAAGAGGTACGGCGCCCTTCTTCTTACTTAGGCTCATCTCCCATATCTGTTTTGGCAGCTCAATCTAACACCAGCGCGTTCTTAGTACACTGCCATGAAGCTCAAGGTTCTCGAGTGGGCCCCCAAGGCCGCTGAGGCCGTCAAGGGAAAGCTCCCCGAAGGTGCCAATGTTTACTTGGTCCCCGCTACCCTCAGGCCCGAGACCATGTACGGCCAGATCTGCTGCTTCGTCGGCCCTAAGCTCCAGTACGGAATCTACCAAGCCTCGGAGAATGACTACTATGTCATTACCGAGCGCGCGGCAAGGAATATGGCCTATCAGGGCATCTTCCAGGAGAACGGCGTCATCAAGAAGGTCGCCGACCTCGAGGGATCTGATCTGATTGGGTCGCTCATCAACGCCCCGCTGTCCTTCTATAAGGACGGAGTCCGCGTTCTCCCCATGGAGACTGTTCTAGCTACCAAGGGTACTGGTGTCGTCACCTGCGTCCCCTCCGACAGCCCTGACGACTATGCTACGATTACTGATCTCGTCAAGAAGCCCGAATACTACGGCATCCAGAAGGAGTGGGCCGACCTTGAAATCATCCCTCTCATCGATACCCCTACCTACGGCAACAAGTGCGCCGAGGCCCTTGTCAAGGAGCTCAAGATTTCCTCCCCAAGGATACTGTGCAGCTTGCCAAGGCCAAGGAGCTTGCCTACAAGGAGGGTTTCTACCAGGGTGTCATGATTGTCGGTGATTTCAAGGGCGAGAAGGTCGAGGTTGCCAAGGGCAAGGTCCGACAGCAACTCTTCGACAACAACGACGCCTTTGCCTACTCGGAGCCGGAGGGTCTCGTAATCTCCCGCTCTGGTGACGAGTGTATCGTCGCCCTCATGGACCAGTGGTTCATTGAGTACGGCGAGGAGTCGTGGAAGAAGGTTGCTCTCGACTTTGTTGATGATGGCCTGAACACTTACTTCCCCGAGACCAAGAACGCCTTTGAGGGTGTTCTCAACTGGCTCAAGGACTGGGCCGTCAGCCGAAACTATGGCCTTGGAAGCAGGCTTCCGTGGGACGAAAAGGTCTTGGTCGAGTCTCTCTCTGACAGCACCATCTACATGGCCTACTACACCATCTGCCACGTAAGTTATCTTGGGCGCCTCTTCTGTTACAAATTATGTGTGGCATGTTAGCTAACTCGACATTCCTCTTCCCCATTAGCTTTTGCACACCGACATATACGGCCGTGAAAAGGGCGCGGCCAACGTAGAAGCGAGCCAAATGGTTGATGAGGTTTGGGATTACGTATTTTCTCGCCGCGAATACGATGATTCTATCGCCGAGATCTCCAAGATCCCCAAGAAGACCCTTGAAACCCTTCGCAGGTCTTTTGAATACTTCTACCCCATCGACGTTCGCGTGTCGGGCCGCGACTTGATCCCTAACCACTTGACTGTAAGTTGACCACGCTGCTCAAAAATCTTTTTTTAGATGTTGAGATGTTAATTATTTCTCATTCTAGTTCTGCATCTACAACCACATCGCCATGTTCTCCAGGGAATACTGGCCCAGGTCCATTCGCGCCAATGGTCATCTTCTCCTCAACGGTGAAAAGATGTCCAAGTCTACGGGAACTTTCTTGACACTCCACGAGCTCGTTGCCAAGTACGGCGCTGATGGCGCGCGCATCGCCCTCGCGGATGCCGGCGATTCCATCTCGGATGCCAACTTTGAGGAAGATGTAGCGGACAACAGCATTCTCCGCATGTTCACCCTTCGCGAGTGGTGCGAGGAGGTCACGCGTGAAAAGGCAAGCCTCAGGACCGGCGAGCTCAACTCGTACCAGGATCGCTTCTTTGAAAACGAGATGAACGCGGCGGCCACAGAGGCTATCTCTCAGTACAACCAGACCAACTACAAGCTTGCCCTCAAGGCGGCTCTCTACGACCTCTCGGCGGCGCGTGACTTTTATCGTGAGGCGTGTATCTCGGGCGGTATCTCTCTGCATGCCGACCTCGTGGACAAGTGGATGCGCCTGCTCGCCATCCTCTTGTCACCCATCACTCCTCACTTTTCCGAGTACATCTGGATCAAGGTTCTTGGCGAGAAGGATACCATCCACCGCGCACGGTTCCCCGAAGTCCCCGCCGTTGACCCAATCCTCTCGGCCGCCCGCGAGTACATCAAGGACACGGCCTCCAACGTCAACTCGGCCGAGTCCAACCAGCTCAAGAAGAAGGCCAAGGGCAAGGCCACTGCCTTTGACCCCAAGAAGGCCAAGAAGCTCACGATTTGCGTGTCCACCACCTTCCCCGCCTGGCAGGACAAGTACATTGAGCTCCTCCGCGAGATGTGGGATCCGGCCACGAAGTCGGTCAACGACAAGGAACTCAACGGCAAGATTGGTAAGATGGGCGAGATGAAGAAGGCCATGCCGTTTGTGCAGGCCCTCAAGAAGCGTCTCTCCTCGGGCGAGCCCGTCAACGTCGTCCTTGACCGTAAGCTCGCCTTTGATGAGACGGATATTCTCAAGCAGATGGTGCCCGGCCTCAAGAGGTCGGCTAACCTCAAGGAGGTGGACATCCTCATCCTCACGGACGAGGGCAAGAAGGCGGTGGACCTCGAGGGCAAGGAAGTGCCTCTAACGATACCGGCGGAGAACGCAGTGCCTGGATCCCCAGTCTTCCATTTCGAGAATGTAGCAGAGGGTGAGGAGAAGACCTTGGAGATCAGATAGGCCTCTCTCGCAGTATGCGGGTGTGTGCAAGTGTGTATGTGAGAAAGAAGCGCAACGGAGAACTGGTAAAAATAAGATGAATGAATCGAAAGGGATTACATCATTCCCGTTTTGTTCATTGTAAAATTGATGATTGATTGTCTACTTTTAAATATTTTTGTATATGACGTGCCTTGATTGCAGAATCTCTTTTGGAGAATGTGATATTTCTAACTTACTCCTCCTAAGCAGACAGCCATGGCTTGTCAAGCTGTAGCCCTCGCCGCTGGAGAAACGGTCTTTAAGCCTATGCCACGTTGACGCCCCTGGCCCAGGTCTTGTAGAATCCACGTATCCCCTGCTTACGGCGCAATCAAATGTCTTCTACCCCGAAGGAGCCTCATCCCAAGATGCGGCAAGTCATCGTTCGGAAGAGCCTTCAACCCTTCATTGAGCTCTATCATTCGCCACGCCGACTTCTGCATTGCCTTGCCAGAGGGTTTCCTGATTCCGGTCGCACTCTCAAACCGAGAACATGCCGGCTTCGTCAAGGCCGAACTCCACGGTTCTTGTTGCACAAGTTTTGCCTTGGTAAGCGTTTGGGTGCCAATTATGGCGTTCAACACCTCCGAGCTCTGCTACTCGTGGCTCTTGTCGGTGCTGGTCGCCTTGCAAGGCGACTTGACCTTTTCGCCCACATTATCTTTGCCCCGAGGTGAGGAGCACGTACAGGCTGCACTTGGCGTCACGAAGGGGAAACTCGAGGTCGTAAAAGGCCAATATTTTCTCACGACATGGCCGGATTGCCTAGTGGGGCGCAGAGGTGGCGCGGAGTGGCTTTGGGTACGATCGGTTACCACGGAGGCTGGGCGCGCGACGGAGTCTTGTTTCCTGTTATACGGAAGAAAGGCGATAGAGAACCCTAAGCCGTGACGGAAGTGGGCGCGGCGCCGGAGGTATTGGGCTCGGGTGGGAGGTCGTCCTAAGGCGAAGGAGAAGATTAGCTAGGGCATCTTGAAAGACAAAAGATTAGCCCGTCGAAGACACACCAAGGAAAATATGACCCGAATCATGAGGCTGCAGCTAGGGCAGACAGCGATATCGGCCTCATCGCGAAGGTCAAACAAAGAAATCTCGAAGCGGTCGCCACAGGGGCAGGGATAGGTGTATAGTTCGCGGTCGGCGTCGTAGGTCATGTCTTCGATCTCGATCTCGTCGTAGACGGAGAGCTCTTCGTCGTCAGACATGGTGGATGGTGCCGTTAATGGTGCCTTCTTTCTCGGGCTTGTTATCGTATGAAATAGGGCCCAGGTTGCGCCAGAAAAGGTCGTTGGAGTCGTGCTGCTTTGGAGGCGAATAAATTTCGGTGTTTGGTGGTGGGGTGGGAAGGCGCATTGGAGGGGGAATAAGAAAAGAACGTCCTAAAAAAAAGTTCGAGGTGCAAGAAAGAGCGATTTAGCACTGTGCGACCCCGCGTCTGTGGCTTGACGACTGCTGGAAGTCTGAGGCGGTGCAAATTGAAGAACCACCCATGCTCGCTGACTCATTGAGTGGCACGCTAAACGGCATCACATGCTTGCAAAGAATATTGGTGCTTGCAAATCCGGGGTGGCTCGGTTTCTGAGTTTCCTTGGCGGCCGAGGACGTAATTGGTAGTGACGCTGGATGGTTCCTGGGGTAGAATCGTCCGCTCTTCATATTACCTTGTGACTTTTGACCTGTGAAAGTCGAGGTAGACAGAGCCAGGTTGGAACTGAACCACGAGCTCTCGGAGGTGACAGCTTAAGTTTCCGTCTTTTACTTTTTTTCTTTTTCCTTGTCCTGTCTGTCCCGCCGCCCCCTCTTGATTCATCAAGGGGTCTGTCTATTCCGTTCAAAGAATTTCTTTCCTATCAATTTCATGCGTCTAGAATGCCAATGGATTGAGTCTAGTTCCTGAAAGAGAGAACGGAAAGACGCCATCCTCGTTTTAGTGTCGCTGGCGGACCTGGTGGGACAACGCCTGTGCAAAGGTCACTCTCTCCACTTCGAACCTCGGGTCTGTTCCACACGTGCGAATCGTCATCGATTCCCCAAATTCAATCCTCGTCCTTGTTTTTGATTTGGTCAATTTGTCCTTCACCTCCCCCTTTCCCTTTCAACAATTGCCGACGACAATTCGCGATCAAGGAGCTACAGACACAGACCAATTACCTGTTTCCGATCTCAGCCATAACCTTGTCTCTCTCTCAGAGCGGACAGGATGGCGGTCCAATCCAAGATATCGGGCCACATCCGCACGGTCCGCGGCGTGATAACCACGCTCACGAAACTCTACCTCGCCAACCGCGGCCGCATCTCCAAAGCCGTCTGGATCACGCTCTTAGTAGCGCTAGTGAATCGCGTGCGCCATGCGATATCCGAGCAAAGGCGGCCTCGCAGCGCGACGCCGAGCTGCACCGCACCCGACGTAGCACGGTCTCCATCGAGGACAACAGCGAGGGCGACGGCGCAGGCGCGGGTAAGAAGCGCAAAAGGTGGAGCTGAACCGCGAGTTCTTCCGGTCGCTACTGCGGCTGCTCAAGGTGGTGGTGCCGGGATGGAAGACGAAGGAGGCGCGCCTCCTCATCAGCCACTCGTTCTTTTTGGTCGTAAGGACGCTGATCAGCGTCAAGGTCGCGGCGATGGACGGCGCCATCGTCAAGAGCTTGGTCAAGGGCAACGGGCGGGAGTTTTTGATGAGGATCGTGTGGTGGATGCTAATTGCCGTGCCGGCGACGTTTACGAATTCAATGGTAGGCTTCTTTTGCCCCTTCTAATGGATGGGCTATTCCTGCGGCCTCGGCAATGCTAACCACGCAAACTATCTTGATTACAGCTTTCCTATCACCAGGCTGAGCTCTCGCTCAAGTACCGGGCAAGACTAACACAGTTCATCCACGATAAGTATCTATCGCAACTCACCTTCTATGGCCTATCTGCGCTGGATGATCGGATAAAGAATCCGGACCAGCTGATTGCTGTGGACGTGGCCAAATTCTCCAACAGCTTGGCTGAGCTTTACAGCAACCTCGCCAAACCCCTCCTCGACATGGTAAGCCACTTCTCTCCTCCCTGACTTGATGGGGATTCCGCAGACAGTCTAACTCTCTTCCCCTTCCCTTCCTATTAGACCATCTATACCTATTCCCTCTCCCGTAGTGTCGGAGGAGAGGGCGTCGTCTTCATGGCGTTGCTTGTGCAGCTCTCAGCCAACGTGATGCGCGCGCTCACGCCGCCGTTCGGCAAGTACGTGGCGGACGAGGCGAGACTGGAGGGAGAGTTTAGGTTCCAGCACTCTCGCTTGATAGACTATAGCGAAGAGGTAGCGCTGTATGCGGGCCACGAGGCAGAGAAGGATACCCTCGACAAGGGGTACTTCACCCTCATCAAGCACGTCAACTACATCCTCCGACGGCGCTTCTACCACGGCTTCATGGAGGACTTTGTCATTAAATACTTCTGGGGCGCCCTCGGCCTGGTGCTCTGCAGTGTGCCTGTCTTCGTCAAGCTCCCGGGGCAAGTGGCCATGAACACCGGAGATAGGACGGAGAGTTTCGTCACCAACAGGCGCATGCTCCTCTCGGCCTCGGACGCGTTTGGACGTGTCATGTTCTCGTACAGGGAGATTATGGAGCTAGCAGGTTACACGTCACGGGTAGCTTCGCTGCTCGATGTCATGGATGATATCCAGGCGGGCCATTTCGAAAAGAGGCTCGTCTCGAGTTCCGGTACAGAAGACAACGAGGCGGTGCTCAAGGGCCGTGGAACTGTGGTGGAGAGCAAGAACATCCAGTTCATCGATGTGTAGGTTCCCATGCCCCATTCACGGAGTTTAAGCCCAGCTCAGATACATTTCTTCCGCCTTAAGAAGCCACCACTAACGCTTTTTCCCCTCCTTAGGCCTATCATCTCCCCAACGGCGACGTCCTTGTCAAGGCTCTCTCGTTCTCGCTCAAGCAGGGCGACCACTTGCTTGTGCTAGGGCCGAACGGATGTGGAAAGTCGTCTCTATTCCGCATCCTCGGCGGCCTTTGGCCCGTGTATGGCGGCACCGTGCACAAGCCCCCTTTAGTGACATCTTTTACATCCCCCAGCGCCCTTACCTTAGCCGCGGCTCTCTCCGCCAACAAATCATCTACCCGGACAGCCTTCGGGGGATGCGGGCCAAGTCTGTCACGGACGCAGATCTCCTCAACATTCTCACTTCACTGGGCCTCGAACACCTTGTAGAGCTGTACGATGAGGGATGGGATGCGGAGGCGGAGTGGCGAGATGTGCTATCGGGCGGCCTACAGCAGCGCGTGGCAATGGCGCGGCTCTTCTACCACAAGCCGCGTTATGCGATTCTCGACGAGTGCACGAGCAGCGTGACGCTCGAGATTGAGAAGGCCATGTACGAGGGAGCCAAGGCGCTGGACATCACTCTCATGACGGTGAGCCACCGACGCAGTCTGTGGAAGTACCACAGCTGGATCCTGCAGTTCGACGGGCAGGGCCATTACGTATTTACCAAGCTCGACGCGGATAAGAGGCTGAAGCTGGAAGACGAGAAGGAGGAGCTCGAGGTGCTGCTAAGGCAGGTACCCGAGCTGGAGAGGAGGATGGAAGAGTTGACCTCTAGCTAGAGAGAGGAAACCTGTATATTTGAGTCGAACCCCGTCTTCGGTGGGTCGTTTACATCCCACCGACGCACCACCGCTTTACGCACCGACGTCTTTCCATATCCGAATCGCAGTTGTATAAGACAAACTTGGTCTATTGCGAAGGAAGACACGTATCAAGGGACGCGCCAGTCGACGTATACGCATGGAGGCAGCTAGGCGTACCTATATATCATTAAGAACTCTTAATAATTCAGCGTAGAAGGCCTCTTGGATTTCATAGCCCGACTCCGACATAGAGAGGATCAATGTACATTTTAAGCGATATACCTTGGTAGAGATGTGGATCTAGAGAAAATCACTAATAAATGCTACACCGATCTTTGCAAACCACCAACCAAGCGAGAGAGCAGAAAGCTCGATTCCTCATGTCCCTTCACCCCCTTCCCGCAGACCCTATAGTCACAGAGAGCTTGAACGACGGTGAATGGTATTCATCTTCTCCCCTGTTGCAGGAAAAGAACCCACTTTTCCCCGCCGCCACGCAACCATGCCAGGCCACTCAGCAACGCAGGTGAGGCGGGCGGTCTGGCAGCCAATCCGCGCGTGCAGCTACCTGGGCGAAGCGAACTGGTGGCGGCCGGGCCTTTGGGCTCGTTGTTTCGAGGCGAGACGAGGGGCAAAAACAAGAGGAAACCCGAAAGAAAAAAAAAAAGAGAAAAAAAGAAAAAGAAGAAAGGTAAATGGGTGGGTGGCGCGGTATACTCGGGGAGGTGTCGCCTTGAACTATTCTTGAGGGGGTTGAGGTGCAGACTTCCGATGTCGATATTGGGTGGAGTACATGGAGCAGTGCCCGACGGCGGGGGCCAAGAGGTGAAGTCAAGGGAGACAGACATATTGATGGGAATCGTTTTATCCCCCTTTCCTTTCCTTTTCCTTGCTAAAGTCTGTGAAACCACACAGGTGAGAGAAAGAATAGCATCTATATGCAAGAGAGAAAAAGGGATTAGAAAGAACAGTATCCTCCTCTTTTTGGTTCTTAGTCCACCCCCTTCCCTTCCATCTTGGGGGCAGGTAAGGAGGGTGCAGCTTGCATCAAAACCCCCCTTTGATCCTTCCCTTCATATCTTGGTGGGGCTGGTAACTTTCAAGCACTTATAGTGAGTATCTAGGCTGAGGGCTAAGTTGTGCGTGAGCTTGAGCTTCACGATAGCTTCACTTTTGGGTCAGGGGAGCAACTGCCCAAAAGGAAATGAGCCCTAGAGCTGATTTGGTTTATTGAATTCCCACATCTATGGTGTTTATTTGTTTGTTTGTGTTTTTCTCTCTAGCACTTCTTCTCTTCCCCTTCTTCTTGCTCTTCATCCTCCCTTCACTTGCTCATCTTGCATCGCCAAGTCAAGCCAGCTTTCCTCTTCCAGGTTTGATATCCATATCCTCCTTACATTAAGACTCCGATTTTCTAACTGATGGAATAGACATAATAGACCCTGAATTCGGCTCTCTTCGGAACGCGTCGGAGGCCAAACCGTGGTTTCATCCTCAAGTCGTGTCCCTATTGAGCCCGAATCTATCCTTAGTATCCGGCATCCGCTAGACTTGAAACTAGCTTCCAAAAGCTCGCTACGAAGAAGAGCCTCTCATCTGAGTTACTACGAAAAATGACTATCCACTCTGAGGAGCGGGGTCTACCCAGCTTGAGACCTTCTGTAAAGCCTCCCCGAAGCGGCCTTTTAAACCGGCTGCCCTCTCCGGATCGGGCAGTGTGACCGGAGGATTCTCTGGTGGCACAGTTCCCGCAGCCAGACAGCAGGAGAGAAACAGCGACGAGGTCGGAGGTGTTCAGAAACCCCGACCCCCTAGTTCGAGTGCCAGCGACGAGCCCAACAGCCTCTCTCCTGACCTCCCTCCTGCCGCCCCTATCGGCCCCACCTCAGCTTACCATGCCGTGAGCAGCAGCCTACTAGACGTCGATTGCCTCGTCGCTGCTTCCCCGCACAGGTATCAGACCGGGAGGCTTCATATGAGTCTTCTCTCCCATCGAGCCCTCCCGGAATCCCGGCGGCGGCCACGCTCGCCGGGACCAGCCGGGGTGAAGCCCGCGTACATGGACACTCGAGCGCGATGCCATTGAGGCCTACAGTTCCCCCACCAATGTATAACGGGCCTCGCGCACCTCCTGCACCTTCGCATCGGGGCAACCCATTCCGCCAGCAGCCGCAGCAAGTCCAGCAGCCCTCGGTTCCCTTCAACCGAGCGCCGATGGAGGATGATCCCTTCGTCGACTCTCCATCCGTGGCGCAGAGAAACCCGTTCAGACATGTGCGGAGAAAGCTAGACGAAACTAGGAGGTTCGTCAAGGAAGTCACCAGTCTGTTTGAGCAAAGTGCTGCGGAGGAAAAGTAAGTTTGATGTTTTTCAAGAAAGGTCCTTTCCCGGCCTTCCTTGTTACTTCCATCCTCCTGCCCCAGGCTAGCTTCTGACGACTGAAAATAGAACGAGGCCAAAAGAAGCCTTCGGCCCAACGCCAACGATCCCACGCGAGACGCTGATACAGGCCGCCCACATGGCCCTCGTCGGCCTAGCTCGATTAGCAACGGCTCCCGGGATAGGTCGTCCTTGCGTCGTGCCGAGTCTGACCGCAGCGAGAGCAAGTAAGTCTCCACATATTCTTTCGTCCCCAAGCTCCGTTTAGTTTCGTTCTAATCACGGCGCGTTTTCTTACGCCCGGTAGCCGTGTCCCCGAGCGCGCCACTCATCTTGCGTCGGCCAGATCCTCTAGTAACTCCATGCATGAGTCGCAGGGAGTCTCTGCAGGGCCCGATCCGTCCGCGGCCGACGCGGGGTTAAATGTATCCCGCGGCACTGATGCAGATGAGCTCGTGTAAGTGCCGCTCCTCCTCTCCGCGTTTGTTAACTACGCCACTATCGTATCCCTATTGTTTGTTGCATTGACTAAAATTCGTTTTCTCTTTCTTTCTTCCGCTTTAGCTTTGGTCAGCGATACGCAAGGCCTCAAAATGGGGAGGTCGTGGTCAGCAATACCCGCATCGTCGCCGAACCCGCAGATTCGGGGATCACGAGTGCGTTATCTGCGCTGATTCCAAGCCCGCTTCAGAGTTCCCTGCTGCCGCGGTCACGGTGGCCTGCAAGCATACGCCTGGCGCATGCCTAGACTGCGTGCAGACCTCAATCCGCGTGGACTTGGACTCCAAGATCTGGACCGAGATCCGGTGTCCCGAGTGTAGAGAGCATCTCGAGTACGTCGATATTCAAAAGTACGCCGATGAGCGCACTTTTTCACGGTACGTGCCCAATTTCTTTTTCCTTCTCTCCCCATCCCTTTTTCTTCATCTAGAGCCATGAAATTTCCCCCAGACTTACACGTTTCATTCTCCTCGCCTCCTACGTTGTAGCTACGAGGAGCTTGCCCTTCGTTCCGCCATGTCCGAGGCCACCAACTTCATGTGGTGCGCGCTGGGGTGCGGTTCCGGCCAGATCCACGAATCGGGTACGCAGCTCCCCATCGTGATTTGTCTCCACTGCGAGCGGCGGTCGTGCTTCCGCCATAGCGTGGCCTGGCACGAGGGCCTCTCGTGCGATGACTACGACCGGCTCCTGGCCGATCCCGAGAACTATAGGAGCCGTCTCGAGAGCGAGGCCCCGGCCGACGTGCACCGCCGGCGCCAGATTGACGCGGACCGCGCGGTGGCGCAGGGGCTTGTGGCTGGCGAGCAGGCGGCGCGGAGGCGCCGGGCGGCGAACAGGGACGAGAGGGAAGCGCGCCGACGGGCGGCCAAGGCGGTGGAGGTGGCGAGGAGGATCGCGGCGCGGAGGAAGCGTGACGAGGAGAAGAGCGCGACGACGATTCGGATGACGACGAAACCGTGCCCGGGGTGCGGGTGGGCTATTGAGAAGAACAGAGGATGGTGAGTTGTCCGCTTCTCTCTCTCTCTCTGCTCTGCTTCGCGCGAAGCTTGATGGAGATTCTTTTATAATCGAAGAGTGGAAAACGCAACTGCTAACATGAGGCTGCCATACATAGTTCCCACATGAAGTGTGAGTAGGCGCGGTTTCCTTCTTTTGCCGTCTCACTTTGCTCCGAAGCCAAGTGTCGCTACGAAGTACAGTTACTTTAAGTAGCTCTCGGACGTTTGAGTTGAGGCAAGCTCTCGACAACGTATCAGTCGATACCTCTTCGCCTTTTCGTCTTTTTTTACGTTTTTCTGTTTTTCTTTATTCAGCTTTCCTTTGTCGACTTTCTCTCAAACGCATTGCAAGTTGTTTTGCTATTCGATCGAATTCAAGGGGTGTCATAGGTGCAGTCACATCACCCCAGCCCCTATCTCCTCCTCCTCCTCATCCACACTAATTCAACCTTGGATCCCTTTTTGACTAACACCCTCGTTTCCTTCCTCTTGACAGGTTTGAGATGCACCTACGAGTTTTGCTGGGGGTGTGGCGTTCCCTGGTACAAGGGCCACAGCTACAAGTGTAAAGGCGCCGAGGGCCCCGAGGCGCCATGAAGGTGATTGTGAGCCGTGGCGCCACCTCGACGACGACGAAGGGCATCCATCTCCCCACCGCCAGATGTTCTGCTTTGACTTTTTCATATTTTTATCTTTTTCTTGTCCCTTTCTTCGTCCACCTCTGGGCCTGATGCAATTGTTCTGTTCTGTTCTTTTTCTTATTTTTCTCCTTTCCATTTTAACGAGATGAACGGTATTATTATAGGTAGCAAGTGTGATTTCGAGTTCTGTTACGACTGTGGAGCGGACCACAAAGAGATTATCAAAAGGGACAACAGCGTCCACTCACCGTTTTGCCGGTGGCATCCCGACAACCTCTCCGATTAACGATACAACTTTCGGCTGCGGTTGCGGTAGATTCTTTTCTTTTCTCTTTCCTCCTTTTCTTATTTTCTTCTCTTTCTTCGCCGGAACGGCGGAAGGACTATTCGGGCTATGGACGGACTCTCTAAAGGGATCATGGGAGCCAGTTGACGGCGTCCGTTCCGGTCTATTGGGTTACGCAATTATTCTTGCGAGTATTCGGGAGGGCATTAGTTTTCGTTTTGTTCTTTTCTCTTAATATCCTCTCTCCTCCTTCGCTTCTTTCTCATGGGTTCCTGTGCTTGTTCGTTCAAAACGGGTTCTGCGTTGGTTGCGTATTCGCTGGTCTTTTCTTGATAGGTTGATACGAGCCTGAGCAATGACATTGCATTGTTCTGGCAGCATCTTCAAGATACGCCAATTGATCTGATGGATGCAATGGATGCAATGGGTGCAATAGATGCTTTCTAATGCAATCATGTTTCTTCCAAAGAAACCCAAACTTGGAGTCATCTGAGCCTAAAATGACAAGAAATGGGAACAGGAAGGAGCGACACGTTCCCCAAAGCCCAAGCCCAAGTCCAAGTCCAAGTCCAAGTCCACGTACAAGTCCCCGTCCAAGGTCAGAAGGTCAAAATGTGGGACCGCATTTGTCATGGCCCGGACAAAATAGCAGGCGCAATCCGTTTATACCCAAACCTCGGGGTTCTGTCTCTCGTCCTGCACTTGCACTGGTCTTTATTCCGACTCGAGTCTCGTGCCGTAGTTGAAACGCCTCTAAAAAGCTGACTTGGTCGCTCGGCTGGCCGCCATGTGGCTGCCCAACACAGGACCGGGTCTGGAAACACACCGCCGGTTGGTGGTCATCGACTTACACGACGTATCAGAGCATTCGCCCTGCCCCACGACCATGGTAAACCAGGGCCAACCGTTCGAGGCCTCTGCTGGAGAGATCGGAAGCTGAGTTGACTGCTTCCGCAGCAATAGATGTCTTCCTTTTCCTATCATGAGGCTTAAAATACGCCTTCGCGAATCATAGAAGCTATATGCTACATCATCGCCTTACCAGAATGTCCTAAGTCTTGAGCCCTGCCTTAAAGAACGAGTGCTTATTTATCCCCATGCCGTTCCTTCTTCTCCTTGCCTCCTCTTGATTTTCGTCGGTCTTCTGCTTCCTCCATCTTAAAACAATTACATTGTTGCGCTCCTGCAAACCCGGTATCTTAGTATTTGGTAAATACTCCCCATTTTTCTTTTATTTCCTCTCATCCATTGTCTTCTTCTTATCCATTTAATGTTCCGACAACTCATCACAAGCGGCCAAAACTTTGGGCTTCCTTATCGATGAGGCTGGCTGTGCACCATGGCATCCTCTGCCACAACCGGCCGTCTGGCCATCGCGAAGGAACACCTCTTTACAAGCGAAGAAGACATTTTCGACTAACTACCCCTAGGAGAGCCGCCTTTAGATCTTAGGAGTGTGCGTCGTTTTTCTCTTTCCTGCCCGCGGTTTTCCCAGTACCTGCATGGTGGACATGCAGGATCCCATCACGCGCTTTTCCCCCACCCTCTGTTACCCCCTCCCACCTCCCATTCAACCTTGCCGAAGCCTTAGCTAGCTGTTGTGACACCGCCCCCGAGGCTGCGCAGAAAAACGTAGGGCGAGCACTTTGAAAGTCGGAGTTCAGCTCAAAAGAAGCCTTGATCCCTAGTTCCTCCTCCTTATTCAGTACAGATCTCGTTCTTTTCCTCTTTTTCGAGGTTTCCTCTTTTTTTCTTCTTTTCTTTTTTTTTCGTCTCGGGAGGGGACTTAGCTTGAAAAGACAAAACTAACAGGCATATGGCTACCAGTTCAACGATGCCGTCCGCTACCTCTTCGAGACACATTATTGTTGGTGTCGACTTCGGCACGACTTACTCCGGTGTTGCCTGGACCGTTGCCCATCGTCCTGAGCGCCTTGCCACCATAACTACTTGGCCTGACGCTGCTGGCCATGACCTAGTCTCTGATAAAGTTCCTACAAAACTCCGGTATGAAGGGAACGGACCCGCCCAATGGGGATTTACAATTCCCACCAGTGTTCCCCAGCACGAGGTTCTTGAATGGTTTAAGTTGTAAGTCATCTTGTTTCCCCTTTCGCCAACACAAGTCCGACGTACCTCTTGGTGAGCATTTCCAACACGACTTCCTTCTCTAGGGATCTTGACCCGACACTCCCCACCATCGGCCAGCCCATTGGAGACGAAATTACTGGTGGTCGCTCCGCCGACACTCTAGTCGCCGAGTATCTCGCCTCTCTTCGCGACCACCTCGCGGCTACTCTGCAGGCTAAGTTTGGGGCCAACATCGTTCGGACAGCATCCTTCTCCTTTGTTATAACCGTCCCCGCCATCTGGAGCGAAACTGCCAAGGATAGAATCACCCACGCTTTCCGGACTGTGCTGTCCGTAGACCCTTGGCCTCGCAATCCGGCCATCAACATCATTTCCGAACCCGAAGCTGCCGCTGTATCAGCCCTTACCTCCATCTCAAAGACTCACGCCCCTCGGCCGGATGACACCTTTGTTGTCGTGGACGCTGGAGGCGGCACCGTTGATGCCATCAGCTATTCCATCTCAAAGCTTGGGCCCCTAGAGCTTCGCGAAGCAGCTCCTGGTTGTGGCTCGATATGTGGGTCGGCGTTCCTCAACATGCGTTTCGGCAAGTACATCAAGCTCAAGTTCGGACAAGAGCTCGGCTTCACCGACGAAGTTTATGCCGAAGCTATGGACTTCTTCGAAAAAGTGGCCAAGCGCACCCTCGTCATCAACACACCGCCTTCCACCACGTTTGCCGTTCCCATGAGACTCCCTGACAACCCACAACTCGGCGTAGCGGGTGGCGTGTATCCCCTAACGGTCTCGGAGCTCAAGACCCTTTTCGAGCCCGTCATTCTCGAGACGATTAAGCTCGTCAAAGAGCAGGTTGCCAACACGCCTGGCAACATTCGTGCCGTGCTTCTTGTGGGTGGGTTTTCCGCCTCCACGTACCTTCTTGAGAGGGTAAAAATAGCGCTGGGAGATCACATGGAGGTGCTTAGGCCGAACGACGGGTGGGCCGCCGTCGTCAAGGGCGCTGTGATGAGGGGGCTAGAGCACGCCGTAAAGGAAGATGTTTCCGAGGCACGACTATCGGATGGGCACGCCCCGGCCGTTGCCACCGGCCTCGTAAACGCCTGCGCAGAGGATGAAATCGATGTCGGAAATGGGGCCAAGGTCAGTTATGGTGTTGAAAGTGAGGTGGCCTTCAACGAGGACATCCACGGCTCAGTAAGGGAGAGACGCTATTGGTCTGGCCGAGAGGGCCGGTACAAGATCCGTGTAATGAACTGGTTCATTCGCCGTGTGAGTATCCCATACTCCCTCTTCCTCCTTCTCTCCGCCCAGGGCTACTTTACCTCCCCTCATCGCATTTGTGCCGACTAACAGTACCGCATAGGGCTACCCTCTCCCCGACTCCCCCAGACTATACCATTCGCCGCCACTCCGCCCCACTCCTTTGTCCGCGCCCCGGTCCTCTCCGCCATCATCTACCGCAATCTACGGGCCGCCCCTCTTGTTCGCGACGCCGCTACCCGCCCCATCTGCAAACTCGTGGCCGATCTTGGCACGCTTCCCAGATCAGAACTTCCCCGCAAGACTATGGGCTTTGACGGCAAGTGGTACTGGGGCTTCATCTTTGGAGTCGAAGCCGCGTGCGCCGAGAGCACAACTGCTTTCTCAATCGTGTATAAAGGTATGAATTTAGACCCTAAGATGATTCTTATCCCTTCATCCCTCCCTTCCCTCCTTACCCCACATCTGGGAAGGACGTGAGTTGCTGATAGGCAAGAAAATAGGCAAAAAGTATCAAACTGGCACAATAAAACAGACCTCGAGAAGGCCTTGCGATTCTTGATGGAACGCACCAAGTTTTTTACTTCCCCTCATTTTCATCTTTTTCTTTGCTACATGTCTACTGTGCGTCTCTCTCGTACAGTTAACTTTATAGGAGGGCTTCTGTCGAAGCGGTTTTTCTTTGTCATTATTTGCATCGATATGCAGTTGAACTCTCATGGCGGTTTAGCGTTTTTTTTTTTTTGGGACACATCCTCAAGGTAGAGAGCATGAAAGCATATGGGGAGAGGCTAAAGAGGAAGTAGTAAAGATTGGCATTGATCATTATTTTCGCTGGGCATCTTGTTTGTTGTTTCGACGCCTCTTGTCAAGGTTTATGATAATGTAGCATGATATGGTATACTCGTACATGAATACTGGATATAAAAGAAGAAAGGGGAACAAAGTGCAAGTAGGAGCGATACTGAGACAGGGATAGAGATCAAGACAATACAAGAAACATTCGTGTCAGTTCGATCAGGAGAGGAAAAGTGGGAGAAAAAAGATCCGATACCGTTTGTATCCCCTAGGCCTCCCGAGTTCCTATAACGCCGCGGCCCCGAACCCCCATCTTCCCTAGAACCTTACTAAATCCTGCTCTTGACCCTCAGAGCTTTGACCCCACACTCTCGTCACGATGGATAAAAGACAGAGGCCATGTGCAGATACCCACATCTAGCCCTCGCCGCATACCGCATGGAGCGGAGCCAAGTTACGGGTGAGGCTCAGAGGGAATTTGCTCGCTGCTTGCGGGGTCCACATCGACCACCCTCGTCTCCGCGAGAGATGCCGAGTCAGCGGGGCCATTGGCCGGTGAGGTCGCCGGGTGGAGTGGTGCCGCGAATTGCTTTTGCGGAGCCGGCGGCAACATGGGGGCAGTAGCCACCTTGGCCTCGTTGCTCAGATCAGCCTGGGCGACGATGGCCGGAGCGGCCGCTGATCGCCCGAGGGAAGGGATGGACGGGAGTGGAATCGGGGTTGTCGAGATCCGTGCGGCGGCAGCCGCGGCCGCGGGTTGAAGCGGGGCCTGCGCGGGGGCTTGCTGAGCGTTGGCGGTTGCGTTGTGCTGGGGGCGGGGACAGGCGCTGCGACCGGGGCGGCGTAAACTGGTGGTGCGAGCGCTGGGGTCGGTGCAATCATGCCGGCTGATGACGTTGGTGGCGTCGGCGTCGGCGCGGGCGCGAGCGGGGTCGTGGTAGGTGCTGCCGCCACGGGCTGTTGTTGCGTCGAACCCGAAGACGGAGACCCACCGAGAGCCGCCATATATTTGGCGGGAAGGGGCACAGGTGTTTGCTTGGAGGGCACGGTGTATGCCACGGGCTGTTTGGCAGGTTTCTCCGCCGTCCCTGATCTTGCCTGCTTCGCCTGTGCGGGTGCTGTTTTAGAGAATGCATTGACCGGCGTTACTTGAAATGTCGTCATGTAAGGCGCGGCTGCCGGCAATGAAGAGTTACCGTGTTGCTGCGGGAGAACCCTTGCTTGCGCCAGCCGTTGGAGGTGAAGGTGAGCCTCCCTGCCAGGATCTCGGCTCTGGGCGTGTTGACTCTGTGGCATTAGTGGAGTGCTGGGCGGCATCTGACTGTTGTAGTGGCCATAGGGGCTGGTAGCTTGGGTGGGAAAAGTGGAGTGGTTATTAGCGTACGGCATCGCCCCGGGATGGGGTGTGCTAGCATGGTAAGAATTCGTATGTGTAGGCTGCGGCGTTGGTTGGATACTGAATACGTGCTGAGGCTGGTAGCCAGCCGTTACAAGTCGGCCATCTCCTCGAGCATGGGGCGCCGGCGCGACGCCAGCTTGGGGGCGGGTGCGTAAAGGTGAGGGTGCTGCGGTACACCACTTGCCCCAGCAATGGTCTGGGGAGCCTTGGGCTTATACGCATAAACTCGTGAACCAGCTCCGGATGGCGCCGCGCTAGGCGCAGGGGCGGCCACCTTGACGGGCTTGGGTGGTTTGGGAATCGTGTCTAAAAAGTTGCTCTTGGGGTTGTGCAGCCGCCGAGCCACGTCTTCGGTATACTGTGCCTTGGCGTCGGTCGATGTCTCGCCCAGATAATGCCATAGTGCTTCCGGTTTGGAAAGATCCGATTTGACGCCTGTAGATCCCAGCGGCTCAAAGGCGGTAAACTCCGCCCAGGTATAGCCATCGACAAAGGGCATATCTTTGCGTGGGGCGTCGTCCACGGCACGCTTCACATTTAGTTTCTGCTTAGCCTTTTGCGAAGACGGCATTGGGATAGCATTTGCCGATGCCTTGGGAAGATGGTAATCGCTGGGATCGGGGAGAAGGAGCCACTTCCATTCGGTTTCGATGCGATCGCTAAAGAGAGAGAGGCAAGAGAAATGTTAGCGCATTGCCGCGCAGGCCAGTTGATGTTGGTGATACATACCCCTTGGGAAGAATGTTGAGCAAGAGTGTCTCTTCCTCTTGCCGATTTTCTATTACCATGCCAGCAAATATATCGCCCTTGAAGTACTGCACCTGGCAAATGTCGCCGGGCTTGAGGGCTTTGGCCGCTTTGACGATGCGCTCATCCACCTCAAGCTGAGCACCGGTCACACGCCTATCGCGCTTGGTCCTGTGGAAACGACAGCTAAACTCGAAGGTCTGCTCCTTGTACTCGGTCCCGTCTTCTCCGAACACGGGCACCTCGCCCTCTTCCACAAACACGCCCGCCGCTGCGGCACATGTAGGGTGATACGATCGGGTGCAATTTCCTTGCGAGCACCTGAAGCACGCGCCGCGTTTCGATCGGCAAAACAGACACCTCAGGTCTTTGCGGTCCTTGACGATAGCAGCTGTGTTCATGACCTTCTCGACGCCATCCACCGTCTCGACGTACGTGTCTCGTAGATAAAGAGCACACATACGATGCGCTTGCTGCCCAGTCTCGGTTGGCAGAATCTCCAATCCTGGAATATCGTGAGGGCACAGAATACAGGGTGGCTCCTCTTTGGTCTTGGGGCGTAAACGGATCTTTTTGGGTTTCGGTTCCCTCTTCCCGCCCGCCTCTCGCTTCCGTTTACGGCCGCGGGCCTTGACCATCGGGGATGTTGTGTCGGGTGGCGTGGGGAGGGTGGACGGGTCGTCATCTTCTTCCCCGTCATCATCGTCTTCCGTCTCCTCGTATTCCGTCTCCTCGCCCCGGAGCCTCCTCTCTATATCATACACGTCGACCCAAACGCTGTCTTGGGCCAAGGCACATTCACACTTCTTGGCAATCTTTCCCATAGGGAGCCACGAGTCGAGTGCAAAGTTGACGGCTTCAGCACAGTTGTAACCTAGATTATACCCAGAATGGTAACCGTACGGGTAGGTCACAACGAATTCGCCAGGGTACGACACGCACTTGTTGACTTTGATATTAAAGTGGTTGAGAAGGTGAGAGGGCGATATGAGGAAGGACTTGTGTCGAAGGAACTGGTCGCAAGCCTTCCCTTCGGTGGGCCAGATGCTCCTCATAGCAGCTTCGAAGCGCCGGGCGTCGGCTTGGGATATACTGTACCACTGTTTGGGGGCGCCAAAGTGGAGGTAGTTGATGCTGTATAGATCCACATCCTCGAGATGCCAGGCAAAGGTAGCCTTCCACATACCCAGATAGAGATATGCAGTGTTGACCCCAGGTACCTTTGTACCCATGACGTCCAGTAAGTTGGGGAGCTTGTTCAAGTTCCATATTTCCGTACTATCATCAAACAAAGTCCCCATGAGGTCAGCGCCATAGAGGGGAGGCGCGTACGTCAGCGTCTTCCAGTAGATTCGCTCGAGATCCTCGCAACGCTCGGCTGTGAAGTCGGACACATCCATCCGGTAGTCAAAGTCCTTGAAATGTTCCTCGTCAATCATCACGGAGCCCTCACGGCGGCTGTACTTGCGACGAGCAGACGTTGACTGGGTTTTGTCTTGCTCTTCTGCAGTACCCCACCCATCCTGCGAGGAGGGGTAGGCTGGTCCCCATCATCCTCAATGGAGCGGACGGCGGTGTCGGCGCATCCTTTCTCGACAGGAGCTTCAGCTGCCGCTGGTGCCTCCTTCGCCTTCCCCTCTTGGATATTTTCTTTGTCCGAAATAGGCGTCATAGGCCGATCTTGAACTGGTGTTTCCTTGGGCGCGTCGTTTTGGCTAGTGTTCTTCTTCTTGGGCGGGCGGCCGCGGCCGCGCTTCTTCGTCGGGGTGGCATTCTCGTCTTCCTTCTTGACCTTGGGTGCCGGTTTCGGTCGGGGCGCGGGTTTGGGGCGTTCCCTATTCATTCGTCGCTCGCCTCGACGGGCGGGCGGCTGGTGTTCGCTCTGTTCGCAGAGGTCCCTCCATTGCCGGAGGGTGTATGATCGGCCGTGAAGGAAATTGACTTGGCGATAGGCTCCTCCGGAACCCATAATCTCTTGCTTGATCGGCTCGCGAACTCGGATCTGCTTCACCATTTCGTCGAGACCCGGTTGGGCGTCTTTCCATTCCGCGGGCGGGATAATCTTGATAATTCCAGATTTCATTCCGTACGAATCGACTTTCTCCATCTAGAATAAGCCAAAAGAGGTCAACTGTTAGCAGGCTTGAGCAGACCACCCTACCACGAGCGGGGCAGAGTAGGATGAGAAGGGCATGAGGCGCATACGAAGAGTTTAAAGTCTTTGAACTGGCGCATGTCCGGCTTGAACACGGGGACCGTCCCAGACCAGTGGTCCGGTACAACTTCACCAATATCTTCGACGGGGGCTCTTCTGGGGCAGGCATCGGGGCATCCGACATGTTAATATCGAGGATGTTATCGTCGAGCTCGCTTAACTCAGAGTCGTCCGCATCCGCTGCCGGTGTCGCGCTAACAGGTTTTGGCGAGTTGCGATGAGTCTGTGGCTTTGCGCATTGTATTTCGGCGAGCTCTTCCTTGTCGTCGACGGTGGCAGCGGCGCTCGCATCATCTTCGATCGCTTGGGGATCGACATCGAAGCGCACTCGGGTGGGGGCGAATCGGGGCTGGCGACGTCCATGGGCGCAGGCGCCGAGAGTGCCTGGGACGACATCTCTTAGAGTAGAGGTCGGCCGGGTGAGCTCCGGGGCTGCATGTGACCGCAGGGTGTCAAGTGGTGAGAGGCAAGCGGCGGGGGTGGAAGTGGTCCGATTTCGCGGCGTCTAAGAGAATGGGCGAGAGTAGGTATGGCAGAGCAAGGAAATAAAGGTGGTCGATGAGGAAAAGCAAAAGGATACTAGGAACGCAGTGGGATTGCTGGATTAGTTAGAATTTGAATAACCAATCCATTTGTGCATTTCAGACAAGCGTTTGGTTTTTTCCTTCGGAATTGTAAACGATCGTGCGAAACTATTGCAGCTGGGAAGAAGTTCGAGGTGGAGTGAACATTTGTGAGGTGGAGGGAAGTGGCAGGAGCAGCGATGGATGGGACAGGCCATGGGCTGGATTCGAGTGGGACAGACAGAGAGCGGGAGTCCAGTCTACTGGGCATTTGAGGGGATGATTTCCGGAGAAATTTCTGCGTGTGCGGAAACGTGCTTGCACTGTATGAGGTACTTCTGGCATCAATCAGAGTTTGCTCGGCCACCTTCTTCAACCGGCAGGTATTACGCCAAAGTATAAATTTCCATATGCACTGTATACAACTTGCTAGAAACGCTGCGAGGAAATAGACGGCCGCCAAAAGGTTGGGCGTCATTAACCATTATTAGGGGGCCACCTTCTGGACTGCCTGTTGCGGCAATGCTTGAGGCAACCCCTAGCGCTCTTGCCAGTCCCGTCAGAGGTGCCCACCTTGCTCGAAAACGCAGAGAAGGCTCCACCAAAGTCTCCATGTACACGACGATACTTCCGAAGGGAGGAGGGACTCGGTCGTCGACGAAAAGAAGAGAGAGAAAATTCGTGATCAATTGATCTTCGTAGCCATTTGTTTAGCTCCCTTTTCTCCAGAGGGAGTAGACGGTTTCCTTTGAGACACAATCTGAGTCAACGGGTACGAGCGCCTCTCTGCATAAATGTGTAGGTGACGTTCCCGAACCGGCTTTGACCAAAGGGGCTGGAGAGTGCAAGCGGAATAATAATAAAGTTGGTTCTGGAGGGGTGGGATCGAGATGGTCCGATAATGGCCAGATCCTGACGCACGCTAGGACTCTTTTGATGGGCCTTGTTTCCTTGGACCCCCTTTCTTTGATCAATAATAGTCAGGCCTGGGTGCGCACAGCGGCTTTCAACGGGAATTGGCACAATGGGGGATCTCTTCGGGGGCCGACGTCGAAGTTGTGTCTGCACTAGTCCAGCCGCTGCCACTCAACAAGACTCCATACCCCAAGCGAATTCTGTTCTTCTTGGAAAGTATTAGAGTGTGGCGAGCATGGGAGAGGGGCAACGGCGATGACAAGCTGCACCCAATGTTCTCCCAAGTTTTTGCGGTAATGGCGAGCTTCAGCCTCAGCAAGCTCGAATCAGCAGCAGATTTGCCTGTAGAAATTCTACGAAATGAACGATGGAATCCTAGCCATTACTCAAGCGTAAGACTAGAAGAGAGTCCAGAAGAATTGAGTTGACCCGAAACCAAGTCGTGTTCGGTCCAGCCACCAACCAACGGGACCAAAAAAAAAAAAAAAAAAAGAAGATGGGCAATTTCACTGATTGATAAGATCCGGAGCCTGGCTTTATCTGCCACCACACCCCCGCGTTCCAGCATCACTTCGCCTCTTTGACGCAACCCCAGCAGACACACACATACACGCCCCCTCTATCCTCCCCGACGGCCATCGCACACCCCTCGTCCGCATGGCGGTGCCTAGTTCCGATCCCTCCCGCTGCGGACACGGGGCCGGGAAACCGGGCCCCCAAAAACGATGACCTCCCCTACCTTTCCATCCCTTCCCGAGAACATTTCGCCGACAGCTCCTCTCCAAAAAGGCCGATTGGCCTCTTGCGAGTGGACAGGCCACCCTGGAGGCTAACAATAGTGCGAGGGGAAGCCGATCACGGTGGGCATTGTGAGGGTAGATGGCTATTCTTGAGACGTCACGGCTTTTTTTTTGGTGGAAGTCTTTTGCTTTTGCGTTTAATTTGCTATTTATAATGGCTGGGTTCGCGGTGGAAGGGCTGAATATCCCATCACGTTGGTCCAGCAGATCGAATGGCTGCGGGGTGATGGGGATTGATGTGGTGATCTATGCTCAACTACCCCTTGCTTCGGGATTCCCAATGTTTAGTAAAGCTGCCAAGTGGTTGGGAGCAAAGTCTCCAGAGCCCGACCCTGCGAACCAGGGCCTAGTCAGCAACGAGACGGTATCAGCGATGGATGGCACACTACGCCTGGCTTGTGACAAGGTGTTGCCATGAGCACAGAGTTTATCCTTCCATACCTCGATATCCCAATATCGTGAGGGAAAATAGTCATTGAAGGACAGAAGGCAGATTTTGGTGGTTTTTATTATCATATCAAGGTCCAAGTATGTAGTCATTTCATCACCCCAAAAGTACACTCTCGCCTTCAAACAACAATGAGGCGGGAGGCGGGAGGCATCACAGCCCAAAGAGGAGGTAGAATCCTCCCTCGTCCATCGTTCTATCTTCAAGAGACAGCTTCTATCTCTACTCAAAGTAGAAAAGAAAGGAGAGAGAAAGAAGAAAAAAAAAGCTTGCAGGGGCTCTTTTTTGGTTCGGGAAAGCGGGGAGCGTCGCCTGGTGGACTTCTCCCTACACCCGAAGAAATGAGCCCTCTTCTGTTTCCCTTCGTTGGCTACCGAGGAGACATCCCGGAGCTTTGGGGGAAAAGATGAAAAATGTAAGAGAGAAGAGGGGGAAAAGAGAATATATGCTAAGAAAAGGTGGAGAAAGGTCAAGATGCCACGTAGATACAAAAAAGTATTCCGTCATAGAGATGCATAGAGCGGGTTGGGCGGCCTTCACCTGAGGTGGCTCTCTCCTAGACCGACGAGCTCTAATATTATGGGCACAATCGAGGTGCTCAGCCAGCCAATTCCTATCCAGATCATCGTTAGTCATCATCAATCTACCAAATGGGCTTACGTTCAGTCGGAAAAGGGGAGATGCGAGCCATACCTGTATAGACGACCAGTTTGGTCACGACCTCGACGTCGTACCGTACTCGGGGCCTCACGAGCCTGGAGAACATCTCGGTTTCGTCAAGCCCGTCGACGCCTCGCAGCGCATACACGTCCCTCTTTCCGTCTTCACCCGGTCGAGATACAAGCACCTCGCCCTCGCCCATCATGCTCTCGTACTGCTTCAACAAGCTCTGCCTCGTCTCGACGCCGCTCGTCTTGGCAGCCGGCCCTTCATCAATGATGGCCGAAGTGTTGGAGCCGGCGGCGGCGGCGGCAGCACCTTCCTTGAGGTCTGTGAGGCTCGACTTGCTCCGGATGCTGCCGTTGCTGCCAATGCTCTCCTTCCTCCTGCGCTCCCGATAGGCAAGCGTCTCGTACGCATCAGCAGCACTCTGCGGGCCAATCGACACGGAGCGACCGCGACTGTTCGCATGGCGCATGCTCTCCACTACCCTGGGAATGTCAGAGACGGCCGGAAATACATTGTCAAGACGCAACTTGGGCGGCACGGTCTTGTACTGGGATGCCGGGTTGAAGAAGCGTCGTGGGAGGATGAGACCCGCCCGCGTGAAAAAGCGGAAGATGTGCGGGAGGCTCTTGAGCAGGGCAGGCTTGGTAACTTCCCGCCAGGCGAAGATGATGGCGACACCGAGAACAAGGCGGGCTACCAGGACGGGCCAGGCTAGTTTTGAAACGTCCATGGACTGCAGACCATGGGCATGGCCGATGAAGGGATCCCAGGCCGTGCGGCCATAGGTCCAGGAACCGCACTCGACGCCGATGACGACACCGGCAAAGGCGACGCTATCGTCAAAGCAAGGGCAATCGTCGGCAGGTTCTGGGTGTACTCTTACGAGGATAACAATGACCAAGGTCGCCAGTACCGGGCCAAGCCAGGCGGTGTTGTACATGTACAGGTCCAAGGCGGGGCCATAGTAAAATTCGGCCACGCCGATGATGAGGCCAAGAACCGATCCAAAGATGACGTCCAAGAAGCCATGCATACCACAGTAGAGTCGGCCAATGATGATGGAAAACGCGTAAAAGTAGGAGAGAAACTCGAGGCCGGACTTCATGCCGTCGGAGAGTGTGTTTTCAGGGTCCCGGAGGAGGAGGATCGCATACGCCGCCACAGACACAGCATTGGCGCTGTGCGTTGACGGGAAGCCGTACTCGAGAGCGGCATAACCCGTCATAGTGATTCGGTGTAGCGGGGAGATAGGGGTCGGGGAGCGAGAGCATATCCTTGACGAAACCAGTGAAGAAGACGCCCGAGGCGAGGACGTGGACGAGCCTGCAGACCATTGCACCGCATTAGAAGTCTGAATCCTATCATCTCGACCAGGCCAGTGCAAGGTTCAGAGAAAAAGAAGGGAGGGGGCATCCAAGCTACTCACGCCTTTCCGTACGACGCATAACCGCACCAGAACAGCAATGGAAGGCCAACCATGTAGAAAGTATGGGTGCCGAGGTTCGCCGAGATCGCAAAGTAGCTATCGAGGAAGGGGGTCCGAACCGCCCCCTGGAAATATGCTAGGTAGGGTGTCTCCCATCGCACAATAGGGAGGAGGAACTGCCGGATCGCATAACGCCAATGTGGGAGCGCTTTCTTGTCTGTGAGGAAAGAGCACGCCAGGTTAGTTTAAAAATTGTTCTTGAAACCCGAATATCTGCAGTGCAGGTTGCGAATGGCCCCTGTGCGCCACCTTTCAGCGAACTCCGTCGTCCCAGCGAACTTCCCACCAAGTTTAGCGGCCCCGTGGCCATACTGCACGCCATAGGAAAAGAAAAATAGAAAAAGAAGAGAAACACCAGCGACACATACAGTGGTCTAAACTCCTCAAGCCTGCATCTGGAAGGTCGCGTTCCTTGTTGGGCACGGCGGTGATATCGTCGGCGCTGGTGATCTTGTCGATCTTGTCGAGCGCTCCCGGCGCTGAATCCGGGACGGCGAGACTCATTGGCAAGCGGTAATCATGCACGCCTCTGAAATGTTGTGTCGGCTTTCGCGGTCGGCTTTCCTGTTCTTCGGTATTTCCCTTCTCCTCCTTTTCAGCAGAGGCTCTCTATCGGTCTATGTGTTTTCTCTCAAATCGCGCGAGTCGAGGGAGGGAAAAGGGGGCGGAGTGCAGGGTCGGCGGCGGTTCGTTCAAGATCAAGATCGGCCTGGCGCACCTAAAAGGACCGCCAAGATTAAAAAGGTGAAAGAGGCCACCACTAGTGAGAGGGAGCTGGCAAAAGTTTGGGGAGGGGTTGGTCACTTTCGTCCGAGGGCGTTCGACGTGGTAGTAGGATGAGGGATTGCTTGAGCAATGTACGAAGTATCAACTGCTGGTGCCTACACTCAATGTTGTGGGTGGTATTGTTATCTCACGTCTTGTCCAGTCGTCCGTATTTTCTGGGTTGGGATTAAATCAAATGAATTTTTGGTCTCCACCAGTCCAGCACGCGCCTGCTGATTGTGAAGTCTCCCCAGCCGAGCGCCGAGGCTCAAAATGCCCTGAAGTCAAGGTCGTCTATTTTCTCATTCAAAGTGTCGACGTTGACCAGATTGGCCAATCAATCAAGTTAATCAGTGCACCGATGCATTACATCTCGATCCAAACCTACAGAAAAGAGTCGGATCGTGCATCCGGAACAGCCTGCCCCAGAATCAATTTTGGGTTGACCCTTTCCCATGAGCGCTCAAGCTGCACTCATCTGGACCCATTGAGCGCTGATGGTGGCCAATTTGGAGCGTCCTTGGAGCTTGTGAAGCCCTTTGAGTGGGCCTAAGCTTGCACCAATGGGCGTGCCGGCTTCCGCAAAAGGCTGGTAACGCTGTCAATTGTGGATGCTCGCACACAGCGGGACCAGGATGAGCCTAGTACCGAATCTAGGCCACTGAGCGAACGTTCAATGTTGCCTGTATCGAGCTTAAGTGCCTGGCTATTATTGACTGTGCTATTAACTGCAGCTCTCATTGAAAGTTCGACGTTCTGAGACAGCTACTTGGACTTGGCTTCAGCGACTGTTCTAAATCCGACGATCCTATGAACAATGCACGACGTGATTTGATTCCACTTACAACGTCAAGCTTCAAGAGACCAAACCCTCCATATACCATCCACGCTCTCCCTTCTCCTACTCACGTCGTTACCCAGTCATCCGATTCTGGGCTAGTCATCCAACCAGCGAAACCCTCCCGTCAAGATGGCATCCGCCCTCCGTGCTGCTGCCTCCCGGGCCGCCAAGCCTCTTTCCTCAAGCATCTCACTGCGCGGTCGCCACTGCGTGATTACCGGGGCTCTGGCGCCCTCGGTACCTCCATAGCTACCGAGATGGCTCGCGCCGGCGCGCGCGTCACCCTTCTCGGCCGGAGCGAAGAGAAGCTCCGGCTCGCGCTCCAGCGTGTACTCGCCGCCGGTCCCGATCAGGGATCCGACTCGGGCAAGGGGGCGAGAGGAACGGGAAGCTGCCGAGCATAAATACGTGACAGTAGGCTCGGATGGGAGCGGAACTATTGACGTGATTGCTGTAAGTCTCCTTTTCCCACCAATCTGCTCTTGCGTAAAGGATGGATTCGCGTATTAACCCGTCAAGTCAAGGCCGAGAGAAAGATAGATGTCTTGGTGAACGCTGCAGGGATCCCCCAGTCCAACCTTCTCTTCAAGACCGAATATGAAGCGATAGATCGCCTCCTCGAGACCAATCTCTCGCTCACCATCAAGGCCTGCAAGGCCGCCACTCGGCCCCTGATGCGTGCCGCTCCAGATGGTAAGCTTGCACCTGGTGGCGCCCCATCTTTTCTTGACCTCAGCTTGGCTCTTTAGAGCTCCCGTGCAAAAGGCATCTAACCCAGCTTCGTCTCTAGCATGCATCATCAATATGTCCAGCGTCCTTGGCACTCACGGTGGTCGCGGCTCTTCTGTCTATGCTGCCTCCAAGGCTGGCGTCATCGGTATTACCACTCCACCTCTGTCCATTATCCTGCCTTCAAGACATCGCTCGCGGGAAGCCAGTCTTATACAATTTGACAAAACTAGTATTCTTATTTTATTTCCATCTTGCAGGTTTAACTAGATCCCTAGCAACCGAGCTAGGTCCTTTGGGGATCCGTGTCAACTGCCTAGTGCCTGGTTATATTCAAGCCGGGATGACTGAAGGTACGTGACAAGAAAATGAAAACGAGCACTGGAAAGAAAATATGCCAGAAAACTCTCAACTCCCCGTGTGCGCATACCGCCATTCAGAAAGGGTAGGAAAGGCACAAGTCACCTTGTCCTACCCTATCTGACGGTAAATCCGCTGTGTACTCGGCGCGCTTCGCGCTAGGCAAAGCTGTCTTTGATTTCTTCTGTCCCGAATGATTCCCGCGCGTTCGCCCCTTTGTTTTCCTTGTTGTACAAAACCCTCTTTTTTAATATACACACGGGTTCTAACTTTCACATCCTCCACCATGCAGCGGTAGCGAATGTCCCGATAAAGCCAGAGCAGATACCTCTAGGGAGATACGGTGACCCTAGCGAGGTAGCTCATGCCGCCATGTTCCTAGCCACCAACCGTTATGCCAACAACTGCATCCTCAACATCGATGGTGGGCTGAGTGTTGGTCTGTTGTAGTGCTATCCTTCGCCTTGCCTCCTTTTTTGGACCTGAAAAGACGCCGTTTATGAAAAGGTAATAGCGAATTCCTAAGGCGGGAAACGGGCGTTTTCCACTGCATTGTTCAGTCATCCTCAATCAGAATTGCACCTTCATCCTCAATTACAACCACATCGTCATCGAGGGCGGCGCCGGCCTTGACATCCACCTGAGACTTCTTGGCCTTTTTCAACTCCGCCACTTCGTCATCATCATCGGCCCGCGAGCGCTTGAGAGACCTAACCACCATCTCAGGTCCGCCGGCAGCATGGACGCCATTCGACCCGTTGGTTCCATTCGTCGCTGATACCTCTGGAACGGGCTCCGCCTTTGGCTTTCGGGGATGGTTGGAACCTGGTCCGCCGCAATTCCCTTGACGGGCTTTTCATCGGGCTCCTCCCTATATCTAGGGTTAGCATGATCGAGGGGAATCCCACTGGTATCGAGATATGTGGAGCGGGACAGGAAAAGAAGGTCACGGGAAGCATACAGGTCTTGGATGACGACTACTACATTCACAAATGTATCGTCATCATCTTCGTCGACAATCGTGAGGAAAGAGTCCTTGTGGATACCAAGGTCGCTCAACTTCTTCCCCAGGTTCTCCGTCTCGTCTGGATCGTAGAGGATGCCCACTTCGTTGCTGAGTATGAATTCTTTGTCGCCGTAACCAAGGCCAAGCCGCACAAAGTCTTCCACAAGATCGTTGAGCGTGGCTCTCGACATATCGACGTAGGCGCTTGTCTGGTACGTGCTGCACACAGGGCAGTTAGGGTTTGGCGCACGAGACCGATCGCTCGCAAGGAGCCGGGCAGGAGCGAAGGGCGTTAAAAAGACCTAGATACGTAGTGTCAGCCAATGTACCCTGATTCTTGCTCCTTCTGTTTTTAAAAGGGACAGATAAAAGTAAAAGAAAATTCTCATGGGGAGGATGAGAGAACGCTGACACGCCTCAATCGCCTTACCTCCTTGGCTTGGTCGAAATCACCCTTGAGGACCTTGAAGGCCTGCAGGACACATAAGCCCGCTACGATGGCATTCGTTGTTGCAATAGCAGGGATGATATTGCCCGCCATCTGCTTGATATCGAACCGCGACTTTCGATCAATGCCAAACAACTCCGACCGAATATTGGCGCTTGCCGCCACGAAGTCAGAGTGTCCTCATCGTCCTTGTCAAAGGTGATAATGGGCTGAGGGTCGTCAGGTTGCTTATTTGCCTTCATCTCAAGCACACGCTTGCTGAGGCGGTCCAAGCTGTCCTTGAACACAACTAAACTCTCCTCTAGAGACCATACCCTTTGGCCGTCGCGGAGGAGGGCGTCCTTGGAAGCGAGCGCCTCCGTAGCCCTGCTCAGGACGTCGTCATACTTGGCCCCCGTCGGAGGCTTTCTTGACTTCCACATATCTTCCATAGACCGTAACCTTTCAATGTCGGAATCGAAAACCTTGTCAAAGAGCATCTGGGGAATTCCGGCGTCCCGACGGAATTACGAATCTTACGGAGCGCCGCCGACTCTCTCCTCAGCTCCTCGATTTCTTGCGCTAAATAGTAGAGTTAGGTTGAAAAATCACGGAAGCCAGGGGCATTCACCAACACGTACCATTGTCTGCGTCAACCGTGTGATCGAATGCGGATTCATCCTCGCTGGTTCCAAAATCTCACTATCGCGTTGAAAAGGCGTGTTAGTATACCACCCGGAGAAGCCAGAGAAGGTGGAAATGATGGAGGATAATGGCAACGCTTTCAAGACGTACTTAAGAAGGTAGCTCTTGCCCCATACTATACAGTGAATAGGTTGGCTTGGTGTGCTGCGAATTGTGCATACGGGAAACGACTTCGGTGTCTCCTTGGGGCTACAATCGTAGCAAGCGGTCACGCCCTTCTTGATAACTTGAACCTGCCCGTTGAAGCCCGTCGTACCGCTCTCGATCAACGGTACGTCTGCAGCAAGGCACATCTTGTTCACGTGTCGCCGGGCTTCAAGGTTATCCAGCGCGTTGAAAACGAGGGTAAAACCGCGGAACCACTCGACGCCGAACTGCGCGTCTTTGATGTTCGCATGGTAGGCAGTGATGTTGGCGTCCGGGTTAAACTTTTGCGCGACCTCCTTCGCAACCTACGGATTTCCGAGTATTAGGATATAGTTCGAAAATCGTCTCGAAATTCTCAGATAAAACATACCAAAGACTTGGACTTCTTGATGTGTTCGTGTCGGAAGAGGAACTGGCGGTTAAGATTGGAGAGATCGATGGTGTCGAGGTCGACGATGTGTATGTCGCGGAAACCGCTAAGAACTAGGTTTTCAAGAGCTCGCATCCGATTCCTCCGGCCCCTACCATGAGAACCTTGGACTATGGTTTTCGGCCAAGTTAGCAAACCGTGAATTCCGATCTGTGTGCGACACACATCATCAAAGGTGACCCTCGGGTGGGTTTGCGCCAGTGCTAAAGGCTCGCGGCCATGGCCGTCGCAAACCCGTTGTCGCAAGTCACCGATGTATGCGAAGTGGGGGTCGGCTCGAGGGCGGCCTCGGGGCAGAGAGCGAGCGTTCATACCTGATTGAGCTTCTCGTGGAGGTTTGCGCCGAGCGTCTGCTGGTTATAAAAATCACGAATGATAGCCATCTTGATCACTGGTGGCGCGAGCCGGTCGATGTTAGGGGATGGTCGGATGCACATTCGGTGGGGAGAAAGGGGGATTAGACAAGTCGAGAAAAGGGTCAGCGATGCGCGTGTGAGGTGTTGTGGAAAACGAGGCGACCGATTTTTGGCATGAGGTTGCCAAAGGAATGTGCAGTGCGGTGCGACGCGGCGAGGCTGCCAGGCTCAACGTGACGATGGGCAAAAGGTTTGAAATGGAAGCTTCATGTGGCTTGATACTGGATCCACCATCCCAGTTGGTTACGCAGTGACTTTCAGTGACTTCTGTGGGGCTCGAGAAACCTCTTCTTTAATGGGAGATCCAACCTCTTGTCTGTGTACTATCCTTGTTCACCCTAGCCTCTCAACTCCCAGAGACACTGAATGCCTTCTGAAGACCAGTCACTTCCAGCGCTCAAAACCTGCTCAGGAATTGAATTGATCAATCAGATGGTGGGTCATTCCAGAGGATATTGATCCACCTCCACGACAGCCTCTGTCCAACCCCAGCCAGCCCTTGCTCGCATGATTCGATCCGAGACATCTCGCCATTCAGAACCTCGAGGACCGCGATGACCTCCTCCTCCTTCTTAAAAATCGCCAGTCATCCGCCAGATTCGGATGAAAGCTGGGATGTGGCGGTATGAAGCCTTTCCTCAAACGACTGGCCTGTTCTTTCCACCTTCTACCAATTAATGGGTTTCAGATGGACAGGACCTGCCAACTGAGAGGGTTTGCTTCAGAGCACGGCACACAAGCACAGGGAGCTTGGTGGACTCATTCGAGGCTTACGTAAAGGGTGCCCCTAACCTCTTTGATGGCCATATGCTTCGGTGTAGAATGATAATAGACAGGCGGGACTAGGAAGATAATGCGATAATGCCTCCCTTTTATTTTTAACCAAAAGAATCTTTCGGCATCCAACTACTTGGGTGTATCTGTAATCTCGGAGAATTCTTCTCCTCCAAAGGAATTGGGCAGACGCCACTCATTGAGAAACTTCCTTTAGCTTCTCCTTCACCTTCACCTTTGGTTGCCCCCTTCCCCCACCATAACTAAGAGGCAAGGGCACAGTCGACATAATGTCCGACGATGAAGTCGACCTTGAACTCTTGGAACTTTTACGCCAGCACGTTCAAGGCAAGCTGAAAGTGAGCGATGAGCCGGAAACAGAAGTTCTCGACGGCGCAGAGTATATATATGACAACTCCATCGATGTAGCCCTCGACATGAGGGCGTGCAAGCAGGCCGCCAGCAGCATCCACGCCCTTATGCAGCAAAAGTCTTATTCCACGTCCACTTGGTCAGAGCATGTTCTTCACCCGAAAGAGAAGGATGCTTCTACGCTGGCTTTCATTTTCACAATGGATCTTTTAAACTTTTCATTCTGGTCTGAGCTACCCGAAGAGGAGAGGTTCGCTGTAGAATACCAGGGACAGGTCTGGACGGGTTACTGGAGCTTGGTTGCGTCTCTGCAGAGAGCCCTAGAAGAAGGTTGGTTCAAGAAAACACAAGAAGGGGGACGGCGTCGTTTCTTCTTTCTCCCACCCGGGCGCTGTGGTGTAAGCGGCGTGGACCTCCACTAACGTACGTCACTCTAGGAATCCCAATCACCAGCTCAGATTTCTGGCAGAACGAAGACGAGTGTACACTAGAAGTTCTCAAAAACGTCTTCAGATCTACTACAACAGAGGAAGAGATACCCATGCTTGAGGAGCGCCTCGCCTGCTTGCGTGAAGCCGGGCAGGTATTGTATGAGGTATGAACAGCCCTTTACACCCGCACCGGTGACAAGCTATCCCCCACCTACCTTTTCTCCTACCGTCATCGCATCCGCGCCGGACATGTGGTTCTGACGCAACCTAGAAATACGGATGCAGCTTCGAAGAACTCGTGTGGTCGGCCAACGGCTCTGCTGCCGGCCTCGTCAATATCCTTGCTCGTGACTTTCCTTGCTTCCGGGACGAGTTCAAGTTTGAAAGCCGCCGGAAGCCAGTCCGCCTCTTGAAACGCGCCCAGATTCTTGTAGCAGATTTATGGGCCTGCTTCGATGGCCAGGATTATGGCGACTTTTACGACATTGGGAAAATCACAATGTTTGCCGATTATAGAGTCCCCCAGATCCTCCAGTCCATGGGCTGTCTGTATTACAGCCCGTCACTCATGTCTACAATCAAGCACGGCAAGACGATCAAGTCTGGCTCCTACTGGGAATTACAGATACGTGGTATGTTTGTCGTACCCTCCCTCTCAGTTGCTCACTCCAGAGGGAGAGAATAGTCGTATTAACTCGTTGTTTAGGATGCAGCATCTGGTGCGTCGAGCTGATCAGGAGGGAAATTCTCAGGAACCATCCGGATGCCCAGGTCAATGCAATTTTGATTGACTTCTTTTGTATGATACCATTAAAGAGCGAGAGAAGAATGGGGAGGAGGGCATCCTTGCCCATCACAGGACTAGAAGTATCTGGTATTAGAGGGAGAACATAGGGCGGGCATACATAGAAATTCAGCCAGCCGAACTAGGTTCGTCTGGGAAGGAGATAGAAGAGAAAGTTAGATTTTCATTGCTGCGCCTAGTACCCGAAAAAGACGACGCCGAGAAGAAAAATAACCCTCCTAGCTATTTTATAGACTGCCGGGATACGGCATCTTAGCATAAGAAAGAAAAAAGGCGAGAATACATTTGATATAAAAATCCGAAGAACCATGGCCGAGAACGCCTCGCAACCTTCCACCAATCATTACAGAAAGAACATGACACTAGATCGCCACCCATAGATATGCTCAAGCCTCAGAAGTTATATGGCCCATGATTTGATCCATACACGACATCTCGGTTTCGCGTCCTGGGCGCCTCTTCTGCTCTTTCAAAGGACGGCAAGAACCTCAATGGGAGGGTTGAGGCCGAGCCGCTCAGCTCGCTTCCATCGCTTGATCCGGTCGATGCCGGTGGAAGGCTAGTTGAGATGTTAGCTGGTTATTACACGACTTTCTTGCGAATACAAGTCCGGCCCAAGACGGTACGGCTAGTATTGGCTAGGTATGCAACTTGGCGAAAGGGGGCACTTACTCCGTACTGAGACGAAACGTCAAAGTATCTCAGGACCTTCTCCGAGACAGTCAAGCCCTCCTGGTGCACCGGAACGGCAAGCCTAGCGCTCTGGATCCCGATCCAGTACTCCTTGATTTCAGCATCCTTCATTCTCTCCGCCAGCAGATCGGACTCATCCTTTTCAGCGTCCGCCGGCACAGCTGGCTCGGGGTCACTAACTGTTTGAATGGGACCGACTTCCAGCTCTAGCTTCTCCTCCACCTCGTCCTCTACATCTCCGTCTTCTCCCTCTTCTTGTTCCTCTTCCTGTTCCTCTTCTTCTTCTTCTGTGCTATCGTCTTCCTCATCGCTAGAGTCATCCTTTACATGCTCAAGTTCGTCCTCGGTAGGGCTGTGCACCACCTCTGCCTTCTTTGGCGCTGGGTCGGTCAAGACTGCCTTCTTTACGTCTGTGGGCGCGGACGCCTTGGTAACTCGTGTGGCGAAGCTAATTGTCGACTGGCCTTTTTCGGGCCCAGGACGAGCACGGCTGCCACCGGTTGATCGTCTTGGGGCGGGCATCGTCGGTGATTTCTAGAGGGTGGTGGCGGTGGAGGGGTAAATAACTGAAATCGAAGATTGGAAATTTGGATGTGGAAATATGGGGCCTAGGAAGTGCTAGGAGTGTCACTAGTGTTGTAAAAGGATGATTATGTATTATTGCAGTACCGGGACGAATTGTTCTCGGTAGTATGGGGTCATAACGAGATTGTTCACGACGGTCTTCTTGGTGTGAAGTAGGCGAGAGATGGACAAATGAAGGTGAACTGATGGCAACATTGGCGGGGCAACGCGACCTGGGAGCGTAATCACGTGGGCGCTACCCATTGAACCCGGCGGCGTTGCCCACCTCGCTTTCAATTTTACAGAAGGTCACAGGCCTCGCACTGAGAAGTCCAAGCGAATGGATGATTCTTGGACTAATGAAATACTTTTGGTGGTAGGTGTTAGGATCAAGATTTTTTTCTTTTCTTTGCTTCCTCTTCCTCCTGCTTCTTGGCCAATATTAGGTGTAGGAGAAGGGGTTTACATGAAGGCTTTTGAGTTCTGTTCTTCTCTCCACCCCTTCCCACCTAACCTCTCACCACTCAGGCACCAGTTGCCTCCCTGTAAAAGGAAAGACTACGGTTTGCCCCTGCTGTGCAGAAGAACTCGTTCCTTCCCGTCTTGGGCAGCCATTTTACAGCCCATACAGGCTTATCCGTCTCGCTGTGTGTGGCAACACAGACCTTGCGCTCGATAGACCACACCTTAGCCTTGCCGTCCATGGCACCGCTGAGGAGGAATTCTCCGCTGTCATTCCAGTCCACAGAGGTCACCCACGCGGAATGGCCTGTTAGGTTAGCTACGTGTTCTCCGTGCTGCATGTCGTAGAGTGCAATTACTGCCGCATCACCGGCCGCGGCTAGTCGAGTCGAGCCTGGTGAGAACGACACCGTCCTAATCGCCTTGGTCAACCCTAGAACCGTGTTAGTATCTGGATACACAACTTTTGGAAAGTACGGGAGTGGGCCATGTGCATCTGTTAGGGCCGACGTACCCGTCAATGCGTGGACAAGGCGCCCGCTATCGTTGTTGAAGATGTAGACGGTTCCGTTTTGGTGACCGCTTGCTGTAAACTTGCCATTGCCGCTCAAGTCTACGCACATACCAAAGCTGCCAGAGCTTCCGGTGCTAGTCTCGTACTCGCGGATAATCTTAGGGCTTCCTTTGTCGACAACGTCCCAAACAATCACTCTCCCATCCCTCGTCGTCGTGGCGAGGAACTGGCCATTCTCGTTGAGGGCGACGGCCCAGATAGACGCATCCTTGACGGCTCCTTTGGGGATCTCGGAGTGGCTAGACCACTCCCCGGTGTCTGCGTTAACAGCCCACACCTTGACCTCCCCCAAACCCGGAACTGGCAGCTACTTTGCCGTTTCCGGATGTGCAGAGATGGTGGCAGCCTAGGGAGTGCGCAGCGCTGATGGTCTGAGTGAGCGAAAAGCTGGGGGTTGTTGTTCCGTGGACATGGATGCTAGAGGAGCCGCTGGCCGAAAGGATGCTCTTTTGTGTCGCCGCTAAAGCGAATATGTCGGTAATGTGCGCTGGTGCTAATTAGCGGATGGGTTTGTGAAGAGGATGCGTAGTTGGTATGACAAGGCACCACGGCGGGGTAGCAGCGCAAACTTACCATTGTCCACAGTATGGGCTGTGAGATATTGTTTTGACTGTATATTACATGTTAGACAGGCGACCCTTGAAAATAGGGATAATCATTGAGTTTCGAATACCATGGCTGCCACGCTCTTTTGCGTCCTACCGCGAAGTGTGGGTGGTGGATGGTTAACAGGCAGGCAGGTCGGTGATGTCAAGCTTAAGTGGCGTTGAAAAAGTGGTGGGGTTGAATGGGGACCTCTCAGCTTCATCATCATTCACAACCGCAACCCAATCCTAACACCACAATTTACCGGCACTGAAGATTGCCAAGTTTGAATTTTAAAAAAACGCAGGGCCAGCAGCTCACTTAATTTTTCTTGGATGGATGCTTGATATGATTGTTTCTACTTCTTCAGTTGTCGTCACCTTCATGACAATGGGGAATACTTTCCAGTTATCTTTTGCCATCACAAGTCGTCACGAAAGAGGGAGCATCGTCTGCACCAAACAGCCAACTTCTTCTAAGATTCTACAAGCGGATAGTGTTACATTTATTTTATGCCCAAAACGCCAATGATGTACACCAGTGTCTAATCTGGAGAGAGATGCAGCTTAAACACTTATACACGATGAGCCTTGACGAGCTCTAATCCCACTCGCAGCGCCCTCAAACAAACTTTCCGCTCGAGTTATCTTCCTTCCAGACTTGATGTATCCCTAAAGAAAGACATGTCAGTTTTAGATCTTGCGTATTTTGCGTATTCTGGACCGGCAGGTAACCTACGTTCCATGCAGTGCGGGCACAGGCGGTGCATCCGCTTCGTCTGGCCGCAGCCAGGACACCTGCACAGGGAATTGACGTCCTTGAGCGCCTTTCCTGCCATCTGTCGGTGTCTCTTCTTGGAGTGTGAGGTCTTTTTCTTCGGAACCGCGCGGAGGATCGACTCCCAGATGTCGCCGAGGAGGGTGGGAAGGCTAAGCTGGATGCCGGGAAGACCGAGCGAGAGGGAGGAGTAGCGGGTGTGTGACCTCCTGGGTGTAAAGGTAGCCCATCTCGAGGAAGATAGTATTATGGGAGCCGAGACTCTGGGAAGGACCATAGATGCGAGGCCGGGGGCCATTCGCAGTTGTTGCGCCGCGGCGACAGCCATTGTGGGTAGTGGAGGATCGAGCTGGTCTCCTGGAGACAAAATACAAGTCTGGCTCTTGGCTTCGTGGATTTCGGTCCGTTTAGCGAGTCTAGATGGGCAAGGCGCTGTCGAATCCCCTATAATACCCAAAGCGTAAGAGAGGGGAGACACAGGACAGCTCGGGGTGATTCCAAGAAAGATAGCTGGCTATGTCAAAATCAGATGGCAAAGCTCCCCAGCAGACGATTCGCGAGGCTCATACTTTTCACGCGCGATGCATCAAAATTATTTCAACAGCCGAACTTACTCCGACACATCCTGGGGGAATTTGCGCACAGCGGTACGTACCTCAATTTTTGGACAAGTTGAATTGCGCTCCAGGAGAAGAAGCCAATCACCGAGGGGTTGGCGCACAGACCAAGGGTGGACCAATTGGCACTTGCGACTGGGCCCCTTTTCCCCTTTCCCTTCCTAACCCCCTGGCCGCCAATCCCCAGCCCAAATGACAGGCTGGAAAATTATTGCTGGTGGCAGGTGCGTCTCTTGCCAAATGAATCCTGTGTTCCTCATCAGACCGGACCAGAAGTAAAAAGCATCACCTTCAACCGTTGAAACAAACCCTCTCGGCTCATTCATCTGATCTCCCTCTTTGTTGTCCCCAGGGCATCTGCCATCTCCAGTTCTCCTTGCTGCTTCTTTGGCCCCTCTTGTTTCCCCCGACAAAGACACTCTCCATTTTTAGTTCGGCTTCTCGAGGTAGAGCCTAATTCGCACCGCCGGACCCCGTTGAATTTATCTCCCTGACCGACACGCCCTCAATTGACATCGCCGAACTGTTTCCCAAGCAGCAACAATGGCCTCTACCACTATCTTCCCCAAGAGCCATGTCGGTTTCGACAGCATCACCTCTCAGATTGAGCGCAAGCTCTTGAAGCGCGGCTTCCAGTTCAATGTTATCTGCGTTGGTACGAATTGCCTTTCCCATCTTGAGCCTTCATCCCTGGCTTGCGATGCTGTCCCCCTCCCTCCCTCGCGTTCGTTCGTCCATGGACGATGACCTTTGTCCGCGTCGCCTTCTTCAACATCTGTATATGGTAGTGAGTAACTAATCCTTTTGTCTGTTTAGGTCAAACCGGTCTCGGAAAGTCGACTCTTATCAACACCATGTTCGCCTCTCACCTTATCGACTCCAAGGGTCGCATGCAGCCCGATGAGAGCGTTCGCACCACCACCGAGATTGACTCTGTCTCTCACGTCATTGAGGAGAACGGTGTTCGTTTGAGGCTCAACATTGTTGACACTCCCGGATACGGCGATCTCGTTAACAACGACCGCTGCTGGGACCCCATTGTCAAGTACATCAAGGACCAGCACTCCGCCTATCTCCGAAAGGAGCTTACGGCCCAGCGTGAGCGATATATCCAGGATACTCGCATCCACTGCTGCCTCTTCTTCATCCAGCCTTCGGGTCACTCTCTCAAGCCCATTGACATCGTCGTGTTGAAGAAGCTTTCCGATGTTGTCAACGTTGTCCCGGTCATTGCCAAGTCCGACAGCTTGACCCTCGAGGAGCGTCTGGAGTTCAAGGAGCGCATCAAGGAGGAGTTCGCTTTCCACAACCTCAGGATGTACCCCTACGACAACGAGGAGTTCGATGACGAGGAGCGTGGCTTGAACACTCAGATCAAGGTATGAACCACCCATCAAGTTGTTTTCCTCCACTCTTTCTTTTCCATGCCTTGCTTCCCCTCTTTACACGGAGCGAGGGTTGGAACTGGACATGTAGAACCACATTCTGACTATGCATACATAGAGCCTCATCCCCTTCGCCGTCGTTGGATCTGAGAAGTCCATCATCGTCAACGGCAAGCAGGTTCGGGGTCGCCAGAACCGCTGGGGCGTCATCAACGTCGAGGACGAGAACCATTGCGAATTCGTCTACCTCCGCAACTTCCTTCTCCGCACCCATCTCCAAGATCTCATCGAGACCACGTCTCAGATCCACTACGAGACCTTCCGCGCTAAGCAGCTTCTCGCCCTCAAGGAGAACTCTGCCCACAGCGCCGCTGGTTCTCGGCCAATCAGCCCCGCCGCTGACCGTGAGCTTTCTCGCAGCTCGCAACGGATGACGATGAACGGATACTAAGCTTCGGTGGGAACGCGGTTGATTGCTGAGCAACTCCGCTTGCTCGGGCTGCCGAGGACCTCGTGGCTTACCTCGTGAAGTCGGCCAGCCATCTTCCCCTTACGACCCCGGATCGAAGTTGTCATGGTTTATAGCGAAGCGAACTCTTCTCGAGACTAAAATTTTTCGTTGATTACAAGATATACCTGCTGTCTGATTTTTCTTACCAACCCTTTACGTGGATAGGCTCTGGGATAACGGCAAAGTTGGGGCGGGTGAGAACGGTATTGCTCTCTAGACATGGAGACTGTCGTGGTAGGGGTACCGGGACGGTAGGGTCCCACTAATTGAAGGAGGTGGTCGCCAGGCCTCTCTCCCCGAGGTCGTTGGGTGTCTTTTTGTTTAGATTTGTACGTCGATTAGAACGGGGTGCATTTCGGCCCTCCCTCCCCACCTCTTTGGCTCGCTTCTCCTTTTGGCACGAATTCCTCGCTTCTTCCCACGCTTCGTCTTAACCCCTTTCTTCCTTCTACTTTGATTTCTTTATTTTCCCTTTTTTCTACTCTTTTTATCGGTTTCCCCGTCATGAAAGAGGAGGTTGATCGCTATTTTCTTATGTTTTAATTAGTTCGGTTACCCCTCCGGGCTCTAATAGCAGAGTTCGCTTCGATACCTAGTCAACGCAGTAACTGTTTTCTCTCTCTCTCTCTCTCTCTCTCTCTCTCTCTCTCTGTCCTCTGTCCCTCTTGCCCTTCGCCTTACTGATTTCATCCCTGCCGCCCTTAGCGGGCCTTGGACTTTGTCATCGATGAGAGATGTCTTCTCGAACATTAACCCAAGAAATGCTTGCTTTTGATTTATGTGTGATTACTTCTAAACCGCCCTCTAGCCTATTTTATAATCGCAATATTCCGTTAAAATTCCTGCTTAGTTCTCGTTCCCTCCGAGTTCCCAAGGTCGAAGAGGAAAAGCAAGAAAAAAGCCAATGCTCCATTCATAAATCGTCTAGTATACCCACCCCCTCGTTCCAACAGCCGTAGGCACCGTTTACGCCTCCGCGAAGATGAAATCCTCGAGCTGCTTGTACGCAGTTTCGAGGTTGTCGTTGACGATTATGATGTCGTGGACGCCGGGTACTTTGGAGTACTCGAGCTCGACTTTGGCCTGTTGAAGACGAGCTTGGATACTCGCCTCGGCCTCAGTGCCGCGGCCACGAAGGCGCTCCTCGAGGGCGGCCTCGGAAGGGGGCGCGATGAAGATGTAGCGGGCAGGAAACTTGGAGGCCTTGATTTGTTTGACACCCTAGATGAGAGAACGATCCATGGTCAGCCTTTTCCTTTGTCTTGATCTAGGTAAAAGAGGCAACGCGGGGTAATTTCAAAGGGGAAAGCATTGGGGGAAAAGAAGCCAAGGAGGTGGGGAGGACGAGATGGGCCACAGCAAAGTTAGACTAACCTCCATTTCGATATCGAGCACGACCACCTTGCCCTTGGCGGTCTGGTCCTGGATGGTCTGCTTGCTGGTGCCGTAGCGGTTACCACCAAACTTGGCGTGCTCCACGAAGCTGTCCTTGGTGATGAGGTCCTCGAACTCGTTCATCGGGACAAAGTGGTAGTGCACGCCGTGGGTCTCTCCATCGCGAGGTTGGCGGGTGGTGTGGGAGACGGAGAGAGTGAAGGCGTCCGGGTGGCGGCTCTTCAGGAGGCCCCAGAGGGTGCCTTTTCCGGCGCCCGAAGGACCGGAGATGACGACCGGGCGGGTATCCGTGGGGAGCTCTAGTGTGGAGGAAGCATCAACGCGTTAGTTTCGATATCTCATGGCCTGATATGCTTCCGCACGTGCCTGGCTCTATTGCGGAGGGCGGGTTCCCGAGGTTTGGGGGAATGGATGACGGAGGGTGGGGGCCTAGAAGGCCTCCCCCGTTTGCCGGCGTCGAAGGGGACGGAGTCGCACGGCGAAGCGGGGGACCTGAAGGGGGAAGCGGGGGGAACGGGCATGTGCAAGCAAGATCAAGCAGAGACGAAAGGACAGGGGGTTGCGGTACGTACTAGCCATGGTCAGGAAGTGGCGTGAGGAAAGTCGGAAGGCTGCTTGGGGGTTGGTGTGGGAAAGGTTGTACAGGAGGCGGGAGGAGGAGCGCGGGAGCATGGAGAGTGGTTTGAGGTTGAAAAAGGTTGGAAAAAGGTCGACGTGGGTCGGATTTAATGGCCGACTTTGGGGAGGGCGTGCTAAAAGAAGGGTGTAGCGGGGATCGACTTGATGGAGTCAAAAGAGCGGGCTGGATGCAGTGCTGCAGGTAGCTTCAGTTGAGAGAACAAACATTGAACTGAGCCAATTCAATCTTGTCCATTTCGGCCTTGTGGCCTGGAGAAACTCTATGAGACGTCAAAGAGCACGGAGCCTGAAAACTTGATAATCTCAACATCGCCCCAAGGAGGGGTTCGATATTTTTGCGTGGTGTAATATTGTATCTGCCTTGATGTTAAGATTTATAGATCTATTGGATCCACTAGAGCCAGAGGCAGACCTATCCCAACTATGGACGGTAACGCACTTGTTTAACAAATGTGCAAAAGAAGCTACATATTCATGTGGTCTACCGAGGTAGTGGTTCACCAGAATTCCTGAGTGGCGGCTACCAGAACGACCTCCTCTGAGTCAAAATTGTAGTTTGGACCAACGCGATTGATGGGTCGCGTCTCCAGCTCTTCGGCCTGGGCCTCATAAGGCACTCTGTGCATTTCATCGATAGGGGACCCTCTCTCTTCCTATCCCATCAACTTGGTATGCGGCCCAGAGTTCAAGCACCTAGACCTTGGAAGCGAAAGGGAGAAGGAATTGAGGTGAACCCGCCCCGCCATTGCTGGCAAGAAATCAAAATAACCCCCAAAAAAAAAAATGCTTCAATGCTCGCGCGAAATTCAAAATACAGTCCAAATGCCTGGTTCAGGAACATTTGAATCCTCTTCCCACGCTTGTCCAGCCTCAGCCTTTGTCTCCCGTTCTGGAAACACGACCTCAATCCGTGGCTGCCATGCAGGCGCTCAAGGGCAGCCATCAGTGTCATTGTAATTTACCCGGCCCGAGTCAGGGTGGCATAGAAAAGCGCTGACAGGTCAGGCTAATGGAGCGTTTCCTATTACCTTAAAAAGGAATGAAAAAGTTCCATCATTGAAATTTCCCCAGATGGGAACGGTCCATGAATTTTCAACCTGGGTGGACCTGCACTGCCACCGTGCACATGGTGCAAGCTAATTTGGCGTGTAATTAAAACCCGACGGGGCGATCCCCTGCCCGCCTCCATCCAAGGTCCGCACAAGCGTTCATGCAGGCACGTTTGAGGGCATTGGTTGCCGTTTTCGGTCGTGATCCTCCATGAAGCTCGTATTGAGACCTCTCACTTCGAATTGTGGATATACACGACACGAGGGGGAGGTTTGGCAGCACAATTTCTTCGTTCGCAGGCTGTCTTGCTTGTCGTGTCCGGCTCTCTGTCTGAGGGTTATTGTACAAGTAGCACACAGGGGGGACGAGACCTTTGCGTCCCACGTGGAATCAGCGACTCATTCGCGCGTCAGTGTGCACCATGCAAAGGTGGATGCTGTGTGAAGATGGCCAGCCAGCCAGCAATCCCCTCCGTGGCAGTTGAAACATCAAGCGCTGAAGCGGCTCCGCAATGCTCGTTGCAGCACAACCAGGGAAGAGGGTTTGTTCTTCCCGTAATTGGCGATGGCGAGGAGCCTAGCAAAACACAGAGGTTCCGCAACTCACCTTGGCAGTGCGACGAGGGCCCAGAAAGCCAAGGAAAACAAATTCAACGGCAATAACTTGGCCTTCTGGATGATAAATGGTCCAGCAACGGTGAAGGTGATGGGGGATGGTTGAGTGTAATAGACATGAGGAAACCCGAGACCTTTTCCCAGTGAATGGCTTGGCTCATGGCTGGGCCAGTGCTAGGCCACCCCCTTTGCGGTGTGAGTCCCAATCAGGTTGCAAAGCCCACCCAGAAGAGCCTTCCCCCTGGTCCTCCCCAATAACAGCGCTCGCTTGGCTTGCAGTACCCCTTTCTCCCTCGTCTTTTTCCGGCCGGGTTCCCTGTCGTGTCGAAACATATCACTATCGTGCCTTCCACCATATGGAGAGAGCGCTTCCCTCCTTCTCGTTGCACGAACCTTCCTTCTCGTGAATCTTCTTGTCGCTCCTTACGCCCGCCTTGAATCCTTGATTGCTTTTTGGCAATCGTCCTTTCCCTCTTCTCCGTCACTCCTTCACTATATATATATAAATTTACATTTTTCCCCCTCAGACCCCGTCTCATCGGTCCCCTTTTGCGCGCTTTATCGATACACAAACCGCCTACCACCGAATCCCACTCACGTCGAGCGTGTTGTCTTCGCGATGCATGTGAGTATAAGCCAAACACCCCATCTCCCCTTTACGTCTTGACAGAACTTGGGCTGCTCGGGTCGGGCGCGAAACAAGGCACATTTTTTCAAGGCTGCCTTGGTTTTGAATTGCTCTCCCTTGGCTGGCCCCGTGGATAGGATGGCAGGCGACTAGGGGCCGTGTCTTCCGCCGGTTGCAGCTTACCCACATTTCAAAGCATCTTTGCCCGGCTTTCATGCCACGGCGGAGGCTAGAGAAGCTTATAGTTGACTGTGCATTTACGCTGTCGCACTCTTTATACTGCTGCTGGATCCATTGCGCCAGTCCTTGTCGCAAATCGCTAACTGTGGCCCCTCCCGCTTCGCGTTTTAGTTCCCAAGCACTCTCGGTCTCCTCGCCGCTATTGCGGCTCCCTCACCTCTGCCGTCGACCCCCTTGAGGTGAAGGGCCGCTACTTTGTCAACCCCAATGACGGCTCGCGGTTCCAAATTGTTGGTATTGATTACCAACCTGGCGGTTCCGCGGGTTACAAGCCCGACCTGGGCAGGGATCCCCTCTCCGACCGGGACCACTGCCTTCGAGATGCCGCCCTGATGCAGGTTCTCGGTGTCAACACCATTCGCGTTTATAACCTCGACCCCAACATCAACCACGACGAGTGTGCTAGCATCTTCAATGCTGCTGGCATGTACATGATCATCGATGTCAACTCTCCCCTCCCCGGCGAAGCCTTGACTTCCTACAACCCCTGGGAAAGCTACTACAACACCTACCTCAACCGCACTTTTGCCATTGTCGAGGCTTTCAAGAGCTACCCCAACACCCTGCTCTTCTTCTCCGGAAACGAAGTTATCGACAAGGCCGAGAGCGCCGAGTTTGGGCCCCGCTACATCCGTGCCGTCACTCGTGACTTGAAGAACTATATCAAGAAGCACTCTGACCGCTATATCCCCGTCGGCTACTCTGCCGCTGATGTCCGAGACATCCTCTGGGATTCCTGGAACTACTTCACCTGCCGCATCAAGGGCGAGAAGGATGACGAGTCTCGCGCTGACGTGTTCGGCCTCAACTCATACTCGTGGTGCGGTAACGCCACCTTTGAGTCTTCCACCTTCAAGGATCTCGTCGAGGGCTTTGCCGACACCTCAGTCCCCATTTTCTTCTCCGAGTTTGGCTGCAACGAGGTCACTCCCCGTCCCTTCACCGAAATTGCCGCCATCTATAGCGACAAGATGACTCCTGTTTTCTCGGGTGGCATGGTTTACGAGTACACCCAGGAGAAGAACAACTACGGTCTTGTCCAACTCGACGACGAGGGCAACGCCGAGCTTCTGGTCGACTATAACACGCTCGCCCAGCGATATGGTGCTCTCGACTTCGATGCCCTCTACTCCCAGAAGGCTGGCGACGACACCCCGAGCCCGTGACCTGCGATGCTAAGCTCATTACCCAAAAGGGTTTCGATACCAACTTCACTATCCCCGACATGCCTTCCGACAACTCGAATGAGATTCTCAACCGCGGTGTCAGGCCCGCCCCCGTTGGCAAGCTTGTCGAGGTCACTGAGCTCGTCACTCCCCACAAGGTCACCGATACCGACGGCAACGAGCTCACCAATGTTGGTATCAAGGTCGTTCCCGACAACGGCTGGAACAAGCCCGGTGTGAACACCGCTTTTGCCGTTGGCGCTGGTGTTGACGGCGCTTCCAGCAGCGACGAGGAGGATGCCGGTGCTTTCCTCCGCCCTACTCTTCTCGCGCTCGCTCTTCCCGCGATCGCTTACTTCCTGTAAGCGATTCTATGCGCTGAGATGGGGGTGAGGTGGCTGGCTGGTTGAATGAGGGGTCGATCCCCTCGGGCGAGCAGTCATGTCGTTGAATGCGGAATGTTTTGCTTTATTGTCAAGCGCGCCTGGCCTTTGTTTATGTAAATACCGTACGCCTCGTGTGTTGTGTTTTGGCTACTTGTGCTGTCGTGAGTGTGTAAGTTGAGGCTCCCTCGTAATAGGGAAGGGGTAGTGGTGAAGTGTCAAGAGTGTAATGGGGATGGAGATGTAGACGGAGGGGAGACAAGGTGCAATAAATAACTGTCAACGAATCGGTTTTTGCTTGTGAGCGTGCCTGTGCGTGGCTATGTGCTAACTGTTCCATGTCTCTACGTATGTAATCCACTGAGCATCCCGAAAGCTAATACGGCCCAATCTATCTCTCTTTCCCTCCTCGTGACCGGAGCCATGGCCGTCCAGGAGTTTGGCATGGCGTCGCGTCGCACATACGTAGGCATGTGGAGTCTGGGTGGAGAGCCCAAAGGGAGGAGGGAGGCAAGGCATGAAAAATGATGGGCTTGGAATTCCTTGGCCCGCGCCAGTGTATCCGTGTATGTACAGCGCGCGGTCATGTTCATGATCCATTCCCAACTTTTCTTTTGCCCCCAACAATGACGATCAAAAGGGGGGAACGTAGGTCGAAAAGCTCCTCGCGCGAAATACAGCATGGTCTAGGCGAGAGATGCCAATGCTGTCGGGAGGAGAGAGTTCCCATACCCAAGGAACCCGGACCCGATGACGGAGGGACATGGAATACACCCGAGGCAAAGGACGCAGAGTGAAGCGAGAGCTCGTGTCGGCACGCTCACGAGGTACGGCATGTGGTGTCACCGAAATCTACATGCAAGGGCGCGAAAAGCAAGACAGCGAGGACAGAGCACATAGCAGCACACAGCAAGTGGAAGGGAAAAAAAAAAAGGGGGTGGGACAGAGAATAGGTTGCAAAAGTCTTTAGTGTAGCTCGATTCTTCTATCACCGATACCTAAAGAATAGTTGCGCAAAAAGGTTCTTTATCATCATCCGTTCCTTACGTAGTCGTACCAACCCACACGCCTCGTTTCCGTTTACTGCCGCCGGTCCGGTTCTCCAAAAAAAAGATAAAAAAGAGGATGATCTTCCTTTTCTCTTTTACTATTTTATAAAAAAAAAAAAAAAAAGGGTGGTTTAAGGTTTATTGTTGTGCGCTTGGGGAGGGGGATATAATAGTATGTTGAGTCTTGCGTGAGCTGTTTATGCTTCTGGGAGACTTAACCCTGGAACTCGGGAACCTGGTTCTCCTCCCACCTGCCGGGGACGAGGGCAAGGGGGACGATGCCAGACACGTGCATCTCGGGACCGAACACCCTGGCGTTGAGTCCCAGTTCTTGGGTAGCGGCCTTGAGGTTCTTAAGACCCTCCTGGTAGTTGGGGCCGGCACGACGGACCCAGATCTGGACATTGTGCTCGATAAGCTGGGGAGCAAAATCCCGAAGGGCGCGGATGAGACCCTTGAAGGTGCTGGCAACGTTGGTGAAGTTGGCAATACCACCACCGATGAAGAGAACCTTGCCCTTGTCGGACATGGGCGCCCTGAGCATGAGGTCGAGAACAGTGCGGGCGTAGTGATAGGTCTGAGACTCGGTAGGCGCACCCGAGTACTCACCATAGTTGGCGAGCTCGTCGGCGAAGCCGGCGGAGGCGATGGCATCGGCGTAAACGACCGAGGCACCACCACCGGCGACGAGGGTCCAGATACGGCCAGCAGGGTTCAGGACGGTGAGCTTAAGAGAGGCGCCAGTCTTGGCATCAAGCTCGGCGATGTACGCCTCCTCCTTGGTGAGCTCACGACCAAAGGGGGCAGGGAACTCCATGGGAGGGCCCGCATCAATGTTCACCTTGTCACCCGCAGGAGCAACGTTGGTGAGGCCAAGAGCGGCAGGCGACCTCGCAATAGCCCACTTAACACCGCACTCGAAGTCGGCAGTCTGATCCAACTTGGCAGCGAGATCGAGGAAGTGGACGGCGGCTGAGGTACCCTCTGCATTGGGGATGACAACGAGGGGGTTAATCTCGAGATATGTGAATTGGCAGTCAACATAGACGCCGTAAAGACGGGTGATGAAGTCGACGAGGACCTTGTGGACACCCTCGGGGACGTGCTTGAGGAGACCCTCGGCGATTTCCCTGTTGGAAGGGTATTGTGAGAGGTCGACGGGGATGAGAAGCTTCTCAGCCTTCTCATCGACGTCACCAACATCGACACCACCCTCGTGAGTGAAGAGGATCCAGTCGCCCTAGAAAAAGCACCAGTCGTGTTAGTTCACTGTCGTGCTAGCGAAAAAGAAAAAAAGATTATAGGGTGTTGGGTCTGTGGTGGGGCCCTTGCGCGGGACTACCGGCTGGGCTATAGCGGGTTTTCCAAAAGGTGGCATCCGTTCGTCCGTGGGCGAGTCAGCGGGCCACTTTCCAAAACAATGGAGGAAGCTGCCGGATCGCAGAAAAAAGCCGCCTATTTATAACGGCTTGCGTTTCCGGATCCCACAACTTCCAACTGCAATTGTTTTCTTGACAAGCGACCGACGGGAAAAGACAAAAAAGAAGCCTTTTTCCTCTTCCTTTTCGATACTGTCTGGAGCAAACCCGCCCGTTCAACTTGGCCCCGTCGCACACCTTTCACCTCGCGATGCGAACCACCTTTCACCCTCTGCCCACGGCCACAATGCCGTGTGTAATTTGTGGAAAAGGCTTGATTTTGGGTTTGGGGTAGAGACTTACATCACGGACGGAGTTTATGCAAATGTAATACTCCTGGTCTTGCTCGTGCCTCACGAAGGGCTCGACTGCATCGCCTTTTATCAGTACTCATGCCTCGCATACCCAGTCTCATACCCCCGAGGGAAGGCGCTTACCCAAGAAGTTGCGAAGGACACCAGAGACGTGCTCGACCTGCTGCTCCGTGCCGGCGCGCGCGGCAACCCAGGCCCTGGCCTCGGCCCAGGTCTTGTTTAGGGCAAGGAGGCCGCTCTTTCCTCGTCGCTTGATACTAAAGAATGCGTTAGCAAGCCGCCCAGCTTCATCAACTGTCTCAAATGGCAGGGCTAGACGGAGCAGCAGCATCCCGCCCCCATAAAGGACGACGGGCGCCCATGGTCATTTTCGGCCTCCTCCTAAGTGCCCCTTGCGCAGTCAACCGGAGTTGCAGATTTAACTCACAGCATGTCGGGCTTGGCTACAAATCGAGCATCGGCCTGAAGGAGCCAAGGGTAGGTGACCTCGGCCTGGTTGAGCACATCCTCGACCTCAGCATCCTCGGGAAAGTTGAGAGTCGCCAACCTGGGGGAGGGTTGTGCTTGGTGGGAGCGGCGAGAGGGCTGGGCTTGATGGGCTTGGAGCGGGTGAGGTGGTAGTTGAGGATGGCCTTGCCATCGGCCTCAAGAATCGACTTCGCCGACATTATGGGTTTATTACGAAAAATCTGTCCAAAATCCGATTGTCAGCAATGTCTCTTTTCGACGGGCCCGGATGTGCGAGTGTGGTTGTTTGGCAGGTAATGGCAACTTCTGTTCTGCGTGGCTCGCTGCGATGTCGCAACTGGGGAGCGCCAGGGCACACCAAAAACCATCCCACCAGCTGTGCAGCAGTGAGGGGCACATGAGAAGCTCCCGGCGCGGAAAAAAAGAATGAAGAGACCTACAAATGGGAAAACGACAATGAGACGACGTCAAGCTATGCTTCGCAAATACCAACTTGAAAGCTACGAGGATTTCGAAGTTGCTCAGAAGAGTGAGGGTTGATGAGAAGGGGTGGAGGAGATGGAGAAGTGCTGGATGGTGGATGATGGGAAGCTCGAGGGGAGGGGAGGAATTGTCTGACCAGGTCGACCTCCAAAAAAAAAAAAAAGAACTTGGGAAAAAAGAAAAAAACCGGCGTATGGTACGGAGGTACCCAAAGGATAGCAGCAGGGGTTCAACAGGGCACGAGAAGATGGAAGCAGAAGGCGGTGGACAACGCAAGAGGAGCCAGAAAGGAACCTCAATGAGACTTTGGGAACTGGATTGATGAGGTCAACCTCCAAGGTGAGTCCGCCCTTTTTCGTGGTTCGGTTTCCCCAACCTGCTCTTCTGGTTCTCTGTTTCTCTAGGCGACCATGGCCTTCTCTGGTCTCCCTAATCCGTCTCAATATTTTGTTGGATTGATGGACCGTTCGTCAGTTCGCTAGTGCGGTGACGGATCCAAAGCAAGCCAGGACTTTGTTGCCGTTCCCATCAACAAATGTCAACATTGAGTGGTGAGTGCCACAAAGCTTCGTTTAGTGCCCCTCAATCCATCCCCCTCCAACCCGCGCGCCCCCTCTTATCCATGCTGTCCCCACCCCTGGGCGGCGATGGCGACGGATGGCGGGTTGCTCCTGAAAATTTTGGGGCGGTCTAGGCTTGGGTGTGGTGGGGAGCTCCAGCCCAAGCCGGAGGGGCAAGCTCAATGGACAATGCACTAGTGGTGTAAGGTACCAGTACATGGTGACGAGGAAACTTTTTGCCCAACGTTTGTTGAGAAATTAAACAATCGAACCTTTTTATTCTTCTGCCTGCGTCTAGTGTAGCAGGAATCGTTGGCGTTCGAGTTTGAGTCTGATCTCAGTGCGAGCTGGGAAAACCCGGCACACGACCTCCAGTCGGAGTCGTGGTGGTACCGCTGACCATCGAGGGATAGGGGATAGGGGTTCAATGTTGGGCTGGACAGGAAGAGGAAAAAAAGAAAAAAAAGAAAAAAGGCCCGCCAAATTTTCGCAAAACGAGAATTCAACTATTCATAGCCTGGCGAGTGCCGAGGCCATGCTTGGCGGGTCCTTTTTTGTTCCCTTTTGGTTCTCTTTCTTTCCTTCCCTTTGCGCTTAGCTCTGCTCTCTTCTCTTCGGGCTTTTGTTTTCTTTTTTTCTGTTTTTCCTTTCTTTTTCCCCGATGCATCTAAAAGTTCGGAATTGTCTCACCACCACCTTGTCAGCTCGTGTTCAACGTTCCTCTAAAGTCAGAGGCTGAGCAAGGCTGAGGAAGCGCTGGTGGGGTATTAGAGCTATTCCGCCGTTCACTAAGGGAACTTTGAAGGATGGCCAGCCAGCCAGCGCTGAGTGCGGTGCACAGGGCAGGGGCCGGGGCAACCCCACGGACTCTTGCCCTGGGCTGGCAGGGGGACTGTCTCAGTGGCTGATGGAGGGGACTGGCACCGGACGGCTCCGGATTGCGGACATTGCGCACGAGGCGTGGAGTTTTCCGATCCCTCCAGGGGCAGTTCGCGGGCGGGATTTTGACGCCATTTTGTCGTATTCCGCTTCTTACACGCTCACACAGACACCCACACACACATCCGCACACACAAGCCCCCATTTCCAACTGGAAGCTTCCACCATCTAAGCCTTGCCTTCCTCATTTGGAGGGGCTCTTATCACTCACGTCCACTCCTTCCCTCCCGTTTTCAGATGCATCTCTACATCCATTGTAATGGCTGTATTATTTGGTCCCCTTCCTTTTGTCGCAGCCCCTTCCCTTTTTTTTTTTTATTCTTCGCTGTTCCCTCTCGTGGCGTTGACACACGCTCTTTTCGTTGACCGGATCCAAGGCAAGGTGGTGGTCAATCCAAATCAGTGGTCCGATGGGGTCGGCAAGTATTGGTACAAGGCATTAATTAAACCAGGTACCAAGCTACCCCCTACCCCCTACCCCCTTGTCGACTCATCACGAATTGATCCCAGCAACCAAAGTGCTGGGCAATTCAACAGGTCTCAAAAAAGTTGAGAAGCGGCGGCTGAGCTTGGTGGGGATCTGCCCAACCTTCGCACCCGCCTTGATTGGATTTCGCACCCGTGCTGGATTTGATCTGGCTGGCCTGGCCTGTGCCTGCGCTGGCGTTCATCAGTCTTCGGCTCAGGGTCCGAGACTTCTCTCTGCTTATCATGCACCCTCGAAAGCTTGAGGATTTGGCGCCGTGATTTAGCTTGGTGTGGTGGTGTCCGACCTGGCTTGAACGGGTATTGCCACGGATTGTCTTTGTCGTTTATTTTACCGTGACTTTTCCTGGCTGTGTTGCTTACGGCCTTTTGTTAATTACGGGCCTCGTCATCCGTTATTGTGCATGCTAACATTGAATTATTGCAAGCAGATGCCATTGAGCTTTGCGGAGGATTCAATGTTGTGTACGCGTTCGAGATCTATTCCAGACCGCAATTTGTATCAGCGCTGACGTGTGCCAACAAGAAGGTCGCGGGGAAAACGGGCACCGCACCTCGACGGATTGAGCGTCCCTTGCTGCAGACACGGACAAGAGCTTCCCCAACCCGACCCCACCCACACCCCCAACCACACATCCCTACCGGGTGAGAATCCGCCCTCTCGAGCGACCCTCAAAATTCACACCCTCAGCAGAAGCAGTTGAGGCGAAGGAGGAGGGAAAAAAACCTTGGCTTGCTGGGAGAATCCACACCGTCTAGGGCCAGTACTTCGTGGCGGATACGGCCACGCTCTCTTTGCAGCGATCAATGGATACATTGATCAATCAGGCAAAGCGAGGTCCGAAGTACCTAGCGTGTCCACTCAAGTTCAAACTAGCTTCTGAGGTTGGCATTGGAGTTTTGTCGTGCGTCCCAACCCGCCGCCAGAGTTACCTAGGCCATCCCACCCTTTTCGGCCTCGACAACAGAACAGCTCAACTTGGGTCCTACCTTCCTCCTCCAAAATCGGGAAAACCAAAGCAAAAAAATCCCATCTCATTCTCCTTCCCATTCCTCATCTTCCCTTCCTCACATTTCATCCATCTCGTGAGATCTGCGTTTGCTTTCCTCGCAGCAACATCTCGAATCGTCTCGATCGTCTGGAGCTTCCAAATAGCTTTGATAGGTATGGTTGCTCGGTGCCCCCCTTTTCTTCTCCTGCTGCATTCCCACCGTCCACCTTCCCCCACCTGTGTCGAGCCATGCAACTGCGATAGCGGCCCTGTTGATGTGCGCAACCGAAAATTTTTGTTGGACGTTGCGACTGGAGACTGCTGCATTGCTTGGAAGAGAGAGACCCATCTCTTCCCTCCAATTTCCTTGAGGCATCATTTCCTTGCCAGACTCAAACTCCTCTCGTCTGCTTCCTCCCCCACCATCACCTCTTCCCCTCCCCCAAAATAGCTGCAGCCCTCGCGTGATTGCTTCCACACAACGCTCTTCCTGCGAACGCTCACAAGAGACCGAGGAAAACACAACCAGAAGGCTCAAAAGACCGACAATAGCTAACTCTTCACCGTGTTTGGTGGCTCCCTTTTAGACACGATACTCTAAACTAGCTCTCCTTTTTTCTTTTTTACAATCACCGTCTCCTTGACTTGCAACCATGACCACCGCTTCCACACCCAGCGGCGCCAAGCCGTCGACGTTGTCTGCTAACGACAACATTCGTCGCTTCGCGGCCCCCAGCAGGCCTCTGAGCCCTCTTCCCTCTCACGCTCTTTTCCACAACAAGACGAGATGCTTCGTGTACGGCCTCCAGCCCCGCGCCGTCCAGGGCATGCTTGACTTTGACTTCATCTGCAAGCGCTCCACCCCTTCCGTAGCGGGCATCATCTACACCTTTGGTGGCCAGTTCGTCAGCAAGATGTACTGGGGAACTAGCGAGACTCTCCTCCCCGTCTACCAGGAGGTTTCCAAGGCCATTGCCAAGCACCCCGAAGTCGATGTTGTCGTCAACTTCGCCTCCTCCAGGAGCGTCTACAGCTCTACTTTGGAGCTCATGGAGAACCCCCAGATCAAGACCATTGCCATTATTGCCGAAGGTGTGCCCGAGCGTGTAAGTCATTACCTGAAGAGCGAGAGCGAAAAGAGAGAGAGAGAGAGAGACTGCTTTTGAATGCCCTGTCATGATGAGCCAAGCTAACTCGGCATTTTCTTTTCTCTCGTCATTTAGCGTGCGCGTGAGATTGCCCACATCGCCCAGCAGAAGGGTGTCACCATCATCGGTCCTGCTACCGTCGGTGGCATCAAGCCCGGTTGCTTCAAGATTGGTAACACTGGTGGTATGATGGACAACATCGTCGCCTCCAAGCTCTACCGCAAGGGTTCCGTCGGCTATGTCTCCAAGTCTGGTGGTATGTCCAACGAACTCAACAACATCGTCTCCCAGAACACGGATGGTGTCTACGAGGGTGTCGCCATTGGTGGTGATAGGTATCCTGGTACCACCTTCATCGACCATTTGCTCCGCTACCAGGCCGACGATGACTGCAAGATTCTCTTGCTTCTCGGCGAGGTTGGTGGTGTCGAGGAATACAAGGTCATCGAGGCTGTTAAGCAGGGCATCATTACCAAGCCCATTGTCGCTTGGGCCATCGGTACCTGCGCTAGCATGTTCAAGACCGAGGTGCAGTTCGGCCACGCCGGTGCCTTTGCCAACTCGCAGCTCGAGACGGCAGCCATGAAGAACAAGATGATGAAGGAGGCTGGTTTCTTCGTCCCCGAGACTTTCGAGGATCTCCCCTCGCTCCTCAAGTCTGTTTACCAGAAGCTTGTCAAGGACAAGACCATCATCCCTCAGCCCGAGCCTGCCGTTCCCAAGATCCCCATTGACTACTCTTGGGCCCAGGAGCTCGGCCTCGTCAGGAAGCCTGCCGCCTTCATCTCCACCATCTCCGATGACCGTGGCCAGGAGCTCCTGTACGCCGGTATGCCCATCTCGGACGTCTTCAGGGAGGATATTGGCATCGGTGGTGTCATGTCGCTCCTGTGGTTCAGGCGCCGTCTTCCCGACTACGCCTCCAAGTTCCTCGAGATGGTTCTCATGCTTACTGCCGACCACGGTCCCGCCGTGTCTGGTGCCATGAACACCATCATTACTACCCGTGCCGGCAAGGACCTCATCAGCGCCCTTGTCAGCGGTCTTTTGACCATCGGCTCCCGCTTCGGTGGTGCGCTAGATGGCGCCGCCGAGGAGTTCACCAAGGCTTTCGACAAGGGTCTCAGCCCCCGCGAGTTCGTCGACAACATGAGGAAGGCGAACAAGCTCATTCCCGGTATCGGTCACCGTGTCAAGTCTCGCAACAACCCCGATCTCCGTGTCGAGCTCGTCAAGGAGTACGTCAAGGCCAAGTTCCCCTCGCACAAGATGCTCGAGTATGCCCTCGCTGTCGAGACTGTGACGACGTCCAAGAAGGACAACCTTATTCTCAACGTCGATGGCTGCATTGCTGTCTGCTTCGTTGATCTCATGAGGAACTGCGGTGCTTTCTCGGCTGAGGAGGCTGAGGACTATCTCCGCATGGGTGTCCTCAACGGTCTCTTCGTCCTCGGTCGCAGCATTGGTCTCATTGCCCATTACCTCGATCAGAAGCGACTCCGTACTGGGTTGTACCGTCATCCTTGGGATGACATCACCTACCTCCTCCCCAACCTCAAGTCTGGTCCTCCTGGAAACGAGGGTAGGGTCGAGGTTCAGATGTAGACTAGACGATGATGAAATGGATGAGGTTTCAAAAGGATGGGATGGGTTAGAGCCGGGACTCGGCGTCGCTGTTTTCGCCCGTTGCCGTTGTTGCGGGATTCGCTTCGGCCGGGCAGCTCTTTGGCTTTCTAAAGCGAAAACATAGGCCTTGCGATGATTTTTTTATATCTTTTAGTCCTTTCTTTTTTTGGGCAAGCTGTTCTGTATGACGACGACTATAGTGTTAGGGAGCGTACATCAGAATCCCAGTAATGCAACGTGATCAAGTTGAAGCATGATATTCATTGCCAATTCACAATACCATTTTGCCTGTGCAGCTGATATCCCACCAACTACTTCGTACAAATGAGCTACCAGGATTTTGTTCCTGCGAAAAAGCCTACGGCCAAGTAAGTAGCTTGGTAGTGAAGCTTGAGCCACTCAGGTTCGAATTCCCAACAGCGGGTGGTTACATAACTAATTGTGTGCTTAGTCATACAGTATCAAATTTCTTCCCTTCCACGTGCAAAGCCAATCGTAGGCAATGAAGCTCAAGTCGCGATGCCTCGTTAAAAATCGCTTGCTTCACTATTAATTCTCATTGTTGCTTGTTCTTGGGAGGAATCAAGTGACACGCCATTGTCTCTCAGGACTGCTTCTGCCACCGTCTTCCACCCTTACGACCCGGATTTTCCTCTGTCGAACTAAAGTCTCCCCCTCAACGGACGGCCCAGCGCAAAATCGATCTCGATCTTTCGAGGAAGTCGAGCGGACAACGAGGGCAATAGCGGACTCGAATCTACACTACGCTTCTAGAAAAAAATTGACCACACGAAAAACGAAGACGACGGCACAACGTCGCGAGAACGAAGAAGAATCTAAAACAAAGCGCTGTGAAGCCGACTACAAGACGCGCACACACACACACACACCCCAAAAAGGAGACGACACAAAAACGGCGACTTTGCCATTTCCAGCACGAACCAACAAGAGAAACAATGTCCTTTTTCCGCATAACGCTGCACCGCTCGGCCATTGGCCTGCCGAAGCGCACGCGAGGCGTGCTCGCGGCGCTGGGTCTCCGACGGCGCAGCCAGGTGGTGTTCCACCCGGTGAGCGCGGACTTTGCGGGTATGATTATGAAGGTGAAGGAGCTGGTGAGGGTGCAGGAGGTGGAGAGGGCGATGACGAAGAAGGAGGTGACGGCGGAGAGGAGGCCGGATAGGGGGTTCGTCGTGGAGGGGAATGTGAGGAAGGGTGCGGAGGTGGCGTGAGGGGGGCGGAGGAGAGGGGAGGTTGTTGAGGGAGAGGCAAAAGGGAACACTCACACGCACTTGGTGACAGAGAGACGGGGGAGGAAATAAGAAAGCGTGGTGTATGAATATGTGTATACATTGGTCCCTTCCTGACGAGGGACTAGACTCCATGATATCATAGATTGTGATAATACTCCAAACTTGGCTAGAAGAGCCCGTATGGCTCGATTGTGTTGTTCCCATTCAAGTTCGCTTGGTGCAGTGATGTAGCCAGACGCGGCGCTCTATGCGTGTAGTACACCGGCACAGCGTGATAATACAGACGGGTTGACAGATTGCAATAACCCCGGCGCCTGAAAGGCTTCAATACTCATCATAAATCCCGACCAGAACTGATTACAGGCACCAACCCAGGCTTTAGCTCGCCAGACTCGCCTCTCGTTCCGCGGCGCCAAGGCAGCTGACCTAGGGGTTGCTACATATGCTCACTAGCTAGTATTATCTCGTGTTTTCCTTTTCCCTCGTTCTCCTTGCCGTTCGTCCCACTACCTATATAGAAGCAAAGGCAAACACACGTGCGGGGATGTCTCTCCCGGGATGCAAAGTAACAAAGACGCCTTTTTTTTCTCCCAGCGTAGTAGTTGTGAAACCGCCTCCAAGCTCCCCTCACACAGCAGAGAAACCCCAAAGGAGGTCGAGAAGAACCTTAATCCACCGCCAAAGCCCTAGCGCCATCGACTAGAAAGCTGAGATATAACAGAGAGGAAAAAAAGAAAGGACGGGAAGTGCGTAAACAAAGAGAGAAAGACAGGAAGAGGAGAACAGGAACAAGAAGAGACGGGAGCATGCAAATGGGGAAGAAGAAAAAGGTTTCGGATGTGTGGGCTGGCTCCTTAGAACTTTGTCTTCTCCACGTATTCCTGGGATGGAGTCTCATACTCGGAGACAAAGTACTTGGAGGAGTTTTTGCCGAGCCAAGTCGTGAATTTTAGTAGTTCGTCGCGGAGACGAGAGACTGATTGGTGATCCATGTTGGTCTGGGCTACAAGTTCCTCCAAAGAGACTGATGACGAGTGCACGGGTTAGAGAAGTCCAACGAGGAAGAGACGGGCAGGTGGGAGGGAATTACCAAGAAGACGGCACAGGTGCTCGGCACCGTAAGCATCGGAAACGGTCTTTGGCTCGTCATCCTTTGCCTTTTGCATGATTTCCCGGATCTCGTGGTATTGCACTCGCTCAAACCTAGGCACAGGGAGCAACGGACGGCATGTTAGCGTCGGGCGGCATTGAAGTTCAACAGAACCAGCGAGGGGAAAAGGGTTGAATGGAAGCTATGAAATATCATCTTACCTGTAAAGAAGGATCCTAGGCAGAGACCGCTCAAAGTATTCCCTCAAGCCAGCAAAGGTCTCCTCGAGGATGTCGGCGAGGGCGGAACCTTCCTCACGGTGCGGCCTCTCGTAGTTGAGGTAATCATCGATGATTTGGTTGACGGGGTGGGGATGGGGGACGGGAACAAGCTGGTTATTCTTGGTGATATTTTCCCAGTCGTCCACGAGCACAGCCTTGATGTGGTCCGGAATGGGGAGTTTGATGGATGGCCTCGAGTGGAAAGCCTCCTCCTAAAATCATGGAAAAAAACTGGTTGGTCATTGCACCCCAAGAGTTGAATGGTTGAGGAGAGGCACATCACGACAGGGATGGAGTGCTTGGGAGTAAGAGGAAAAGAGGAGGGGAGACGTACATGTTCAAGTTCATAGTCCCTCGCGCGCCTGGGGCCCCTACCACCCTGGGTAGTCGTCCCAGCGCCGCCGCGTTCTTCGCTCCCCTGGCCGACTCGACAGCAGTGACAGCGGCGTTGACCTTGCCGCCCTTCTTGACCTGCTTGGTGGACTTTTGGGTGAGGTTCTTCATCTGAGAGGTGAGCTGGCTCGCGAGCTCGACATTCTCAGGATTGTACTTGCGGATGCGGTCGACGGGTACCCAGTCATCCCAAGTGGCTTTCCAGCCCTTGTAGTGGATTTTATACTGGTAGCCTTCGCCATCCTCGGTGCGGGTCACGTCGAGGATCTTGGCCTCGTAGAGCATTTCATGGTGGAAGCATAGCACTTTCTCATCCTTTGCATACGGTTGCGGGGCTGCCTCGAGGGAGCCATTTGGGGGGACGTTGAAGACGGGGAACGGGCTATTCAGGGCACAAGGGAGATGCTGATGAGAGGGGTTCACAGGAAGAAGAGACGAGTGATGGGAAAGAGAGGGAGAGACCAGGAGAGTTTCAGGGGAGTGGAGCGATCAATGGTTCCCGTACGAGGAACACGACGAGACGCAGATGATAATTCGACAACAGACCCGGGAGGCGGGCAGAAACTGCGGTGATGTTAGCCCACGAGCAATATTGCGAGGATGTAAGCTCGCACTGTACAAGTCGCAATGGCTAAAGAGCGATTTACAGTGCAGATCCGTATAACTCACACGCAAAGGTATCGATTCGCCGTAGTGGCTTTTGCTGGCGCACGCAAAGGGCCCGCGCTGTCTAACAGAACAATGCAGTGCTGAAGGAGACTAGGAGGACCAGGGCGTTAGCATATTAGGGGTCTGGCAAGAGGGCGAGAAACACAAATATTTACCCTGAACCGGCGTTTTCGACCTGAAGAGGCCCGAATGTTTTTTCCGCTTTTTTTTTTTTCCTTTTCCCTTTTCTTACTTTGTCGAGTATCTTTGGGAGGCGCGCTGCGGATGGATGGACGGGGAAGCAGGACGGAGAAAAGGGTGTGTAAAGGCGCAAGGGCCAGAGGACGGGGCGAGGTTGGAGTTGGGTGGATGTTGCTGGAGGCTCTTTACGCGTCGGGCGCGTCTTGGCTGGGATTCGAGAGGGGGACCATACTTTTCTGCGACCCTCCCCAATTTCACCCGATTGACCAACCCGGATCGCCCGTCGGCATGGACACCTCTTCCCTATGTTCATAGCTAGTCTCGGTATCTATGATTGGGGATAGATCTATGAATGCCTTCAATTGTCTATTTTGCTTTGAGTTTTCGTCTCCTTTGTCCTTGATGCCAAGTCGCGAGAAGAGCGACAGTCCACACTAGTTTTCCATCTTCTTCCACCTCTTCTCTTCCACCCCCACATTCCCGCTGGCTCCCTTCCCCCTTCAAACGCCGCATCGCAGCAATTGAACAAGAAGAAGAAGACCTCGAAAAAAGACAACCAGAATGGCCACACCAACCGAGTCCCAGATCCTCACAAACTACCTCCTCCTCCCCGCCGACCTCCGCTCCGTCATCACCCCCGACAAGTTCGCCGCCCTCTTCCCCGCGCCCTCCAGGCCTCCCCTAACGTCCAGTCCCTGTACCGCGACCTCGAGCAGCAGCGCGCCGATGCCGTGGAGACTGTGCGCACCAACATCGAGGCCGAGACCAAGCGCGGGTACCGCCTGCGCAACGAGGTGGCCAAGGCTCGGAGGAGGGAGAGGAAGGGAACGGGGAGATTGATGACGAGATTGAGATTGAGAGAGCGGTAAGTTGGGGGTTTTCTTTTTTTTTTTATCTTCAAAAGGAAAAGGGGCAAACGAAGCAGAAGCACCCCGTTGCGCCGTCCAACAATAGACCTTGATGGCTGACAAGCACTTCTCTCCTTTCTGCCGCCACCAAACAGCTCTTTGGCGCATCGACAGACGCTGTCAACTCGAGGCATACCCTCTCCTCCATCGTGCCCGAGCTCAACGCCGCCGTAGCCGACCTCGAATCCCAGATCAAGGCTCTCGAAGACGAGGAACGAGCCACCATTGCCTCGCTCCAAAAACGGTCGGGACCATGAGCGATCTGCGTTACGGCGAGCTCGAAAACAAAAACCTCCCACAAGATGTCCAGGAGGCCCTCGATGCCCTCACGGCGAGGTGCAACGAGATCACCCAGTGATGCATAGCCCAGCCCAGCCCGGCCAAGCCCAGCCCAGCCCAGCCCAGCCAGCCTCTATCTCTACCCTACTCTATTCTCTTCATTCTCATGTCACATCCGGCGCATGGCTTCAGCTTCACCAATCACCGTTCTGATATGTTTGTGGACAAACTTATCACGAAGATACGCGTATATTGTTTTTGGTATTCTGGTTTTCCTTTACCTTTCCCTTAGATACCCCCTTCCATACATAAGCTACCTGCCTAGCTGCCTACCCAGTCCAGTTACCGGATTGAAATGGAATTTCTTCTGCCTCGCGCGTTTGGAAGAACAAATACATTACAAATAAAGAGTCCAATCAAAAGGCACACAATGAAAGTACAGTAGTCTCAAATACAACGATTAAAAATCCTTAAAGCTTGCAGAATGGCCACCTTTAGTTTTTGTTATTGTTTCGCCTTGTCGCCTCCCAATCGTCGCCCCGAGGACTTAGTTGGCAGGACCGGCGCCACCAGCGGCAGCGTTTTGCCCGGCACGGCGCTCCTCGTGGTTTCGCATGCGGTTGGTCCTATTCAGGCTGGGTTAGTCACCGAGGCAGAAAAGGCAAAGCCTCAAGACAGCAGAGGTCTGTAGGTCTTGAAGAGAGAGAAAAAAAAAAAAAAGAAAGAAAAGAAACTTACATCATCGTCCTGCTGATGGCAGAGACGGCAAACATGAAGAGCCAGTTAGGAATGTAGGAGAAGATCCAGGTAACGTAGGCCAGGGAAGAAGAAGACTGTATTTGGCGAGGGGGCCATCGAAGGGGTGGAAGATGGAGTCGCCGCCCAGCTTGCGGAAGGTGGTGCGGCCCTCCTCAGGAAGGTACCCGGCGATGTCCTTAGCTTCGACGGTGGTGAGGTTGAGGCGCTTGATGTAGATGTCCGTGATCGCGGGAGGGGAAGCATCTCAAAGACCCAGAGACTACCGGTGCCGGCGCTGACGAAGTTGCAAAGGACGGGCTCGTTGTCGCAGTTCACAAGACCCATGTGGGGGTGTTGGGAACGGTGGCGAATTGCGCGGCAGCCTCCTTGAAGGCGTTCTCGGCGCGGATGCAGTGATGGCCTGGTCATATGACCGCGTCAGTATTTCCAAGCTTTACACGTCTTTCTCGATATTTTCTTTTCGTCTTTCGACTCTTGAAACTACTCACCACCGCAGGTCTTGTTGCGACCAGTGAAGAAAACCCACCACTCCTCGGGAGTAGTCGCGCCCTCCCTGACAGACGAGTAGAGGTTCTGCTTGAAGTTGTCTAGGGTAATGATGGACAGAGCGTCGGCGGGGACTTCGGTACCCTTGGCCTCGGCGCTGCCAACCTCCTCGAAGTCATCCTGCTCGGCCTGGGGCACGGCATCGGCGGGCTTAGCGTCGCCGGCGGTGTTGGCGCCAGCGTAGCCGAAGCTCTGGAGAAGGTCCTGGACCTGGGCCTTGTACTGGTTGAAGAGGCCACCTTCAGCAGCGGAGGCGGCGAGGGGCATCGCCAAAAGGAGGGCTGGAGAGAAACGCATGGTCGCGGTCTTGTGTCTTTTGTTTTAGAAATTTCTTCAAAAAGAAAAGAAAAATTGGGAGATGGGCCTCGGAGGGGCGAAAAGGGGATTAAAGGACCGGATGAAGCTGACGTGTATGAAAGCCTCGATGTTATTATCGCGTTCGTGTCGCTGATGATTGATGCAGCTCGGCAAGGAGATGGATGGGAAGGAAAAGGAAAGGGAGGGAAATAACGGGAAGAAGGAAGCTATGGGAAAGAACCAGTAATAACAATAATAGTACTAACGGGTAGGCGAGTGTGGGAAGGCGGATCTGATATTGTACTAATAATAATAGTAAATTAAAGTCGCATTTAGCAGCAGGCACGACCCTGGACCACGTATTTGGCGACTTGGGATGCGGGAAACCGTAACCGTAACCTGAAACCAGCAAAAAGGAGACGAGGAAAATGGTGGAGAATAAAAGAGAAGATGAAAATGGACGAGGAGATGGCAGAAGGGGGAAAAATATTGAGGCAAGATCTCCTGAAGAGGGAATCTAGGATAACGTGTCTCAGACTGACGGGATGGAGGAGAGGGCGGGAATGGGAGAACGAGACGAAAAGCGCACGCCAAGCAAGCTGGGGAAACAAGTGGAAGGCAGCAGCGCGGAGCCCAAGTAAGTACACGTAGCGATTACATCGAGGCTTGATAACCTGAGCTTGTGTGTGAATACTGCGGAGTATGTGGATCACGTCTTCGCCTAGCTCGCTTTTTCGCCGGTGCTGGTGGGTGCCTCGAATGCAGCAGGATTGAAATGGTTTGATTGAGCCGGGGGCTGCTTGTCTGTCCCAGGCTCCTGGGCCAGGCCCATGTCCCCCATGGATCTATTCTACTGTTGACGCAGCTGGCGAAGCGCAGCGCAGAAAAACGGCTGACGCCACGGCTCTTGGGGAAAGCTCGTGCTCGAACCCGCTATTTCATCCCGCGCATAGTGGGTCAATGGGTCAATTGATGCTGGAGCTTCATTGTTCCCGGGCAAGGTGGCGCCCTGGACAGTGCGGCGCACCCGCTGCCACCGCTGCAAAAATTCAGGGAACCATCACCCACCAGGACGAGCCCAGCACTGAGCAAAAGTAAACAATTCAAGCTGACCAACAGCTCAAGCCACACGCGTGGCGCGTTGAAACAACCACACCCATTACTTCACGTGTCGCTGGACTCCACCAGTCGCGCGACAGCCTCAATTAATTGATTACGAGCATTTCAAAGCCCTCTGTTGTCCGCGAATTCGTCCCACAACGAGGCGACTAGGTTCTTTGGATCTCCAGCCATGGTAAGCGCGTGATTCCCTGCTCCTTGTCAGCATTTCTTCTAACCCCTTGGCCACCGTGCTTTTGCTTGACTTAGCCTCCGCGAGACGTCGACCTCAAGCGCAAGCGCGCCTTGACAGAGGCAGCCCAGAAAGATGGCGACAACAACGAGACTCCGAGCGCGCACGCTACAGAGACGAACGACGGCACTCGAGAGCCACCCCGAAAACGCGGCCGTCCGAGCAAGGCAACCGTCGTGGCGGAAGCCAGCCCCGCGCCACAGCCTAAAAAGAAGCGTGGACGACCGTCGAAAGTGCACGTTCAGAAAGACGCGGAAGACGATAGCGAGGCGAATGAGCCAGATGGAGAAGTAGAGGCAGATGAGCAAGAGGAAGAGCAGCCCGTCCCGAAGAAGCGGGGCAGACCGGCCAAGACAGCCCCCGCGCCCGAGCAAGAGCCAGCGGACGGATCACACGAATCGGAAGGGGAGACGCAATCAAGAGGGAAGAGGGAACGACGGTCGCTGACAGAGGTGTCGGTTGATGAGGCGCAAAATAACAAGGGATCGGAGCCCAGGGAGGCGCAAGGGGATCCGAAGAAGAAGAAAAAGAAGCGGGGTAGGCCTTCGCTGGCAGACAAAGCAGCCCAGGCCCAGTCCCAGGATACTCCGCCAGCTGAACAACCAAAGAAGAGGGGCGGCCCTCTTTAAACCGGGAGGAGGATATGGGCGAGCCCTCACCTCTCGTGGAAAAGCCCAAGAAGAAGAGGGGAGGCCCTCCTTAAACCGGGAGGGGCCCTCCGCAAACCACGAGGAAGATATGGGCGAGGCGCCACCCCTCATCGAGAAGTTAAAGAAGAAGCGAGGTCGGCCCTCTTTAAATCGGAACCAAGAGGAGGATCTGGATGGCGCGTCACCGCCTATAGCGAAGCCGAAGAAGAAGAGAGGCCGACCCTCTCTTAACCGCGACCAAGAGGAGGACACGGGTGAGGCCTCAGCTCGCACGGAGAAGCCCAAGAAGAAGAGAGGTCGACCTTCTCTCTCCAAAACGACGGAGGCGATGGCGGAGGCAGAAGAGGCCGATGCAGAGGCAGAGGTAGAGGAGCAACCGTCACCTCGCACAGAGAAGCCCAAGAAGAAGAGAGGTCGGCCCTCTCTTAACCGGGACCAAGAAGAGGATATGAATGAGGCGTCCCCTCGTATAGCGAAGCCGAAGAAGAAGAGAGGTCGGCCCTCTCTCTCCACAGCGGTAGAGGCAGAGGCCCAAGCAGAGGAGGCTGATGCAGAGGCAGAGGTCGAAGACCAAGATAGCGTCCCCGTGAGAAAGAGGGGGCGGCCGGCACGAGCAGCCGAGGAAGAGGGCTCGCAGCCGAAACTACCTAAAGAGAGGGCGGCCGTCATTATCAAAACAGCCGGAACTGGCCGAGGATGGCACACCGCGCCCCGCAAAGCCTAAGAAGCGAGGGCGGCCATCTTTATCCGAAATCCGACAAGATGACAACGTCGCCGTCGCCGAAGAACCCCGGAAGCGAGCCGGTCGCCCCCGCCGCCACAGATCCGATGACGACGAGCCACGCTCCACGGAACGACCTCGTCCGCGGAGACCTAGGACGACCTCTTCAGCAGTAATAGAGGACAAAGAAGGAGAAGAGGAAGAAGAAGAAGAAGAAGAAGAACCAGAGGAGGAAGAGAACCAAGAGGAAGAGCAAGAGACAAGCCAGGGCAACAAACAACCCCGACGTCGAGGACGACCTCGCCGAAGCTCCAACGCCTCCCCGCCGGTTCCGGTTCCGACGCCGACTCCGAATCCAACTCAGACCAAAGCGACCTCCGCCGCCGCCGCCGCCACCCCAAACCCAGCCGACCTTTCCTCTACATCGCCCCCAAGCAGCGCGAGATCCCCGTCTCCGTCATCTCCTCCAAATGGACCCCGCTCAGCCGCAGCTCCGTCTCCGCCGCCACGCAAATCCTCCAGCTCGCCTCTCGTCCCGTCCTGCAAACCCGTCCGCCCGGTCCCCGCCGCGACGCCGCCGCCGCCGCCCTCCGCGTCGCCACCCGCCGCGTCGTCAACAGCATCTCCCGCGGCTTGCCCTTCCCCCGCTCCCAAACCCTCCCTCCAGCTCGCCCGCCGCTCCCGGAAAAATTCGCCGCCCCGGACGGCCGCGAGGTCGAGCTCGACTTCGAGGCCGTCGCCGACGAGACGGCCGCTCTCGAGCGCCGCCTCGATCCTTTGCTCCACTCGATCCAGCTCCTCCGCCAAGAGGATGCCCGGCTCGTCGAGGCCATCAAGAAGGACGAGGAGGAGCTCGAGGAGCTGCGCAAGAACGCGAAAAGGGAGCTGGGCGTGTGGCGCGAGTCATTGCGCAAGAAGAGTCATCCCCTGCTCCCCGCGCGGTGGAACCCCGACGCCAACGGAAGGGAGAAGCTCGTCCTCGCCCCCGAGCAAGAGCCACCACAGGACGAATGGGCCTTTGCCGTATGTCTTCTTTCTTTCTTTCCTTCTTTCCATCGTACCTTTAGCTCCCCACCTCTTGTTTCCCGCATATAGGGAAACAAACGAAGCAAGAATTATGCGGACAAGAAAAACCAGCCAAGAAAACAGACCAAGAAATAAATGCTAACCACTCCCATCACTCCAGGACTTCCCCAACCCCGAAATCACAGCCCTCGCCTCCCAGCTCACCAACCACCTCTCCTCCATCCGCGACAACACCGCCCCCGTCGAGAACCTCGACGCCTCCCTCGATGAGTCCTTTGCCGCCCTCCGCCGCGTCCTGGCCGGCGTGCTGCCTCACGATCGCTACGAGGCCGTTCTCCACGGCGACGAGGACAAGTCCTAGGTTATTACCCGGGCACGCGCCCAAAACGGCAAGCGAGCAGGCAAAATCTTTTCACGGTGATCTTTTAAAACGAAACGCCCGCAACTCGTCATCGGGGGAGGCGCATCTACAGACTAACGTGAGAGGAGCTAAACACGTCCTTTTTTTCTCTCTCTATTCAACTTGGGAGGGATCTAGCTCCACTGGTGCCCTTTTGTTCTTTCTTTTTATTTTTGGTTTTTCCTCCTCTCGGGCTTGATGATAATAGCACCGGGACTAGGGTGATTGGGGGCGGCTTGGTTCAGGTCTTGGGATACGGTTCTTGAGAACATGGGAATTGGTTCATGATGCCCTCGCCTCGCTCAAGGCATGGTCTTTCAGGAGTCTTACGGAGTTGAAATACAAAATAAACCACACTGCTTTGCCTAGAATCTATCGCCCGTCTCTCACTCTCGCCTTTCTTACATGCTCAACAGTAGACGCTTATTTTAACAACCCTTTCAGTTGGAACATCATCATTAAGTGAAACACAAAAACATCAGTCACTCATCACAGATAACCGAGAGCACACAAGTTGGGCAAAGTTGTGAGGGAAAAAAATCGTACACATTTCATTGAACTCTAGGAACATCGTCATATTGCAGTGTTATGCCAGATAAATAGCTAGCAATCGCCGAGATAAAAAATAAACACACAAGAAAAATAAACAGGTATCAAGAATTCATGTAAGCAGAGACGTTCCAATCTTGACACATGAAATGAACACTGTAGAGACAGCGAGTTCCCCGACTATCCCCAGTCGGATCCTTTTTCTTCTTTATACATTGGACTTAGTCCTCCTTGGCGACAGGGATGACCTCAACCTCCTCGTCGACATAGACGACCTCGGGCTCCTGGGGAACATCCTCCGAGTTCTGGGCGGGCTTCTCCTCCTCAGAGGTGGTCTCCTCGGCAGCAGGAACCTCGTTGGCGTCGACCTCCTCAGTGACGGTCTCGTCAGCAGGGGCCTCGGTCTCGGTGGCGGTCTCCTCGACGGGGGTCTCGGTCTCAGGAACGGTCTCGTCAGCGGGGACCTCAGTGGTCTCAGCGGGAGCCTCGGCATCCTCAGTGGGGGTGGCAGCGGCAGTCTCCTCGGCGGCCTCCTCAGCGGGAGCAGTGGCCTCGGCAGACTCCTCGGCGGTGGCGGTAGCGGAAGCGGTGGCCTCGGCGGTCTCCTCAGCAGAAGCAGTAGCCTCGGCGGTCTCCTCGGCAGTGGCGGTGGCCTGAGCAGTCTCGTCGGCAGTGGCGGTAGCCTCAGCAGTCTCCTCAGCGGTAGCCTCCTCAGTAGCCTCAGCGGCCTCAGTCTCCTCGGCGGTGGTGGCGGGAGCAGTGACGGTCTGGCGGATGGTGGTGGTCACCTCGAGATCCTCACACTCGTCAATCTCCTCATCGACGTCCTCATCATCCTCATCGGGGCAGGAGCCGTCGCAGACCTCCTCAGAGTCATCATCGCCCTCCTCGGAGTCATCAGATCCACCAATGGGAGAGCTGTTGCCACCGGTGTGGACGGGAGAGGAGCCACCAGCGGTAGGGGAACCGTTGCTACCAACGGTGACGTAGACGGTGGAGGCAGGGACGGTAACGGTGACGGCCTCGGGGCAGACGCAAGAGCCGTTGTCAGAGTTTCCGGGGTGGAGCCGTCGCTACCAGGGGTAGATCCGCTGTTACCAGGAGTGTTGGAGCCGTTGTTGCTACCCTCGGGGAGCTCTGCTCGACGCCGGGAACGGTGCTGCCGTTGCCGGAACCGGAACCGGAACCGCCGGAGGGAGTAGCGGGCTTGGTGGGCCTGGCGACGGTGACGTAGTCGGTGGTGGTGGAAGTAGCCTGGACGGTGGTGGTGGGCTCAGCGGTCAAGGTGACACCAGTGATTCCACCAGTGATGGCCTGGGAGATGATAGAGCGGGAGATGGCAGGGACCTCGGAGACGGGGCAGACAACCTCGGTGAGGGCAATGGTGCGGGTAACGACAACAACCTCGACCTCATCGGGAGAGAGGCTGGCAATGTCAGAGGGCCTGGTGGGGCAGTTGGTGACGGTAGGGGCGCAAGAGGTGATGGTCTGGACCTCGGTGGTGATGACGGTGAGGGTGGTGAGAGAAGCGCCATCGGCGGTCTCAGTGCTAGAAGCCTCCTCCTCGGCGTCGGTACCAGTGACGGTAGCGGTAGCCTCGTCCTCAACCTCGGTGCCAGTGGCCTCCTCAGTGCCGGTAACAGAGGCAGTGGCCTCCTCGGTGCCAGTGGCGGTAGCCTCCTCCTCGGTGCCAGTAACGGACTCAGTGGCCTCCTCAGCCTCGGTGCCGGTAGCGGTGGCCTCCTCGACATCAGTGCCAGAGGGAGTCACAGCCTCGCCCTCGACGGTAGTAGCGGTCTCGCTAGCCTCGGCATCAGTGCCGGTGGGGGTGACCTCGGGGACGGAGCCATCGGCAGTCTCGGTGCTGGACTCCTCGGTGCCGGTGGTCTCTCCAGTGGGAGCCTCCTCGACGGGGGTCTCCTCAGCTACAGGGGCCTCCTCGGTAGGAGTCTCCTCAACGACAGGAGCCTCCTCAGTAGGGGCCTCCTCCTCAACGGGAGCCTCCTCGGTAGGGGCTTCCTCCTCAACAGGGGCCTCCTCGGTGGGAGCGGTCTCGCCGTTGTCAACGGGGACCTCGATAGTGGGGGTCTCCTCGACGGGGGCAACATCGACGGTGGTGTCAACGTAGACGGTGGATTGAACGGGCTCGGGCTCAGCGGGAAGAGTAGGCTCGGGGCTCTGGGTGATCTGACCCTTACCAGGACCCTTGCCGGGGCCGGGCCTTCCGCCTTCCTTGCCGTGACGAGGAAGGACGCCGGCGTTGGCAACGGCGAAAGAGCGAGAGCTGCGGTGAACTTCATGTTGGCGGTGTGTGTAGTCGTATGGAGTTGTTATACGAATTTGTGGGGGTGTTGGTTGGATGGGAGTGCCGTTGGGGCTTTCGGAAAACAGTCGATACCGAATATCAGGAAAAGAAAAATCTTCAAGTTGGAGAAACACGAGGAAGTCGATTCCACGATGGCGGGCAGACACAGTTTGCCGGAATGAATGAAAGTAAGCGTTTGTTTGGAAGGAGTGGCAGCGTCAATGAATGACAGCGAATAAGGAAAAAGAGAGACGAGTAGTTAGAGGTGAAGCGAGCAAGGACCTCAAGAACTGGTTGGAAGAGAAAAGGGAAGAGGTGGAGGCCTGCGAGGAGAGGAAGCCATCTCTGCTTATATCCAAAATGGGGAGAGACTCAAAGGGCTGTGGAAGTGACTTGGGAGGCAGAAGTGGAGATGGCAGGGGGCGTGCGCTTAGGGTGGTGGTGAGTTTGTGCGTATTAGTGCGTGTGTGGTGTGCGGAGTGTACCTAGATTCGTGCACGTCGTTCCCAAGGAGCTTGCTGAGGAGTAGCGAAGAATCCAAAGAGGAGGGGGGCGTTGCAAAGAGATGTGATGTTGATCCACACACCTCCTCCCAAGGTCCCATTTCCATCCCACCCGCCAATGCTGCATAGCGGCAAGCGTCACAATCCTAGACCAGGGCACACGGCATCTCGATCGTCATTCTCCACCCAAGCACCGCAGCAAAAGCCCACTCAAGGAGGGGGCGCGTTGACCATGAGCTGGTTATGCGACAAAGCAAAGGCCACGGGAGGAAACCGTCTGTTCCCAAGGTACTGGTCGGGTCTCTCCCTTTCGAGTAGTCACCGCGGTCAGGGACAGACATGGCGTGGTGCCCCATTGAAGGCGAGGCCTGGCCAGGGGAGTTGAAGCGACCAGGGATCGCGTCTGGAAACGCACACAGCCTCTGACTCGTGGACCAGGGGGCGCTTCTGACAAGAAGCCTCGAGAAGAAATCAACCCAACGCAGGATCCAGCGGAGGTATCGAGAACAACCCCCGTCCCCTTTCGCAAGAGGGAGAGAGGGCGTGTGGGACTTGGGAGAAATCACAGGAGGCAAATTTCCCAGAGGGTTGGCTGGAAGTCTCTGTGGAAGCGCGGCAGGAGGTACCTTGTACACCCACTCGAGATTGCTTTTCTGTTTTCTGGCAATCAATGGAAGGTCTCCCTATCCTTGTCAGTGTGGAAATACATGATGAACAGCGGAGTCCAGCCCTCGCGCAAGACCAAGGGAGACCCATCGCAACCAAGCATCTTGGAATTAAGGAGTCAAAGGTAATCTATCGGCCTGCAAGGAACAGCGTGGGCCTATTCGCCAAAGTTCTGTCCAAAAGGAAAGAAGAAGAAAACCATTGACCAACCAACGGGTCGTTCGGTCACCGCTTCTATGGGTTGTGACGTTTCCCTTGCTGTATTCTCTCTTTCCATTTAGTTTTCGAGATTCAACAGAGAGTGAGAACGAATTTGATTCCAAGCTATCCCCTTGAGAGAGAATTTGATCTAAGGATGTCAACCAAGTCAGCTAAAATTAGAGACAGTGTGTCGTCCTGGTGAAGAGGCCAGTGACGGAGGATTCTTTCTTCTCTTCGATCAAGTTTAACCTGCGCTAGCAAGGTCCCCTCAAATAGAGGTGGCGTCGGTTAGCTTCAGACGGCCCCGTACTTTCAAGGAAAAGGGGTGTTCGATTCCCCGAAATCGTCGCCAAAAATCAAGGTACAAAGTACTTCGTACCTGGCTCCCACCGACGTCGATGGCTTCAAGTTCTGCAGCGCTAGCCAAAAGCCGGCCGTCTTTGCAAACCGCCTCGATTGACGTTTATTATTTTTCCTTGATCCGACATCTTCTTCTTCTTTCACTCATCCCCTTGACGCTGATGGAGAGAATGGGAGCTACTGAAGGATATAAAATCAGTGCTCCTCGTCAAGATGGCGAAAAGAATGGAATGGAAGAAAAGAAGCGTGTCGCGGGCCTGTTCGTGCCTCCTGACCCCCTTCCCCCCCCCCAGCCCAGTCCCATCGTTGGAGCCCAGACCCCTTTGATTTCCTTTTCCACTTTGAACAAAAAGGTGCGAACAGCTGGGCAAGGGCAAGAAACAATTGGGGGAAGTTGCAATCCCACCCTGCCCACCTTGCCCCTCCTTCCTCGCTCCAAGCTCTCGTCTCCCTCTTCATCCTTCCTTGAGGTGGCTTTTCTGGATCCCTTCATGCAGGTACCACAAAATCTGAGACAGGCAGCCTGGCCAATGGGGAGGGAAGGCGCAGCGCACCCTAAGCAAACCCCGGTAAGGATCGACTGAGACGACAGGGGCCTCCACTCTTTCCACTCTTCCCATGCGGACGGGGGCTGGGATGGACGGGGGATCCCCTGCAATTTGGATCTCCCTTTAATCTTGGAGAGGTGTACCCGCCAAGACGACGAACCTTGACAACCCGGCCAAGCGGCCAAGCGCCAGGAACATGAAGATCCCACCTCTAGGCACAGGATTTGTTTGCACCTTCAACGTGGACGAAAACCTGTGAGGTGCGAGGACCAACAGAACCAAAAACTCTCCCAGCAACGAAATGAAGCATCATTTTATTCTCCTTTCTTCGGAGAAAGCTTCTTGAGGCCGGTCGTTCCATCGCCCCACGAAATTTCGGAGCAGGCTGATTGTTTATTACTGCCCCTGTCGGCCATGTTCCACAGAAGAACGTCAAGCCGGCCTTTTCAGAGAATGGAATTTCGGGGAGAGTGAAGTTTTTCGTCTCACTCTTTTTCCCCTTTCTTCTCCATCTCCTCTATCTAATGTGTCAAGGTGTGCAGGTATCAAGGTTAGCCTTGCCATGACCTCGTCAACCCCATGCGACGCAGCGCATGTTTTGAGCCCTGTCCTATTACTTGTTTTTTTTCCATCTCCTTGTCACTACCTCAGTACATTGATGACATCCAGTAAAGATAGGGTTCACTCTAAAACCAGACAGTGCCATCTTAAACGTCACTTCATCTGTACTCAGCACCGGTTCCTCCTCAAAGATGGGACAAGGTACCGAGGTATGTATGGACTGGACGATGGATATCAACCAGATCCATTGTTGTTCGATTGGGTGTTCACGGACCCAGATCCAGGCCCAATTTTCACAGTGGCTTTTCCCTCCTTTCCACTTTTCGCAGCTGTCTTGATCAGTGACCACGAATAGATCCCCCAAGCGCTAGTAGTGCATGGCGAGCGAGAGAAAGCTTCGCGGTGGATCATTCATGCAAAAGGAATGTGCCACATCCGCATCCACAACCACACTTACACTATACATGTAATCCGCTATAATCCCCCGAAGCCCGACCAAACCTTGATCTTTGTAGAACTGCTCAAGCTTGTGATGGAGCTTGTACCCCAAGCCCAAGATGGATCTACCCGATGCTTGGAGTGATCGCCATGAGGCGCGGGCAACCAGACAATCCCCTCAATGGCTCTAGACTCTTAAGTGTCCATCGCATTCACGATCTCGGAAGATTCGGGGGAGCATGTCAAGAAACTTTTCATGCAAGGCCCACAGCCTAGGCTAGCCATGGTCTTTGAGAGCGTACCCGTCCTCGGCACACGCCGCTCATCAATGGCCCCAAGAACTTGCACCGTTGAACCTGGGCATCTCGGGTCCATCACCGCATTTGCTTTGCCATACTCGCCATTTCCACCAAAAAGGCACAAAAAACCCTCACCCAAACGACACAGCCCTCCCCCGCCAGGTCTGGTCGTCACAGCTGGGTTGGCGATTCCAGAAACTCTCTCACCAAGTTTCAATTTCTACTCTTTCCTGAGGCTCAGCTCGTCTGTACTCCGTCCATGAAACCCGTCCATCCCAAGATCGAGCATGAACTCGACTACAAACACCTCCTCTCTCTCTGTTCTTCTTCTTCCTTCATCCCCACTCTACGATAAAGAGAGTGTGCTGAACAGAGCAAGATATTCCCCTTGCGTTACATGTAATTTTCGTGACGTTTCCCATTTGCAAGCGCCTTCTCCCCCCTCCCCCGCACCAAAGAACGCGTTTCCACGCCCACGCAATCCCAACGTAAAACGGGCGGAGGTGGCTCATTTCGCAGTCTCCACGGTGCAGTCGTTTCACTTAGTGGAGAAGAGGAAGAGGGGAGGAGATTAAGAAATAAAACAGTCAGAGATGTTGAACACAACGGCGCAGGCTGGCTTCTAATTTCCGATTGTTCCAACCAGGGCCCCCGATTTCTTTTTCATTCCCGTTTCCTCGGAGAACCAACCCATGCTTGCCCTCATCAAAAGGGGACAAGAAGAGGGAAGCGAAACGCACACCAGACGCGCCACTCCGGACGCCTCTTTGGCGTGTTCCGTTGTTCCGTTGTTCCTCCAAAGCTTCCAAGTTTCCATCCGCAGCTCGACTCCGAGTGGGTCGCGTCTTGTGTCATTTCCGGCGTATGCAGGAACAAGAAAAAAGGCGTCGGCGAAAGGTGAAAGGGGGCGGGCGGCATTGGGAGTTGGGACTTGGTCGTCTACGCCGTGCCCGTCCCCCAAAGTTTATGTCCTATTTGATATGCCGAGCCGACATTCGCTTCCGTTGCCCAAGATTTGCATCGAGTTCAGGTGAATGGTTCGGGATCAATACACCACACCACATGCACTCAATCTTGCCTCATCAATCTATTCTGCACTTCTCCTTCCCACAAGCCAGCGGAGAACGCACCCACCGTACAGCCCGGTATCCAGTACTCCGATCCCCTCCCCCGTCCCTCCATCAGCCAGTGCTCCTTCTGCAATCTACTTTCCAGCTTCCCTCCCGCACTCATTTCCTGGAAATAGCGAAAAACTATTCCATGTAGCCATCCCGTTCCCTCCCCTCCTTGCTCGGTTTAAGATAATACTAGTAGGGCTCGTCCGGGCGTGGAAATTTGCCGAACGGGTAGCGAGTCGTAAGACGGGTCATCATCTCAACCTGTGCCGTGCTGAGTTTGGTCGATCTCATTTTCCGATTTCTATTCCTCATTTTTGTTTTCGCCTCAGCCCCCTGCCCACTCGATCCCATCCCCGTCGCCTTCATTCGGGACAGCTTCCGGGGGTAAGGACGGGCGGCATGAGCACAGGTAGACGCAGGTCCACCGCTTGGTCAGAACTCCATTGGGAGATTCCCTTTTGTCGTCTCGGCGATGGGAATATCGATAATACAACAGATCTATATATGTATACTCAACATACACTAGACCTAGCCTGTATAGTTTATCACCGATGAACCCTCCTTCCTACCAAAGCCAGGCGAACTCGAGTGAAGCGAGAAAGAGGTGAGCACCAAGCGATAACCCAGGAACCTGGTTTCATCAATGATGTTCCGCCAAGATGATGTGTCCCGAACAGCTTATTTGGTAGTGGATGTGCGAATGCCCTGTGTTATTCTGTACTTTCCTTCATCTATTATGCGTGGTGTGGTGCGCAATCGACCGCAGCGTAAATCCTCCTGTTTGATCTCTCCTCTAATCTCCGCACATCCCACACTCTTGCCGCTTTCAAAAGGAGCCGCACCAAGAAACCTCTCTTCAAATCTCGGCCGGGCACAGTTTTGCGTTGTCTTGCCTGCTATTTCCTCACTCCCCCTTATCCCCCTCCAGTTTAAGGACGCCCGAGAAAGGAGGCGGCGCGGACTTGGCTTTTGTTTCTTTTTTTTTTCCTTCCCCTCTTTCCATGGAACCCCTAGGAGATGCTCCAAAAGGAAAAATAGAGAATTCAAAAAGAGGCGGGGATGTGGGGATGGCAAGGTCGAATAAGCATCGGGGGAAGAAAGCCAAGACTTGATGAGGCTGGTGCGCACGTCGATGGCTGTCAGCTTGAGACACGTCTTACAACGATACTCTCCAAGAGAGAGCCAGGAGCACGCCGAAAGATGCGGGTTGAGGAGAGACATTTTGAAGAAAATCTGACAAGTAGATAATAAGAGTACTCCACTACACACCGCCTCAGCGGACCGGATCATTGTCAACTTCGTGCTCTCCATCTCTCTCTTCTTTGCCATCTCGAGATTACACGGGCTTGCATGGCAACCCCAACCTTAGCCCTCAATGCCACCCATCATATTCACACAAGCAAATCCTGCAAAGCAGCTAGATCTATGAACAGTCTATCCCATCTCCAGAGGAGCTCATGGTGATATGCCCGTACGCCTCCATACCTTGGCTTCCGTACTCGCTTCCTTCTCATCCTCCCGCGTCCGGAGAGGAGGCTGAATAACCGCACCATCCGTTTCAGAATAGTGAGAAAAGCAAAGAGGCTCGCGCGTCGAAAGCGTGTCAGTCGCAACACGTCTAGAAAGAAGAAACGGACGAACAGGAAAGACAGAGCCCCCCGCGTTGCCTGAATGTGACCGTGAGAAACCGAGTACGGTTTACACACCTCGGGTCCCTTAACTATCAAACACACAAAGAACCGAGCGAATATTGAGACCACAAAGGCCACAAGGCTTTTTTATCCCCGGTTGAAGCGGGGTTCGTTGTTATTAGTAGCAACTATCTAAGTTCTCAAGATATTTCAAGGTCCAAAGATAGTACGAAGATGGGTCGAGAACCGGCGAGCGAGCAATGGACCGGGGTTGGATCCGGCCTCTTACTTGCTCGCCCACCAATCCCTCCCCAGTCTCCTCTTTTCCTCCTCCTCTTCCTCCTCCCAAAAGAATTTTGTGATTTTGACATATGCTTTGCTCCTCCTTTTGCGCGATTCGCATCCGATACGAGGGCCCGGTTGATGGGTGACCTCTCATGAGCTGGTATTCTCCGTAAGGAGCCATGTGTACATATGCATCTATGTTGAATTCCTGCCAGACCATTTTTTCATTTTACCATTATTCCAGCTCCGAATTCCCGTTGCAAACAAGGGGGTGTATCTCAAACCAAAGACCAAAGGAAAGCAAAAAAATAAAAATAAAAATGAGTCCCAAGAGAAAAGAAAAGCGTCAAACCTTGATGATATAGTAAACGCCGATGTTGAAATCGTTACCTCCGTTACCTCGATGCATGGTGGCTTTTCCTCGCCACTCCCCAAACAGACAAAGGGAAGATAATATGAAACAAAAGAGAGGGAATAGAAATCAAAGTCAAAAGCAGACGTAGACAGCATACAACACACTACCGAAACGGCCATGTGTTGCTTGCCGACTAGTCTTGCTTCCGCCTTGAGTACGCCATGTCGACGATCTAGTCTTTATAAACATGACGCCTTGCAAAGACCCCGAGTATATAATTTACTGGGCGTACTTGGCGCGGAAGGCCTTGGCAGCGTTGACCATGTTGGCGAGGGCCGCCTTGGTCTCCTCCCACTGGCGGGTCTTGAGACCGCAGTCGGGGTCGATCCAGAGCTGCTCGGGCTTGAGGAACTGAAGCATCTCCTCGATGCGGCTCTTGATCTCCTCCTCGCTGGGGATACGAGGAGAGTGGATGTCGTAGACACCAGGGCCGATGTGCCTGGGGTAGGCAGAGTCGACAAAGACGCGGAGAAGCTTGGCATCCGACTTGCTGTTCTCGATGGAGAGGACATCAGCGTCAAGGGCGGCAATGGCGTGGAAGAAGTCCTGGAACTCGGAGTAGCAGAAGTGGGAGTGGATCTGAGTAGAGTCCTCAACGCCCGAGGTCGAGAGCTTGAAGGCCTTGACGGCCCAGTCAAGGTAGGCATCACGCTCCTTGCCGGATCGGAGGGGAGACCCTCACGGAGAGCGGGCTCATCGACCTGGATGACGTCGACGCCAGCCTTCTCAAGGTCAACGACCTCGTCGCGGAGAGCGAGACCAAGCTGCTCAGCCTGGACGGACTGGTGGACGTCGTCACGGGGAAAGACCACCTGAGGCAGGTGACGGGACCGGTCAACATGCCCTTCATGGGCTTGTTGGAGATGGAGACGGCGAACTTGGACTCCTTGACGGTCATGGGAGCGGGACGAGAGATGTCACCGACGATGATGGGGGACGCACGCAGCGAGAGCCGTAGCTCTGAACCCAGGCGTGGGTGGTGAAGGCATAGCCGCTGAGCCTCTCGCCAAAGAACTGGACCATGTCGTTACGCTCGGGCTCGCCGTGGACGAAGACGTCGAGGTCAAGCTCCTCCTGGATCTTGACGTTGTTCCTGATCTCCTCCTCAATGAACTTGTCGTACTGCTGCTCGTCAATCTCCTTCTTGGTGAACTTGGAGCGCTGGAGGCGGATCTCCTTGGTCTGGGGGAAGGATCCGATGGTGGTGGTGGGGAAGAGGGGAAGCTTGAGCTTCTTCTGCTGCTGGTCGATACGGACGGAGAACTCAGACTTGCGCTTGTAGTCCTCGCCGGTGATGGCAGCCTGGCGCTCCTTGACCTTGGGGTCGTTGGTGCGGGTAGAAGTGGCACGCGAGTTCATCGACTTGGCGTTGGCCTCGAGCTGCTCGCGAACGGCGGCAGGGCCCTCGGTGACGGCCTTGGCAATGACGGCAACCTCGACAGCCTTCTCGCTGGCGAAAGAGAACCAGTCGGCAATCTCGGCGTCGAGCTTCTTCTCGCTCGCGAGGGTGTGGGGGTGTGGAGGAGGGAGCTGGAGGTGGAGATGATGACGCGGTCCTTGCCGAGCTTCTGGATAGCGGCCTCGGCGGTCTCAATGGCGCGCTTCAGGTTGGTCTTCCAGATGTTGCGGCCGTCCACGAGACCGAGAGAGAGGATAGTGTTGGCCTCGAGCGAGCCAACGACGGTGTCGAGCTGCTCAGGGTTGCGGACGAGGTCAATGTGAAGGGCGCTGACGTTCTTGGGAACGACGTCAAGGTTGTGGACAATGTCACCGAAGTAGGTGGCGAGGACGAGCTTGGGGAGCTTGTCGCTGCCGGCGAGCCTGTCATAGGCAGTCTTGAAAGCGGCCTTGGCCTTGGCGGGAAGGTCGAAGACGAGGATGGGCTCGTCAATCTGGACAGAGTCGGCACCGGCCTCCTTGAGCTGGGCAAGAAGCTGCTCGTAGACGGGGAGGAGCTTCTCGAGGAGGTCGATGGGGTCAACCGACTGATCACGGTCGGCCTTGCCGAGGTGAAGGAAGGTGACGGGACCAACGAGGACGGGGCGGGTGTGGATGCCGGCCTCCTTGGCCTCCTTGAACTCGACGACGGCCTTGGGGGCGTCGACGAGCTTGAACTCCTGGTTGTCCTGGAGGGTAGGCTTCACGTAGTGGTAGTTGGAGTCAAACCACTTGACCATCTCCAAGGCGGGGACGTCAACGCCTCCCTTCTGGTGGCCACGGCCCATGGCGAAGTACTGGTCGACAGCATCGAGGTTGTTCTTGGTGTACCTCTCAGGAACGGCCTACGAGACAGGGAGGGATTAGCTTCAACTGCACACACTTCTATTCCCACCTCCCAGGGGAAAATCCTCTTCAAAAAAAAAAAATGTATTCCCTTTTGAGGGGAGCGTGAACTTACACCAAAGTCCTGGATGTGGGACAGGACCTGATCGTAGAGGGCAAAGTCGTTGCTGGGGATAACGTCGACACCAGCATCCTTCTGGATCTTCCAGTGGGCGAGACGGAGCCTCTTGGCCTCAGCAAGGAGGTCGGCCTGGGAGATCTTGCCACCCCAGTCTATTTGACAGATGTTAGTGGAATGCCGCAGAGAAGGCGAGTGTTGTTTCCCGTGAGGAGGAACTTACAAGCTTCAGTGGCCTTCTTGAGGTCACGGTTCACACCCATGCGGGGAAACCGAGGACGGCGGACTGGACCATTTTGACTGTGTGGAAACTTCTTTCGTGGAGGGGGAAAAGCAAGAGGGACTGGAGAACAAGAACCCAAGACGAGGATTCCAAAGGTCACAGGTAAGATGAAGAACCTCCCTAATGAAGAATTGGTTTGGAAGGAAGAAGAAGGGAAGAAGTTGAGGGGAGGGATGAGAAGAAAAAGAGAGGGAGGGAGAGGATGGAAGTAAGAAGAAAAATTTAAAAAGACCAGAGAGCTTTGGGTGGGGGAGGGGCATTTGGGTTGCGCGAGTATGGCGAGGTCGGGCGGTGTGATTGGAATGGATTCTAATGGAGGGGAGGGGCAACCCAGCCCCAACTCGTGTCATCGAGGTACTTTCCCCTTTGGAACGGATGACACGGAGGAGCGGCCTGTCAAAGTAACCGTAGTGTACACGTACAGTCAGAGGAAACTGTAGGCACAAATGCAATGGGACGGGCAAACGAGTCCTACGAAGCTTGGGTCGAGCTTGGACAAAAGTTGTTCAAGTTGTCCGAGGTATAGATCCTATTACCACCAACCTCCGTCTCTCATGTCTTATCCGCAGCCCGGAGTACCATTTTGATGTCAGATCCACGCCCTCACCCACATTCTCGTTCATCCAGCAATGCAGGGCCGACAACGGGTTACAGACGAGGGTATGGCGGGGTAAAGGGGGAAAAAAACAATAATATGTTGAGAGTCTCGGCGAGCTTGGACGGCCTGCACATGCCCATGCTGTACTTCCTTCTGACGAAGCCTAGGCCAATGGCCTCCCACCCTTGCTCTCTCAGTTACCCAGCTGTTGCCCGCCCATGTTTCCTTTCTCCTCTATCTCTAAAGGAAGGGATAGAGGTTCCTTTTACCTTCATCCGTTCTTTCTCCTACACCTCCCTCCTCGCCTCTCACCTTCGGCCGCCCGAGAAGAGGGGGTGAGAAAGAAACCTTGGAAATGATAGGAAAAGAAGAGCTCTGGAAAGCCTTCTGCAATTCAAGAATGACTGATCGTCCTTGATTAGGAGTGGCGGATTGATGTGCGACTTTCTCCGGCCCTATTGGTTATCGCCTCGGGTGCTACATCACTAGACTAGCAACATCCATAGACCCAACTCTTTTTCTGTCCAAGCCTTTTTTCGTTCCTTTTTTTCTCCCCTGTCTATTAGTGCCTCACTTTTTTCTTTCTTTGTTTTCATGTTTGCCTCGCTTCGCGCCCCTCTTTTGCCCGCACCTTTAGGAATCCTCCTTAGAAAAATGTACTCATTGTGCGGACTGGCCTCTCCTCAAGATTCCTTGGCTCCCTATCCTTCCGACCAGAAACCAGAACTCGTGCTGACGAGTTCTCCCAATCTCCAACCGCGCGCCCCCATGTCCCCCATCCCCCGCGGATCCTGTCCCTGTTTGCCGCCTGTGCCTTGCTCTATGTCCCTTCAGGTTAAGTGTTACGGAAGGAACAGGAGACTAAACAAGCTCCTCCCCTGATACTTTAGGCATCGGCGTTGTCACTAACCTTGTTAATATCGGCGACCTCATCAGGACCCTGGGCCGAATTCGATTCGTCCAAATTCTGATGCGGTCTAGGCGGACCTGGTTGACGGCGCCGACTGCAAAAGAATCTCAAGTAATAGCAACGTTTGTTATTGCATACGGCCTGCGACTTTTGCAGATTCGCTTCAGGCCGCATCCGAGGGGTGGGCGAGCGATGAGCATGGCATGGGTGCCAGCTCACATCTGAGACGTCCTTCAACTATTAACCTCGTGCTTCTTTGTCGGTCAAACCATTATCTCTGGCGGACGAAAGCCAATTCCACTAGGAAAGTTCCTTGTACACGTGGTGATGGCCCTCCCTGGAACACACGGAAGAAGCACAAGAATGGACGCACGATGAAGCAGATGAGAACTAGGCCTGCTGCTGGACTTGGCCCTTGTTTCGTTGCTTCAATTTTTCATACCATTCCTTTTCTTTTTCTCTTCTCTTCCCTGCCCCTTTTGCCTCGTCTGCGGAGGCGAGGGCGCTTCGCAGCTGCTTGCCCACCACCCTGGGGAAGGCGGTGACGGCGACCATACTGAAAATGGGACCTTGGAGATCTGAGTAATACCCCTTCCTTCCCGTTTCGAGTAGCATCCTGGGCGATGTCGGATGTGCCCCGTAAAAATACAAGTAGTAAGAAAAAACGGAAAAGAGAGACAAAAAAAAAAAAGGAGGAAAAAAAGAAGGCGAGCTAAGATGGTGCTAACGTGCTTGCTTTGCCTAGGGTAAATGTACACCCACCTAACCTGAACGTGTCATTCATTTTTTCGCGCGTTGAAGTTTAGTTTGAGATGTACCTCGTGAAATCACCTGGGGATCAATTTTGATCATTTGCAACCCTCAGCGCTCCCCGGACAGTACTAGCAAGAGTTCAAGTTGTTCCTCGTGCGGGCCCCGAAACGACACGATGACCTCCAAAGAATCCGCAGCGGAAAATTTTTCTCTTACTCTGGCGAGGATCCGCTCCGGATTGCGCCATCGAGATGAAGTGGTGGTCTGTTTTCAATCTTTCTCTTGGTTGAATTCCACTTTTCGAGCTCTCTGCTTTCTTGTTTACACATGTCCTCCCTCCTTTGAGATAACCTTGAAGTGTAGTGTTCGCCGCTTTGATGGGAACTTACTTAGGGAAAACTAGGTATTATTACCCAACGTTGCGGGAGGGAGGGACTGATGAAAATTCTCGCCGAAGAGTTTTCCATGTTGAGCCTTTTCGCGCTATGGTTGGTCTCTTTTCTTCAGTCGATTCAATGTTGTCTGGATCAATTGTATGGAACCCCGCCATCGAGGACAACCCCAACATCGATCCGTGTCGCTCATTGGATCAATTGGGTTTGAGTTCTTTGCTCCATTGATCAATGTGCGCATGTTGTCTCAGTACCCCTCCAACCCCTCCATGACCCCTGCTCAATTCCCTGCCCTTCACCGTGATCCGGTTTTTAGGTCCAACATCAATGGATCAATGGATCAATGGAATGAAATGGATAGGATAGCTGCATGAGACCTTTCCCCTAAGGATTTGCTTATCAAGTCAAAAATCACCCCAGCCCTCTTCCTACTTGAATCCTACTTGTGGCGTACTTTGCGCGCGGAAGGAATCTTTCGGGCCGTCGAATCAATGGTGGTCCAAAATCTGCTATCCCTGACGGCTTACATGGCAAGTACCCTGGTTTCTCTCCGCTTCTGCATATTTCTTCCATCCTTTCTGGGTACCTCCAGCTGTCTGTACCATGATCCGTACCGTACACGGACGGACCCATTGAAAATTATTGATGAGGGCGGCCGTCCAATGGATGACGAAGCTGCAAAGCTACCCCGCCCCCACCACCTTCAATTTGACCTGGAGCTTCAGCACCGAATGAGGTCGACATGAGGAGGGCGGCGCATCACCAAGGGCAACTATTGTCGTATCTCGACGCTTTATTTCACCTGTTTCGTTGGGGCCCGAAGTGGCCTAATCTAAACGGTGCAATGGTATCAATAGATAACAGCCCTTTTCTCGATACACCGCAGTTTTTAAACTCTCGGCCATGGATGGGGAGTTAGGTCTCAGTCTGCGAGTCAGCCTAAGGCATGAAAAGAAACTTTCATGTTGTTGACACCTCCCAAAGGTTCCTTTAGCTCTCCAGTGCAGCTGCTGAAGGATTGGGGATGACGGGTGCGGCGAGTGAGGGCGCAAGCTTCGACAGTAATAAGTTGACCAAATTACCGAGCTACAGCAGCATGTAAAGGGTAATTGTAGCCGTTCACGCCACCTCCATCTTGGACATTGATCAATTGATCAATTGATGACTTGATGCATCTCTCATCGGAGGGGCGACCGAGTGGAATCGCTTCCAGAGTTATCGCTGCCCTTTCCATCTATTGGAAGATTTTGCCGTCTCATCCTTTTATCTCCCCTTTCCCCTCTATAATATACGATATCACAAAGACTGTTTGTCGGACGAAACTCTCGCCTCTGCATCTTTGATTTAAGGCATCTAATGCGACCCAAGCCTCTCCCCGCCGGAGGATATTGCCAGGCAGATATGCATCATCAAATCGCTTTCCTAGAAATTGGCCATGGGCGTAAGGCGCTTCACCACACGCAGGGCGAGTGGCCAGCTCCTGTTCATGGACGGCAGTGTATAGCAGGGAGAAAGGAACAACAGAGAAAAGCTTGCATGTATTCCTTTCACTTGTGTCCTGAGGATGGGAATCGCGAGGTAAGCAGCTAAGCGTAGGAGGATCTTCGCTGGCTTGTGAGTATTCTGCCAGGGCCTCCTTCTTTGCCTCCTGAAAGATCCCCTGCTCCTTGCGTATCTTCTCTTGTCAAGGCAGTTGTTGCCACACCTGATGCCTGCCAGGTCTGGTGTCCAAGGGTCTCTGGAGCGGGGAGCCAAGCCCAAGCGTTGTTCCCGAGTTCTTCGAAGAGTCCCGAGCCTTGCGAACCTTTCGAACTATTTGCAGTCTCCTAAAGGGTGGCATACCACGCGAATCGAGTCATCACGCGCCTCCCTCCGAATAGTCTCTCCTTCGCTGAATAAGAAATAGGAGAAGAGAAGACCTTATCAAGAGGTTGGGCTTGCGGAGAGAACGCTAAGGAATTCGCTTTATGATTCGACATTGCTTCTCAGCATGATCAGTATCGCCGAAGCGCTATACTGAAGCAAATACACAAGATACGTTCTTCGATTTGCACCAAAAATGACTACATACAGACTTCAAGTAGGTGGCGATGGGTCCGCGGCCATCCGTCAATAGATATAATTCGATCGGTATTATGGGTCTCGTATGACAAGCACCCTCGCTGTAAAGATATTAGTAGCGAGAAGAACACGAGGACGGTTCACCGCAGCATCACTTTGTTCCCTACATAAGGATCTACAAGACCAATAACCTCGAAAAGGACAAACAACGTACGATGTAGTAGTTGAGAGAGAACCGCTCTGGAGTTGGCCTGAACCGGCATCCCGTCACCGGATCATCTTCAAAGGCGTCGGGGTGCCGACTGAATATATATAGATATATATGCCTACTGAGCCGCAAGCCTACCGCCAGGTTCGTGATGGCAATCGCATACCCGTGGTCGGGGAGGAAGAACGCGGCGTGGTGGTGACCGGATGTACAGATACTCTCCACCAATCAGGACTACCAAGGGCTTCAAGTGACAGAAATTGAGGTGGAGCGAACCAAGGACCTAATAACAACCATTTATGAAAATCACATTACTAGTCTTACGAACCGTTTCGTCTCGTCGGAGGAGCTATGGAGCTTCATTGTGGGTATAGGTGGGTAAAACTGAACGGTTCATTGTGCTCTTTGCCACCTGTACAAGGTCCATTGCAATGCCAGATGAGGATCCTCGAACCCGCCACTAAACCTAACGCTGCCTTCCTGGTCACCCTTTGATGTTGATAGGAAGCATTTTAATTCTCAAACTGGCGTACGTAGGAGCTTAGAGAGGCTTTGCGAGAGGCACGGCACGACAACGGAAAATAGCTCTCCGCGCCCATCTACTTCCCGGAAAGACACCTCCCGCCAACCCCACCGCCCAGCCCACGGCGAAATGAATAGAGCTCACATAATTCCAGGTAATAGACCACATATTCACAAATCGAAGCAAGGGCAGATAGCTCAGTGGTAGAGCGAAGGATTGCAGTTCTCGGCTGCGACATGCTGCAAGATATCCTTAGGTCGCGTGTTCGATCCACGCTCGGCCCTTCCTTTTGGCCTTCATTCAGCGATTCATTGGGGATTCGCATTTTATTTTTCGTTTCTGTCATTATTTTATTGCTTTTTGTGATCCATATTCTATATACAGCGTGCGTTGTTTCCCAAGAAGCATAGGAAGTGTCGTTGTTTTGTGGCCTATGAACAGGCTGGCCTTTTTCGATAGTCTCCCACTTCACCTACTTTGGGCCAAGTGGCTGCATCATCAAACTTGCGAGTGAACACCTCCTTCCTTCCGGGTGTGTATGCATATCTTGGTCATCCGTGATGTAAAGCGAATACCAGTACGGCTTCTGACACCTTTTGGGTGTATAGGACTACGAAAAAGGGGGTATATATATATATCATCTTATTTCTCGAGATTTATACTCTTCCCGAACCGGGCATATAGCTCGACCTTGAGCTGGGTCATCTGGTCTTGGATGGAGGAAATATCATCCCTTAACCGAGCCACGTCTTTGTCTATTCTTTCCGAGGCCTTTTCAAGCATCTCTTGCGCCTGTTCTAGCTTGACGTGGTAGAATGCGTCTCCAATCTTGTACCTGTAGAAGAGAAAGGGTCGCATTAGCCGGACGGGCTTGCCAACTTGTGCCATCGCCAGTATTGCTAATTCTCCCAAGCGCTCATGTTCTGGATGGAGGAGAAGGGGGAGGTCTTACGGAACAGTTTCGTCTTCGTCTGCTAGTTCGAGTTCCATGCTGACATCGTCTAGTTCTTCTTTCTCTTTCTGTTATTTGTGGTAGGATTAGCGCCCGATCTGTCTCCAGAGTTGACTTCTTCAGTCGATGGGGAGAGAAGGGCGGATCGAGAACGAACCGCCTTAACTTTGAGCTCTTCTTCGAGGACCTGCTCGCGCGAGCTAAGCCGGCTAAACTTGTTGATCCTGTCCTGGTCTTCGCGGCGCACTTCAACCTCGTCCCCGCGGACTTTTCGTCCTCTTTGGTGAGCTATTCCGGGTACGTTAGCTCTATAGTCGGGCTCGGAGAGCGAGGCCTGCGTCTTGGGAAATTGATAAACGGGGAGGATACTCACCATGCGTCTTTGCATCATTGTGGCGACTTGCTGTGCACTCGGATTATGGTGCGAGACCGGAAAGACTGGTTCAAGGAAGCTTCGTTGCTCAAAGATTTGGAGGGTCGTTGCGACGTGTGATGGAGGGGTCAATTTTCCGCACCGCTGTTGGGTCGCTGAGAGAACACCACTCGCACTGTGCGGGGCGTGGAGCTCCAAAGAGTGTTGAAGAGGAGAAAGTAAACAGACTTGACTGTGCGAGGGATTCGTTTGGCTTATTAAATTCACTATGCTCGTCAAGGAGCTTGTTTGGTGCATGATGTCCCGTCCGTCTCCCATCTTTGCCTTCCCAAAGTCAACGCGCATCACGCTTTGAGAACACAACGCAGCATTCAGAACAACCAAACATGGCGCCCAGTCAAAAAGTGTATCCGCGAGGTACGGTGAAGAAGATTGTCAAGGCGCATTCGAATCTCAACATTAGCAAAAATGCGGATATCTTGGTATGGCTGTTTTCCCGTATCATGCTTGTGCGACGCGTAGCGCAGCTGCGTTGCAAAAGGACGCGACTGACAAACATGTTCGCTCCTAGATATTTCTGGATTACGCTTTGTTCATGCAAAGGTGAGTTGCTGCCGAGTTTCCTCGAGCCTGTTCTATAGCAGGTACGCCGGATTTGCTCTGGAGTGCTTATACATGTCCAATAGCCTTGTGAAAGAGGCCGCGATTCAATCAAAGCAGGCCGGCGAGCGTAATATTGCTGCCTGGAGCGTGAAGAAGGCAACGCCCGTGAGTAACCGTGGTGTCGATGGTTTCCTGCACTGACTTGGTCTAAACGAGAGTCTGGATGAAGGCTTGGGGCTAACTATGGGCTGTATGTAGGATACGCTGGCGAAGTTTAATGGCTGAGCATTCGTCAATTCTTTTGATGCTGAAGCGATATTCACACCCCCGAGACCGGCTACTCGACTCGGAGCCACGTCCTCGTCCAGCACCTCCACACTTCCTCTTCGCCGGAGACCATGGTTGACGACTCGAGAACATGTTAAGGAATATGGGAAATTCACGATGCCTAGACTGGCATTGCAAGAATTGAATGAGAATGGGGGTGAATCTTGGCGCAAATAAGCTACCAGATGCAGCAAAATTCAAGGTGGACGGCCGTGGATGGTCGACACCACGGGGACGCAAGGGGTATCGTGAGCCTGGGTGGCTTGATTAGAAGCGTGGTTTGTAGGCAACGTAGCTGGATGCGCCAACGGCGGGTTTCTCAGCCACTACAAACAAGCAGGCTTGCTCCAGGGCTCTCCATGACGAGCCTTGTGTCACCAGTGCCACTGGCGCGAAGCCCCAGGATTTTAGCATGGGCGCTAATGTAGGAGGCCATGCGTGGCCGGTAGAAGGTCGCCGTTTGTGTAGCTCGCAAGCATGGACAACCTCTATGGTATATATACCTAGGGTGTTCGTTGATTCTTTCATTCTTATGGACGAAATCAGGGTTGAGGACGGGTCATGGTTGGAATGGAATGCTTGGGCTGGCGTGTACATGTAGGGAAATTTGAGGCGGCAGATAGTAGGTTCTAGAATATTTGGGTGTACAACGCATGTGGGGGTTTCTTTAACACAGATTGATGAATGATCCCCCCGAAACACCACGCAACTGGTAGAAGAACATGCCTATCCCTCTTGGAAAAAGATTGTCCTCACGGAATACCAACGCGCCTGGGAAGCGCAAGGAAATGGCCATGGTTCTTGTGAAGTTCCCGTCTGGGTTGCTAGTGAGGAGCTATATGTTCCTAGGGCCGACCGCACCTCTTTCTTCGTGCCGGCAGCGTGGCCTCGACACCCGCAGCGCTGTGCTACGACCGGGCCAAGAATGCGAACGAAGGGAGACCGGTAGCATGTCGCCCGGATGTCGTGAGGAGAATAAATGTCATGTCTAGGTCCTGGTGCTATCGTGCTCGTACCATTCACGATGGCTTAGAGTTCTGGGAACTGCGATGTAGGCACCCTTTTACCCCTTTTCAGAGCGAAGGCAGCCGTAGCGGCGGTACACGACATTTTCTCGTGCGCAACGAAATCGACCAATCCATTTAGGGATGTCGATTGGGTCGGCTCTGGCGTCGTCGTTTGTAAGCTGAAGCCTAAAATGCCTGTGGAGCTTGTACTTGTAGGGCACTGACGCTCGATTCAATCGCCCCGGATTCCTCTGCTAATGGCCAGGGGGGCTACTAAGAAGTCTAGAGCCGGCCGTCTCCATGGCTCGGCCTCTCCATCCAATGGAATCGATCAATCAACGATGCACGCCCAGTGGGGGTTCTGGGATGTGGGCAGGGCAAGCAAGAGAGTCCGTGGCAGCTTCCCCATCCCTCTTTTATTATGACAACCATGCCTCGTCAGGACTGAGAATTTTGGAAACCCTCCTCCCCCAAAATTCCTACCCTTCTCCCCTTTCCATCATTCCATTGACTTCCTCAAAAGTGCTTGCTTCGCATACCTCCTAGCAGTGTTTCTATCACTTCCCAGCTCCCTTTCGAAGGCCACTTCCATCTTTCCACATCCTCCAAACTCCCCACGTGGACCGCAGCCTTGATCTCTCATCTTTTGTTGCTGGTGAGAGAAGCTCTGCGTCACACCATCACTTTCCCAAAACGCACCCAACCCTAGGAGCGCATTTGCCTAGACGACGTGCGCCCACCACCCTTTATCAAGAATTGATTGCACACAAATTTGACGGTGGTGCATCACTCACGGATTCGTCCACCCCACTCGAATCCTCACGACCTTTTTCTGGCTCGACAAAAAAATCCTTCTCCGGCTCATTTTGCTCACGTCTGCGAATCGCAAATCCTACAAGCAGGGCCGTGACGCAGATACATACACCTATACCTCTACCTACAGATACACGTACCCGTACAACCCACACCCTACACGAAATGGCTGCCCCCGCTGCTAAGTCTGCCCCATCTGGCGCCAAGGTTCCCCAGAAGAAGGTCAAGGTGATTGATAGGACCGCCTCACCTGCCCCTTCTGCCTCTGCTGCCGAGAAGGACGGCGGCGATGACCAGGAGAACGCCTATATCCGTGAGCTTCAAAAGTAAGAACCTGATAACACCCTCGCCCTCCTCCTCATCTCCATTTCTGTTAGTAGTCCCTCAAAGCTAACCCTCTTTGTTTTTAGGAACATTCGTAACGTTACTAAGAAGATCGTGAGTCTTTGTTCTTCCTATGTTCCGATGCACTGACTTGATTTAACCGCTACCGACTGCGGGCATATGGCTGTACAATTATTCGTGTTCTTCTGGGTATGCTAACTTTCCGATACAGACCAATGCCTCGAAGACCGATTCCTTGCTCAAGGAGCACGCTGGCAAGTCTCTTGAGGAGCTCGTCTCTACGAGGATCATCAATGCCGACCAGAGGGCCCAGATTCTGAAGAAGCCCGCTCTCGAGGCCCAGCTTGCCCAGTACGAGGAGCAGCTTGTCCAATACAAGAAGATCGACGCCGAGTACCGCTCAAACACCGAGGCTCAAGTCCAGCGTGTACAGACGACTTTGACGGAGAAATTTGAGAAGGAAAAGGCGGACGCCGTTAGGGAGATTCAAGAGAAGGCCGAGGCTGACATCAAGACTTCCCTCCACGACAGCCTCCTTATCGTGTCCCAGTTCCTGCGTCTTGCCGCCGCTCGCCGGATCGACGAGGAGTCAGATCCCGGACTCGACGAAAACCTTGCGCTTGAGGGGATTCTCTCCGCCGTATACTGTGGCGATGAGAATGCCGTCACCACCATGCTGAAGCTGGTTGAGGGAACAAATGATCGCACCCAAAGCACCGCTGGCGAGGAGCTTGAGTCTACATGTAAGTTATCGTCAAGAGATTACCGACGCGCAAAGAAGGCCAATTACTAATGATCTGTCTAGTCTCTCATGTCAAGTCTGTTTCTCAGGCTTACCTTGCCCAATACGAAGCCGCCCAGGAGGAGGCCGAAGCAAAGCCCGAGGGCGCGGCTGAGAGCGAATCCGCCAATGTTGATGCTGCCGCTGCCGCTGCCGCTGAAGCAACCCCTGCCGCCACCGAAGAGAAGGCCAACGGCGACTTGGCTGACGCCGAGAGCAATGGTGCTGCCTCCGCTCCGGAAGAGCCTGCCGTTCCCGAGGTCGCTGCCGATCTCTCGGCCTCTCAGGAGTGGGTTTCTGTCCCCCGGCCTACCGAGACCGAATCTAGCGCGGAGGGGAGCCCTGTTGTTGCTACCAATGGTCAATCCTGGGCCGACGATCACCCTGAGCCCTCTCCCGTGGTATGATATTATCCCCTTGCCCCTCAGTCATGTCGAAAGCATCGTATCTAACTTTGGAAACAGGCCCCTGCTGCTGCTACCCCTGCCGCACCCGCGGATCCTAACGATGGCTTCCATCAAGTCCAGGGCCGACACCACCGTGGCCGCAACGAGCGCGAAGGTGGAAACTGGCGTGGTCGTGGCCGCGGAGACTGGCGGGGCCGTGGTGGCCACCGCGGAGATGGACGGGGTCGCCGAGGCGGCCCCGAGGTGGAAGTGGCGGCGTGGCCCATCGTGGCCCCCGTCGCACCGAGGAGTCCTAACCGAATTGTCGGGACCCCTTGACAGGTAACCACTGCTGGAGCCACTTTACCAGTGTACGTGGTGACTGTTGTACCTGCTTTCTCACACCATTTTTCCAGCAATGACCGCATATCCCCAGCATTCATAGATTGCTGTTCCTCCCCATGTACTCGTACTCATCTTACACCGACCCCTACACGTTATGACTTTTGTTTTCCTCGTCTTTTTTCTTCTTCATCTGCACAGCATGCGTCTAGGATGGGTATAAAAAAAAGAAGGGTGCAAATTAGCATACTGGTCCTGCATTATTATTATTTTTTGCTACCACTTTTCTGTTTTTTTCTTTCTTTCGTTCAGTAAGGAGGAATGGAAAATCTTGGGAAACGGGGATATCTGTGTGTGACGTGTTATGAAAAATGAAAAGATGAAACAAGAATTCTGTGTTCCCTTTGGTCTGTCATGGAGTTTTGATTTTCCTCGTCTCTTTGGTCTCTTCGGGGCTCCCTCGACATATTCCATTACCCATATCCATTCTGCCGCATTCTCAGGAAACTTGAAGGCCTGGCCTTTAAGAGCTTCCAGAACAGGATTGTATAATTTATTGATAATTTTATCACCCTTTCCATCATGGAATGGCAAGGAAATCTGGCGCATCGTTGTTTCGTACCCACATCTCAACTGGTCCTTCCCAGTTAGTTTATTTTGGAGAGGGACGTGGTGTATCACATCACGATTTTGAAAAAGAAAAGAAAAAAGAGAGAGAGAGAGAGAGAGAGAACTAGGGCTGAAGCATGAATACCAAGTCTCCAAGTTTAATAGTACCTGTAATTTCCTTCTTTGCCTGTAGTTGTTTCTAAACAATTCATTTGGGCATTCGACGCAAGCCATTTCGGCAGAGGAGCGGCGCCTTTCGGTGTGGGGGTGTGACCACACCGAAAATGCCCCACCGCCAAGTTCTGAGACGATGTACTTCTTCGGAGCTTTGAATGCTACATGCAGTCAACCTACTTCTTGCCAACATCAACAACTTCACCTGAACCAGTTCTCGACAATTTCCTCCCAACCAAAAGGCGTCTTCATCTAACCACAAGCACAAGATTCCTAGGTTTCTGTTTTTCCATCTATTCCTCCGTTGCACTTTATCAACCAACCATTCACAAAGACAGAGAAAAAGAGTGGAAAGCACCCCAAACAAGAAATCCAGCACTACGAATTTCTCGAGCCACCAATTTTTCCTCGCCAGAAAAAAAAAGGAGAAAAATAAAAAACACAAAACATTCCCTTGACTACTCTCAAAAGTTTCTTCAAAACCACCATCCCGCTAGCCATGGGCGACTCGCCCAAAGACCGAGCGGCCTCGCCGCCCAAGAGAACTTCGAGGAGCCGGTCGCCTCCCAGGGCCCCCGGCGGGATCTCGAAGGGGGCGACAGGAGAGGGGAAGGGACTACAGGAACCGGGACTCTGACAGGCAATATGGCGGCAGGGGGTCGCGGCGGGGGTAGATGGGGACGGGACCGTGAAGGAGGTGGCGGTTGGAATAGGGATGGCGGAAGGGATCGGGGCTGGGGTCCTCGCCGCGATCGGGATGGGGATGGGGATAGGGGGCCGCGTAGGGACTTTGGCAGGGAGCGCGATTCAGATCGGGGCCGCGATTCGGACCGTGGCAGGGAGCGCGATTCAGATCGGGGCCGCGATTCGGACCGTGGCCGTGAGCGTCAGGCTCGTGTGGAAGAAGATGGTGGTGGCGGTGGTGGAGAGGGCGGCCAGCATAGGGAGCGTCGGCCTCCTCGTGGAGGAGGAGGTGGCGGCGGTGGTGGAGGAGGGTTCCGGTTCAAAGAAAGGCGCCGCGACGGCGAAGACGACCGCGGTAACGATCGCGGCAACGATCGCGGCAACGACCGTGGCAACGACCGTGGCAATGACCGTGGCAATGACCGTGGCAACGACCGTCGGGGCTTCAGGGCCCGGTCGCGCTCACCCCGGCGCAACGACCGCGACGCTCGAGGGGACCCCGTGCGGACCGCGAGCGCCGGGACAGGAGGGGTGGCGGCGGTGGCGGCGGCGGCGGCGGCGGCGGCGGCAGCGCATCTGGTCCGCCGGGTGGAGGGCCCATGATTGTGGTGCACGTCAACGACAGGCTGGGGACCAAGGCGGCGATCCTTGCTTTGCGTCGGATTCCATCAAGAACTTCAAAATCCTCGTGGCCGCAAGGGTGGGCCGGGAGCCGCACGAAATCTTGCTCAAGCGGCAGGGAGAGCGCCCCTTCAAGGACCAGCTCTCCCTCCAGGACTACGGAGTTAGCAATGGTGTGCAGCTGGATCTTGAGGTGGATACGGGCGAGTAAGCTCGCGAGAGTAGCGACTCGTCGGCATTTTTTTAGGGGAGGGGCACTGAGTTCGCGTTGAAGGCATGACGCTATGAGGGAGACTATGTACTCTTTTTCTTCCATGTAAACGCTACGTCTTTCTAAAAGAGCGGTTTAACAAGCCCGGTATCAATCAACTCTTGCAATTTTTGTCGCTTCCGTCTCAAAGGGTCCCTACCTCGGTGCTGAATCCCAATGTACGGTCAAGGTATTTGTGTGGCGTGGGCACGTGATATCGCGCATCGATTTGGTGATGCTCTGGTGGGGGACCGACGTCAGGCGCGTTTCGGCGTGCGTGCGCGCCCTCTCATTGACATTTACAGCTCATTCACAAGCATAGGCACATGCACCGCTAGCGCCAAATACCCCCTCGCCGCTTCACCCGGATCCTTTTTGCCCTTTTTCTTCCTTTCCTTCTTTCGTTTTTCAACAGACCACTCTCGATCCCAGACCTCTCTCATCACGAGCTCTTCTCATCCCTTGTCCATTTCCTCGTTCCTCTCAAAAGATTCGGACCTGAATAAAATCCGCACCGTCGTTCAAGCTTCCCACCTCGGGCCCCTCGTCATGGCATCTACCAGGACCATCACTCGCCGCCCCGCGGCCGCAAAGACCCAAACCACCCTCACCCGGCCCTCCAAGGTCAAGAAACTCGGCACCGTCCCCGCCGCCACCACCACCACCACCACCACTACCATTACAACAACGACCACATCCGCAGGCCAAGTCCTCGTCACAACCGTAGTCCCCACCACCTCCTCCCCGAGCCCCTCCCTCTCCGCCGCAACCCCCACACCCACCCCCACCCAGGACATGCGGCACCAGCTCTCCCGCATCGCCCACTCCACGCGCACCCCGTTCGAGAAGCGCGTGTACAGCGCCCTCTGCCAGATCCCGCCCGGCCGGTTCACCACCTACGGCGTCCTCGCCGCGCACCTGAGCTCCTCCCCGCGCGCCGTCGGCAACGCCCTACGCCGGAACCCCTTTGCCCCCGAGGTCCCCTGCCACCGGGTCGTGGCCGCCGGCGGCGCATTGGCGGTTTCAAGGGCCACTGGGTCAAGGGCGTCGACGAGGCCGGTGGCGCGCTGGGCGAGACGCTCGATGAAAGGTGGGGTTGCTGAGGAGGAAGGGGTGAGGTTGGCGCCGGATGGGAGGAAAGCGATGGGGACGCCCTTTGATGGGTTTGCGTGAGGGCGGGAGCTATTACTGTATTGTGTTTTTTTTTTGGCGTTGCTCGTTCTCTTTTATTTATCTTTTTCTTCTAGGTTTTCTTCCTTGTGCGGCAGTTCAAAATGAGACGGAATAGGCCCTCATCTTGTATCAGGCGGGAAAGGGAGATAAGTAGCATTTATTATACGTTAAATTCGCAAAAGGGAATGATGGTTTCCTCTCATTTACACTTGTTCGGTAACTGATATGGCACAGCTTGATTGAAAAATGCTAAAGATGGTGAGGGGATCGCTACATGTTGCTCTCTTCGCTCGCTTTGCTCACCATCTCCCTGATTTTTTCTTCTCTATCTCGTCCCCCTTCAATCGTCAAACCCAGTGAACTCGGCATCCGCGTCAGCTGCTTTGACCTTGTCAACGGCTTTGTTTCTCCGCCTGACTTCCTCAATTAGCTGGCCGAGCTCCATCTTGTTCAACTTCTCCTCCTCCGTCATCTTGGAATCCGCTTCTGCCTCCTTCCTCTTCCTCCTCTTTTCTCTGCGTTCCGTTCGTACCTCTCCCTCTCTAGCTTCCCGCTCCATGCCTCGGTATTCTTCTTCCTCTTCTTGGCCTTGTTGGCGGCGTCTGGGAACTCGCCCTTGGCCCGGGCCTCCTTTTCCGCCTCGAGCGTCTCTATACGCTGCTTCTCGCGCGCCTTGTCCTTGTAGGAGTACGTTTCCCAGTCCACCTCCTGGCCGAGCAGGCGGTCGCCATCCCAGCTCTTGACTTCCGGCATCTTGGGAAGCCGGAGGAGACCCCAGGCGTTGCCGAGGTCCGCCCAGTCGAGGTCAGCGACGCGGAAGATGGAAGCGGCCTGATGGCTGGCGTAGCTGCGCACCCACGAGACAAAAGCTTTGGACGCCTTGTCATAGAGAGCGCGATCCGTGCGCACGAGTTGGCGTATCCGCTCGGACGCGGAGGCGGCGTCGTTATCGGACACTTGTATGGCAGGCTTTTGGAGGGGAAGACGGGGGTTTGTCGGACGCCGAGCAGCGTGATGTATTCTTCCTCGCGCCCTTCTTGCAGCAGGACTACTGCTAAGCCCTTGCGACCGGCGCGGCCTGCGCGACCGCATCGATGGATGAAAGCCTTGGTGTCGGACGGAGGGTCAATTTGCACAACCAGGTCGACGGCAGGGAAATCGAGACCACGGGAGGCGAGGTCGGTCGTGAGCAGGATGGTAGGGAGACGCAGGTAAGGAAGCGGTTAAAGTTCTTTTCCCGCACCTTGGAAGGGTGCTTGCCGTGAAGGCACACGAGCGAGAAGCCCTCGGGAAGGAGCAGAGGCAGTACGTGTTGGAAGTAGTCGACGGCGGCACAGGTGGACAAGAAGATCATGCTTCGCTGCGGTCTTTGCGCCAGCTTCTCGAGGAGCTGGCAGAGAAGAGGGAGCTTGTGGCTAGCCGGCCCTTTGAGGTAGGACAGCTGCAGACTAGCAGGGACCTTGCGGTCTTCTATGATGCCGCCGTCTTTCAGACTCTTGACTCGCACGGTGATCTTGACGGGATTTCTCAAGCCGACGCGAATAATTTCGCTCACGGCATCAGAGACGGACGCGCTGAACAAGCCCGTGCGACGCTGCTTGGGAAGGTGACCGAGGATCCTTTGTATATCCGGCTTGAAGCCGAGGTCGAGGAGGCGGTCGGCCTCGTCGAGAATGAGAACCTCAAAGCCGGCCGCGCCTTTGCAGTGGACATATGGAGAGGCAAGAAGTTCGACGAGGCGGCCCGGGGTCGCGATGAGCAAGTTGGGCGAGTGCCTCAGGAAGAAGGCGAGATCCTGGGCAGGTGTGGTGGTTCCGCCGACGAGAAGCTGGGGAACGACAACAGGACACGTCGCATCGGGGCGTTTCTCCTCCTCTTGGAGGAAAGGAAGGAGCTGGGCGGAGGGTTCGTGGAACTCGAGCATCGAGACGAGGACGGAATGGATCTGGGTGGCGAGCTCTCGCGTAGGGCTAACGACGATGGCGGCGATGTGGTGACGTTTGAGGTCTTCGACGCCGAGAACTTTATTGACGGTGGGCATGAGGAAAGCCAACGTCTTTCCGCTTCCCGTCACGGCCTATGAGCATTACTCAATGGGTCAGTCTCTGTGCTAGGGCCGGATGGGGTGAGGGTAGGGCGCAAGAAGACCCGCGATGCGGCATCACCACGGCGAGAAACGTACCTCTACTACAACGTCTGCGCCTTTCTCGAGGAACTGCGGGAGACAACTAGCCTGGACGGCCGTCATCTTTCTGTAGCCCATGCTTGAAGCGTAGGACTTCATCCAGTCGGGGAGGTTGACCGCATCCCACGACCGCGGGTCGACTCCCGACTTTTCCTTGCCCATTGCTGCTTGCAAGAGCTGTCTCGAGATTCGAAATCCAATTGGGGAAAACAACTTCTGCTCTAATACTGCATGGAAATCCGGTGCCTCACTTTGAAGCCAACTGTATGGAATTTCCGCAACAGCTATATTGGTTTTTGGCGATTATTGTCTCTCTATTTTTCCTCCTACCGTGGCTACGGGTCTGAGGGACTCCTCGCACCAAAAAGAAAAAAAGTCCCATCGCAAAAGTAAAAGTGGGACAGCTTCCGATAAGGATCCGATAAGAAAATGAGTGGTCTGTGCACAAAGGGGCTGTTGTTACTGAATTGTATTTTTGGATTGCACCGTTGCACTGCTACACTGTTGCACTGTGTTTGCTTCCCGGTCCCTGTGGCATGTTGACCTGACCTGGAACTTGAAGCCGTGCCAAAGTTTCCTTGCTCCCGGAGAGAGCTTACCTAACGAATAAGTAGAAGCAGAAAGAACCAAGCCTCCTATCTTCCTCGAGCACTCTCTTAGGAAACGCGGCTCTCGCGGGAGAAGGGTGGCGAAAAGGCCAGGATGTGGGTTTAAAGTGCAAGAGGTAATCATGATGACACCTGACCTTCTGGAAGCGGCCCGGGGCTGGACAAGAATACATCACATGTACCTTGGTCCCTGCCACCGCGGTCGCTTTTGGGGCGAGAGAAGAAAGGATGAAAGAGAAAAAAAAAAGAAAAGGAAAAAGAGATAGAAAACGGCAAGAGAGCATGTGGCACTACAGTATTACATGGGTTCTCGGGTTTGGGGAGGAAAAAAAAAGAAAACGAAAAAGAAAATGGCGAGGTAAAAGGGAACAAGCAACTTTTGCAAGGACGAAGGACGAAAAAAATTCTGCGGTGCCCGACTCAAACCCGTCTTCCATTCCAAACAACGTCCGATGGACTTTGGCCGCCGGCTTAAATTATAAAATAGATCGGCTCCCACGCGCCAACTTAAAATCGCATGCGTAGGCTTTTTCCGGTCTGGCATGTCCTCATACTTGCCCTGCCACTCTCGTGACGGGCCCAACGAACCTGCGCAGCACCAAGGCCAACACCAGCACCCGCAGCCTTCGGATCCCGAACATCCAGTGACAGGGCCACTGTATCCCCCATAGCGCTCTCATCACAGACACGCGCTTATCCCCCTCCCACTCCACCATTACCACCACCACCACCACCACCGCAAGTGCCGCAGCTCCCGCTATCACAAGCCAGAGCACCACCACCGCTCCCACCACCGCCACAACAACGACAACGGCCTTAAATAATCATCAGCAGCATCATGCGGCAGAGTCGGACTCTGCTGCACCATCACCTCTAGTCACCGTGGATTCCGCAAGCGACCACCACCCTAACCCCCAATCCCCTCTCCTCATCCGAGTCCGAGCCACGCTTCCGGCGGCTCCTTCCACTCATTACTCAACTATTTGGCCCCGACTGCCGCCCGCCCCTCGCGAAGGGACGCCCATCTCCGCTCCACAACGCCTTGGTCATTGCCGCTATTCCCTCTTCAACGATCCTTTGTCGGCACCCTCTGCTGTCCGGCCCTTCCGCCCTTTACGTTGAACATGTCGATTCGAAGCCGTTCCGGCATTCCCGCGACGCCTCGCGTCATCTCCCCGAGCCCGACCCCGTCCGAGTCAGAATCCTCCGCCTCCTATTTCCCCCGTCACACGATCCGCCGCGCGGCGGCGGCCACCCCTCAGCCACTCGAAAACATTACAGACGAAGATGAGCCGCCTCTTTCCCGGAGGTCCCGGACGAGGAGTCGCTCGCCCATCGAGACGGCTCGCATTCGGCGCCTCACATCGCGAAAGGCCAGCTCGTCGCTGACCAAGCCGTCGGACAGCGTCAAGGCATCCGAGCCCATCATCGCGACCAACGGCAAACCCGCCGAGGCCAACGGCCATCTCGCCCCCTACCCCGGCCACCCCGCTCGGCTGGAGCTGGAGGGATTTCAGTCGCAGCCCCAGCCCGCTGGGGCTCATCCCGATACACCGACACTGGCGCACTTTTGTTCACAGGCACGAGGTGCCCCGCAAAGTTCTTCACGTGTCCATCGGCTTCTTCACGCTTTGGCTCTACATCAGCGGCACCCAGACGGGGGCCGTCGCGCCATGGCTGCTCGCGGCGCTAATACCCATCGCCACGGTTGACTATCTCCGATTCAACTTCCCGGCCGTCAACCGCATATACGTCATGGTGCTAGGCGCCCTCATGAGGAGAGCGAATACTCGGGATGGAATGGTGTGATTTTCTATCTCCTCGGTGCCTGGATCGTCCTCAACTTCTTCCCCAAGGACGTCGGCATCATGGGCGTCCTCCTTCTCAGCTGGTGCGATACCGCCGCCAGCACCTTTGGCCGGCTCTACGGCCGCTACACTCCGAGGGTCCGCCGCGGCAAGTCCCTCGCCGGATCCCTCGCGGCGTTCTTCGTCGGCGTTGGCACCTCCTGGTTCTTCTGGGGCTGGCTCGCTCCTAAGACCGGCCCTTTCCCCGGGGACGAGACGTATCCCTTCATGTTCAAGAACGTTCTCCGGCTCCCCGGCGTCGTCTCGGAAACCCTAGGCCTGACCGACGCGCAGTCCACCATTTCGGGCAACCTCGCACTCGCGGTGGTGTCTATCTGGTCCGGCTTCGTTGCCGCAGGCAGTGAGGTGGTTGACCTCTTCGGCTGGGATGACAACTTGACCATCCCCGTTCTCAGCGGCATCGGTCTTTGGGGCTTCTTCAAGCTTTTCGGCTAGGCCGGATCAGGGAATAGACGGGCTTGTGAGGGAGGGGAAAAGGGCGGGGAATGGCGAACCCCTGCCCTGCGCGGCCATCTTGGGCTGGAGTACTGTTGATATATTTCAAGTTCACCGCACCATCCATCTCCAACCCCCACCTAAACTACCTTTGTCATGGCTTCTTTTTCTAAGCGCCCCCCCATTTTGGCTTGCATTCTTCGGGGTTGGTTGTCTGCAGGGTATCCCTTGCTCAATGGGCATTTGTTTATGTGCGAGCCAGTTCTAAGAGATGGGAGGGGGAAAGCCTTGGCTTGTGATGGATGGTGGGCGTACAAATGCCGAGGCCATCTCGATACCAATCCAAGGGTTCGGTGGGAAGCAACGATGAGAATGTGCGAGCCCTCTTTATTTCCTTTCTCTCTTAATCATTTTTCTTTTCTCTCCGGACGAAGACACGATGGGATGGGCGGGGCGGGGTTGATGGTGGAGGATGGTAATTGATCATGGGGAGGCAGGGCATCTAGCACTTGGTTTTTTTCCCTCTTATCTCGACGTTGATCGATGACCGATCTTTTATATCTCGCTCGTTTGCCCTTTTGTTCCCCCTCTCACACGGACATTGTAACATTATAAAAGTAACGGCGGATTAGGGCATCATAAGACACATCACAGCTATCTCTTTTTTGACTCTCCTTCTGCTTTTCCCAGACAATACACCATTGATTTTCTTGCCACAATTTCCAGAATAGACTGCACGTTTCACATATTCCCGTTGGACCCGCACTCCTCGCTTAAAACAGTTGATGCGAAGATTGACAGACAGAGCAAGAGGCCGAGCACAAGGAATGGCCTTGAACCCAGATGATGCGAGGGTTGCGAGTGGCGGAACCAACGCAAGACTAATGTCTGTTTTTAAGAGGTGAGGGGACGTTTACCTAATGGTTCAGGTGAAGATAGACGATATCCACGGATTCCATCCATGTTTGGGTCAGACGGGCTCTGCTCGGGCTGAGGATGCAAGCTAGAGCACGAGGTGGCATGTGGTTGCTTGCGCTAATGTCGCTCGGCTGGAACTAGGTCTGTCTCGGTGGGATTAGATACACTCCGTTCTTCCAGAGCCTCCTGCTCCTCCTCTCCCCTCTTGTTCTGGCCGGCATGTCCTGGGACTGGATGACCAAGGTTGCGTTTTCGTGAGATGGATCTTTACCGGATGGAGAAATGGTATCGGCGTTGACGAGAAAGGAATATGAGAAGGGGGGAGAAGAACAAGAACACACACACAAAAAAAGACCCCTCGGAAGAGTTTGGAGGAGGGTGAATCGGCGGATCCGCGCGCCATGAGAAGGATTCCGCCTCTCACGAGTCGCTACGGAAATAGAGCGGCGATGTCGTGCAGTTTGTTTAGGTCGGTGACCCCCTCCCACTTTGGAGATCGACCACTTTCGCCAAGGTGGTCCTGAGCGGGTTTGCTCCTAGAGGCATTTTGATCAAGGGTACGATGCCATATGAAGGAAGGGGAATACATCCATTACTTCTCCTGCCTAACAATAGGCAGACATCCTCGCCGTTCCTTTTTTTCTTTTTCCTTCTTTTTCGTTCAAATCTCGCCTCCCTATGAGCAAAGTCCAGTTCAAACTGTCAATGTGGGGAGCGGCTGCCTTATCGTTTGCGTGCGAGCTACCGATCCTGATGTCAGAAACATTCCATTGAGCGAGCATGCAATGTCTTTTTAGCCAACATACTGAGGCCCGCCCCCGTCCTTTCTCCCCAGACCTCGCCAGGGATCTCCCATGAAGGCCAGGTTGGAGGATTACTTGGAGCTAAAACAAAAAGAAGTCGAAAGCATTAGGTGGGGGCGAGGAGAGACGAACTGCGGGGTGTGGAAAAAGTAGCAGATGGAAAGACTATCCGTTCTTTCGGAAAATGAGCTCCTTTCCCCCAAACAAAGGTTCAATGATGTCACAGGGCCTCCTCCCCCTCCAAACATTTTGGAAGAGCCCAAGCCCCCAAGGATTGTTCCGTTGACTTACACGACAGGCCTTGGAAAGCGACAAGACACACGCAAATCTACAAAGTACGTCTTGTGTTACCTCGAAGCCGGGAATTGAGTTGTGGAAGTGGACAGCTAAGACATCCCCATCCCCATGGATGCCAGGGAGAGGACTGGGCCAGGGCAGGGTAGAAAGAGCTGTGTTTCCAGCTCTTCTTCTCTAAATATCAATCTGCTCCCAATTTTCCCACCCAAGATAAAAACCAGTGCCGGACAACACACGAAAGAATGGAAGAACCCACTGGAGCCAGTGCCATCTTGGGATATCTATAAATGGGTGTTTTCGCTTGCAGCTTCCGTGGCACTCACAGGGCTTACAACCAAAGCTGATAACCCTTCAGGCACCCCCTCACACTAGGCAATTCTAGACTTGTTGGCTACGGTACCCAAAATGGCTTTTTCCCCTCGCGGTGTCGCCATTGATCTTGCGAAGCCCCCCTCCCCCATTCTCCTCCTGCTCGAACCATCATCACCATTGGACGGCCGCGAAGCACCAACTCCTGATCATGTGCTCCCAAGAACCCACTGGGCCACGCACCGTCTCGGGCGACTTTTTCCCCTTGACTTCTTTCGTATCCGGGCCCGGGCGGGGAAATGAGAAGCAAAGATTGATGTGTGGGAAAGGGGGAAAGGGCTGAGGCAGAGGGCAGAAGAGGGAGGAGAACGAGAGACGAGACGGTTGAAGCTGTTTAACTAGAGAGGCAACGTTCTCTCCCCCCTTTCAATTTGTTTTTTGGGAAGGCAACAATGTTGGAAAAGGAATTTCTTTCTTTTTCCTTTTTCCAAAAGAATCCTCGGGGTCATGATGCACCACTCCATGTAACCCACCTTTTGCAAAAGCAAACGAACGGCCCAGGGCCAGTCTTTAGTCTTCTCTTACACTTTGCCTTTTTACAGATACACTTTTCTTGCCTGCCGCCCATCAGGAGTGGCGTGAGCGAAGTACGCTTGCTGTCTGACTTTGATGCGCGTGAAGCAGCTCCGGCTCTGGGGACTAATGCGTTGATGGAAATGATCTGTATGCCTCGGGTGAAAAAAAATGAATAAAAGAGAGAGCATCGAGATCTATCACTAGACGGCGAGACGCTTCTAGAGAAAAGTAAAGGGAGATAAAGAAAAGAAAAAAGAAACGAGGCACCACGTTTTACGGCTGAACAGCGATCCATCTCGATCCCGTAGGACACAGCAACAAAGGCTCTTTCGGAGTCCTTGGTCCCCAACCTTGGAACGGCGATGATAACGGTACGGATTCTAGGTAAGCCTTTTCTTTCTCCCTTTTCTCCCTTTTTCTCCCTTTTTCTCCCTTTAGGCCTGCGCAGGTGCAAGCTTCCGCCATTCCTGTGTGCACACGCGCATGCGCAGCACACAAGCTACCGAAGACACGCGGATGCACACTCGTAGACCTCCCCACACACATGTAGGTGTATAATCGCACAACGCTACATCAATGGATCATAGACTATTGGGTGGCGCGGTAACTCTCTGAGGGTTCCTTTTCTTCTTCTGTTTTCAACACTCGCCGCCCCCCTTGCGAGAGCCGCGTGAGAATGTGGCTGGATGTTATTGGACCTGTCTGCGTCCTCCCAGCATCGTGTTTTCAATCCTTGTTGCCTTGTTGCAGTCTCTTGTTAAGATATTTGCGTCCTCCAACGCTCTGGTGTTCTCCGCGGGAGACCAGACTTTCCCTTTCTACCCATCTTCCATCTTATTCACCCCTACATGCCGGCTCGAGAGCTACCGTGTCGTGTTCTTTACTTTTCTCCCGCGCCTCATGGCAACTCCACACACTCTCACACACAGGTCCATATGGATGTATATATAACAGCAGAGGATACTGATCAACTTACACACCCTCGGTTGTGAGACATACCTAGACTGCCCTTGCCGACTTTCCTCCCCCTTGTGTCGCGGAGCTCGCCGAATCTAGACTGGCTCTGGAGCGGGATTGGGGGTAGATAAGTGGCCAATTCGATTCCTGCTGTCCCTCGTTATCCGTCGGTTTCTTGGCACTGAGGGCGAGCAAGCCTATATTTTGAGCCGAGGGAGAGGGACTACCGAATGCAACGAACCGAGTGCCTTTGCCGCGCTCGCTCAGGGCTCACTCATTTCCCAAAATTCCTCCGCTCCTCGCCCGCCTAGGGCGGGCATCTAGAACTCTAGAACACCGGAGGGTAGCGGGCCCAGTTCCCTCGCTCGGGGATGCCCCTCATAATGTGCCCCTGCCAGTTTCCGCTCCGAAATCACTCCATTCCAGCGCTCGGGGATGTTGAGGAGCCCGGGGAGAAGCATCCGCTAACCCCTGGTCCACAGCGGAGTTTTCTAGACTGTGGCTGTCGAGACACGCAGGAATGGATGCATGGGGACAGGCAAGCCCGGTTCCCACCCAACGGCAAAAGAAAGCCACTCTCGCCCACGTACTGGCACCTGCCACTGGAACGCTACGCACTTTGCGGGCAAGGGAGATGCGCCACTCCTCTATGTACATCGCACATTCAAGTCGTGCCACCGTCGGTTCGCAGAGGTGAGCTTATGAGAGCGCTGACACGAACGCAGCCCCTTTGAAGTGGCGCGGTTCCCCGTTGACCATGACCTCTTGATTCTCCCCGATCTAGTCGATGGGCTTTTCTATGTTGGAAAGGCTTCCTTGATGAACACTATTCGTGCCTCTCTCGTCCGATTGCTGCCTCTGTCGCATAACCCCACCTGGGGGCCGTCCTCGGCAACCTAGGATCCCTAGGTAGGTTGCTGTGGCGAACAAGCAAATCTTTTTGATCATCCTCCTGTGCAGCCTGCAGAAGAGCCCCCTGAGTTTGAAGAGCAGCTTTTCTGTGTACCTAGGTGAAAGCGAGGGACAGGAGAAAAAGGGGGTGGAAGTGTCCGGATCGGCTGGGTGCATCTGTCCACGTCGACTTCCACACCCTATTCTCTTTTAACCGTTACCACCCTTTGGTAGATGATAGAGGAAGAT